CTTATGGCTTTATTCCCACTGCAATGTGTTTTTATAGATCACATGTTATAATGTCCATATCCTTTTAGAGTAAAATATATTGGGATTTCTGGTTAATTGTCCCCTCGAGGTTAAGCTGCTGTGTTCCCTGAGCTGTAAGTGTGACACTGTAAACAACTTTAGCTTAATGAAGCAGTTTTGGTGTATTGATCAGGCCTCTGCGGTCTCTCTGCTCAATTATCTGCCATTTATGAATCAAATGACTTTTATTTATGTTTATGCAGCCCTGGTCACACCTCCCCTGGCTGTGACTCACACAGCCGACATGAGAAAAAAAAATCATTTTCAAACAGATCGTACAGTCCAATGTGTTTACTTTAGAGTTCTTATCACTTGCTCTGTTTATTGAACTTTAATCACATTTAGTAGTCTGCTGCAGGCTTTAACAGGCTATTACCTCAGTAGGAAATAAGAAATTCTAAATTAAAGTGTGTAAGGAGGCTGTGCCTGTGGCAGCATACACAAAGTGATAAACTTCTAAATGGTAGATAAATGAGCAGTTAGGATGTAAGGACATTATCTATAAACCAAAACCATGGAATGAAGCTAAGGGTGTTTTGGTTACTAGAGGGTCTCTTTGAAGAATACAGCTAAAGTAACAATATTACCTGCTTTAGCAGAGTGCCGGTTGGCACTTGACAACTAAAACGACTTGACCTGTTTTGTGATTTGCCGTAGGTTTTTGGAAGATTATAACCAGGCCATTGAGGGAGTGAAGAAAAATCTCCTCCGAAAGTCTGCACCTAATCAGCTGACATTTGTCGGCGAGCTGTCACATGGACATTTCAGTCCCAAGATGGTAAGATGCTGCTTTGTGTATGTGCTAAATATATAATTGCTATTATTGGTTATTGGCAATTCATTTATCGACTTTTATGTTGCCGGGTTTTAGTCTCATCCACTGTCTATCAATTGATGGCAACAAATTTTGTTTCAAACTTTGAATGATTTTCTTTTGATTTTTTTTTTTTTTTTTAAACCATATGTTATTGACTATGAGCGGTCAGCTGACGCTCTCAGACAACTAATGGTGACAGCCCCAACTTCTGCCTTATTACCAGGAATCGGACCAGGATACCCCTGGCATCATAACCTGTAAAGCAGCCTGTAGAAGCTATGATGCTTGGTGTAATCCTTTAAATGGATTCTCTGTTATCTGTGAAAACTAAATTCATAAATAATCGGCTTGAGCAAAAGTTCCATACACAGTTCAAAGTACATATCACGTAATAGGGAACTGTCAGCACTCCAGATGTGGACTACATCTCCCATAATGGTCTTACAGCCATAATACTGACAAAGCGTCATGGGAGATGTAGTCCACAGCATTTGGAGTGCCAAAGGTTGCCTTCCCCGGGCCCTAGTGAGCATGGTTTTATGGGATCACTCCAATTGAAAACCAGTAGGAAGGGGTAGTATTGGCTACGTCCTAGTCTAGGCAGAACCTATTGCAGGATGTAAGGCAATATTAATAATTTATATTATAATCATTGTCCTTACCATTTATCTTCACAGGATCACCTAGTGTGCTTTCTACCTGGGACCCTGGCTTTGGGGGCCCACAATGGTTTGACTGCTGGTCACATGGATATAGCTACTGCTCTAATGGACACCTGTTACCAGATGTACAAGCAAATGGAGACGGGTCTGAGTCCTGAGATATCTCACTTCCACATGCATGATCAGTTGAAGGGAGGAAAGGACATTGATGTAAAGGTTGGTACCCTGCAGGATAAGCCCTGATTTAGGGTGTAAATGACTGATTATTGCTTGTTGGAATAAATTAGAATGACTTAATATTCAATATATTTTCACATTTATTTATTTGTTTGGTTTGTGTTGTATTTATTTATTTAGTTTTTAGGTGGCGGGAGGGTATGTATCCTTTCCCCAATGATGTTTTTGATTACTATTGGTATGTCTTCTCATTCCATCCTCCCCTTCCCTTGCTATAGCAGTGGATTTGTTTTTTTAGTGTCATTTAATGTTCTAAGAATGTGAATGTTTTCCCTCTGTGTGTTTGCCCCTTTAACACGGTTATTAAATTGCGATGCAGCCATTTTCTCTGTAAATTCTTAACCTTTATTCCCACAGCCTGCCGACCGGCACAATCTCCTGAGGCCAGAGACGGTGGAGAGCCTTTTCTATCTGTATCGGTTCACTGGTGACACCAAATATCAGGACTGGGGCTGGGATATCCTACAGAGCTTCAACAAATATACAAGGGTAAAGCAAACCTCTTCCATCCATTATGTGACAGGGCATATTAGGCTCTTTCTCTGAGTTTGTTTTTATGGTAATTTCTTACTCTCCCTACTAATGGTGAACTGTTAAAACTGTCAGTTTAAAGTAAATATCCCAATTGAAGGGCTGACATTCGGCAGCCAATAATATCTTCTTTGCTAAATTAATTAGTTGTATTTGGATTTGAGGGCAATATGTAACCAAGAATATGTTTTGCCTCACAATAATAGCATTTCCCCCATTTCATTTTTCACTTACTCACAACAAGAGTTATTTGTTTTTAATAATAAAAAAAAAAAAAACACTTTAATTTGACAGCATGGCTAAACTTGATTTTTCTTCTCAGGTACCGTCCGGCGGTTTCACCTCTATTAACAATGTGCAGAATACCGGCAGCCCTGAACCTCGAGACAAGATGGAAAGCTTCTTTCTCGGAGAGACACTCAAGTATTTTTTCCTGCTCTTCTCAGACGATGTGGACCTACTCAACTTGGACAAGTTTGTCTTTAATACAGAGGCTCATCCACTGCCCATCTGGGCATCTTAGCAAATGTTGTGGTCTTCTCTGATTAATTAGAAAGCTTTTGGTCAGTGACAAACTACATAAGAAAGGAGAATCCAGGTAGTCCCACTGGTGATCTCTCTAGGAGCCCTGGCTCAGCTGCTGGTCGATCACTGACAGAATCATGATTCATGATTTAAGATTTTTCTTTACATATTTATATTACAGTAGGTAAAAGATTGAATCTGCTCCATGCAGGTGTGGCTGACCAAGTCTTTTATCTGGTGCTCAGTGCAAGGCTCCACTGTGGATCTTATCTGAGCATTTATAGAGGGCTCTTCCATGGGGCAGCTATTTACAGGAGAAGAATGATCTCCAGATATTTGAATTTACTTATTTTCTCCAAACATCTGCCGGCTGACCAAGAGCAGTTAAGTTTCAAGAATTGACCAATTTAAAAAGGGTCTCTACTGTACCGTCGCGTAACGTATCAGCCTTCAGAAACTTTTATGATGAGGTTCTTCAACTCAGGGATGGAGGGATTAGGAAAATGATTAGCTTTATCTGAGCCCTCTGAACGATGTCATATCAACTGGGGCCAACGCCATGCTTTCGGATAATGAAGCACTGGCCTGATCCACACCATGACTCTCCTGTCCAGGACCTGTAGCCGTCCCACTTATCTTAAATGGGAACACTGTGAATAACTTCTACAACGTCTGTTACTGCACATCCCATTAACCTGCCACAAACACTCTTTGGGAATGTAAATACGTTTCCATGTGTAATGTAGAATCATTCCCTTTTTTTCTGCCAACACTTGTACTTCTACCATCTTAGCTGGTAAACATGTGTGTATGGCACCCAGACAAATTCATAAAGCACCACATTTCTGTAACAACACTGGGGAAACATGTCATCAGGCCCTAGCACTTTCTCTCTCTGCTAGTCATTGGTTAAAGAACCTGGTGTCTTAAGAATTGAATACAGGGATGCGGTGGGTGTTTTATTATTCTTTGTTCCAGTAATTATCTGGAGTGCGATTTAAATCCGATCCGACCAGGATGAATCTATGACTCTATGTTCAGTTTCAGCAGTGTTAGAAAATGTATTCCACATACATGACTGATTTATATCCAGCCCGTCGTCATTTTTCCAGGTTCTACTGTGCAAAATAAGACAGACTGCGTGGATGATGTTAAATCTGAATTTTTATCTTTTCAGTTGATTAATTTGAACATTTTGAAGATGGAGGCACAGGAACAGACAAACTGAACCCATTGCTATGTCATATGTGTGTGTGGGCCATGAACATCTTGTGTACGATGCTTGCAGTCTGGCTATCGGAACATTTTATTTTTTTAATGGATGTGTTAATGTTTTTTTCTTATAATCAGGTAATTATAAATATGATTTTAAAATAATATATAATTTGTGAAATATATATATATATATATATATAAATATATCAGATTTTATTTCACGTTAAGCAGGGGCTAAGGATTTGTGAAGTGAATTTATTTTTCTCTTTTGTGTATATTTTGTATATTTTATAGACATTGGTTCTGAAATTTAAGCATTGAGCATTGGTAGCTAGACAGTACAATTTCATAACTTTGCGCTTCATTTTAAAGGGCCAGTATTGGTTTTAAAGTGGAAAATTTGCAGCCGATTTGAATGCTCAGAGACATTAGTGTCAAAAATGGGGAGTGGTCGTCCCTTTGTGCTGCTTTGAACTGAAGAGAGAGTTTGGTGGGTTTTTGTTTGTTTTTGTACTTGTAGTTCCATCCATGGTCACCGGGGGAGTTCTAGAGTAAGATGCAGTCAGTTCTTTTTGCTGTGTTTGCACTCTGACTGCATTATTTCTGTAGTTTTTATTTTATTTGAATTCCTGCATATCCTATGATGGCAATCTCATTTGAATCTTTGTATTCCTGTTTTTGTTAAGCGAGTGCGACATTCAATTTTGAAATAGGTTTCTAAAGTCTGGTTTGTCCTGATGGACTTATTGCATCATTGGTCCTTAAGTGGTTAAAGACCAGTCGATTAGCCGTCATTGAGACCGGATTACAGACAGGAGGTGATCAACACATAAGATTATATAAACATACGATACAGATGATATTCTTAGTATACAAAGCTATAAGTACAAAGCAAGACACAGATTATGGTGCAGTACAGGAGATGTGTGTGAAGGGAGTACAAATGGGCAAAAGTGCTCACTCACACGTTTTAGAGCTGTCTCAGCTCTGTTATGAAGGTCTGGACGGAATAATCCCCGTCTATGGAGGTCACCCAGGGCAATGTCCTGCTTTGGTATAAAGAACTGGAGGTGGAACAATCCCCACCTAGGGATACATACTGGAACCGGAAGGATGATGACGGCTGTATGAAGGATGTACTCCACAGGTGATGATGTATAATATAGTAGGTTTATTAAATAAAAAGCTGGAAACAACAGCTATATAAGTAAAAACAAATAACAAACAAACTGTGGAAAAAAGTCTGACAGAAGTGGCTGCCAGTGAGGACTTATTTTATCCACAGTTTGTTTATTTGTTTTTACTTATATAGCTGTTGTTTCCAGCTTTTTATTTAATAAACCTACAATTTTATCCATCATTACCTGTGGAGTACATCCTTCATACAGCATGTATCCCTAGGTGGGGATTGTTCCACCTCCAGTTCTTTATACCAAAGCAGGACATTGCCCTGGGTGACCTCCATAGACGGGGATTATTCCGTCCAGGCCTTCATAACAGAGCTGAGACAGCTCTAAAACGTGTGAGTGAGCACTTTTGCCCATTTGTACTCCCTTCACACACATCTCCTGTACTGCACCATAATCTGTGTCTTGCTTTGTACTTATAGCTTTGTATACTAAGAATATCATCTGTATCGTATGTTTATATAATCTTATGTGCTGATCACCTCCTGTCTATTATCTTTACTATCCACTTCACAAGGGTGGAGAGAACCCCTTGGTGGTGATTTGCTGCTAATTATAGATATTGAGCACTTATACTCACCAGTTTTTCCATATATTGAGACAGGATTGACTGGTGAACATTATCATTATTTTTTTTTTGTGTGTAACCCAGTGGAGACCCAAATGTTGCCTTTCCCAGGCTGTTGTACACTACTGGCTAACAAAGCATCATGCGGTCTGTAGTTCTTTTAAAGTTGGGCTCTACATTTTGGCCTCCTATCAAGATTCTGACCTAGATAGGCTTTCTTGAACAGCCTTCAACACTTATCCAGATCTCTCCATTGTGTGTGTCTGTGTATATATAAATATAACATACATAACTTCCCTGGGGGAGGAAAGAACTGGCACACCCTTCATTAAACCGGTTATAGATATATAGAGCTTAAAGAAAAAACAAAAAACATTCTATGCAAACTTTTCATGGCTCTGATGTGGCTTTATCATTAATTGTGGTTTAATGGGCATCTTAGGCATGGGCACATTGTAACAGCTCCCTATTAATATACATCGTATACAAGCTTATCGGGGTCAGTATTTCTACGCTCCAAAAGTGCTAGAGGGATAATAGATGAGTTCTTACATGCTTTGTCGTTCCCTCTAGCACAGTTTGGCTTTTAGCGTCCTAGGAATTTAAAATGCACCGGTCATGACGAAATTATTTTGTTCTAAAACAGCTTACTAATAAATGCATGTGTCACAAGAGACTCTCTATAAGGTGCATTTTGGGTGTAGGTATGGTCCCCTAACTGTTTAAAAACCATGGCTTCCTTCTACTAATAATGTGTGCGTGTTCACTGTGCAACCTCATAATAGTACCTCCAGTTAGTGGAATATTCAAAATTGGCTCCCACATTCTAGCAATATTTCTTAGCAATTATCTAAAATGAAATAATTTTAGACGTATGCATTTATTAGTTATTGCTTGTTATAGAACAATGTGTCAATTGTTATTATTTAGCTTTTTAGAGCAGATTTGTCTTCTTCAGCTCCCTGGTCGACTTCCTCCCATAGAAATCTGCTCGGTACTGGTCAGACCTATCACCTAAAATTTTATGCGTTTTTAACCTTCGACTCATGGGGCCTTAAAAAAAAATATCTTTGAATGAAAAACAAAATTGGCATTCATTTTGTGGGGCTCAATGTATAGATACTGTACATTGTTTTTAAAGTGCAACTAAGTATGTGTAATGAACATGTCTTAAGTTGTACATATACCATGTAATTAACTGTGGCAGTCATCGCTAATTCTCATAGTGCAGATGTTAGCACTACATTTCCTATGATGCTCGACCAACAAGATATGTTTTTTTTGTTTGTTTTTTTACAAAACTTGCTTTAAAAAAGTAAGAAATTGCTGCTCTAGGGCAGGGTTTCTCCAACTGTCAGGTTTTTTTTGCAGCTTTGGGGAGATTAGGGAGAAATTACAAACTAGATGCAGATTATACGCCAAGTCGCCAAATTGAAATCTTTCTCCAATTCCCAATATTTTCAGCTAGAACTCACAACTGTCGGTTTTCCACCGTTCCCTTACTGAATCCTTTGATATAAAACCCGCAAGTAATTTGTATTCATGTCACTGGTTAACTTCCATACATATTTAACCGCAATGGTATTTGATAGGGAATATGCCAACAGGGGTTTACATGGTGGGGTCGAGATTTGAGTACAGTGACACCTAATTAAAAACCTGGCATACAGTAACCAGATTCGAAATGGCTTACGACTTCTCTCCAGCCACAGAGGTATTCCCTTCCAGAACAATTTGTCAACACATCATCGAGTTCTAATCTCTTATAATCAGGGTTATCCACTAAACTGCAAATTGTACTGAATTCAAATCCAAATGTTACTCATTAGGCTAAAGTAGCTGATTTTGGATAAATTCTCCAACTCTACTATAGTCACAGTTTGGCTCTTTAGCCTAAATATTTCCTATAATTCAGAGTTTGTGAATATTTTTGAAGGCCAGAGTTGTTGAGATATAGTAATAACAATGGTCGCAGCTCGCATTAAGATCTCCACATAGGAAAGCATTATTCAATGCTTCCCCATGTGATTTCCCGCGACACTGGAGGTCCTTATGCATAGCGTCCAAACGTCTGGTAGACAGCCACTAGAGGAGGACTTAATCCTGCAAGGTACTTATTGCAGTTTATAAAAACTGCAATAATTACATGCTCAGGGTTAAGGGTGAAGGGAGTTGGTACCAAGACCACTTTAATGGGCTGAAGTGGTCTGGTGCCTACAGTGTCCCTTTAATTAGATGGCTAGTTTCCCTACAATCTGTATTTTGTGACTTAAAGGAACGGAGAAGTTGGTGTACACTGAGTTTTGTAACTATGTAATAAATCTCACCCCTGTGGAGTGTGTTTTGTCTTGTGTTAATTCATTGTAATAAATCGGATACACCCATTCAGTGTAACCTACAATATGCAGCTTACTGTAACTGCCCTTTGGGTTTACTCAATGACATTTAAATGACAGCAATGCCTTGGGATTGTAATCTTGCCAAAAAGGATTTGGTTTCCAGTTACCTGTGTCCCAGCCGTCCTCCGTTTTCTGCCTTACTCTGTGTATGTGTAACTGTGCTGCCTTCCAATTATATATACGCTGAGAATTATTCAACTTTCAGTCCAGTTAAAGCAACGGGGTAACTTTCCGAAATGTAACCCTGGTTCTTTAAAAATGGTTAGCGCAGGCAAGCGCCAATATGGAGTGTATAAAATTCAGCTGAAGAAAGCTTCTTCTTTTACGGCAGGGTTTCTCCTGTAGAGAATGCATGAATTGGAATTCAAAGACATTTGTACTTAACACATGTTCTGAAAATCAGCGATAATTGGTTTTCGTTTCTTTGGGCGATTTAATGAAATAAAAACCAGTCACTGCCATCTAAGGTTAGCTGTGAAGTTTTCGCTTATTTTGTCTTTTTGCATTCTTCCAAAAATTGTGTTAAAGCTCATCAATAATCAAAAGATTCATTGCAATCCATGTGTTTAGAAGGGTTCACGTTCCTGTGAAATACTTTCTCTTTGACAAGAAACATCACTGCAGATTGTCTCCTGTCATTTTTTTCTTCTTTTTTTTTTAACTGCTTAAATCCCAATATAATGTAACAATATTTTGAAATGACAAAAACATGATTTATTGTAAATTCCAACCTGTCTCATTAAATGTCTCTATAAGCATTTCCCTGTCTTCCAGTTCTTGAGTTTGAGCATATGAATTACAAATATTTATATAACGCTAACCTATTCCACAGCGCTCTAACAAAACATTTGATATATGGGTACCGTGTGGGATGAGGGCCCTGCCCAAACAAGCTTCCTTTTATAATAGCGCTTATATATTCGTGGTTCTGTCATGGCTTTTTTTTTATTTATTTTTTTAGTTTTGCTTTCCTAACGACCTTTGTATCTTAATGATTACATTCCCTCATCGCTGCTGCCTTTATTTATATTTGTCTTTCCTTTTTTTTTTTGCCAGGTCATGATACCTGGGCGTCTCCATTTTGCTCCCCTCTGTTCATGAGGCTTGCAGTTTGCCTTCTATGGCATTCTTCTGACTGGTGGATTGTGGGTTAATTCGCTTAGCCACCATAGTGGGACATTGCATACTCTCTGCCCATTGCCAAAGATCACACTCCCCATGAGAAAAATGAGTCCCTACATTGTCTAATGTACAACAACAAAAATTTGGATTTCAGAAAAATAAAAACGTAGTGAAATAGAGGGACAAAAACAGACTGATGGGACACTAGTCAAAGAAACAACAGAGGAATGCCGTGTTTACATTACAGCCTAGCGATAACTCATCTGGCCACTCCTCGGATGGCTGACATTCAGTATCTCCACCCTCTGCATGCAGACACTGAACTTTTCTCATAGAGATTCAATGTATCTCTACGAGGAGATGCTAATTGGCCAGGGTTATATTTGGCTAGTGCTGGCTCTGCCCCTGATCTGCCTCATTGACAAGCTCAGCCAATCCAATGCTTTCCTATGTGAAAGCATTGTGATTGGCTCAGATCAACACCTCTGATGATGTCAGCCAAGCAGGCAGATCATGGGCAGAGCCAGCAGCAGCATACTGAAGTAAAGGTAAGATTGTACTATATTAAGGGGGTGGGGGAGGGGTAGGAGGACTAGATGGTGGTTTAAACACTTTAGGGACAGATATACATGTTTGTGTTCATGACCCTATAGTGTTACCTTAATTTAATTGCAAAGTGACAGAGCTGCTTTAACCTTTGTCACAGGAACATAACTTTTATACTGGGAATTAGCAGGTGATGCATTAGTGACCCCGGTTTTATGTCACCTATTTAATAAAAGCAGTCTACACTCTACAGTAAGCATGTCAAAGTCTAGCACGGGCCACATAAACAAGGTTTAACTTTATATGGGCCGCAAAAAAACAAACAAACAAAAAAAAACTTAAATTTTCATAGAAACGTAGGTTTATTTTGAAAAGTACAGTATATAAAAAAAAAACCTCTACTAAACCACAGCACTCCTCTACTAATCCCAGTCCCCCCAGATACTAAATCCCAGTCCTCCCCCTCTAGCCTACAAGCAGACTCCACTTACATTGCCGCTGCCAGTATGCGACTCCGGCCTCTGGTATACCCCAAATGGCACTGTCCACACCCAGTGCCAAATCTGATCCTCCCGCTACTTCTTGAAACCCTGTCGGAATGTGATGTGATGTGGCGTTGCGTGCCTCCATGCACCTCCAGGTACTCCACTGTCCAGTCAGAGCCAATGCAACACTGACCTACAGACACACTCACTCACTGACAGACACACCAACACACAGACACACACTGACAGTCACACACACTTACACATTCTTGCTCCCTACCTTTGGGAACCGGTGTGGTACCTATCCCTGGGGTCCAGCGGAGATCTTCTATCTGCTCCCCGCGCGGTTAAGTGATGCTGGGTGCCGGAATATGGCGTCATATTCCGGCTCCCGGCTTCACTACAGACTGCGCGAGCGAAGGACCAGTGAGGAGCAGGAACACTGAGCTCCCTCTCTGGCCCTCCTCCCGGGCCAGGTAAGTTTTAGCAGAGTAGGCACATGCAATGTGGGGAAAGCAGGTGCCTACTCTGCTATAACACTGAGCATGCACTCACGGCTCGCCGAGCTGCAAAGATGTTTATTGTGGGCCGCGAGTTTGACATGCTTGCTCTACAGTGTCTGTACAGAGATCCCAGAATGTACCTCTAGGACGGGAGCTGTGTTACTCAAAATATTTATTTCCCTATTTGGGATTTTATTTTTATGGTCCAGAAATACATCTGTTAATTTACTGCCCTCTGCCCCCGGCAGTTTTAAATCAGTAAGTCATACAGCGAAAACAGGGAGTAAAATAGGGCATCCTCAAAATGAATACAAATCCCGACATATTGAACATAAGTTTCTTGAAGTATAAGAAACTGCACCCCTTGGTAGAGAGGTCCACACCCCAAATTTGTGTTTATACCCTGTTTCCCCGAAAATAAGACATACCTATAAAATAAGCCGTAGCAGAATTTCTAAGTATTTGCACAATATAAGCCATACCCCGAAAATAAGACATAGTGATAGGCGTGGCTATGCAGCGTACCGGAAGACGCAGTAAAGAAGACGGGCAGCCCTTCTCATCTGCCCCATCATGACAGCTGCACCCCCAGCACCAACAAGCAACAGTCTGTGGGTCTCTCTCACCTCCCACAAACACCACTAAAGCTGCTGCTCCCCAGCACTGACCAACAACAGTGTGTGGGTCTCTCTCACCCCACACAAACACCAGGGGATAGGGTAAAAGCTTCAGCAAGCAGTCTGCTACTGAGCCCAGAGAGATCATCCCAGCTCCACTGTGCAGATTGGACCCAGTTCTCACTGGATCTCTGATAAATAAGCCAGCCCTTACACATGAGCTTTTCTGGCCTATCTCTGCTTTTGAATAAATGTAGATTGTTGTACCATACTTAATAAAAATAAGACATCCCCTGAAAATAAGCCATAGTGTGTCTTCTTGAGGAAAAATAAATATAAGACAGTGTTTTATTTTCGGGGAAACACGGTAGATACCAAGATGTAAATTGAAAAGATTTGCGCAAGGCATCTCGGGCCCCTCATGGACATGTGGGATAATAGGCGACCACTAAGCAAAACATTGTTTGACCTTCCTATCCTTATTGTGGGTCGTCTCCACCTAATCATTGTAAAAAAACTGTTATATGCGAGTGTAAACAGCAAACGTGAAGATCCAACTCAAACCAGTTGGCGAGGATAGCTTTCCTTCCAGTAGCCGCTGTCATTAACAGTAAAGCCCTGGGACATTGTTGATTAGGAGGACAATTTACGACGGTACCATAAACCGTAAAGTAGATCCACTTCTGTCTGGGGACACTCCTGCTGTAAAACCTAATAAGGGAATGAAATTGTCCCTATGTAAAATTCCTAGGACATCTTCCAATAAGGTGGATGGGATATAGGTTATTAGTAAGATAAGTCATTTTTAAATGACTGCTAACTGGGATGAGGGCCATCGCCAAATCACTGTTTTAAATAACTGGCTTAAGCACTAGATGGGGAACTGCGGAGAATTGATAAGGGGATTGGAAATTTAGGAATAAATATCCAAAGTGAGACAATTGCTGAGTTGGACAAACTTTTGCCATCCTGGCTTTTCTAGTTTGGACTAAAATGTTTAGTTTTTTTGTTTTTCTCGTTCATTCTCCAGAGTTCGATTTAGTGAATAAATCTGCATTGTTTTTAGTTTCCTCAGTTTTCCCCATGACTGTGGTGTGATTTTAAAGATTCTGAATATTTTAATGGCAGCTACACAAATTCTGCTCTTACAGAGTTGAGTTTTGTTTGTTTGGTCTCTCGGATATTGAGTGGAAGGCAACGTGCTCTGTGACCATTGTCAACAAACCGAAAAGGAAATTCAAGATGTAACACAAGCCGTCACATTCCTGGCGATACACATGGCTACAGAAGCAGTTAACAACAGTTTACCTCTGGTTTCTGACAATATTTTGTCACCTGACTGGGATAGACTTTACCCAAAAAGTAACTGCATGTTTTGTGGAAATATATCTCCCATGATTCATTGCCAGATTATGGCTGGCTACGGGTCAGCGAGCCATCCGTACGTTTTTGTTTCATGAGAAATAAACCTTTCACTGCTTAATAGCAACTGTCCATTTTGGGAACCTGAAATATTGTGATAAGTGTGTGGGAACGCCTGATAATACATTTTGGCGACGTAGACACATTAAAAAAAAAAAGTGGTTTCCACAGCAAACATTGAGATTACCTCTACGTACATACATTTCACCAGTCAAAAATACAATGCCAAATACAATTTTTCTACAAACACTCTTTTTTGGTTATTGTAGCCCTTTAAACATAACAGATTTTTGACTCATTACCTATAGAATGTGACGGCAGATAAGAACCATTCGGCCCATCTAGTCTGCCCAATTTTCTAAATACTTTCATTAGTCCCTGGCCTTATCTTATAGGTAGGATAGCCTTATGCCTATCCCACGCATGCTTAAACTCCTTTACTGTGTTAACCTCTACCACTTCAGCTGGAAGGCTATTCCATGCATCCACTACCCTCTCAGTAAAGTAACACTTCCTGATATTATTTTTAAACCTTTGTCCCTCTAATTTAAGACTATGTCCTCTTGTTGTTGTAGTTTTTCTTCTTTTAAATATAATCTCCTCCTTTACTGTGTTGATTCCCTATTTCCCTTTATCTCCTTTAGATTGTAAACTCGGGAGCGTCTCGCTCTGCCCTGTATACAAAATGGTCTACACACTAAATTTAAAGTCACAGGCAGTGATGCTATTTTTATATTTATTTTTGTGTTATGGTATCCAGGCTACAAACCTGTACCCTATTTATACAACTATTTTAGAGCAATGCAAGAAATTCTGGCAATAAAAGTAATACAAACAAAAAGACAAAAATCTACATTTCAATCTCTACTAATTTAAGGGAAAAGAAACAAGGTGTTTATGGCATGTTTGCAATCTAACGTGAACTACAGATTACTTGTGGTTTGACTAATTGACTATCAATTGTACAATGTGATAAGAAACAGGTTTCCAGGTGAATATATTGTCAGCAACCCAAGGTTAAAAAAAAAAAAAAAAAAAACTCAATAAAAATCTAGGGATGGGATTGGTGTTGTAATTGGAGATCACTTTGGCAATCAGTGGGTTAATCTGGATTGTAAAAGATCTTATGAATCCATATTTAGATAAATTTCAGAGTAAAACAAATTCTAGCTGACCTGGTGTATTGATACATTCCTTTAGCCTTTGTTAACAGTGCAAGCCTAGACTTGCCAACCTCTAAACTGATCAAGCATTTCAAAACAACCTGCAGGGGTCATTTTTGTTTGGTTTGTAATAAATGGTGTGCGAACTTATTGCCAAAGCAGCAGAGACTAAGATATAGAAAGGGGGTGTGTAACATTTCTTGCTAATCAAATAAGGTAACATACTTTTGAGCTCTACTTGCAAAGTATGGTTAAACCGGTTTCCTTTTATCAAGAGGTTTCCTTGACAAGCCTTTACTGTAGGTAATCAAAGCTTTGCTTAAAAGAGCAAAGGAATCGACAGAGGGCTTTGGGACGTGTTTCTCCTGTCGGAATTTCTGCAGGTAGAACAGTGAGAAGACATCCCATCATGAAGAATAGGTCTGAGATGTGCACATTCTCCTCAGAAAATTATCCAGAAAAATTACTCCAACGGATCTGCCAGCTTCGTTCCCAGAATGATTTTTGTGATGTTACTTTAGAAGTGGACGGTGTCTTATTCCCAGCCCATAAGATAATACTTGCATCTGCCAGCACCTATTGCAAATTGATTTTTGCTGACTCCAATGTTGGTGACACCATCAAGATCAAGGATGTAAGTCGAAACGGACTCAAGACTATTCTGGATTTCATCTACTCCAACAAGCTTACCTTGTCTTTGTCCAACATTGAGGAGACTCTAAAAGCAGCAGAAGTCCTGTTGGTCCGTGAGGCTATAAAACTCTGTTTTCAGTTTTTGGAAGATGGTTTGACCCAAGAAAACTCTTTGGACATTCTAAATATTACTAAAAGGCGTGGACCAGAAGAACTGAAGCAGAAAGCCACCAGTTATGTTGGGCACCAAAATAAACATGTACTAAAACAGCCTGGAGACCTTGGTAAAATAGACAAAATTATGCTTTCTGAAATCCTGGACCAGAAAAATATCCCAGGATACACTGAGCTGGACTTGTTCAATTTTGCAGTGGCATGGTTGCAACATGACCCATCAAGGCTGCAGGAAGCTGGAGACGTTTTAAAAAGGATACGGTTCTCGCTCATTCCTCTGGAAGATCTCCAGAGACACGTGAAAGAGACGACAATCATGAAAACTGACTCTAACTGTTTCAGATATCTGCAAGATGCCCTTCGATATCATTCTCAAATCTACTCGCAGCCTGCCCTCAACTGGGAAAGTGCGTCCATCCGCACAAGCTCTGAGAAGATGCTGGTTCTTGGAGGGAGGACATCAGACAATCGAGTCTGTGGGAATATGTGGGTTGAAAGTCAAGATGGCAGCTCTTGGGCTGACCTTGGGGAGCTTTGCACACCAGTCTACAATCATTGTGTAGCTGTCATCAATGATTTCCTCTTCATCATCGGTGGACAAACCAGGTTTGACCCTTCGGGGAAGCATCCTTCAAATGAGGTAAATGCTACCCACGTATCATGCAAGCACAAGCGTGGATTATTTTTTATTTTTCTGCATAAAATGACTAAAACATCTTCTGCAATCAGTGAATTTCATACCATTTTATAGCAAGGTGTCTTTTTCACGTAGCATGGGTGAATTAAAATCGGTTTTTAAAAATGTGCCATTCTAGTACCTTAACCCCTTAAGGACACATGACATGTCTGACATGTCATGATTCCCTTTTATTCCAGACGTTTGGTCCTTAAGGGGTTAAAGCGGCTAAGTCACCTTCTGGGGTTTGCCTATTTTGCAAAGACCCGCAATGGTGACATTTTCACTTGGGTTGTGGTGGCTTGAAGTTGCAGTCTTGGTAAAGTTATAGTTACCTGATGCTGTCCCCCGAGGGTCCCAAATCTTCGCTCTTCAGCTCCTGGTACTTCAACTGCCAGGAGCTGCATCCACACTGTACAACACCAGTGATCATGGCGGAGGCTGCACAAGCCTCCATGGATATCATTGTGCAATGAGCGATATAATGCCTTATTTCCACAGCTGTCACAAGCGATGGCTGGGGAAAGTGACAAAACTTGATAGCAGTAGCTTCGCATTTTATCAGGTAGGATTTTACCATGAGACAAAATAGTCCCTTCATTGTCTTACAATTTTTTTGTCTGCATTGTAATTCCAATATAGACTTTCTGAGCATTTCCTAAATATATCTTTACAAAAGACTCAAACCCCCCTCCCTCCATGGTGAAAGAGCCGTTTCAAATCTGAATATCTTACTAAATGCATTAGATCTAGTAATAGCCACAATCATCACACACCTAACTGAGAGTTTATACAGCAAAGTACTTTTATAATTACCTACCAAGCCCTCAGCGAATTCTTTTCTAACAACCTTCTTCGTACCCCTACTTTTACCCTCTGTGTCACCTTACCCCACTCCCTCTAGAATGTAAGCTCATTGAGCAGGGCTCTTCACCTCTCTGTTCCTGTACGTCAATTTGTCTGGTCAGAATTAAATGTCTGTTAGTCCACCCTTTGTACAGCGCTACGGAATGTGATGGCGCTATATAAATAATAATAATAATATGTAAAAGTACTGCACCATGGTTTTTATTCCTTATCTTTACATGCATCTCTGAATATCCAGACTCCAGAGGATTATCCTGAATGGTCTTTATCATCTATACTTTGATGGGCTCTATATACTAATTACACTTGTGAGCTCAACCTTGAATTATGAACATTTCTTTGTTAATACAGTATTACACTATTTTTGTGCCTTTGTATTACCCTTTGTCGATACTTTGCTGTATGAATTTATGTTGAGGATTTTTAGAGGTTTCATTTTTATCTACCACGTAATTTCAATTGCAAAGGGTAAATACCATTTTTCAATTTTATGTTTGTAACACACGAGCGCTGCACTTTTTGGTGAATGTTTTTCCAAGTACTACCTTACTGAGAGTGATGGGAGTTGTCCAAAGCTGGAAACAGAATAATTCATTTATTTATATTTAATATTTCTTTGCCTTTTGTTTTATTTGGAATACTACCCACCAGCCTTGCACTTCGCCCTAGTTGGTTAAATACGTCAATAAATGTTATTGAAATTCCTGAAACATAATTGGTTTCTCAAGAGCAGCTTCGCCAATGCCGTATGTATTGCATTGCAAAGCATTTCGGTGCCAACTGCCACTTACTGCTGATCTATAGTGGACACACTACCAACACTTATCAAGTGATTATCCAATATCCTCGGATGTCCCCTGGTCGCCTCCCAGATGGGCGGATTGAGGTGAAGCTGTTGCTAAAAGCTTGCCTATTTTATCCAGCGCTGTATATGTCCCAGTTTCTTTACAATGTGGACTCAGTATACATCGAGAAATGTCCTTTAGAGTAGTGTCTCTCAACCAAGTCCTCATGGACCACCGCCAGTCCAGGGTTTTTCAGTATCCATATTGGAATAAAACAAGGAAATACATAAATTCTGGACTGTTGGTGGTCCATGAGGACTGGGTTGGGGAACACTGATCTAGAGAGAGCGTTCTGTATCACAAGGTTTATAGTAACAAAAAGAGAGGGGGGTAAATTATAATCCGTGGCCGGCCCAGGCATGTTCGGTAAACTGGGTTACATGGGTGGGCACTCCACTGTTTTAGGGCTTTAAAATGCTGGTCCATGTAAGGAGTGATTACAAGTGATTGAGAATCTGATGTCTCTGTGTGTGTAGATTACAGTAGATGGGAATGAGGTTATGAAAAATAAAGCATTTTCAGTTTTTTTGTTGCAAAAAAGTAATGATGTTCCGGGCACTCAAGTTCAATCCAGTGGGCAGATTTATTGGAGCAAAAACACTTCCATTCAGAGTTAAACCATTTTCGAGCAGTTTAACACTGAATGAAGGTCCCTGGTTTCCCACAACCCTGCCTCCACTGGAGGTGTGGCTAAGGCAGAGATTACACACTTCCTTCTAGCCATTCATAATCAATTCATATCTGCAATGGGCGCTCTGATAGGCTGAAAGCGGTCAGCTGACTCTCCGCCAATCACAGCCACAGCCATTGCTGCGCAGGCAAATACTTCCTCATTAGACCAAGCAGCAGGGCCACCATCAGGGGGTGACAACTGTGATGGTTGTCACGGGCCCGGCGGCCCTGGGGGGCCTGGCCGCCCGGGCCCCACGCGGAGCGGCAAAACTGCCGCCGGTGCATCTGCACCGGGGCCCATCAGTTGGCCCAAGCATTTAGGGCCACCCGATGGGCCCTGTATCTTCAGGGGCCCGGTTAGCGCTACGCCGGGTGATTGCGCGACCGGGCCCCTTTTAAAAAAAAAAAAAAAAAATTGCGGCTAAACACCGCAAGTGCTGCTGGGAGGAAGTGACGGCCGGTCACGGGGGGAGAGCGGAGGAGAAGACAGGACAGGGACACCAGAGGCATCCACTCCCATCATCCCCAGCCACCATCCTGCAACTTAAAGGTAAGAGGAGGGTGGCTGATAAATGAGGTGTGTGTGTGTCTGCAAGTATGTCTGTATGTCAGTATGTCTGTCTGTGTGTGTGTGTGTGTATGTATGTCTGTGTATGTCTGTGTGTGTGTATGTCTGTGTGTGTGTCTGTGTGTATGTCTGTGTGTATGTCAGTATGTATGTATGTCTGTGTGTGTGTATGTCAGTATGTATGTATGTCTGTGTGTGTGTATGTCAGTATGTGTGTCTGTGTGTGTGTGTGTGTGTATGTCAGTGTGTGTGTCTGTGTGTGTATATGTCTGTGTGTGTATGTGTATATCAGTATATCTGTGTCTGTGTGTGTATGTCTGTGTGTGTATGTCAGTATGTATGTCTGTGTGTGTGTCTGTGTGTATGTCAGTATGTATGTCTGTGTGTATGTCAGTATGTATGTCTGTGTGTCAGTTTGTATGTATGTCTGTTTGTCAATATGTATGTGTGTGTCAGTATGTGAGTATGTATGTACAACAGTGTGTGTGTGTCTGTGGGTGTATCTATATGTATGTCTGTTTCAGTATTTGTGTCTGTTAGTATGTGTGTATCTTTCTGTGTGTCTGTGTCCTTTTGTGTCTGTGTGTGTGTATTCCTGTTGGCGGGATTTGGGGTTGGGGCTTGGAGGCGGGCACACGAGGGCCCAGACCTTGAGCTGTGTTCGGGGGCCCACAATTTCTGATGGCGGCCCTGCCAAGCAGCACAGACGGGAGGGGCTGCTGGAGGTCTCGTTTAACATTAAAGCATTAAAAACAGATTAGCTCTGAATAGAAGGACGGCACCACGGGATTGAAGTCACTAAACACTTCAATGACATGAAGCCGTTACAGTGCCTACAGTGCATTGGCGGAACCGGGGGGAGGCAACGGGGCAATTGCCCCCCTCCCCTGAGAAAATAGTGAGTCCGAGGCTCTCCTCTGCCAGCCCATGCAGGGCTGGTGCTATCCAAGCACCAGCCCTGCTGTTTGCCATCACGGACCAGAGGGGAGATCCGTGATCTCCCTCCCCGGCCCACAGGCTAATTGCCGGATGGCTGGCAGGGGAGGGAGTGAGAGAGAGAACCCGGGGGCGCTCTTACCTGCAGCTCCACTGCGTTTTCCTCTCGCAAGCACGGAGCATTGCCGCAGTTACCATGTGTAGTGGAGAGCTGATATCCCAGACTAAACCCGCTATAGATCCCAGTATGGCTCAGGAACAAGTAAATAATCCCAGGTAAAACATCCACAGTGACAGAGTAATCCAGCAGCGTAGCAAACACAATCAGTAATATAATCCAGCAATATCCCATCACCTTTCCCAATAACTGGACGACACACAGTATCAGGAGCAGAACTGATCTTTAATCACACAACCCCTGCTTTTATGCAATCCTCCCATGAAAGGGAGACACCCACAATAATAAGTACAGTAACCAATTAGGTATAAGGTACAACCCACACATCTCCTCCCCTCAGATTATCAGTTAACATAATTAAAAGGTACACAATTTTCCCCACGTTCTGGATGTACCCTGATAGCCCTGATCTGGGTGAGTAGCATAATTAAAAAATCACCCAGATCGGACCAGGGGATAATGGATTATGGAGGGATAAAGTTTTGACCGACCGCACAGGCAACAGTAGTCGAAAACCGTTCCATAAGTTTTGGCCTTGCGGTCGGTCTCTGTTCGTGCTTTAAAAGTCCCGAATCTGCCCCCATCCCCTCACACAAACTATAACCCCCTACACACTGCACCACACACAAATATACAGCCCCCCCTTACACACACAGCCTCCCCTCTGGGTAAGTTATCAAACGTTTTTTTTTTAAACGGTTTGACTACTTACTCTGGGAGGGCGCCACAGCAACTCCTAGCACCAAAACCATTACAGAGAGCTGTAGTGGTCATTGTGCCTGGATTGTTTCTTAAAATGATCTGCCAGTGCCCCTCCCGAGATTAGCTTCTGGATCCGCCACTGCCACAGTGTCCATTTAAAGGAACACTCCAAACAACACAACCACTGCAGCTTGATGTAGTGGTTGTGGTGCCAGGTTTGGTCTGGCGCCCCCCAACTTAAGTAATCAAATGGTTTTAGAATGGTTTGACTCTTTCCTGGGGTCCATTGGGAACTGCTCCTCACCTCTCTGGCATTGACAGCAGAGAGGAGGCAGGGAGCAGCACCCGTCGAACCCCTTGCGTAAAATCGGTGTGACTACTTAAAATGGGGATGGGGAAAGGCAAAAAAAACTCTATTATCTATCTTAACTATTATTCTAGCTGTGCTTTTTTGGCTTAAAATGTGTAATTTCTGGGGAGCGTGGCTAGCATCCGAGCTGTATGGCAGCACACTGACAAAGCTCTGAGCAAAACAGAGCGAAAATCGCGTTTACTGGAGGTTTACCACCGCTATGGGGAATCCCAAAAAGGCTCACTCGAACCCCCAACACACCGGGAAGACACCGGCAGGCAAAACTGGAACGGTAACCCGTTTGTTTAAAGATTATGCGGACCGCGTGTCCGATCTCGGCGAATCCAACATGGTGCCGACGGCGGGGAACTCGAACCTGACGAGTCCCACGGCATCTGATACTTCCACAAACTCGATGGACATGGATGTCAAAGAGATTTTAAGAAATCTGTCATCCAGAACAGACCTAGCACAAATGCTAGGTAAATTAGAAACCACCTTCCAACCCAAGATGGAAGGCCTCAGCACAGAGATCAAGCAGGTAGGCCGCAAAGTGCAAGATCTTGAAGATGAAAGGGGGTCCTATTACACCCAACTACAGACCCTGTTGGCCAAGGTAAATGCCCAGGAGAGGCATATGACCATGATGCAAAGATCATTAGATGACATTGATAATAGGGGCCGCAGAAATAACCTCTGAATAAGAGGCCTACCAGAAACAGAGGGGGAAAACTTATATACCACGCTCTCAATACTGTTTAACCGGATCCTAGGCCGCAAATCTGACACTCCAGTGGACCTAGATGGAGCGCATCGCTCCCTGAAATCTAAAACGGGGCCAGGAAGCAAACCAAGAGATGTTATATGCTGCCTCCACTATTACGCGCTAAAAGAAGACATAGTAAGAAAACTGAGAGATACATCCACCCCCATGTTTTTCCAGGGCCATGAAATATCGATCTAACAAGACCTATCATGGCATACCTTGCAAGCAAGACGAGCTCTAAGGCCGATTACAGACCAACTCCGGGCACGCAACTTGCGCTACAGATGGGGCTTTCCATTTGCCCTAATAGTCAGCGCCAGAGGATCCACATATACCATTGCCACCCACCAGGATATACCTGCATTCAGCAAAGCACTGGGCCTGACAGAAACGCATATTATGGACTGGTATGCACCGGACCCGGCAATATCCTCCTCTTCAGCACAGCAAGCACCGAAATGGAGATCCCCAGCAAAGAGGCAGAAAATGACACAAATGGAAATGCTCCAACGAGAAGAGACCGAAGCAGAGTAGCAGGGCACCCTTGGAGACCCTGGAGACAGATGAACTAATACCATGCCAAACCACGCAGACCCTCATATCCAACATTCAGCACTAGACTCCATGCTCGAACTGGAATTCCAACTTGTCTTGGACTTTGCTGAGGCCGACAACTGTGCCTGAACTTCGCCATACACCATCCATCTGAAAGACTATGACAGACCCAGGCCCACCAGGTCGTATGCTCATGCTTGTTTATGCCCATCTGGGAATATACTATTGATTTAATGTACCTATGTGCCTATATATGTCCATGCTTTTCTCAGAACACAAAAATTATCTAATATATGAGAATAACAGTTTACATATGTTTAGGAGCATAAAATTGCTCCCTGTTGTACCCATGAGACACACGACAATTTACCACTCACAGACAGAGTTAATGACAGAAGTTGACTCGGGAGACTCCTACAGGGAATAATACAGGTCTGATGGGGAAGGGGCGTTAAAGGGCAGGGACAGGACCAGACGGAACACGATAGGGAAAAGGGAATCCATAGTATTTCCCCCACGAAATCAAATGGTTCAAACGATAAAATCTATAATAAAAAAAAAAAAAAGAAAAAAAGAAACACAACGAGAGGGCTGAGCATATGCCACACCTTACCATCTGGGGCAAACCCAGGTAACTCAAGATTCTGCCCCTCCACACCCCACAAATATAACAAAATCTCCACTCACAACCTCCAAGAAGCGAGCATACGAAATACAAGCGACTTTGCTCCGTAAAGCTCACTACACTAATACATCACTCAAGACACTAACATTCGACCGTAAGGGTCGACGGTCAGGACTAGACGTCGACACTAACTCGACTCCCGAAACTGACAGCAACCCACCAGACTCTACTTACTACACGCACCCTTCCTACACCTCAGTGTGAACGGGGTCGTCAACCCTTATCCCACTGCAGACAACAGGACTTCTCAGGGGCTGACCCCAGTTCTCACGCAGTTGCCAGAGAGCAACAACGTGAACCATACGAAATTGAAGACCAGACTAAACGACAGACTTGATTCTTTGTAAATAGTTACTTTTGGTTGTTATAATTTTTGAAACAGCTTGCTCAGTACTAATCCACACCATCCGCTCATACACATTGCTTAACTTGGTTAACGCCATATAGAGTATTCAATACACTCAGTTACCAAACTCCCCTTTCCCCCACACACCAAACCTTTCCAATATTCCATGATGGCAACAGTGTCGATCCTATCACACAATGCCAGGGGACTGAACACCCCCGAAAAATGCCATATGGCACTCACGGACTACCACAAACATAAGGCTGAAGTAATATTCATACAGGAAACACACTTCCGTAAAGACTCAGCACCCTCACTTAAGTCGAGACACTTCACCAAAGGCTACTTCAGTAACTACACTGGCTCGAAATCCAGGGGAGTGGCAATCCTACTCTCTTTACACCTTCCATTCACATACAAAGACCACATGGTGGATGACAATGGCAGATTAATCTTCCTAAAGGGTCTGATAGGCTCGACCCAAGTCACCCTAGCCAATATCTACCTCCCCAACAAAAAACAATTCCAAGCCCTTCGAACCATAATTAAAAAATTGGAAAACTTCTTAGAGGGACTATTGATCTTAGGGGGAGACCTAAATATATCTCTAGATGGGGCACTAGACACCACTTCACAGGCACAATCATACCAGACATCCATGAGGATAAATATCCAAAAATTTCTAGACTCCCACCAATTATATGACTGCTGGCGCACCACACACCCAGCAGAACGCGACTACTCCTACTATTCACACTCTTCCGGCTCATACTCCAGAATTGACATGTTCCTCATTCCACATAGATTCCTAAACCTAGTTAATACATGCGAATATGCTTCAATCTCTTGGTCGGACCATGCACCAATCTCCATGAACATAGCAATTCCTTCATTGCACCCCACCAGGACACAATGGAAACTCAACGTCACACTGTTAAACCAACCAGAGATACAAAACCGAATTGAAAACTCCTTAACGCAATACTTCGAATTAAATGTTCGCCCAGACACACCCTACCCAATGGTGTGGGAAGCACACAAAAGCACAATCAGGGATACAATCATCCAAGCGGCCTCTGGACACAAGAAGCAAAGGGAGTCACAGGCCTCCTGCCTAACTAGGGAAATTAGGGAACTAGAGAACTCACACAAAAAAGAACTTGACTTAGCCACATACAAGACACTAGTAGACAAAAAGACAGAACTTAACATTATCTTCTGGCCAAAAAGAGGAGCAACTACTATGCACAAGGGGGTAAATGTGGGTGACTGCTAGCGCATGCCCTGAAAAAGCAAAGAGAACACACATTTATAGCAGCCATACGAAACTCCGAGGGAAACATCTCACACTCAATGACAGACACTCTAAAGGCGTTTAAGGACTACTACTCATAACTCTACAACTTGAGACAAACTCCTCCCCAAACCCACGACTTACAGGAATTCCTCTCACAGAGAATACACTCCACTATTCCACGAAACATACGAGACTCCATAGACAACCCCATCACATCTGACGAATGCTTAGCAGCGATAAAACACTTACCAGTGGGGAAAAGTCCAGGCCCAGACGGACTTACAGCAAAATATTATAAAACATTTGCCACAATACTCATACCCAATTTCCAGAACACATTTAACGCGTTACTTAAATCAGATACCCTACCTCCACAAGCATTGAATGCTACAATTACCCTCCTCCCCAAACCAGGTTAAGACCTGACCCAATGTGGAAGTTACAGACCAATTTCGCTGAAACTTTTCACGAAAATACTGGCAAACAGACTACGTCCACTGCTCCCAGGGTTAATACACACAGATCAATCGGGCTTCATCCCAGGTAGAGAGGCTAAACATAACACGACAAAATTGCTCAGCCTCATACACCAGGCCACACGAATGCGATGCTCCAGTCTCCTCCTGTTGATTGATGCTGAAAAGGCGTTTGACAGGGTAAACTGGAGCTTACTATCATCCACCCTACAACACATGGGCTTTGGCCCTCACTGGCAGAAATGGTTCAATGCAATATACTCACACCCTACAGCAAATATCCGGGCAAACGGGCAACTTTCAGAGCCAGTAACACTAACGAATGGCACCAGGCAGGGGTGCCCCCTATCTCCTTTGCTTTTTGTATTAGTCTTAGAACCCTTCCTACAAGGGATTAGAGATAACAAATTAAGGGAATCACAGCTGGCAATGAGGAATATAAAATAGCAGCATTTGCCGACGATATGCTCTTCACTATCTCAGACCCCATCACATCGATACCTCCCCTAATGGCAGAGATGAATAAATACAGTAAACTCTCCAACTTTAAGGCAAACCTCAGCAAATGCGAGATCTTACCCATACACATAAATCCCCAGGAGTAAATTACAAAATGAACACCAATTTATGTGGGCTCCCCACAACATAAAGTATCTAGGAATTCACATCACCAAAGACGCGACCCTCCTATTTGAAAGTAATTTCCCAAAACTGATGAAAGACATAACAGCTGACCTCAACACCTGGAACAAACCACATTTCAGCTGGTTTTGCAGACTGAATATCTTAAAAATGAACATTCTGCCCAGAATCCTGTACCTCCTACAGATTCTACCTATAACGATCCCTAAAAACTGGTTCACACTGGTACGCAAGACTCTTTCAACGTATAAATGGGCCTATAAAAATCCCCGGCTCTCACACTCACTTCTCACTAGACCAAGGGAGGAGGGAGGCATCGGGCTTCCAGATATAGAAAAATACCACAGCGCAATTCTCCTAACTAGACTTTACCACTGGACATCCACACGCACCACCAATCAATGGGTGCAAACTGAAGATACATTCTTCAGAGCGCCAATCTTCACAATACCGTGGCTAAAATCAGGCCACGCTCTCCTTCTCCATGCCCCACACCCGACTATCTCTCCCACACTGCGCATGTGGGCCAGACTACAAACACACCAAACAATATCTCCTCATTCCTCCCCGCTATACCCGATCACGCACAACCCCCTGTTCCAACCAGGAGAAGATGGTAAAGCATTTAAAATATACTATGACTCAGCCTACCTAAAACTAGGAGACCTAATGGAGGATACAGGGGATCGAAAGATAAAACCCCTCTGCTCCCTCATAGAACCACAAACAGCAATACACAAGTTCCAATACAGACAACTCACCCATTTTATCCTCACGGGACCACTTGCACACAACCCACACTGAGCACAAACTAGATTCGAACACTGCCACGAACAATCCATAAAAAAAAGCTCATCTCTGTGATGTACAACACGATCTCAACCACCCAACCCCACAACTCACCAGCCTTCACCACATCCTGGGAAAAATAACTCAAGCTGGCCTTTACTCCACACACGGCGTTTCATATTTAGACAAATCCATAATTCATCGCGCAACACACTAACACAAGAAGGGAACTACAAAAGGATTGTGTGGTGGCATTACACCCCATCCAAATTAAAATCACTCTTCCCATCACTACCAAATCAATGCTGGAGTTGCCACAATACTGAAGTTAACTCGGCACACATATGGTGGTCATGCCCAACAATACACAAGTATTGGAAACTTATACAATGTCTGATTCAAACAATACTATCCATACATATACCGCTCACACCAGACATGCTCATCTTCCTCATACCGTCCCAAACATTACCCAAACCGAAAGCGACCTTGCTACTCCACCTGATTTCATCTGCAAACCAACTCATCCCCGTATATTGGAAACAACCAAATCCCCCATCCATACGGGAATGGATACAAAGGGTTGAGACTATTAGGGGCCTCGAAGAGACTTGCCATTCTATAACAGACAAATACAATTTTTACACCGCCATCTGGGAACCTTGGAGTGCATACCTCAAAAACCACCCTACATAACACACCGAAATCTGACATACAGGATTACCACTGTTCACCTCTAACCCCTCCCACCCCCCAACACTATGGTAAATGTTTACAATGTTGATCAAACGTAACAGTCGTTCGAGCAACAAGATGCTCGCTGTGGACAATGGTGCTTCTCTGTTGTACGCTAAGGCCCGCAGCCAGGCAACAAAAATACATAACATTCAAAGAAGTTGTAAAAAGATGTGTAATGATAACATTCGTTCATTTTGTACTGCTTTTTCTTATTTGTATTTTATAATTTTAATGTCAAATTCCTGTTTTCATAAATTTGATGTAAAATTGCAATACCTCAATAGAAACTTTGAAAATGAAAAAATAAAATAAAAATAAAAAGTGTAATTTCTTTGTCCGTTCTGTAAACTTCACTGTTTAGTGAATGTAAAACAAGATAGTGTTTATTCACTAAACATCAAACTGTGCTGTATTTCTATATAAATACAGGTTTCCAATTCAGTACAGTCTGCATGGTTTTGTTCAATATATGCCCTGTACGGTGTTTATTAGTAAGTGATGGCTGATTCCTTGATATCCGTTTTTGCAAGAACTAAGATGAACAATTGAGTGTTGCAAAAATTAAAGTTGTGACTATTGCAGAGTTGGAGAGTTTTTCCAAATTGGCCCTTTTTGATAGAATTTGCCATTTAGACTGTAAACTTGTAGATTGTAAGCTGTTTGGTCTGTTACAGGGTGGCAGAACTCTAGGGAAGGCAGTGGGGTAATGGCCTACAAATTACACACCCTAGAAGTGCTTTCCACTGCTCAGATATTTTGAAGACTCTTGACATCTGTCTCACAGGTGTTTCGTTTCAATCCAAGAAATGGGACATGGTTGCAGGTGGCTGGCATGCTGGAGAAAAGGACACGGTTCCATGCAGATGTGGTTGCTGATCGCATTGTAGCTGTCGGAGGAGGAACACTTCTGGGGAACCTCACCAATACCGTGGAAGAGTATCAACCCTCCGAAAACAAGTGGGAATCCACAGCTCCTTTCCCATTAGCCATAGCTGATCATGCAGGGACAACGCACAAAGGCATCTTGTACATCTCAGGTGATAATTCCTAACGTAGAATACTAGGTCTTCTAGTCTGTGCTTCATCTTGATGGGACATGGCCGTCTCTCTAATGTATATTTTCTTTGTTTCAGGCGGGTATTCAGCTGGTAGGACTCTGAATGATGTCTACAGCTACCTTCCAAGACTCAGGCGCTGGGTGGTAAACCGCGCCATGACATTTGCTCGTTGTGACCATGGAATGGCGACCATAGGAGACACAATATTCTGCATTGGTGGTCGTACACTGAACGCGGTAAGTTGGCACGTAACAATCGGAATCTGTTTCCATTTATAACCTCATTGTTATTGGTCATAAGGGCAGGATTTGGTCATCAGAGGATCAAGCAATACAGTGTTGAAATGGATTACCAATAATGTACGAGACGTTGCAATGGAAAAATTAATTAACTGTGGATTTGTAGAATGTAAAACAGAGATGGAAGAGATAATGACTGAAAAGGTTATATGATATGATAGTGGGAAGAGCTGTGTTTACTAGAATATAGCAATGATGAGGATAATGAGTGCGTGCTTCTTGGGGAAAGACGAACAATAATACACTTATTTTGTAATTATACAAGATGGGATACAGGGAGACATTGGGGGGGGGGGGAAGGGAAAACTCTAGTTGTATATTTTAATGCATTTGATTATGGAATCGTAAAAAAAGAAGAAAAAAAAAATTCTAAGCCCTAAATCACCTTACCTTTACCTTTCTTCCTAGTGCTTTTCATTGTCCAACCAAACGCTGCTTGTTCACCTTGTGTGCGCAGACGCCAATTGTAAATGCTAGAAAAAAAAATGATGTATAAGCCAGCCCAGAAAAAGAAAAAGTTTTTAGCTGATAGGACAATGAGATAGTTCTACACCCCAGGTAACAAAATACTAAATATCTCAGGACTGGCAGAAACACTGCACAGATATGGTCTTTGCACCATAACCACTCCAGCAAGTTGAAGTGGTTACGGTGCTTAGAGAGACAATTTACGTTAGTGGAATTAATGTCTAATTTGTATCAATTTTCATAGACTAGATCTCTGTGGTATATACAATGATTTCCGTGATATAATACACCATCATAAAATCTAACAAACATTAATCTAAGACTGGGTTTGTTTTCATTTGTTTCCCACAAGGCCAAGAAATGGATCCACGTGAATGAAACCGAATATTACAGCCCTGCAGCCGACCAGTGGAGCTCGTTGAAGCTTTCACCATTTAACTGCTGTCAGTTCAGCATCCTGACGCACCAGTCCAAGTTGTACATCACTGGTGGTGGCTCTTTGAAGAGCATGAACAAAGAAGATGGTGTGTTTGTTTATGACCCCGAAGCCAAGACGTGGTCAAAAGCCGGATCCTTACCGCGTCCGTTAGTAGATCACGCTTCCTGTGCTATCAAACTGCCGCAGCAGATGATGGAAAAGCTGTTGGAGAAAGAAGAGCTAAGCCCAACGAGTTCCAACAAGAAGAAGTCCACGCTGACATTGTTTATCACTGGAAAACCAGACCATGACGCATGACACAGCAGTGTCAGTCAACCAGAACAAAGACGTCAAAAACCCCAAGAGGGATATTCACTTAAGGGAGATCTGTTGGGATTTCAAAGTGAATTGAAAATTTAAGGGCAAAGTAGCTGAACCCGATGCATAGCTGGCTTGGAGCATTTTTCACAGTTCTGCTATTTTGGCCTGAAATTTTCAATTCGCTTTGAATTCACCTTGAATTCCCAACAATTCCCACATTAGCAGATTGCCCTAAATATTTACCAATGTTTACTGTTATAACTTTCTAATGAGTGAATATATGAATCATTCTGTGCCGTCAATTCGTCTGTAGTAATGAGCAAATTAATTTGCTGCAATACTGTGATTTTCTCTATTTTACTGAAATTCACATATTTCCTTTTGTGTTATTTGATAAACAAATAGATCTGGTTTGTTTTTGTTCTAAAACTATTGCAGCCTCTCAATGTGCACGTTCCCCTACAAGAGGTGATATTGGCTTCCTTTTCTTACAGTATCCCTAATCCTGCCCAATCTGTTTAAATGCCGCTGTTACTCTATCCTCAGTGCTTTCAATAAAGATATTTTTTTAATAAAAAAAAATTTATGGAAATACTAAGCATATACATATGGTTGAGTGCAATCAGGGATTGAAAACTTTTTGATTAAGCACATTGTAAAGTGAGACGTCTGATTCTTATGAGGAATGGGCAGATTCTTAGGATCCAGAACGAAGGGGTAAATCCTTGTATTTTGGTGCAAAGGCAGCTTCTTTGGGCCCAGAGTAAAGGGTCTTCATAGGAAAGCGGTCTGTCTCTGAATGAATCAACAGAATATTTTTTACTACACAAAGGTGGTTGGAGAACAACTAGTTAACTGCAAATTTTAGACTAGACTAGGCTAGAATATGTCCTAACGGAAATGTGCAAGCCTCTTCTTCAATGGAAGGGTAGATGTATGTGATAAGCTCATGTGCCACTAGAGGGCAGTGTAATTCTGTACATTAAGGAGAAAAAAGGCTGCACCAAGATGAAATAATGCTAAAAATACAATAAAAGATAAAAATCAGTGTCAAATAAAAAAGTCTAAGGTTGAATAGACTTGATCACTGTATTTGCTAGTAGAGTGTCTTCTACGTTTCTAGTAGTCCAAATCGTCTTGTGATGTGGAAGACACAAAGGGAAAGGACCAATCGTGCAGAGTGTATATAATGTATAATATATTAAAATATAAATGAAACACTCACATTTAAATGAGCTATGGCCAGCTCAAGTGTAACAGGCATACAGCGGAATGATCCCCGCTTATGGGATATGTGGGTGCTTGTCCTCCAGACGATAATGATGTCCAATTCTCAGGAGAAGGGGAGAATAAAAACAGCAAATCGTGCTCTCTGATGATGTGACATAATAATAAATAAAATAAAATAAAATATACTCACAAATGGAGTGCAGACGTCACTGCACTCTAATAGTAGTGTTGGTGGTATAATCCCCACCTCAGGATAAATGTTAAAAGATGAATAAAATGCCAGGAAAGTAAAATAATGTGTAAAAAGGTAATGGCGCAGAGATCTAGCCAAAAATCATTTATTACAAAAATTACACAATATTTAAAATATTAAATATTGTGTAATTTTTATAATAAATGATTTTTGGCTAGATCTCTGCGCCATTACCTTTTTACACATTATTTTACTTTCCTTTAAAAGTACATTATTTTACTTTTTACACATTATTTTACTTTCCTGGCATTTTATTCAATATTTAAAATATTTAAATATTGTGTAATTTTTATAATAAATGATTTTTGGCTAGATCTCTGCGCCATTACCTTTTTACACATTATTTTACTTTCCTGGCATTTTATTCATCTTTTAACATGCCAATTAACTGCCAATTTGGATAAACATTTTCACTTCTCTTGTCCATTTTTTGCTTTTCCCAGTGTTTAGTGAATTAAGAGTCATGTATTATTGTTAAAACCAGCGATGGAGTCGATTATTAGTATTATTATTTTATTGTTATTTATATAGCGCCATCACATTCCGTAGCGCTGTACAATGGGTCGATAAAAGTATATATTTTGCACCCTGGAAAGAAAGCTGCCATATAACTCCTCTATTCTAATAACTGGAAAATGTCCAGTCTTATGATACGAAAAAGAAAAAAATACTCCAAGTTTTGGTTGTCATGATGCAGGCCAGGGAACATTTGTGGATATACAGGGTTACGCTAAGCAGCATTGTAACTTCAGTGCAGTGTTACGTAGTGAAACACTTTATACGTGTAGATATTTGCTAGTTGCACCTCCAGCACACGTGGCGTGATGGGTTGTAGAGTTTTAACACCTTTGTTACCGGAAGTGCAAATCCATCCCCGGCAGAGTTATAGGTCAGACAACAGTTCTTGGCTGGCTAATATAAATTCTGTGTAATTACCGTGCACAGAATGTCATTCATTGGCTGAGAGTGATCAGCCAATGAATGGCCAGCAGAATCGGATACCGGCTTTCGCAGCTCTGCTGAAGCGGTTGTGTCCACCAGTCATAAAGGACACTCTGCGTCTGGTAGTGACTCAGGGAAGAAGGCAAATCGTTGAATCTTTGTTTACATTGTCATGAAACCGTTTCATATTTTTACACACATAAAACCGGTCAGTATACACTGAATGTAAAAAAAGAATAGCTATCAATAGTAAGTTATTCCAAAATTACAGTTAAATTCACATCTTAGGAGCAACGAATAGTAGAAGTAACAGTTGGTATTAACAAATACTCAGAAAAAAAAAAATGTCAATTGTCACATAAAACATTGATGGACAAATGTTGCAATATTATAAAGTAACCTTAGCAAAAAACCTATTGCGTTATGACATTTATCACAGAATGGGAGGTTAGGAGCTCCTAGACAGATAAACCTAGTAAAACACCAGTGCCAGGAATGAACCAAAAAATGAAGGAATGAACAAAATAACCATCATAAGAAATGATAGGGCCATGAATAGGACTAGAAACGTTCTCCAGATAGGTCTCAAGTACATGTCGACTTAAATGGACTCGCTGACTGTCCTGATATTGGGTAGACAGGCTTGATCTTGTGCACGCCCCTTCACTGAGAAGAAGTGGTATGATCCATTGAATGCCATTGAATGCCATTGAATGCCATGTTGAGGTAGCTGTCTGGGATAGACCCATAGCCATAACAAATTTCTCTGTGTCCAACAGATGAGAAATCTTTACTCACTTTTCACTATGTAGATCTGGGCCCCATCAATACTGGATCTCTGTGTCTCTGTTTGTGTGATAGGTCTCAGATCAAGATGAATGATTAAAAAGGAGACGTCTGAGTTCTCAAAGTGGTAAGTGGGTGCTTCGTATGCTACAGACTGTGCTAGTTGCTTACTACAAAGCGACTGAAAACAGATCAGAAAGTCACCGGGGGACCCCGGCCGGCGCTCTTGGTGACCTGGAACCCTGAAGTGGTGCTCAATAAGGATGCATTTGGCTTTAGAAGGTGACAATCAAGAGGACAACAGATGTTAAAGGGAGTGAGAAACTTCATTATCGGGATACACCTCTAATCGTCAAGTATCACTTTGCCTTCCATAATTCGGTTGTCTTTCTTGAACTTGTCCACTTCCAACCGCAAATCATGTCTGCCATTTGCGTTGTCACTATCATATTCCAGTGCCTGCAGCCCAGCAGACATAGCTCCCATTTCCCTTAACAAGCGCAAAATCAGCTGTGAAAGAGTTTGTTAAGGGGGTTCTGGATATTGGCTTTACTTTTTAGTAAGTGCTCCGATGCTGTGGTAGGACTTGCTTGTCCCTCTGCAGGATAGGGGCTATTGAGTCATTGGGTAAACTCTCCTCAGATGTGTAGTCTGAGAACTCCCGGATGTGCACCATCTTGGTAGGTTACGGTGACAAGCGGAGCAGATCACAAATATCTTTAGAGGAGGTAGCAGTTTCACTCTGGCAAACTTTAGCTTTCCTTCCCATGATATTCAAAAAAGTTTGTAGCAATAGTAGATCACTTCTTTTTTTCCAAATAAAATATGCTCGAATAGAAAGTATCTCTCAGAAGCTCTAAGCATTATGTGTCTGCTGCTCGCCATTGCTAGCTCCCAGTCGGAAGGTTTCTAATAGAAACATTTTAGAAATGGCTTGAATTACTTTAAATAATCCCTATTTCTTTGTTCCAATTACGCCACGGACAGCATTATGCGTTTCCCAAGACAAACAGTGAAGACTTACTAACTCTAAATCATGAATATTTATTAAATGGGAACAAATTAATTAATATATGTTACATCTCCTGTAATTCTATGGGGCTGTGTTATATCGTTATTGACACCTACTGGTTTGTAATAAGGCTCTACAAAAAGGGAATCTAATTATTTTGTGCAAACAGTAGAATTAATGAGACAGCGTAGAATATTAAGCCCATATATTACAAGAGACCACTGCTAGTCGGTGCATATTTTGTATAATTTATTAATTTCATACTGTAGAATTGCCTCTGACGGTTGTGAATAAATCACGCTAAATGCAGATGTAATTGCAGGAATAGACACAATTTAAAATGCCAGGGGAACAATTCTTTGTAAATCTCTCTTTACAGTTTGTAAATACAATTAACATGAAAGTCATCTCGGAAACACCGAACGCTTTCTTCAAAGTATATGAGCTGCGCAAAGTACATATATCTGAAAATGTCTTGGTGGTAAAACCTGAATTTATATCCAATTTTAAAAATGCTTGGGCCAGGAGTTAAAGAAACAGTGAATAACGATAGGTGCTTAAGCCGTTCACTCTAGGGAATATTTTGATTTAAATTGGATTTTGATGTCAGTCAACTATAAGTCACCGTGATTTTTTTTTTCCAATGCAGCTGTTCCAGCCTGTGCATTGCACATCAGTTATCAAATTAACTTACTGTTTAGTGATTAAGCCCTCAAGAAGCTTAACATTCAGTGTGTGTTTGTAATAGATACACTGATCAGACACAACCTTAAAACCACTGATAGGTATTGGCGTCCGTAGGTGAGGGCAAGGGGGGGCACTTGCCCCCCTGGGTTTTTCAACTTCCCCCTCCCCACAGGCAGTTGGCCCTAATGTGCTTTATAAACTATTTTCCCTCAGACTGTGACAGCTTGTGTCAGTCCAAGGGAAAGAAGGAGGGAGGTGCTTGGAGCTGGAGGGAGTTGCTGGGGGTTGGTGCGGCTGCATATAGGCTGCTAGAGGGCCGGAGGGAGCACTGTGAGGCTCCCTTCCGAATCCCCAGCAATTCAGTGCCTCTATGCTCTGCCCCCTCATTCAGAACCTGCCTCACGCATGCATGCCCCGCTCCTACAATGCTCCACCCCCACACTCACACTGCTGACCTCGCCAGAAGGAAGAGGACAGAACATGGAGACTTCACCTCCCAGTCTCCCACAGCCTTCTGCGACAGGTAGGCAGTGATTGTGATTGTGTGTGTGGAGCAATGGATGAAGGTTGCCTGGTCTGATGAATCCGTTTTGTGTGCATAGTTTACCTGGGCAAGAGATGGCAGCAGGATGCACTATGGGAAGAAGACAGGCTGGCAAGAGGCAAGGTTATGCTCTGGACAAAGTTCTGCTGGGAAACCTTGGGTCATGGCATTCATGTGGATGTTACTTTGACACGCACCACCTACCTGGAGATTGTTGCAGGTCATGTACACCCCTTCATGACAGTGGTGTTCCCTAATGGCAGTTTCCTCTTTCAGCAGTATAATGCACTCTGCATGAATGGTTTGAGGAACATGACAAATAGTTCAAGGTGTTGCCTTGGACTCTAAATTCTCCAGATTTCAATCCAATTGAACATCTGTAGGATGTGCTGGAACAACAAATCTGATCCATGGAGGCCCTTCCTCACAACTTGCAGGATTTAAAGCATCTGCTGCTAATATCTTGGTGCCAGATACCACAGGACACGTTCAGAGGTCTTGTGGAGTCCATGCCATGAGTCATCAAAGCTGTGTTGGCAGCATGAGGGTGGACCTTCACAATATTAGGCAGGTGATTTTATTGTTGTGGCTGATCAGGGTATTCAGAAGCAGATACATGTATGAAGCAATAAGGAATCCAAAGAGACCCATTGACGGAGAATGGCTAATCACTCATATTGGATAATCAGAGAAACACAAACCCAATCAGACACTAAAAAGAACACTCTGATAAAATAAAAATAAGGCATATGGAGTAAGTGCAGCAATGTCTGTGATCTTCCAATTTATTGCATCACATAGAAAAGGTTTGGATACGCACAGCATCTGGTACCACCATACTTTATTACCAGTTATTCAATCTGTGTCAGTCTGGAAACCCGAGTGGGCATGGAAATCACAAAATGGAAACTACTGTTTCACACAAATGGTACAGTATTCAAAACTACCTTATCAAGACAGCATGATCTTCGTGTTTAGACTGTTCCTTCGGTCTTCCGGTCGTATCCAGGAACCATCCATTCTTCTAGATTTTTTATTTGGCTCAAGCCATACTCTAGGGGGCAGTAAAGTATAGAATACAGATCACGCAAAGTGGTATTGTTCATAACACAAGCTGTGTGAAAGGTGATGTCTCAAACAGTTTGACTACTTACCTTGGGAGGGTACCAGGTCATGTCTGGCACAATAACCACTTCACCAGGTTGTAATGGTTATGGTGCTTAAAGTGTTCTTTTAATCCTTTAAATAAAAATAATTTTTGCAAAGAAAGCTCGTCATCTTTAGTAAATTGTGCACCTAAGAGATACCGTGCAGAGTTATAGAGTTACCCAATGTATCCCCTTTTCTTGGTTGCTAGAATGCATCACTGTACTTTTGAGCAATACAGGCATCTGTACCATGCTCAAGGAGGGTGAGGGAAATGTTATACACAATTCATCTGAACCATGCACAAGGAGGGAGAGGGAAATGTTATACACTATCCGTCTGTACCATGCACAAGGAGGGAGAGAAAAATGTTACACACTATCCATCTGTACCATGCACAAGGAGGGAGAGAGAAATGTTATACACTATCCGTCTGTACCATGCACAAGGAGGCAGAGAGAAATGTTATACACTATCCGACTGTACCATGCACAAGGAGGCAGAGGGAAATGTTATACACTATCCGTCTGTACCAAGCACAAGGAGGGAGAGGGAAATGTTATACACTATCCGTCTGTACCATGCACAAGGAGGCAGAGAGAAATGTTATACACTATCCGACTGTACCATGCACAAGGAGGGAGAGGGAAATGTTATACACTATCCGTCTGTACCATGCACAAGGAGGGAGAGGGAAATGTTATACACTATCCGTCTGTACCATGCACAAGGAGGGAGAGGGAAATGTTATACACTATCCGTCTGTACCATGCACAAGGAGGGAGAGGGAAATGTTATACACTATCCGTCTGTACCATGCACAAGGAGGGTGAGGGAAATGTTATACACTATCCGTCTGTACCATGCACAAGGAGGGTGAGAGAAATGTTATACACTATCCGTCTGTACCATGCACAAGGAGGGTGAGAGAAATGTTATACACTATCCGTCTGTACCATGCACAAGGAGGGAGAGGGAAATGTTATACACTATCCGTCTGTACCATGCACAAGGAGCATGAGGGAAATGTTATACACTATCCGTCTGTACCATGCACAAGGAGGGAGAGGGAAATGTTATACACTATCCGTCTGTGCCATGCACAAGGAGAGAGAGAGAAATGTTATACACCATCCGTCTGTACCATGCACAAGGAGGGTGAGGGAAATGTTATACACCATCCGTCTGTACCATGCACAAGGAGGGTGAGGGAAATGTTATACACTATCCGTCTGTACCATGCACAAGGAGCATGAGGGAAATGTTATACACTATCCGTCTGTACCATGCACAAGGAGGGAGAGGGAAATGTTATACACTATCCGTCTGTACCATGCACAAGGAGCATGAGGGAAATGTTATACACTATCCGTCTGTACCATGCACAAGGAGGGAGAGGGAAATGTTATACACCATCCGTCTGTACCATGCACAAGGAGGGTGAGGGAAATGTTATACACTATCTGTCTGTACCATGCACAAGGAGGGAGAGAGAAATGTTATACACTATCCGTCTGTACCATGCACAAGGAGGGAGAGGAAAATGTTATACACTATCCGTCTGTACCATGCACAAGGAGCATGAGGGAAATGTTATACACTATCCGTCTGTACCGTGCACAAGGAGGGAGAGGGAAATGTTATACACTATCCGTCTGTACCATGCACAAGGAGGGTGAGAGAAATGTTATACACTATCCGTCTGTACCATGCACAAGGAGGGTAAGGGAAACGTTATACACTATCCGGCTCAAAATTACGCACAAGGAGGAAATGTTATATTAATTATCGTCGGTACCATGCAACACGGAGCAATGAGGGAAATGTTATACACTATCCGGCCTGTACCACGCAACAAGGAAAGGGCAGAGAGAAATGTTATGCCACCAATCCGCCTGTACCATGCACAAGGAGGCAGAAAATGTTATACACTATCCGGCCTGTACCATGCAATGAGGGTGAGAGAGAGAAATGTTATACACCGCCCTGTACCATGCACAAGGAGGGAGAGGGAAATGTTATACACTATCCGTCTGTACCATGCACAAGGAGGATGAGGGAAATGTTATACACTATCCGTCTGTACCATGCACAAGGAGGGTGAGAGAAATGTTATACACTATCCGTCTGTACCATGCACAAGGAGGGTGAGAGAAATGTTATACACTATCCGTCTGTACCATGCACAAGGAGGGAGAGGGAAATGTTATACACTATCCGACTGTACCATGCACAAGGAGTGAGAGAGAAATGTTATACACTATCCGTCTGTACCATGCACAAGGAGGGAGAGGGAAATGTTATACACTATCCGACTGTACCATGCACAAGGAGGGAGAGAGAAATGTTTTACACCATCCGTCTGTACCATGCACAAGGAGGGTGAGAGAAATGTTATACACTATCCATCTGTACCATGCACAAGGAGGGAGAGGGAAATGTTATACACCATCGGCCCGTACCCTACGCAATTTCAGCGAAAGAGTAAACGCCGCGCCACCATCCGGCCCGGTACCATGCACAAAGGAGGTGAGGTGGGAAATGTTATACACCGTCCGTTCAGCCCATGCAGCCGCGAGTGGTGGGAGGGAAATGTTAAGGGCCAACACTATCCGTCTGTACCATGCACAAGGAGGGTGAGGGAAATGTTATACACTATCTGTCTGTACCATGCACAAGGAGGGAGAGAGAAATGTTATACACTATCCGTCTGTACCATGCACAAGGAGGCAGAGAGAAATGTTATACACTATCCGTCTGTACCATGCACAAAGAGGCAGAGAGAAATGTTATACACTATCCATCTGTACCATGCACAAGGAGGGGGAGGGAAATGTTATACACTATCTGGCTGTACCATGCACAAGGAGGGAGAGAGAAATGTTATACACTATCCGTCTGTACCATGCACAAGGAGGGTGAGAGAAATGTTATACACTATCCGTCTGTACCATGCACAAGGAGGGAGAGGGAAATGTTATACACTATCCGTCTGTACCATGCACAAGGAGCATGAGGGAAATGTTATACACTATCCGTCTGTACCATGCACAAGGAGCATGAGGGAAATGTTATACACTATCCGTCTGTACCATGCACAAGGAGCATGAGGGAAATGTTATACACTATCCGTCTGTGCCATGCACAAGGAGAGAGAGAGAAATGTTATACACCATCCGACTGTACCATGCACAAGGAGGGAGAGAGAAATGTTATACACTATCCGTCTGTACCATGCACAAGGAGGGTGAGAGAAATGTTATACACCATCCGTCTGTACCATGCACTAGAAGGGTGAGGGAAATGTTATACACTATCTGTCTGTACCTTGCACAAGGAGGGTGAGGGAAATGTTATACACCATCCGTCTGTACCATGCACAAGGAGGGTGAGGGAAATGTTATACACTATCTGTCTGTACCATGCACAAGGAGGGAGAGAGAAATGTTATACACTATCCGTCTGTACCATGCACAAGGAGGCAGAGAGAAATGTTATACACTATCCGTCTGTACCATGCACAAGGAGGGTGAGAGAAATGTTATACACTATCCGTCTGTACCATGCACAAGGAGGGAGAGGGAAATGTTATACACTATCCGTCTGTACCATGCACAAGGAGGGTGAGAGAAATGTTATACACCATCCGTCTGTACCATGCACAAGGAGGGTGAGGGAAATGTTATACACTATCCGTCTGTACCATGCACAAGGAGCATGAGGGAAATGTTATACACTATCCGTCTGTACCATGCACAAGGAGGGAGAGGGAAATGTTATACACTATCCGTCTGTACCATGCACAAGGAGCATGAGGGAAATGTTACACACTATCCGTCTGTACCATGCACAAGGAGGGTGAGAGAAATGTTATACACTATCCGTCTGTACCATGCACAAGGAGCATGAGGGAAATGTTATACACTATCCGTCTGTACCATGCACAAGGAGGGAGAGGGAAATGTTATACACCATCCGTCTGTACCATGCACAAGGAGGGAGAGGGAAATGTTATACACTATCCGTCTGTGCCATGCACAAGGAGGGTGAGGGAAATGTTATACACTATCCGTCTGTACCATGCACAAGGAGGGAGAGGGAAATGTTATACACCATCCGTCTGTACCATGCACAAGGAGGGAGAGGGAAATGTTATACACTATCCGTCTGTACCATGCACAAGGAGGGTGAGGGAAATGTTATACACTATCTGGTCTGTACCATGCACAAGGAGGGAGAGAGAAATGTTATACACTATCCGTCTGTACCATGCACAAGGAGGAGAGAGAAATGTTATACACTATCCGTCTGTACCATGCACAAGGAGGGAGAGGGAAATGTTATACACTATCCGTCTGTACCATGCACAAGGAGGGTGAGGGAAATGTTATACACTATCCGTCTGTACCATGCACAAGGAGCATGAGGGAAATGTTATACACTATCCGTCTGTACCATGCACAAGGAGGGAGAGAGAAATGTTATACACTATCCGACTGTACCATGCACAAGGAGGGTAAGGGAAATGTTATACACTATCCGTCTGTACCATGCACAAGGAGGGAGAGGGAAATGTTATACACTATCCGTCTGTACCATGCACAAGGAGCATGAGGGAAATGTTATACACTATCCGTCTGTACCATGCACAAGGAGGGAGAGGGAAATGTTATACACTATCCGTCTGTGCCATGCACAAGGAGCATGAGGGAAATGTTATATACTCTCCGTCTGTACCATGCACAAGGAGCATGAGGGAAATGTTATACACTATCCGTCTGTGCCATGCACAAGGAGAGAGAGAGAAATGTTATACACCATCCGACTGTACCATGCACAAGGAGGGAGAGAGAAATGTTATACACTATCCGTCTGTACCATGCACAAGGAGCATGAGGGAAATGTTATACACTATCCGTCTGTACCATGCACAAGGAGGGAGAGGGAAATGTTATACACTATCCGTCTGTACCATGCACAAGGAGGGAGAGGGAAATGTTATACACTATCCGTCTGTACCATGCACAAGGAGGGTGAGGGAAATGTTATACACTATCCGTCTGTACCATGCACAAGGAGGGAGAGGGAAATGTTATACACCATCCGTCTGTACCATGCACAAGGAGGGAGAGGGAAATGTTATACACCATCCGTCTGTACCATGCACAAGGAGGGTGAGGGAAATGCGCCAAGTACACTATCCGACCAAATTACGCACAAGGAGCATGAGGGAAAATGTTACACTATCCGGCCTGTACCATGCGCACAAGGAGCAGGCTGAGAGGAAATGTTATACACTCATCCGCCTGTACCATGCACAAGGAGTGAGTAGGAATGTTATACACTATCCGACTGTACCATGCACAAGGAGGTGGGTAAGTGGAAACGTTATACACCACATCCGCCTGTACCATGCAATGCTGAGGGAGAGGGAAATGTTATACACTATCCGGCCTGTACCCATGCACATGGAGCATGAGGTGGAAATGTTATACACTATCCGTCTGTACCATGCACAAGGAGCAGAGAGAGAAATGTTATACACCATCCGGCTCTGTACCATGCAGAGAGAAATGTTACGCCAATTATCCGCCTGTACCATGCACAAGGAGTGGGTGAGGAGAAATGTTATACACTATCCGCCTGTACCATGCAATAAGTGAGGGAGAGGGAAATGTTATACACTATCCGTCTGTACCATGCACAAGGAGCATGAGGGAAATGTTATACACTATCCGTCTGTACCATGCACAAGGAGGGTGAGAGAAATGTTATACACTATCCGTCTGTACCATGCACAAGGAGGGTGAGAGAAATGTTATACACTATCCGTCTGTACCATGCACAAGGAGGGAGAGGGAAATGTTATACACTATCCGACTGTACCATGCACAAGGAGTGAGAGAGAAATGTTATACACTATCCGTCTGTACCATGCACAAGGAGGGAGAGGGAAATGTTATACACTATCCGACTGTACCATGCACAAGGAGGGAGAGAGAAATGTTTTACACCATCCGTCTGTACCATGCACAAGGAGGGTGAGAGAAATGTTATACACTATCCATCTGTACCATGCACAAGGAGGGAGAGGGAAATGTTATACACTATCGGTCTGTACCATGCACAAGGAGGGTGAGGGAAATGTTATACACTATCCGTCTGTACCATGCACAAGGAGGGTGAGGGAAATGTTATACACCGTCCGGCCTGTACCATGCACAAGGAGGGTGAGGGAAATGTTATACACTATCCGTCTGTACCATGCACAAGGAGGGTGAGGGAAATGTTATACACTATCTGTCTGTACCATGCACAAGGAGGGAGAGAGAAATGTTATACACTATCCGTCTGTACCATGCACAAGGAGGCAGAGAGAAATGTTATACACTATCCGTCTGTACCATGCACAAAGAGGCAGAGAGAAATGTTATACACTATCCATCTGTACCATGCACAAGGAGGGGGAGGGAAATGTTATACACTATCTGGCTGTACCATGCACAAGGAGGGAGAGAGAAATGTTATACACTATCCGTCTGTACCATGCACAAGGAGGGTGAGAGAAATGTTATACACTATCCGTCTGTACCATGCACAAGGAGGGAGAGGGAAATGTTATACACTATCCGTCTGTACCATGCACAAGGAGCATGAGGGAAATGTTATACACTATCCGTCTGTACCATGCACAAGGAGCATGAGGGAAATGTTATACACTATCCGTCTGTACCATGCACAAGGAGCATGAGGGAAATGTTATACACTATCCGTCTGTGCCATGCACAAGGAGAGAGAGAGAAATGTTATACACCATCCGACTGTACCATGCACAAGGAGGGAGAGAGAAATGTTATACACTATCCGTCTGTACCATGCACAAGGAGGGTGAGAGAAATGTTATACACCATCCGTCTGTACCATGCACTAGAAGGGTGAGGGAAATGTTATACACTATCTGTCTGTACCTTGCACAAGGAGGGTGAGGGAAATGTTATACACCATCCGTCTGTACCATGCACAAGGAGGGTGAGGGAAATGTTATACACTATCTGTCTGTACCATGCACAAGGAGGGAGAGAGAAATGTTATACACTATCCGTCTGTACCATGCACAAGGAGGCAGAGAGAAATGTTATACACTATCCGTCTGTACCATGCACAAGGAGGGTGAGAGAAATGTTATACACTATCCGTCTGTACCATGCACAAGGAGGGAGAGGGAAATGTTATACACTATCCGTCTGTACCATGCACAAGGAGGGTGAGAGAAATGTTATACACCATCCGTCTGTACCATGCACAAGGAGGGTGAGGGAAATGTTATACACTATCCGTCTGTACCATGCACAAGGAGGATGAGGGAAATGTTATACACTATCCGTCTGTACCATGCACAAGGAGGGAGAGGGAAATGTTATACACTATCCGTCTGTACCATGCACAAGGAGCATGAGGGAAATGTTACACACTATCCGTCTGTACCATGCACAAGGAGGGTGAGAGAAATGTTATACACTATCCGTCTGTACCATGCACAAGGAGGAAATGAGAGGAAATGTTATACACCATCCGTCTGTACCATGCACAAGGAGGGTGAGGGAAATGTTATACACTATCCGTCTGTACCATGCACAAGGAGGGAGAGGAAATGTTATACACTATCCGTCTGTGCCATGCACAAGGAGAGAGAGAGAAATGTTATACACCATCCGTCTGTACCATGCACAAGGAGGGTGAGGGAAATGTTATACACCATCCGTCTGTACCATGCACAAGGAGTGAGGGAAATGTTATACACTATCCGTCTGTACCATGCACAAGGAGCATGAGGGAAATGTTATACACTATCCGTCTGTACCATGCACAAGGAGGGAGAGAGAAATGTTATACACTATCCGACTGTACCATGCACAAGGAGGGTAAGGGAAATGTTATACACTATCCGTCTGTACCATGCACAAGGAGGGAGAGGGAAATGTTATACACTATCCGTCTGTACCATGCACATGGAGCATGAGGGAAATGTTATACACTATCCGTCTGTACCATGCACAAGGAGGGAGAGGGAAATGTTATACACTATCCGTCTGTGCCATGCACAAGGAGCATGAGGGAAATGTTATATACTCTCCGTCTGTACCATGCACAAGGAGCATGAGGGAAATGTTATACACTATCCGTCTGTGCCATGCACAAGGAGAGAGAGAGAAATGTTATACACCATCCGACTGTACCATGCACAAGGAGGGAGAGAGAAATGTTATACACTATCCGTCTGTACCATGCACAAGGAGCATGAGGGAAATGTTATACACTATCCGTCTGTACCATGCACAAGGAGGGAGAGGGAAATGTTATACACTATCCGTCTGTACCATGCACAAGGAGGGAGAGGGAAATGTTACACACTATCCGTCTGTACCATGCACAAGGAGGGTGAGGGAAATGTTATACACCATCCGTCTGTACCATGCACAAGGAGGGTGAGGGAAATGTTACACACTATCCGTCTGTACCATGCACAAGGAGGGAGAGAGAAATGTTATACACCATCCGTCTGTACCATGCACAAGGAGCATGAGGGAAATGTTATACACTATCCGACTGTACCATGCACAAGGAGCATGAGGGAAATGTTATACACTATCCGTCTGTACCATGCACAAGGAGAGAGAGAGAAATGTTATACACCATCCGTCTGTACCATGCACAAGGAGGATGAGAGAAATGTTATACACTATCCGTCTGTACCATGCACAAGGAGTGTGAGGGAAATGTTATACACTATCCGTCTGTACCATGCACAAGGAGGGAGAGAGAAATGTTATACACTATCCGTCTGTACCATGCACAAGGAGCATGAGGGAAATGTTATACACTATCCGTCTGTACCATGCACAAGGTGGGTGAGAGAAATGTTATACACTATCCGTCTGTACCATGCACAAGGAGGGAGAGGGAAATGTTATACACTATCCGTCTGTACCATGCACAAGGAGGGAGAGGGAAATGTTACACACTATCCGTCTGTACCATGCACAAGGAGGGTGAGGGAAATGTTATACACTATCCGTCTGTACCATGCAGAGAGACTGAGAGAAGAGCCAGTAGAGCGAATGTTGGGATGTATTCATTAGATTCAATTTTCCTGAGTATAAAAAAAAAAGTTTAAAAAAAAAGAAAGAAGCAGAAATTCAAAACATCTAGAGCAACATAAATGGTAATTATTGAATGTGTTCTACTACTAATAAGATGAGTTAGAATTGATAAGATCCCCTATCTGCAGTAAGAAAAGTACAAAAGAGTACTTATGTCAGATTCTGAAGGTCTTATAACCGCCCCGGTCATGTCCTTGCTAGTGTGCTATCCATAAAGTTAGAAGGATACTTTTATCTTGAGCTAGGAATCTCATTGAATATGAATCAGATAAATTGAATTATACATGTTTTCTCTAACCAGCTTGCCTTTGATCAACCTATTTATATGACATCTGTTCAAAGCAGAATGCCAGAGAGACAGCTCCGGTGACGCAAGTTCGGTCTCCCTCTGAAACATGTGAATCCCGTTATTAATCCCTAAAATATAGGCATAGAGAAGACAAACGTCTGAATGAAAGCTGTCAATCATTGCTTGAGTGTTAAAGAATAAGATATGGAAATAAATGCTGTATGCATGATGATGAAAAGAATCTATTAGCATATTAAAAATGTATTCATTATACTGGTAATCATGGAGAATGGGCAAGACGAATAACAAACCGGAGGCCAAAATAAAAATGATTATTTACTTTTGTAAATCAATCTTTATTAGACTTTTACATTTAAGAAAAAGGGCTACAGAAAAGAAAAAAAGGAGGAGGGGGGAACACCCGCGGGAGGAGAAAATCATTTGTTTTAATGTTGACAAGCGCTAACTCTCAGTGTCTCAAAAAGGGGAACGGAAAAAGAGGTAGAAGTGTAGGGGGTGGCGCCAGAAGAATCTCTCCTCTGTCTGCCCAGAATGGTGTACCAGGTTAGCATGTGTATCTGTGTATTCCTGGGTTTTTTTACTACATGACCACCACATCTTATGTCAGATCTGTGTAAGGATCACGCACCACACGTGGATAAAGGAAACTAGGACGGTGAAGATATAAAGTCCTCCGATACGGAGAGCACTATCCAATGTGTCCAAAAACTCATGTATGTCTGGTCCTTCCCTGATGCGGCAAAGATCAGGTCTTCCATAGAGCAAAGTTCCTCCATAACTGAATTCCATAGTTTTAGAGGGGGGAGGTCAGCTGCCTCTAGTACAGGGGAATGAGGCTCGTCAAATACTTTTTTTTTGAAGATTTAAAATATTTTCAGAAACAAAATAATATATAACAATAATAACATTAAAAAAAACTTTGGACTCAAAAGTACAATAGCTATTCAATAATATACAATATATATATACAATTATACAATAATTGAGTTATACAGTGGGTGATACCGTTCAGTGAAAGAAGAACCAATCTTCTATGATGAGCAGTGCTGTATTTATAGAGTGGCTAACAAGGATTTTGGCTTGGGTGGCACTTTAAAAAGGGTAGCAAAAAATGCCTCCACGATGCCCTGACAGATGCCTTGTTGGCCTTGATTCATGGGTGAGCAAGGGTTTTGAGGGTAAGGACGAAGAGCAGCGGTGACAACAGGTAACTTTGTCAAGTACCAATATGTATCTCAAAGGAATCCATGAAAGCCCTGTTGACACATGGTGAAGAGAAAGGTCCAGTTAACTTGGTTAAGGGCCTTCTCAGTCAGTAGACAGTAGGAGAAGGCCATGGGATTCCGTCTTAGCTTGGTAAATCAGATCGAGCACCTGAATAGTGTTGTTTTTCACCCCTATTTACGGCATGGTCCTCATGAATGAGTGAGTTCAGGTGTGACTTTAAACGCATGGCCAGTATCTTTGTGAAAAAGTTTTATGTCACAATTTAAAAGAGAAATTGGGCAATAGTAGGCACAGGGCCTACTCCTTGCCCTCTTTAGCTCTTTGGGGATAATAGTAATATCGGCTGACAATTTTTGTTTTGGGATAGTCCTGCCCTCCAGGATTGCTTTGAACGCCATGACAAAGCGAGGGTAGAGGGTGACGCAATTTTTTAATAATATTGTCAGGCTGTCAGGTCCAGAACTTTTGCTCGTCTATGTAGCCTTGACCTCCAGGGCTAGTTCTTCCTCAGTAAGAGGGTCTTATAAGAGTTGGGCATCTGTAATGCAAAGTCTTTGTTGGTATGTGACTGGAGGTAATTATCCATCTGCATCTCACAACTTGCCAATGTATGTGGGCGCTCTGCGTTTAGCTATCATTTTAGCCAGGATAACACCACATTTATCAACATTTGTGAAAAAAGGCTTTGGATCTAGTGAGGGCTCTATTAACCTAATAAAAATAGTGGCCTTTGCTACCCAGTTGGCAGAGCTGAGTTGATTTTATTTAAATTTCCAAATGATATTTGAAAAATACATTTGCCAACAGTGTTTACAGAGAAATGAGGCCATTAGTCAGTGTCACATATAACAAGGTTCTCGTCCGATGGCTAAGATTTTCATTGACAAAGGATTACATCTGATTTATAGAAACATCACTGGGAGAATTCCACTGACATTATTGGCTGTGTTCTATGGGATTCCTATAACACTGCGCTCATTGACCTATGTGTAATCACTTACACATTGAAACAAAATGTAATTAATCTAATAAATCTTCCAGCTGATAGGACGCCAACAGCGACTGCACTTCTCAAGGGAAAATCCCCAGGAATGTTAATCCACGCAATCTTATAGCAATCATTTTCTGTTTTGTGTTGTCACCTGTTTTCGTTTAAAGAGCAACTGTCATCAAATTTTCACTTCTTGTTTTTTAAAAGTTTATTACATTTAATTGAAGTTGATATATATATATATATATTTATTTTTTAACAAATGTATATTGATTTGCGATATTTAGATTTTTTCTTTAAATTCACTTTTATTTTTCTGACTGAGCGGCCATGTTGGGTCATACTTTACCGAAATCTGACCAACTGCTGCTCAACCTAATTTGCAGGTGCCGCAGGTACACACAGAGCAATCACAGCAGGAGGCAAGCTAGGTTGAACAGCAGTTGGTCAGAAAGCGGTAGTATAAAAACATGGTTGACTTGGATAAATTTTCCGATTTGTCAATTTTGTTTGAAAAAGTGAATTTTTAAAATTTACTTTGAATTCACTTTGGATCCTGACAACTCATGCTTTACGGGATTATTTATTAAAGACTGAATTTTCGCAAATTTAATTTGAATCCCAAAACTTGACTAAAGCCAAGATGGAGATTTTTATCCCCAAATCAGATATTTACCCTCAACCCTGCCATTTGGATTTAACGTGCTAAAATGATTAATGCTTTCAGTATCTTGAATCGATCTCCTGGTGTTCATCCACTAAACACTAATTTGTAGTGAATTAAAATCAAAACTGGAAAATTTCAGCGGCACCTGACCAACTTTGAGTGTAACGGACAAGGGGAACATTGTCTGGAACTGAGAGTGAATTTGAAATATAAATTAAATTAAAATATAAATTAAAATTAATAATGGAACTGGAAGTATTACTAATTACTAAAAAAAAATTCACTTTAAAATCTCACTTTACTGAATTAACATGTCACAGTTTTAGTCAAAATTTTGCAATTTGCTTTACATTACAATAGCGTGCACTAGAGTGTGACTTCTTAGGAATTAAAGAGTCACTCCAAGCCAAGCATCATGACCACTATAAGGGTTTGAAGTGGTCATGGTGTCTGGACGCCGTATGTGTAGTATTTTATTGGTTTAACCCCTGGAAGTGTAGCTCCACATCCGCCACATTATTGGGCCACCATTAGGTAGCCTGGAACACGGGTTCTGGGTTGGCTGATATGCATTCTGTTCTAATTTGGGATCTGATACAATCACACACAGCATGATGGCGCCAGATAGCAAATTGCGGCATGGCACCCACACCGTGTCTCCCATTTATTCCCCTCGGCCTGCCATCCGTCCCCCCTTAGGAAGGGGGAGTAATGTCTGCTGAGGAGGATTGGGGTGCAGGGAGGATTTGACCTTAACACTGGAACGGAAATTATTTAGTAAATACTTTTTTTTTTTTTTTTTTACTTTTTTGAGGGGTGGTGAGGACCAGTATAGTAAGATTTACTCTGATCGAAAACAGTGTTTTTTAAAACATTGTCTTTTTCTGTTTTAGTAACTTTAGCTTTAATATTATTTAGTTGTATTCACTTTCAATTCCGAACACATCTCTCTTCAGTAAATAACCCTGTCAGAACGTGTTTATAGGAGGTAAACAAAATGTAGTTATTACAAGCATGCTGACATAGAAATCAAGTTCACGGCAGGTCACGTGTACGGTGTAAGATCCTGAACACCATTAAATCTACGGAGAGAGAATCAGTACACGATGGTCTCAGGTAGCAGTGATTTACAATGTGACAACTGCAGCTGTTTACTGTAACAATTTCAAAATCGATCCCTGTGTCATGTTGTTACAGGAGAAATGAGTTGCTAATATTACTTGAGTTGTGAACAGAGCCCAATGCTGAGGATTCTGGGAGAGATTAGTTCAATTTATTGACATGGGTTTTTGTTCGCTGTCCAGGGAACTATGGGAGTTGGTAAAGGAATCAAACATTTTACGCCAGAATGGCTGAGTTTGAAAAATAGCTGATGTGGAAAGTTTTTCCAAATTGACCATATTGGCCTAAAATTTATAAACCCCCTCGTCAGTCTACAAATTTATAATACAGATTAAGGAACAGCACACTCATACAGATTAAGATTAGTGACCCACCACTACGCCACAGTACCCCAATATCGGTGGGCCCTACACTAATTCCAACGTGGGAGACAAATTAAATAGTGCTAAATAAGATAAAGTATATTTAAATAATCTGTTGCAAGAGCAATGTAAATATATATAATGCAAAATTAATATGATAAGCGCAATTAAGAAAAATGCAGTGTAAAAACTAAACAATTAAAGTGATAGTGCTTCTATGCATATACTCACAATGCATATCATATAGCTACTCAATGGAAACTATAATTAAAGTGACATTACTATCCAAAACCACCTCAAATGTAATTTGTCTCCCACGTTGGAATTGGGGTACAGGGAAGTAGTGGTGGGCTTAACACAATATGGCCGTATGGTGGAACTGAATCCCCATATTTGTTTGCTGAGATGGGCGAGTTTAACCCCTTAAGGACACATGACGGAAATATTCCGTCATGATTCCCTTTTATTCCAGAAGTTGTGTCTTTAAGGGGTTAAGTAGCCTCATAAAAATTGAAACTGTATTTTTATGTGTACTCTGTTCCTTAATCAGGCCCTGGGGAGATTATCACGCGGGGCCACGCGGGGCACAGCTGTGTCGCCTTTGGGTGCTGGAGGGAGGTCCTCCCTGGGTTCTGGTTTGTCCTCTGGGGACGAGGGTCAGCCGGGGGGGAGTCTGTCCGGGGTCACGGCGACGTCCAGGGTCACCGGACCCCGGCACTTAATTCAGCTGATTCGGCCTCTGCGGGATGATCTGGCGGTCTGGGACTCCTTCCTGGCTGCCTATAACAGCAGGTCCTACTGGCTGGCGCCGGAGGTCTCTAACACGGACCTACACCTCTTCACGGATACGGCGGGCTTGGTTGGATTTGGGGTGATTCTGGGCTCTAGATGTGTGCTGCCTCTTGGCCGGACAGTTGGCATGTCTCTGGCCTCACTAGGAATCTGACTTTCCTAGAGCTCTTCCCCATTCTAGTTGTGCTGGAGGTTTGGAGGTCCCAGTTTCACTGTGACAATCTGGGGTTGGTTCAAGCTATCAATCGGCTGACGGGCTCCTCCCCTCCAGTAGTTCGCTCGCTTAGGCGATTGGTGCTCCGATGTTTGTCTAAATGTGTATTGTAGGTCGGAGCATATACCTGGTGTTCACAATGTAATGGCGGATGCTCTCTCTCGTTCGCAGTGGTCGGAATTCCGGCTGGTCGCCCCGCAGGCGGATATGGAGGGGATCTGTGCCCAATGTGGTCGCTTGGTCTGGCATATTAATGGAATAAGTCCGTGGGTCAGTCTCCAGGGCCACGTGGACTCGATTCAGTAAGGTATGGTGTGAATAGGACAAATGGGAGCATGATCAGGGTGGTTTTGGTAACTCAGCTGAGCACCTCTCAGTGCTTTTGCAGCTCTTGGATCACTGGGAGTCCACGGGTAAGTCCCCCTCTGCAATCTCCTCACGTTTTTCGCGCCTCAGCATCCTGTTCAAGCTACGTGGGTGGGAAGATTCTACCAAGGTGTTTGTAGTGTGCCAGGCTCTGAAAGGCTTGAGGCGGCAGATTGCTTCCGCGGATGCGAGAAGACCAGTCTCTGCTGTCCTCCTAACAAGATTGTGTGGGGTGCTCCCCCTTGTCCCGTCTATTTGCTCTGGCCTATTCCCTGGCATTCTTTGGGGCTATGCACTTTGGGGAATTGGTGAGCCTTACTTACTGCAGTGGTGGGGTGTTGTTTGCCGATGTTCAGTGCGCTGCGGATCATATCGCATTTAAGATCCGATGCTCGAAGATGGATGTGATGGGAAGATGTATAAGTGGGTTCTTTTAGGTGCTGTACCAGGTTTGGCTATTTGCCCCGTTTCTTCCTTTAAGGAGTACTGTGAGCTGCGCCCGATATCCACGGGCCCTCTTTTGGTACATGTGGATGAGAGCTTTCTATCTCATTTCCAATTTATTCGGGTCTTTCGCTCGGGGCTGGAAGTCCTGGGGATTGACAGCAAGAAATATTGTGGGCATTCCTTTCAGATTGGCGCTGCCACAAAGACTAGGCTGGGTATGCCGGCGCAAGAGGTTCAGAGGATCGGGAGGTGGAAATCTGGGTGTTTTTGTCTCATATGTTTGTCCTTCCGGCTTCCTGAATTGATGTTTCTCTCCGCAGGTACAACTCTCTCCAGGATCTGGGTGATCGGGCACTCGTATGTATTCTGGGCCAGAAGGCCAAGAGGCGCCAAAATTCGTTGGTTTGGCGCCAGAGGTATGAAATGGGTTCGGCTCCTCCCGGAGCTGGTTCAGCTGTCCCACCGTCTGGGTGCTCCAAGCGTTGTAGTATCCACCTGGGGGGTAATGATCTTGGGACAATGCCTATATGGGGGTTGGCGGATGCTATTAAGTGGGACTTGGCGCGCATCTTGGTTCTGTTTCCTGACGTACAACTCATTTGGTCGGAGGTCATTTACCATAACTACAGCCAGTGGGCCCATAATCAAAGAACCATGGAACGCTGCCGTATAAAACTAAATAAGAGGGTCTCTAAGTTCATCTTGGGGGTTAAAAGGATTCCGGTTTGCCACAGGGTGTTCGAACGGGAGGCAGCCAATTTGTTTCTTGAGTGGTTTGGGTGGGGCCCCCTTTGATTTTAGGCTTAAAACAGCGTGGTTGTGGCAGGGGGCGTGTCATTGTCAATAAGCTATTACATTGAGTGTCAGAATATGGACAAGGTCGGGTCTCAACCTCCCCTGCTCTGTAAGGTAAACTTTTAATTTGCCGCCTTGGACGTTCCCACCGAGTTAAAAGCCGGCTAGTGGTAAGCATTAAAAGGAAAAGGGAATTTGGTTTGGACGAGGGGGGAGGCGAGAACCCAGTGGGCAAGTTGGTGCATAGGCATGTGGTCTCGTTCATTGGCAAGGACGTTTATTTAAAGTCTGTAGGGCCTAGGTGTTAATTTATATGTTAAGTTATGGATTATTTATGTATTTATCTCTGGTTATAATTAAATAATAAAGTTAATAAATGTTGGATGAGTCCTACAGTCTTATGTTTAATAAATGCTGTGGCCTGTTTCATCCAAAATTCGGTGTCTGTCGTTAATGGTGGATATTTGGGGTAGGCGCCATTATTCTTATTTGCACCTCATTCTCCACTACGTCCATACATGTATTATGTATTAATTTTGTTCTCCACAGCACCATTCCTGCTAGATGCTCTGGGTGTGCCCCCAATTTCCTTTTTTGACTCTACAGATTTCGGCCAAAATAGAATTAATTCAAATATAGCTGAATTGGATTTTTTTTTAATTGAGGCAGTAAAGTGCCCCTTTAATATGTGATAAACCTTTATACATAACATCCTCTATATTTCAAAACACTGTTATTCACAACAAAAATATAGCTTCAGTTTGATTCCCAATTCCTTTTTTTTTGAACAGGTTTGTTTGAATTGTCTATACATTTTTTTCCCAAATATATTCAGGTAAGTTTGTTTGTTTACTCAATATATAGATAGTATAATTATCACCATAATTAAAGTAGTACATACAGACTGACAGCGCCATGTTTGCAATGTGTGACAGGTGAACTTTAAATCATTTGAGTGTTTTATTTGTAAATATATGCCAGGTCCCTGCTGTGATCATAACACATTTTTGTGATTTCCTAAGAAAAAGACTCACTGATCTGCTTGTTCTGTCTCTTTAAGCCTTTTTCAGTACTGTGTATCTGATTGTAAAACAATGCGAGATTAATAGATTTGTTATGAAACGTGCTTCGTCACGTGTGTGTTTTTGCACGCAAGCAGAATGTGTTTAAATATTTGCTCCACGCAGCCCACAGATATGTCAGGAATGTGGATAGGCTGGAGATGATATAATCTTTCTATCTAACAATCAGAACATAAACAATGAGGCTCCACCCACAGTGTCTCCGAAAACAATAGAGTGGGCTACTGACTGTGATGGGCTAGTGGCATTTGCGGCTCCCACATTCCTTAATGAATGTGATTTGTGAAGTAAAACAGAACAAATGAGCATCAATGTTTGTGTGTTTGCGTGTCTGTGTGTTTGTGTGTTTGTATGTTTGTATGTTTGTGTGTTTGTGTGTTTGCATGTTTGTATGTTTGTATGTTTGTGTGTTTGTGTGTTTGTACATGGATGTATCCTGACAATCTGTTCTACTGTTCTATTAAAATGAACGGAGTGACCTATTATTCTATTGTAATATAATATAAACAAAGTAAAACATTTCATTAGACTCTTTTTCTGTGTATGGGGTCTGTATAGTTTTGATTATTACAGTAAATGCTTTATTTTAGTCAGTTTCCTGGAACCTGATGATTTGCCTCTTTTAACCATCGCAGGCCCACTGAATATAACACAGTGCCAAGTTTTGGGTCCTGGTTCTTCAGGGGTTAAAAAATCACTGTGTAAATCACCATGTATCTCTGCTGAATGGTTATTTTATTCATACAATGGGTACAGACTAATAATGGTCCATCTGCAATCCTAGCCCAGTGCATTTTGTTAGTAAATTGTTACTCTATTCTCGTATTATGGTCACAGGATTAGCAATGCTCTACACCGGGGCACCCCAGGTGTTGTGGACTACATCTCTCATAATACTCTTACAACCATAACACTGGCAAAGTTTCAGTGGAGATGCAGTCCACATCTGGAGTGCTGAAGGTTGTCTACCCCTGCTCTATACCACGGGGGATATAGTCATCTGTCTAACACCTAACATCAATGAGGACCCCACGGGCAGGGTCCCAAGTCAGGGGGAGGGAAGGGTTGTAGGTGGAAGTTTTAAAAAGCCTGGGGGTAAAAGATAGTAGGGTATAAGAAAATGTAGAATATGGATGCAAACATTTTGCCACTGGTCCACATGTGAGCATAACCCACTGCTCTCCGGCACGGTACGAGTAAAAGAGAGTCTTTGGTTCAATAATCTACTTCCAATACACCAGGGCCTTTGTGAGATATTTCTATTCATTGCAGTTCAAGTTTCAATGTCCAAATAAACTGGCGGACTGAGGTCGTCATTTTGATTTCAATTCTCCTCTCTTTGGGTTATTCACCGAAGTGAGCATTGTCAGAAAGTGAAAGTGAATTTGAAAAGCAAGCTGTCACTCCGTGGTACATCAGTGGTTGTCCACACGTCTCCCAAGGTCACATTCCTGAAAGGGATACGACTGCACCGCAGGCCAGACTTGCTCAAGCTGACGAGTTTGGTTCCTCATTACATACCGCCATTCTCACTTGTTCTTGGAAACCACAAATGGAATCAATTTATATAAAGCCATTAAAACGCAAATCTGTCATTTTATAAAGTCACAATTAAGTTAACAAACATGCTTGGACCGATGCTTTAGATAATGGGGAATATCTCAGAGACCAAAGTAATGCTTCAGGTTTACTTACAAAGCAGTGAGTTAAAGGAATACTCGAAGAAGTAGCTCAGTGCCCCCTCCATTGTAAGTAATCAAACCGTTTTAGAACAGTTTGACGTCTTACGTGGGGTCCAACAGGCATCGCTCCCTGCCTCCACTACTTTTGATGGAGAGCAGATAACTGTGAAGGTAGAGTTTCTGTTAGCTCTCCTGACCTAAGTCCTACTGTACAGTGCTAGCTCCTTGACTGAGAGTGCTAGCTCTTTCGTTGTCTGAAGTAGTGGAGTCACCATAGTGGTTATGGTGATGGAGTGCTCTTTTAAGGTTAGCTGACAAGGACGTTGTAAGAATTCTCCAGCATAATTCATTTGGGGCAGATTTTGCAACTTTCTGTGAATGATTGTGCATGTGTGTGCATGCGCGCACACCAGTGACTGCTCAAGCATTTTGCTATGCGTGATAGCATCATGCTGTATAAGTGTGCATGAGCATCTCTGTGTGTGTGTGTGTGTCTCCCTGTGTGTGTAAGAGTCTCTATGTGTGTGAATATCTCTGTGTGCTAGCATCTCTATGTGTATGTAAGAGTTTCAGTGTGTGTGAATGTCTGTGTGTGTTAGTGTCTCAATATGTGTGAATATCTTTGTGTGTATCAATATCTCAGTTTCTATGATTGCATCTGCATGTGTGAGTATTTCAGTGTGTGAATGTCTGTGTGTGTTAGTGTCTCAATATGTGTGAATATCTTTGTGTGTGTGTGTCAATGTCTCAGTTTCTATGATTGCATCTGCATGTGTGAGTATCTCAGTGTGTGTGTGAGTGTCTCAGTGTGTGAATGTCTTTGTGTGTTTGTGTGTGTGTCTCAATGTGAATGTTTCAGGATGTGAGTGTCTCCATGTGTGTGTGTGTCTGTGTGTGCGTGCATGTGTCTGTGTGTGCATCGGGTTGACGTGTCCAATAGAAAATAAAGCAAGACTGTAACAAACACATCACTGAGACCTGAAGCTGAAAGTTGCTCTGATTTTTAATACTAGCCCACACAATCCTTTCTGAGAATGATTTAAAAAAAAAAAAAAAAAAACAGAAAGAAATAGCGAGCGTTTATGTAACATTATTCGACTTACTTCTCCCACTCCTCTGGCTATTAGTCATTTTCTGAAAGCAAGTGATGTCATATTTTGAGCGTAGAACGCAGCTCTGCATGAAATGAGTGTAATCCCCCGGGAAACGGAACGGTGGATTACCCGTAATAGTGGATCACAATGCTGCATTAATCTATCTGCTAACTGTGCAGGATCCGTGACATTGTTTAACGTTGAAAACATGTTTTGATGCCCCTGTTATTGACAAGATGCTTCGCTGGGGACATCAAACCCATCCATTATTCACTACTGCAGGAAACGTAAGGTATCGATGAGGAACAACAATGTTCAGGCCAACACAAACGATTGGGAAACATTCTCCCACTCAGCTAATCTTCCTGTTCAGTTATTTTGGTCTATAATGTGAAATTCTCTGGATTTTCCACATTTTACTAAATAGGCCTGATAGTTGTGATAGTTGTGATAGTTGTGATAGTTGTGATGACGGTGGTTATTTGGGGGCTTTTCACTGAATCAGAAACCGGAGAATTCAAGCAAGTGTCACGGTATTTATACCATACTTTATACTTAACATCACTGGGATTTGGGGGGAAATCATTGCATGGGGTGTTATTCTGTGGTTTTCTTTTTAGAGGGATATTATGCACCCTATTAACTCATTGCTACAAAAATGTATTTACACACAATCACAGACTCATTTTATTTCTTCTCATGCGTTTGCTCAAATATATATATTTAAGTTTTTTTTTTTTGCTTAAATTGTAGTAATGGACAGGAAATTGCAAAATCAGGCCAAAAATAGCCGAGTCAGATTTGGTCTAAAATGTCCTTTTTTCTCATGTAAATTCTACATAATTCTCATTTTGACGAGTACGTCTACAATTGGTTAACCCTATAAGTGCCAAAGGCAGTGTGTACATCTCTCTAGTGCAGGCATAGGCAACATTCGGCACTACAGATGTTTTGAACTACACCTCCCATGATGCTTTGCCAGCATTATGGGTGTAAGAGCATGATGGGGGGTGTAGACCACAACATCTGGAGTGCCGAAGGTTGCCTATCCTTGCTCTAGTGTCTTCGACAGAATTTAAAGAGTTAGTCATGTATAAGTTAACAACTCTTTCGCCCTGTGTGTAATAATTGAAATGAATAATAAATGCGCGTGAATTGACGGAAGAATAAAAAAGTTGCTAAACAAGCGAAGGTACAATATCGATTGCAGAACAGGCGCATAGGAAAGTCTTGGTGATAAATGGACAACTATATTAAATGGAAGAGTATTAAAGCACAAATTAGAGTTATATTACTGAAAAGGTTAAATAGGTTAAATATAAGAAATAGTACATTTTTGTAGTATGTTGCAGAGCGTACAGCTATACGTCCCTGAGAAAGGGACACCAAGTCACAAATAAACAAAAAAATTAAATTATTATCATATGCTAAATAAAATAATAATATTCAGTACAACATGTATTTAAAGATTTATATAAATAAAACAATAATATTTCAGGGAGTAAAAAAAAATAAAAAATTAAAACCATCATTCTGTAGCAACATTCATTGATGGCAGGAAAAGCGTACACAAGTGGATTGCGTGTCTTATCACTAAAAACTACAAAGTGGTATTTAGAGTTAGTCTGTTTTCGGTGTCACGGACTATACGTCAATTTGCGGAATACGCAACGCAGATTGTCTCAGAACAAGTGTGAATGGCCTTCGCGGGATTTTCCAGGTAGCAAAATGGACACGAACATTCAGTAAAGTCAAATGAAATCGCCCAAAGCTCAGAGATACAGGAACATGTCAGTGTAGCCATTTCGTATAGAACATTGCCCAGTAAGTTTGCCATGTCTAACAATTCATAGCCACTTGTCCATACTCTTCCCACCTGACAATATAAAGCCGTGATTTTGACTGCCTTGGTTGCCCGAGAACCCACTTTGCCCATAAAGTGCGTCCTAACATACATGTAATAGCCATGTATTCATTCTCGTTGCTATCCAATGCAGTCATGCCATCGTGCCCAACAAGTGTGCCCTCGAAACAAAGTCCCATTGCAACAGTGGTATTTGTAACCAAATAGATGACGTGTGGCAGACGAACGTGTCCACGGTTTTAGCACTGAAATTTAGCAAAATTTACATTAAAAAGAAAATGTACAGGAGAATATATTCTTCTAAATTGCATGGAGGTCCACGTCCCATCTATCTGGACTCAAAACCGCACAGAAAATACAAGGAGAGGGCATTTGTCATAAACTGTCAATCTACTTGCAAAATAACCAAGACGGCTCAGTGACAAAACAGATATAACAGCAACAAAACAAGTCAATGCAAAACAAAACAAACAAGCAAAGAAAAAAAAACCAACAAAACAAAATCTCACAACAAATGGAACATGTAACTAAATAACTGCAGCTCACAGAATGTATCAATGTATCACAGAGACACCTGTCAGCCCAGAGAACTTCAGTTCCCTTGATGCTTTGCTCAGGGTGTGAGGCACTGACTGGCTGTGCACACACCATGCTCACTCCCAGCACTACCTGCAGGGGAGCCACTCTCTCAGAGTCACTTCCAGCAGAGATCTCTCAGAGCCAGACATGAGAGGATTAGCAGACAGTGTATGGTAACCAGAACCTGCTCTGTCACTGGCCCCACAGACCCACTGCAAGCCTTGGCATCTCCACAGGCACCAGGTAAGGAGTCTGACTGCCCTTCACTTACTGGATTGGAAGAGACAGACAGTCTGTGTTAGAAAGTGTACTACGCTGCAGCCTACGTTGGTGCATATCTCCTTACTGATATTATTATTATTATTATTATTATTATTATTATTATTATTGGTAGATCTCTCTAAGGTGCCCAGACACAGGTGGCAGTTCAGCACCCTAATATATTTATTTATCCCAGATAAATTATTCGTTTTGATTGAGGATTAACTGTTTCATTGCTCAGTTTTCCTACAATACCTGTGCAGGTGAGCTGTTTGACTAGAAGTGTTTTATTAATTGGACCAATCTGGCAGTTCAAGGGTTAAAGAGGAGGTGAATTGACCCCCAATGTGGATTTCTGAAATAGGCTGAATTCCCTCTAAAAACCGGATTTACTCCGTAATGAGCCTTTGGCTACTTAGTGACAGCTGATATATGTCAACATGGACTGGACTAGTCTGTTACAAATCTGGGAAGATTTCTGTGTGTGTGTGTGTGTGTGTGTATATGTTTGTGTGTGTGTGTGTGTGTGTGTGTGTGTATATGTTTGTGTGTGTGTGGGGGGAGTTATATTTTAATTTTTAAAATGTAGCTAAAACTTTTAAAGAGTGTTTGTAGTTGGTGGGGGATACAGACACACATTCTCCCCCCCCTCCCCTCCCCTCCACCAAGTCATTTTTTTTTTTTTCAAAAGGTTGTTTTTTAATCCGCAGGTTTTGATAGTTTAACAACCAAATTACAAAACGTAAAACTGTTTGAAAAAAGATCTTTAAAATCTGAGATTTTCTAACTGTTTTATTTTAGCATAACCTTTGCAAATTATTTGGCAAATTCCATTCTGTTTAAGAGAGCCCAGGATATTTTTTTTTTTTTTGTAGTAACATTTTTTTTTTATTATTCCTCGTTGCTATGGCAATTCATCTAGGGTATTAAAAGGGTTAACTCCCCTTTGCCTTCAGTGGGATCAGTTTGTAAATCCAACGCTAGAGGCTGGCATAGTCTCCGAATGTTAGCAAAACAGGTGCGGTGGCTTAATTTCGCTGTTCCAGGGGATCATGGGAAAAGTTGTAGAAAATGCGACTATGTATTTATATTATACAATGCTATTTTCTAAATTGTTTCAAATGCAAGGTTGTCCTGGCACAGCTTGGCATTCAAAGCAAATGATTGATGCCCCATGATTCTGTACGTTTTGAGGTGTGAGGGCCCAAGTGGGGTATATTTGGAATATGGCGATATGAATCACCACTAAGTACTTCTATACCTACCTCTGATGCATTCCTCACCCCGTCAGTGCTACGTTTATTGGGGTGAGTGATTACAGAACCTCCAGCCTCAATAACACCCATTATAACCGTGTCAGAATGACTGTAGAATTGTTTCACTAAATAGAGAATCGTGGTGAATTGAAAGACACATTGCAAAATTCAGGCTGAAATTTCCGAGCTGTGACTATAGCGGAGTCTGTCAGTTATTCGGTAAACTGAGCGAAATAAATACAACTGATAAAGCAACCAAGATTCTACTATCGCTGGGTTGGAGAATTTATGCAACGCAGATATTCTGGCCTAGATTTTGCCATTTGTGTATTTACCAAAGTGAGGATTCTATTTTGACCTTAACTGTGAAATTCACTATTCATTCTCACATTGGTGAATAACCCTGAATGTATTGAATTATAAACGGAATAGCAAAAATGTGCTGATTTGCAACAAATTCTTCCACTCAGATGAGATCACATCTTGGATATTTTAGAATAAATTGTGCGGCTTGGTTTGAAATTTAGGACAAAGAAGTGATTTGAAATGTCTTGTCGTGGATGGCGTGCGTTCGAGAGGTGAGATATTTCTCGCTGTAGTGACACATTGTCTTGTTTTCACTGGAACAATCCATGATTATATTGCTGCGATCCATACGGAACGTTTACAGGGTATTTGGTGAGAATTGGCAGGCGGTCACAAAGCAAAGTTGAGTTGAAGAATTCTTCCAGTTTGGCTAATTTAACCTTAAACTTGAAATTAATTTTAAATTTTTGACAATTCCCACTTTAGTTAATAACCCTGTTAGATTAGACTGTAAGCTTAATTGCGCTGTATCCTCATCGCCTCTTGTTCAAGTGACAAGGCCAAAGTAGCCAAGCTGCAAAAATTCTCCCAGTCAGCTAAGTTTCCATGACTCTCCAATAGGAACTATCTACACACGTCCTTAGTGACGCCTACAAATTGCGGTAATCCTGCACGTAAGCGACGTATTCGCTCATGTGACATCTACACGCAACAACGGAGCCTGTGATGTCACCACCAGAAACATTTACAATCGCACTAGAAACAGCAGAGATACACCGAGTGAGGAGGTTGTCTGTTTACAGTCCATTTTGAAAATGCAGCTAAAACCTTTATAAAGTGTTTATAATGTTGGGGATACAGACAGCAGCAGACACTTGCACTTCATTTACCTTTTAACTCGTTTTTATTTGCCCAATGTGGCTTTTCTTTCATGTAAATAAAGTGTGTTGGTGCCAGCCCATAAGTGGCACATTGTGCTATACACTAGAGTTGCTGCACATAGGCTCTGACATATGTGAGTGATTTTAATGAACACTGTTAAATTATGCTATGGTTTTCTCCCTTCTTGTATCCATAGAGGAGATAACCCGGTGATGATATCAATCTGGAAGGTGTGACGTAACCTCATCAAGACACATACAGCAATATACCTTAGAGCCGGGTTCTAGAGGGCACTATGTGAGTTAAAAATTGGCATTCTCTACATAATTATTTTTTTTTTTCTTTCTTATATCTGTATATATTCTACACGCGTATATGAGGTAATTTGTTTATTATTGTTTTCACGCACTACTTTTTATTATTTTTTTTATTTTTATTTTTTTAATTTAAAGACGTATATAGATTATTATACAAGGGTGTTTGCACTGCGTTTTGCTTAGATTTTATATCGCCATATTCACTTCTTTTCAGTTACTTGACCTTAAAATTCAAATTCACTTTGATTTCCCGACAATTCCCACTTTATTAAATAACCCTAAAAGTAAATTTTAAAATTTAGGCCGAAAAAAACAGAACTAAATACACAATGTCCAAATGTTCCGGTTCGGCTTTGCTGGCGTAAACATTTGACGTTTGCTTGGAATGTCCAACAATTCACACGCTAGTGAATGACTCTGTGAGTGACAGATCATATTTGATGCCGTGTGTTGTAGACGTTTTGGTATTTGCACCTCTGTGTTTGTAACATGCTTTCAGTAACTGCTTCTAACATGGCACAATGTTACGAGATCCAGTTACTCATCTTCCTGGGTTCTCTGTGTCATGCTCGGTTCCCAAAGTGTTTCATAAACATTCATTTGAAGTCATACCAGTTATCTCATTGTTTATAATTCATCATAAAAACAAAATTACAAATCTGCTCCTATGCGTCAGTCCTCCTGCTTGTCTGTTCTCAGTTGTTTTATCCTGCATTCGTTTGGCAGTTTAACGATTCTAGTAGCATTGCGCCACATACAGTGATTTACTAAAGTGAATTTAAATGTCAAGACTAAAGTAGTGGGATGGGAGGCATAGATGACTTTTTTTCCTCAAAAGAATAGAATAATTTTTCTAATTTGACTTTTGACCTTAAATTAGAAATTCAAACTTTAGTGAACAACACTAACTGAGTTTTCAAAAATTAAGAGCAATCCAGATAATCAGAGGAGGTTTAAAGGGACATTCCTGCCCCCCAAAAGTACAATAAGTGTTTAGAAATCAGTCTGTGTAAATAAGATACATTTTAATTGTATAAATTGTTATTAGTCAGTCATTTCTCTTGTTGAAATGTTTTATGTGTGACGAGTTTGTCAAACTATTTGGGCCTAAACTTTGCAATTCCCTCGTTAACTTCCAATAGTTTAGTAGTTTGTGTAGTAATGCTGTTTTCAGCAACTATATAGATTACTTGTTTATTTTGCAATGTGTCGCCCCATTTTCTCCCCTAGCAGTATAGGAAATTAAACTAACCCATGTATTTGGCTGTGTACTGCGGATACACAGCCTCACCCATGTTACGCCATACAACATTTCCTCCTAAATCAAGCACATGTTAATTTACATCTGGCTAAATATAAATTGTTACCATTAAATAATTGGGCATTATTATTATGCAGTACTATATTATTGTGACTCAAGTATAAGTTATAGTGCCCTCTGCAGCATTTTGTACAGTTGTGCAGTCTTAAAGGGGAATTGGAACTTCACAGAATTCATGATATAAGGTTTACTTTTTCTTATATTTAACAAATATATATTTGTAGGTTTGAATTTTTTTAAATTTAAATGTACAAATTCACACCTCACACTCTGCCATCTTAGCTCCCTGTCAAACATTGTTATAAGCTCCGCCTTTTGCACCTGTCAATCCACATAGAGAGCACACAGAGAAGAGGAGAAATGAAACAATGTTTCTGTTTCTTCTTGTTTGCAATGTTTTCCCTTGGTTGGCCTTGTTTAAACTGGATTATGATGTGATATTATAAAATGTAAAAGACAATAGGGAATTTCATGAATAAAAAAGTTTAACACAAGTCCTAGGTAAATTCCAGAGAAGTGACTGTTCCATTTTAAATCGGAACTGTCACGTCTCTCTAATTGACAGTTACTCCAGGTTTAACATTTGCTGTCAAAGCATTTACTGGGGTCAGTAGTGCAATTGAAGCAAGTTAAAAGAAAAAAAAAAATATCACCTCTGCAGCCCTACCATGTTTGTGGTTTCTGTCATCATCCAAGGATGCTCTAGACATGTCTGTGTGTTGCCAGACAAATGCCATGTGAATGCATGCTCACAGTTTTATTTCCTTTAGCGCTCTCCACCTGCATAGCACCATGAAGATTAAGTTAATTTGCATGATATGCCAAGGCTGTGCCAGGTCACTTAAAAAATAAATCTATTATCTTTTTTATTTATTTATTTATTTTATACTTTAATGTATAAATGTTTCTACGAAAATAGCTGCTCAGGGGGGCGAGTGCCCCAAATCTCTGGGGGCCTGGGATTACTTTGCAACTACTTCTGCCTATCTCACACAATTGACTTCTCATTCTCCATGGGCCCAGGGGAGCCACAGTGCATATTACTTTACAACTGTTATTGATAGTGATTGTGTGTATTCCCACTCTCTCAATCAATAAACAATAAAGTACAAATTGATTGAAATTAAATGACTGGTGGGGGTGGGGGGGCTGCTGTCACTTAAAAAATAAATAAATCATATTTCTGATGGATAGACTCTATGTTGAGCCCAAATCCCCCTGTCCCTCTTTTCTAGGAGCTCTATATTGTTGGTGTATCTGAGTGTATAACAGAGCTCCACAGCAATAATACTCCCAGTAATGTGTGTGAATGTATTACAGAGCTCCACAGCAATAATACTCCCAGTAATGTGTCTGAGTGTATAACAGAGCCCCACAGCAATAATACTCCCAGTAATGTATCTGAGTGTATAACAGAGCTCCACAGCAATAATACTCCCAGTAATCTGTGTGAATGTATAACAGAGCTCCACGGTAATACTACTCCCAGTAATGTGTCTGTGTGTATAACAGAGCTCCACAGCAATAATACTCCCAGTAATGTGTCTGAGTGTATAACAGAGCTCCACAGCAATAATACTCCCAGTAATGTGTCTGTGTGTATAACAGAGCTCCACAGTAATAATACTCCCAGTAATGTTTTAGTGTATAACAGAGCTCCACAGCAATAATACTCCCAGTAATGTGTCTGTGTGTATAACAGAGCTCCACAGTAATAATACTCCCAGTAATGTGTTTTAGTGTATAACAGAGCTCCACAGCAATAACACTCCCAGTAATGTGTCTGAGTGTATAACGGAGCTCCACAGCAATAATACTCCCAGTAATATGTCTGTGTATAACAGAGCTCCACAGCAGTAGTACTCCCAGTAATGTGTCTTAAAACTACAATAAATGTGTTTAGAAATCAGTCTGTGTAAATAAGATACATTGTTCTTCTAAATTACATTTTAATTTTATAAATTATTAGTCAGTCACCTAAACTATCTCAGAACAGCCCCGCCCCTGGTCACACCCCACTCACACCCATAAAGTCAATCTTCGTGCATTTGAAATGTTGGGATCTATGAAATGAGGGGGGATTGCTAGATTACTAGCGTTTTCTGAGAATGTATCTCTTCATTATGCTGATGGGCAGGGCATGAAATGTGCTCCCTATAGGATGGATATCCGTTAACTCCCAACATTGATGTCCCATGAAACTAGGTGCAGAGGGGCGTGGTAAAAGCGTCAGGCCAGTTACGCACGTCATGCCACTGGTCGTGCCCAAAGGGGGCGATCCTGCTTGGAAAAGGGGCAAGTCAGCTTGTCATGAATGCACACCAGGCTGCCAACAAGTTAGGCAGGCCAGAATGCTAAGGGCGCACCATGCAGGGTGCTCGGTGTCAGTGCTCTCCGCTGGGTCCTTGAGCCGGGTTACAATAGTTTCTTTGGAACTTGTCCTTGGTTAATTTCCTTCACGCAGAATATGAATTCTGTACATTACAAGGCATACTGCAACCATCACGTATTTGTTCGATATCTCCAGGAAATGTGCTGATTTGCAGGATACTGGAGATGTGCCAGTACTCTCGCTGGAAGGATTTTGCTGCGGCAGATTCCAAGCTTGCCAAGACAAACACTACAAACACTGACACAGGGATACATAGTGCTGTCATCCTCCAGCTATGGCAAGCAAAATGTTCTAAACCGGCTCCCACGTGTGCTTCCTCTATGCAGATAACATCTCATGCCAGCACACCTACCAAGTATGTAGGTTGGTCAAAGGTTGTGGTAACAACTGAACAGTTTACTCATCCCCTACATGGAACAAATGTGTGAGATGTGAAAATAAAACTCATATAGAAATCTACACCTCTGTATTTACCTCTGTCCTGGAATTGTGCGCCTCCATCTTGGCTCCCTGTCAATCATTGTTATACGCTCCGCCCTTCGCACCTGTCAGTCAATACAGAGGAAAAATGAAAGTACACATTTTACACTGTGTGCCTGGCTGTGCCTTGTCTGAAATTAGAAGAATGGGCAAAAGACATCCTGATCCAATTCTTTTAAAGGGTACCTGTCATGCCTATTTTAACTTGCACCATTTTAAAAGCGCATAAAATTCTATCCATACATTGTGCTAGCGTTTTTGCTTGCAAATCTATAGCTGAAGCTGAAGAATTGACTGATAAGAGAGAACAGAAAAGATCTCCCACAGGTAGTCCTTCTGCTCTCCACACAGCGCATGTGCTGCGGTTGCTGTAGAAACTCCCTAGTTGACGCTGCAGCCACTGGCTTGGTGTCAAGGCGCGTGTCCACAAAGTCCATAAGAGCGCCTCCGGTTCAGCTGTCCTTAGCTCCAGCGCGGCCGTCTCTGATAGCTTGAAAGACACTGGCCGCTGTGTGTCAGAGCCTTTTATGGCTCCATTGGCCCAGCCAGTATTTCAAGTCACAAACGTGGGTGCGTCCTCGCATTAACATAACGCACGCATGTTCCATTGGCCAATCAGAACAATTCTTAGGCTATTTAAATTAAAAATAAACATTTCTCAGTGCCTTGTCGTGGTTATCCAAGAGTGCATTATTTGTATTGATTTTTGTGTATTTTGAACTTGGCTTGTACTTTGACTATTCTGACTTCTGTATTCCTTAATCTTTGGCTTGTCCAGCCATTCATGTACCTTCTAATTCCCTGACCTTGGCTTATTCTATAATAATTCTATTTATTAACGTTAAATCTGGCCATTCTAAGGTCCAGTACTACGCTTTAGGACTTCTGGATATAATTATTTTAGTTAACTGAAGTTCTCCGTGTTGGATATTAGACTAGTCTGACACTAGGGAATATAGCAACGTAGTGACTGATATCATTCCGTTCAGATGCCAGAGGGTGGATCTGAGGGGGGTGTTACAAGAAGAGAATGGCCCGTGAAGCTCAGGTCATGGGAGCGCAGGAGGTAAGGTGGGTATATCTCAATATTTTACATTTCATACATCTTGTAATTCTGTGATATGTGATGTATAAATGTATTTGGGGGATTTCATCTAACTTTAAATATGCATGACACGTTCACTTTAAAAGGAAACAAAGCATTGCATGAGATTAACATGCCTGCGAAGGAGGACTTTGGATAATCCTTAATGAGTGGAGGGACGCCAGAGGCCATTTATAAAATCTGCAATATTATTAATCTTAAAATGTTGTGCAAATTATTGTAATTAAACGAGACATGGCATAGAGCTTGCTGTGACAAGTCTCTGTTGTGGATACGGATTCAACTTTTTAGTTTTTTTTCTTTTTTTTGCATTAATGGGTATCTGACTTGTCCACTTACCTTAATTCCCTGTTTCCTATGATGAGATTACACCGCTCAATTGGTACTTCATTACTGAGGACAATCTGATGGCAGTCTGCATAACCTAACCTTGGAGGATTTCGTTCGGTCACTAAATCAGCAGGGCGGCGGCAGCCTGGCCTTTAAATACTTGGCAGATTAGACTTACAGCAAGTAAAAAAATAAAAAAAGATCTGCAAAATCCCTTCGTACAGCAATTATGTTACTAACATTAACATTATCTAAGGGTTTTATCTCATTAAACAGCGAATTGCCAATGATACGCTAAAATAGTCAAAAGGAAAGAAATTAACATTTATTTCTATGTTTTATTATATAAATATATATTTTAAATTAACTGAGCAATGTGATACTATGGAAATTTGTCATTTTTTAAAAATTTTTATACATGGTCTAATTAAGCCGGAAACGCTATGATAAAATCTGATTATGTGTAAGTTTCCCATCAGGAAGTAATCGCAGATCATTAGTCACTGTAAACATCAGAAGTCCTTTTGTGCTGCGAAGTTTGTTAGAGGAGCTCTGACAGTAGGGGACTTGTTCACACAACAGATAGATTGTTTGGGTTTCCCATTAAACATGGCACGTTGGATTGTTTGAGAGGCCCTGCAATGCGACAAAGCATCATTACAACGCTTCCCAACAGTTCAAGTTGACATAGAGGGACACTTTAAAGGTTTACTCCCAGCATTGTGACCACTTCAGTGATTCAAAGTGGTGCTGGTCCTCAGTTATACACTCAGGCACATTACTGGGAGTATTATTGCTGTGGAGCTCTGTTATACACTCAGACACATTACTGGGAGTATTATTGCTGTGAAGCTCTGTTATACACTCAGACACATTACTGGGAGTATTATTACTGTGGGGCTCTGTTATACACTCAGACACATTACTGGGAGTATTATTACTGTGGGGCTCTGTTATACACTCAGACACATTACTGGGAGTATTATTGCTGTGGAGCTCTGTTATACACTCAGACACATTACTGGGAGTATTATTGCTGTGGAGCTCTGTTATACACTCAGACACATTACTGGGAGTATTATTGCTGTGGAGCTCTGTTATACACTCAGACACATTACTGGGAGTATTATTGCTGTGGAGCTCTGTTATACACTCAGACACATTACTGGGAGTATTATTACTGCTCAGTGGGAGCTCTGTTATACACTCAGACACACAGCTCTGTTATACACTCAGACACATTACTGGGATTATTATTGCTGTGGAGCTCTGTTATACACTCAGACACATTACTGGGAGTATTATTGCTGTGGAGCTCTGTTATACACTCAGACACATTACTGGGGTATTATTGCTGTGGAGCTCTGTTATACACTCAGACACATTACTGGGAGTATTATTGCTGTGGAGCTCTGTTATACACTCAGACACATTACTGGGAGTATTATTGCTGTGGAGCTCTGTTATACACTCAGACACATTACTGGGAGTATTATTGCTGTGGAGCTCTGTTATACACTCAGACACATTACTGGGAGTATTATTGCTGTGGAGCTCTGTTATACACTCAGACACATTACTGGGAGTATTATTGCTGTGGAGCTCTGTTATACACTCAGACACATTACTGGGAGTATTATTGCTGTGGAGCTCTGTTATACACTCAGACACATTACTGGGAGTATTATTGCTGTGGAGCTCTGTTATACACTCAGACACATTACTGGGAGTATTATTGCTGTGGAGCTCTGTTATACACTCAGACACATTACTGGGAGTATTATTGCTGTGGAGCTCTGTTATACACTCAGACACATTACTGGGAGTATTATTGCTGTGGAGCTCTGTTATACACTCAGACACATTACTGGGAGTATTATTGCTGTGGAGCTCTGTGATACACTCAGACACATTACTGGGAGTATTATTACTGTGGAGCTCTGTTATACACTCAGACAAATTACTGGGAGTATTATTGCTGTGGAGCTCTGTTATTCACTCAGACACATTACTGGGAGTATTATTGCTGTGGAGCTCTGTGATACACTCAGACACATACCAACAATATGAAGCTCCTAGAAAAAAGGGACAGAGGAATTTGGACCCCAAATAGGGACTGTCCCTTCTACACAAGGACACTTGGGAGGTGTGTATTAAAGTGCATCAGCTCAGAATGTAGGTGGTTTAAATGTCGCGCTAGGCGTAAGGAATATTTTGGGTATTCCCTGCCCTGTATATGCAATGGTGTTTACAGGGGCACTTATTGGTCTTGTTAGGGAGTACCTCACTGAAGCCTGTCTTTAAAAGATTAGCTGATCTTTTCTTTAGTATTTTAATCTGAAACTAGCGTGCAATTAATGTTGTTACACTAATTTGTTTGAAAAAGTTGGCAGGCAGTAAATAGATGAGAACATGACAGCATGGCACGGGGCCAAGGACGGGTAGGTACAAGTCTGTTGTTGGCTGCTGCGGGATGTGGCTAGCATTTCTTGTTTTCTCAGCCGAGCTTTTCTGGGCCTTTCCTCCTGACGTAATGAGCAGAGGTGCCCTGAATTAACAAGCTGAGGTCACGGGCAGGAAGAGGTGTTCTGCTACCCAACTGCAGAAAGAGACTGTTATCAGGCACGCTCTGCGTCATCCCATTTCTTATCAGCGCTTCTTATTTTTCCAGAGTCAAAGTACAGCTCTTGCCTTAAGCAAAACAGGTCTTATTTCCTAAACAGTGAGCTGTGCGTTCTGTCAACGGAACAGCAAAGATTCTACTGAAACGACTTGGTTCGGAGAAGAAATTCTTACTTTAAAACTTTGTTCAGCTTTAGAACAGACTGTTTCTAGGGGACACATTAGAACCTCTAAAATCCTCCTACCAGTCCCGTTCCCCCCAGGGCTGAAACCCTGGATATGAGGTTTTTCCGTTTCAGTTGGAGGGGGTTTTGGGGACATCTGTGTTTTTTTTATTTATTTTTTATGTAATTTTTATTTTACATCAAGCAGCCACCTATGATAAAAACGAAGAACATTCGTATAATCTACATAGTGTATCCACCAAGCTACTTGGGAGAAGGTAGTGGTGTCCCCTGTGTAACTGTCAGGTGACGGGGAGCTTTGCTGCACACCATTCTGTTAGGTAAGTAGCGTAGCGAGATCGCATCGTATACATGGCTGTACAGCGTGCTCTTATTTGAGGCCCGGAGCTTCAGGCCTGATATCCTCTCCCATGCTGATAGTACCTCCATGCACATGTTTGAGAGCGTTCATGGAGGATCCCCCAGTCTTGTGTAATCGTCCATCGTCTTTCTGTTAGTGCACTTGGGCATGCATGTGTAAAATGGCTCCTCTTCAGCTCTGCAGGTTTCCATTATTTCACCTGGTAGGAGTGGAAGTTAAAGTTACCTAAAGACAGTCAAAGTTAAGAAGGGAGAGATACACAGGTAAGTATGTCACCCTTCCTTCTACACCTATCATCAACCTTTAAATGGACTTGTTGTCACTATAGGGAGTTATTGAAAAAAATTATAAAGACCACACAAGTGAGAGTACCACTTTAAAGGGATACTCCAGGCACCAAAACAACTTCATCTAAATTTAGTTGTTATGGTGCCAGGAGGCCGCTGGAGGCATTATTACCTTCAGTGATGTCCATTCCTTCCCAGGTAGCATCCGGCTTCAGATTTCAAATTCGGGAAGCGTTGAGTGCCACTGGGCGGGAGCACCACTGATATGACTGAGAGCAGTTAGCTAATGCTTTCAGCCAATCACTGATTCGCTTTTCACAAAACTGACTTGGAAAAGGCACCTTTTTTTTTCCAAGCCAGTATTGTGAATGGGGAGTCACTGATTGGCTGAGAGGAACCAACTGACACTTTCAGCCAATCAGCACTTTGTGCTTCCGGAATCTGAAAGATTCAGAATGGATATCGCCAGAGGGAGTGGACATCCCCACTGTAGGCACCTTTGGGGTTTAATCCCTTGATATTAAAGTGCCTTAGGGGGCCTCCTGGCACCATAACAACTTAATTTAGCGGTAGTTGTTTTGGTGTCTGGAGTGTCCCTTTAAGTTACAGTAAGTTTCAGATCTGCCCACATGATCTATGTTTTGTTATCATAATATGTCCTTGGGTAATATGTCCTCGTTCTCGTCACACGCTAAGATTATAATCTTGGAGTGTGAAGGAAATGTTGTAACGGGTGCCATGACCAGGGACGCAGTAATCGTTCATTATTTAATCAATGTTTAACACAACATTATGTGTCATGTTCTTATATTTTTTAAGCTGATTTGATTTTCACATATTACTTTATGATGCTGCTTTTGTAAAGATTTTTATTGATGCAATAAATACCTAAAAAACTGTTTTATGATATTTACAAAAACAAAAGAATGAAATCCACTTGTTATGCCTGTACAATGCAGACATTGAGGTTTTACTGGTAAATAAGCTCCAACTCGCCCATCTGACTATCATGAAATCTCAATACAATTTGTTCTCCAGGTTCGATGTGTATACATCGAACAAGCATTCGTCAATTCATACATTGCATTAACTTTTACTGCTCCCACTGGAATGCTATTCCCGGTATCTACTACCCTTTCTATATCACTGTTACTGCTCCCACTGGAAGGCTATTCCAGGTATCTACTACCCTTTCTATATCACTGTTACTGCTTCCACTGGAAGGCTATTCCAGGTATCTACTACCCTTTCTATATCACTGTTACTGCTCCCACTGGAAGGCTATTCCAGGTATCTACTACCCTTTCTATATCACTGTTACCGCTCCCACTGGAAGGCTATTCCCAGTATCTACTACCCTTTCTATATCACTGTTACTGCTCCCACTGGAAGGCTATTCCAGGTATCTACTACCCTTTCTATATCACTGTTACTACTCCCACTGGAAGGCTATTCCAGGTATCTACTACCCTTTCTATATCACTGTTACTGCTCCCACTGGAAGGCTATTCCAGGTATCTACTACCCTTTCTATATCACTGTTACTGCTCCCACTGGAAGGCTATTCCAGGTATCTACTACCCTTTCTATATCACTGTTACTGCTCCCACTGGAAGGCTATTCCAGGTATCTACTACCCTTTCTATATCACGGTTACTGCTCCCACTGGAAGGCTATTCCAGGTATCTACTACCCTTTCTATATCACTGTTACTCCCACTGGAATGCTATTCCCAGTATCTACTACCCTTTCTATATCACTGTTACTGCTCCCACTGGAAGGCTATTCCCAGTATCTACTACCCTTTCTATATCACTGTTACTGCTCCCACTGGAAGGCTATTCCAGGTATCTACTACCCTTTCTATATCACTGTTACTGCTCCCACTGGAAGGCTATTCCATGTATCTACTACCCTTTCTATATCACTGTTACTGCTCTCACTGCACCCCCAGCTGTGTGTGTCTGGGGGCGCTGTGTGTGTGTGAGGGGGCTGTTGGGGAATTTATTTTATGTGAGGGGGCTGTTAGGGAATTTATTTTAATATATTTTTTAATAATTAAAAAAAAAAAAGTTATGTCCCCCCTCCCTTCTTACCTTTAGCCTGGGAGGGGGGGAGCCGTTCTGCCTGGTGGTCCTAGTGGTGAGAGTTCATTCTTGCGAGATCTCAGTGTTGCCGTGGTAACCGCGGCAACTCTCAGACCTTGCGAGAGGACCCAGCGGAGCTGCTGGCTAGAGTTCCACCGGGTCCTCTCCCCTCTCCCTCCCTCCCCAGCCGGCGGCCGCATTTCAATGCCTGTGGGCCGGTGAGCCCACCGGCCCATGGAGGCACACAGCAGGGCCGGCACTCGGATAGCGCTGGCCCTGCTGGGGCTGGCCGGGTAGATCCTGTGATCTCCCCTGCCAGCCTCGGCCCACGGCCATCGCGGCCCACTGGGCATTTGCCCGGTATGGTCGATGGCCAGTCCGGGCCTGGCTGGGCCCATCACTCAAGGGGGCACGGCTGCTCTATCGACCTTTTGCTGATGGTGCATAACTTCTGGGTCATTGTATGGGTCCTGGGCACACAGTGTTTGGTCAGTGCTCCCCCTCCTGCCATTCACTCCATGTAGTGTGGCCAAGCAGACACCACAGTAGAGGAGAGGGATGCAATGGAGATCATACACATGTGGCACGGAGGGGTGAGACACATGCTGGGGTGAAAGGAGAATGAGACACATGGAGGGGCTGGGGGGGAGGAAAGAGACACATGGAAGGCCTGGGGAGGGCTGAATAAGACACATGGAAGGGCTCGGGAGGGGGGAGCAATGAGACACATGGAAGGGCTGGGGAGGGAGGGGAGCAATTAGACACATGGAAGGGCTGGGGGGGGGGATACCATATCACATGGAAGGGCCGGGAAATCGGGAGCAATGAGACACATGGAAGGGCTGGGGAGGGCTGAATAAGACACATGGAAGCTGGCCAGTGGTGGAGAGAGCAATGAGACACATGGAAGGATGGGAGCAAATCGATGACACATGGAAGGGCTGGGATGGGGATAATGAGGACACATGGAAGGCTGGGGCTTGGGGAGCAATGAGACACATGGAAGGGCCATGGGAGCAATGAGACACAATGGAAGGGCTGGGGCTGGGATAAATGCGACATGGAAGGTGGCCAATGGAGGGAGCAATGAGACACATGGAAGGGCTGGGCAATGACACATGGAAGGCCAGTGGGGATAAAATCGAGACATGGAAGCTGGCTGGGGAGCAATGAGACACATGGAAGGGCTGGGAATGGGGAGCAATGAGACACATGGAAGGGCTGGGAATGGGGAGCAATGAGACACATGGAAGGGCTGGGGTGGGTTGAATGAGACACTTGGAATGGCTGGGGAGGGGTCGAATGAGACACATGGAAGGGATGAGATGGGGGGAGCAATGAGACACATGGAAGGGCTGGGGAGGGGGATGCAGTGAGACACATGGAAGGGCTGGGGTGGGGGGAGCAATGAGACACATGGAAGGGCTGGGTGGGGAAATGAGACACCTGAAGGGCTGGGGTGGAGGAGAAATGAGACACACGGAAGGGCTGGGGTGGGGGAGCAATGAGACACATGAAGGGCTGGGGTGGGGGGAGAATGAGACACATGGAATGGGCTGGGAGCAATGGGGATAATAGAGACATGGAAGGGCTGGGGAGGGGGGAGCAATGACACATGGAAGGGCTGGAATGGGAGCAATGAGACACTGGAAGGGCTGGGGGAGACACGGAAGGGCTGGGGAGGGGGGAGCAATGAGACACGGAAGGGCTGGGGAGGGGAAATGACACCGGAAGGGCTGTGGTGGGGAGCAAATGAGACACGGAAGGGCTGGGGTAGGGGATAACGAGACACGGAAGGGCTAGTAGGGGGAGCAATGAGACACGGAAAGGGCTGGCAGGGGAGCAATGAGACACCGGAAGGGCTGGGTAGGGGAGCAATGAGACACGGAAGGGCTGGGGTGGGAGAGCAATGAGACACATGGGAGGGGGGGGATAAATGAGACACATGGAAGGGCACAATGAGACACATGGAAGGGCTGGGGTGGGGGGAGCAATGAGACACATGGAAGGGCTGGGGAGGGGGGAGCAATGAGACACATGGAAGGGCTGGGAATCTGGGAGCAATGAGACACATGGAAGGGCTGGGGTGGGGGGGTGACACACATGGGGGAGGCCCCAGGGCAATTTCTGCACAGGGGTCTGCTGGCTTCTAGTTACACCTCTGAACAAGCCCTGTCTGAGCGGGCCCCCTCTTAGGGTCCGACCACCATACTCTATTCCAAACCTTTCAATGTTTATAGATTTTTTTTTTTTTTGCATAAAATAACCACAATTTATGCAGTTTACAAAGATTTTCTGTAACACTGATTTTTACAGTGCCTGTCTGATGAAGATATTTTCCCCAGTCTTTTCTGCTGCGTTTTCTAGTTTGTTAGATTACTTGGAAAGGAAATGGACACATTTAGCTGCAAGCTTTGCTGATAAACAGACGGCCGCAATTCCATCAGATCAAGTGTATTAGTGGCTAATCCTTCCTTAATTCTAGGCAGACACAACTAATAACTGTTTGTCAGACAGTGCCTGGCTTCCTGGCCTTTTTTTGTGATTATATTTGCTTGGAAAACGCATCACTTAAAGCATTTATGGCTAAACGTCGCGCTGCACGCTGCTCAGCCTGTTTTCTGAATTGTGGAAAATTACAAGGAAAGTATTTTAGGCCAAAGTAGTAGTAAAGCAATTCTATAGCGAATTATTTTTCACAGTTTGAGTATTTTGGCCACAGCTTTGTGATTCCTTAATAGGATAGTGCACAAACCATAACCACTGCAGAATGTCCTCTGAGCACCTTCAGCAAATGAATACTGCACTGCAATGTGTGGAGCAAGGGACGGCGCTGCTGCAAGGTAAACTAGGCAGCTTCCCAGGGTGCATCAGTCCGGGTAGAGGACACATGCCATCTACTCGGTCATGTGACACAGGGAATGTGAGAGGGTGCGCATGGGGGGAAAGAGAGACATCTAAAGGGGCCTGGGGAAGGGACAATGAAACACAGGGAATGGGACCATAACACACAAAGGGGCTGGGGAAGGGGACAATGACACACAGGGAATAGGACCATAACACACAGAGGGGCTGGGGAAGGGGACAATGACACACAGGGAATGGGACCATAACACACAGAGGGGCTGGTGACACACACAGAGAGGCTTGGAAAGGGGACAATGACACAGAGGGGTTGGGGAAGGGGACAGTGACACACAGAGGGGCTGGGGAAGGGGACAATGACACACAGGGGCTTGGGAAGGGGACAATGACACACAGAGGAGCTGGGAAAGGGGACAATGACACACAGAGGAGCTGGGAAAGGGGACGATGACACACAGAGGGGATGGGGAAGGAGACGATGGCACACAGAGGGGATGGGGAAGGGGTCGATGACACACACAGAGGGGCTTGGCAAGGGGACACACAGAGGGGCTGGGGAAGGGGACAGAGACACTCAAATGGTATGTGAAAGGGAACAATGACACAGAGGGACTGGGGAAGGGATTATTTTTGGGGGTGTGGGGAGAGTGGAGTTGTAAGTAACTAGTTCTGCCTACGGAGCAAAATAGTCTAGAACTGGCCCTGATTGGAGCAATTACTTAAGCTCTTACTGGAGCTTTCAGTGGCAGTGGATGCGGTAATGCCCACTGGGTCCCAGGTAAGTTGCCAAACCATTTTAAAATGGTTTGACTTCTTACTCGGGGAGAGCACCAAAACTCTCATGACAATAAACCACTTTAGTAGTTATGGTGCTTGAAGTGTTTACTTTATTTGACTACCATTTTAATGATTACACCACTGTGTGTTAATACACAGAAAGAGATACCATGACTGGATAATTCTAACTTCCCAGAAATGTCCCCTGAGACAAATACCCGACCTTTGAGTTTTTGTCATTCCATTTACCCTTTAATAAACTAGTTTTCTTTATTCTAAGTGTTGTAATAACAGGGTAAACTAGTAAAGAATGAATGTAACATATGAAGCTCATGCAGTTTATGTCCTATTGGGTGCAGAGATCCCAAAAGAGTTAGAGGGACCTTTTTGACTTGACCAGACCCATTTTTTTAGAATCCTTCATGTTTAAAAGGACACATGAAGGTGCCAAAGCAGAGTTCGGCTAGCCATCAGTCAGGTCCCTAAATTGGGAATTTTAGGTACCTTTACCCACACCTGTTTGCTCCACCAAGATGTGGTTAATAGATGTGTTAAAGGATCACTATAGTGTCAGGAAAACAAAGCGGTTTTCCTGACACTATAGTGCCCGGAGGGTGCCCCACCCTCAGGGTCCCCCTTTCGTGATGCTGAAGGGGTTACTTACCTTAATCCAGCGCTGGGCTTCCTTGGCGCTGGTGACCTCTCCTCCCCTGCCGACGTCAGCTCCCGAGTGGAGCGGAATGCGCATGCGCGGCAAGTGCCACTCACGCATTCAAACAATCCATAGGAAAGCATTTCTCAATTCTTTCCTATGGAAGCTCTGCGCGCTGGATGCAAAATTCACATCTGGCGTCGCAGATGCGCATCTAGTGGCTGTCCGGAAGACAGCCACTAGAGGTTGGCTTCTCTGAAACTGCTATGTTTACATCTGAAGGGTTAAAACCCGAGGGACCCGGAACCCAGACCACTTCATTGAGCTGAAGTGGTCTGGGTGACTATAGTGTCCCTTTAAGTGTTCCAGGTTTACCAAAATTCCCTCTTCTAAAAACTTTTTGGCCAGTAATCCATAGTTGTGTCTCACTATTCCTAAATGCGGACTGTTATTGAATAAGCACAAAACAGTTAACCAATGATAACATCTTTTTTTCCATTTGACATTGTTTTTAAATTGTTTTGTGCGTGTGTGTATGTGTGGTTCAAGCAGACAATACATTTTTGAGAATTCTTGATGGCAGATGTCGCATTGACGATGTTGCAGATAATGGTACATTACTCAGAACTCTCCCCCACCCGCACTGTAGATTTTGCTTTGATGATCTTATACAGGAAAAGTGACTAACGTGAGCATTAAACCCTACAAGAGATAGAAGATTAATTAAGCAGGTGTCCAGAGAACATGTACTAGTTTGCTGTCTGTACTATGCATGTTAAATAAGAGAAATAACACAAGATTTACGGACAGTTTAGCAACCTTTGGAACTCGTCCAAGAGGCTGAAAATACGCAGTATGTCTAGCAGATGCCAGTTCACGCCATTGTCCCCAGTCACAGGCAGGAAAACAAATAAGGCCATTTATAATAAGGACTCTTTTATTGCAAAATAGACACCCACGTAGATACGGGCGAGAGAGACTGCATAAAGAATTGAAACAAGTGGAATTCTGCGATCTAGATGTTTGGAATTTTACAAGATACAAAGGAAGAATGAAATGGTCTCTTTGTTTTTGCCAGCGAGGCCAACACTGAATTTTAACACATTTCCTACCCGAAGGCAGCGCAGGATTTGGGGATTGTGGTGGCTGACCAATCTGGTGTTACCCGGTGTTAGAATGTAAGGTATACAATATGTCAATCACACCTCTTGAACAGTGAAACAGATTTAAATTTAAATCAAACTTTCCTTGTGCAGAAACTCTACCCGAAGACTTCCTCAATCTTCCAATATACTGCTATCCTGTGTTAGCCTGACTTTTTTACCATCACGTTTTGTGGAAGATTTAACATGGTTTCTGATCCATGCTTTTTGAAAGTAATTTACCAAGTTAATGTATAGATCTATCTTCATCACTCGGCACCCCTGTATAGCGTTCACAGCCCCATGGGAGGAGGACCTTGGAGAATTTTCTCAGATCTTCCACGGGCCAAAATCATGATTCTGATGCATCAGAGTTCTCTCAGCACGAGATTCAGAAAAAACAATTACAAGGTATTAATGAGGTGGTTCTTGACGCCAGAATGCTTACACAGAATCACCCCGGAGCCTTGAAATCTCTGTTAGCAGCAGGTGCATATAGCAAAGACTAGTATTGAGAATGAGTGGAATTAGCCCCGGCAGATATGCTACTACACAATACAAATAAAATAGAAAGGTGAACAGTGCTAAAAATCAGAAAATGTACAAACGTTTTGTAGAAATACTGGCCAGCAGAGTAGCTTAAAAAAAAGAGAAACAAAAATACAAATAATGGTACAGTATGTATGAACGATATAATTCCACAAGAACAAAGGTGTTATATTCACACTCACACTTTGAGGAGCTATATCAGCTCGGTGTTAAGAGCCTGGACGGAATAATCCCCGTCTATGGATTTCTTGAGGTTCAAGACCGTTGGTGAATTTATAGGTGTAAATATTCGTTACATGAAAAACAAGAGTAAAATACACCACATGGTATAGTACGTAAATATAAAATATTGTGAAAAAAAAGTGGATGATCCTACTTACATATACTAGAGCAACGACCTGCTCTAGTTTGGAGAATTTCAGGTGGAATAATCCCCACCTTGGGATATAGTGGACCCAGGTATAGCAGCAAAGCAGTATTGGATAGGAAGGAGGACAAAAGGAATGACTGGATAGTTTAAAAAATATATATACTTTAATACAATAAGTGAAAAGTGAATAATAAACTATAAAACCAGTCCTGTATAAAAGTCCAAAATTCTTCCTCACTTGACGCGTTTCGCCGAAGCTTTCTCAAAAGTGAATGCTTGCTGCTTGGGGTCCTTGAGATTATATACCCTCTCTGATGATGATAAATCGATTCTGGTGAGGAATCCGCACAGAACTAAATGGGAGGATCTTGTTAATGATCTCAAGGCAGCTGGGACCATAGTCACCAAGAAAACAATTGGTAACACACTACGCCGTGAAGGACTGAAATCCTGCAGTGCCCCAAGGTCCCCCTGCCCAAGAAAGCACATGTACAAGCCTGTCTGAAGATTGCCAATGATGATCTGAATGATTCAGAGGAGAACTGGGTGAAAGTGTTGTGGTCAGATTAGACCAAAATTGAGCTCTTTGGTATCAACTTAACTCGCCATGTTTGGAGTAGGGGGAATGCTGCCTATGACCCCAAGAACACCATCCCCACCATCAAACATGGAAGTTGAAACTATGCTTTGGGTGTGTTTTTCTTCTAAGGAGGCAGGACAACTGCACCGCATCAAAGGGACGATGGATGGGGCCATGTACCGTCAAATCTTGGGTGAGAACCTCCTTCCCTCAGCCAGGGCATTGAAAATGGGTTGTGGATGGGTATTCCAGCATGACAGTGACCCAAAACACATAGCCAAGGCAACAAAGGACATTAAGGTCCTGGAGTGGCCTAGCCAGAAAATCTGTTGAGAGAGCTGAAGGTTCAAATTGCCAAACGTCAGCCTCGAAACCTTAATGATTTGGAGAGAATCTGCAAAGAGGAGTGGGACAAAATCCCTCCTGAGATGTGTGCAAACCTGGTGGCCAACTACAAGAAACGTCTGACCTCTGTGATTGCCAACAATGGTTTTGACACCGAGTACTAAGTTGAAGGGATCAAATACTTATTTCATTCATTGACATGCAAATCAATTTATGACTTTTTTTTTTTACATTCAATATTTTTTTATTGGTTTTCAAAGCATTTTGATTGGTTACAGAAAAGAAAAGAGAGAGGGAGACAGTAATAGATAGTACAGATCAGCAACCAATACGCTTATGGCATTCACAGTGACATCTCACAATGCTTGAAGTAACATTTTGTAAACATTACAATAACATCTGTATTCTCTGAGTACGCCCCTTGGGGTCCTGTGTGCCCTCTGTGTGACCAGCAATCTAGGGGACTGGTGAATGTACAGTGTGGGTATCTCTCTTGCCCTTACTACCTTCATCGTAGGAATGATGGCCTGTGTGTGTATCGTAATTGTGACAACCATCAATCAAGCCATCATTAGACTCTTGTCCCATTTTTTTTTCTCCCCCCCCCCCTCTTCTCCCCTTTGTGGAGAATGTATACTCTTTCTATTATTCGTGTTTCTCCCCTTGGTCATCTCGTGCCCCAAGTCTGTATGATTTACAACTTTTTTGCCATGCGTTTTTCTGGATTTTATTTTTGTTATTCTGTCTCTCGCTGTTAAAATGCACCTACCATTAGAATTATAGACCGATAATTTCTTTGTCAGTGGGCAAACGTTCAAAATCATCAGGGGATCGTATGAGTTTCCCTCCAGCAACACCTCCACCAGATACATGACGCTTGGGGAGGTATAACTGTTTGTGTTTTCTGTCTGTAAGATTCTGTAATTAGGCCCATCATAATTGTCAGCACCAGGCCCAATAGGTTCCTAATCTAGCCCTACTTGTACCTACTGTAATTATTTTTATTTTTTAAACAAAAGTCTGCAAAAATGATTGTCAAAAACAAACAAACTTTATTCTTTGTCAAATCCATACTTGCAAAACATGCTTGCAAAACTGGTGTGCATAAGAAATGTGACGAGAGCAATCTCGCCACATTGCATTGGAGAAGCCTGGTTGCTCGCCTGCTGCCTTTGGATTATGGCCCCATGTTAAAAGACTTTGTTTCCCCTGCAGAAAAGACTTATTCGTGCTTTTCTGCCCGGTGTTCGGTAGATTCAATCTACCGAACAACCGCACGAATGACTAGACAATCGCCTAAACGGTTTTAACCCCTTGTGTGCTGAAACGGTCCGTTACAAGAAACATTTTACAAATGGTTTCCATCTTACGATAAATTACTTTTGTTTGTTTGTTTAGATATTGTTTAACAGTAATTTAGAACAAAAAATACTTTTTCTCTTGAACCTGATTGCTTGGTGTTTGTGTGATCGGAGTTTGCTTTCTCAAACTACGATTAAAATCTGTGGGCTTCCGTCTGAGGCGGCCATGAAAAACGTTTTCTGCAGACTGCCATCTCTCTGTATTGGTTACAACAACAATTAGACACTTTATAACATGTACTTTTAAACGCAGATAACGTTTGATTCATTATTTTCATCCCTCTCCCATGTTTTTGCCATGGTATCTTCTGGAAACTCCTTGAACCTGTTATGGAAAAACAAACTTAACCATAAATTAATATATTTATTTATTCAGTGTATTTGCCCCCAAATACATCATACATAACAAAGATACAAGATGTATTCAAATTTTGAGATATACTCACCTGTCGTCTGTTCAAGAGCTGCCATCTTCTGAGTTTTGTGAATGGTACTCTTTGTGTAAATCCCACCTGTATTTGACCTCTGCTTTTCCTCTGGTCCACTGTGATTGCTCTGTTTGGAGAGGCATCTGAACTTTATTCCTATACTCCCTTGCCAACGCTAGCAGCGTCGGCAAGGGAGTTTCCATAGCAACTGCAGCACATGCGCCATGGTTGCTATGCTTGGGAGAGCAGAAGGACCGCCTGTGGGGGGGCTCTTTTCCGCTCTTCCTTGTCAGTCAAATCATCAGCAAAGGACAATATATGACTGAGAAATGGGAAAAATATATTTGTAAATAGATTTTTCTCCCAATCTATATCTGCTACCGCCAAGTATTGAAATTGCATGCTCTTTAAAAGGGAATGAGTGTTTTTGAGGTAGTACAGATTTCCTTTAGATACCTGTTGGGCAACCCTGTAATAAGTCACTGTTGATGTTCTCACTTAGCTTAAGAGGAATAGGGATTAGGGTGTATCGGGGGACATCTCTGCATATTCTTACACTAGCCAGGTCTGGAAAGTGACAAAGGATCCTATGTTAAACTTGTGTAAGAGGCAAGAAGGAGGTGAAAATGATTTACAAGCGACATTTAACCTCTGAGTAATGATGTGTCACTGGAGAATGTGACCTTAACAACCAGGACAATGAATGTTCTTGGGCCAGTGTTTGCTGTAAGGGACCACCCCGGTGACAATGGCAGCCTCACGAAGGGAGAATCCGTGTTCTTTTTAGCAACGCAGCTCAGACCTAAATAATGTAGCCTAGTATGACACACAGTCTCCAGAACATGTATAAATATTTCAATAGCCACTAAAATATTAACACACGTCTTGGCGACGCTGCTTATTAGTGGCAGACTAGTTCGTGAGGCTTCAAAAAGCCTAATCTTCAAACGTGGGGACTGGCGGTTTGATACTTAATCAGGGTTTTACACCAAATCTTAATTAAATCTTAATTTTATCCATGGTATAATCTAAATCAGGTATGTTCACCTGTGGCCTTCAAACCATTTCTTGGACTACAACTTCCATAATTCTCTGCCTGGTTGATGCTCACTTGGATTGTTAGGAGTTTTAGGTCAGCAACGGCTGGCTTGACTGAAACTCAACCCAGATTTAATGACGCTGGCCTCTCCTTTTCTGCCTTTATACAGATATACACATTGAATACAAGTGACCAGAGATTTCACTATAATATAATGACTCAACTTGAGACTGCTATTATATTCTGTGATAATCACCCAGCTAGGTTCGACCCCAAATGCTCTAGGATCGTGTTTCCCAAACCAGTCTTTAAGACCCACTAACAGTCCAGGTTTTGTTGGTATCACAATTGTAATAAAAAAGGGAAATACATAAATAGTGGGATGTTGGTGGGCCATGAGGACTGGTTTGGGAACGACTGGTCTAGGAAGTAAAAGTTTCCGTAAGGCATAGTTTGAATAAAAGGTAAACCATACCTCCCAAGTGTCCCAATTTAGGAGGGACAGTCTCTAGTTTGGACCTGTGACAAGAGCAATCTCACCACATTGCATTGGAGAAGCCTGGTTGCTCGCCTGCTGCCTTTGGACTATGGCCCCATGTTAAAAGACATATTTTTCCCTGCAGAAAAGACTTATTCGTGCTTTTCTGCCTGGTGTTCGGTAGATTCAATCTACCGAACAACCGCACAAATGGCTAGACCACCTGGGAGCTGGAGTGTGCCGGCAATTAGCCTCACCCGCAGCTTAATTGATGAATGCTGGGTGACCGCCATTCGTATCACAAACACGAGGTCGCGGCCATTTTAAACCCGCGAACGCACAGCGGTGTTTGACACTCAATTCATGAAACTAAAATCAGACACAGTTTTGCGCAAACACCGCTGAAGCCGCCGACCTCCCTTCTTGTTCGGTGAAAGTGCACGAACGGCCCGGTGTTCGGTAGTTTTACTTGAATATGTTATACCCCAGATAGGAATCCCATGGAGCCCATTCGCATGAGAACTGACTGTGTAAAGACTTTGGCTCCATGGCGATTACACTGTATTCGTGTGGTCTGAGCGCCATTTGCTTAATAATGTGCGCTCAGACCTGAGCTATCTGGGGACATGTTAAATGTATAGTTTTAGTGTAACTTGTGTCATACTGTGTATTTTAATTGTAATTCCTGTTTTAGTATCCCCACCTGCATAATGGCGATTTGCCTTTGTCTTGGGAGATAATTGAATTACTTCTCAATTATCTCCAAGGCAGAATGAGGAAGCCAGGATGCATTGTGGGAATATATTGTGACTGTGTGTCCTATTTGCCTACTTGTCTGTCTTTTGTCACTGTCTCCCATTTGGTCCCCTAGGGGAGTGTCCACCAGGTGGGAGACCTGCATAAATACTGGGCAGGTAGCCCTCATTAAACAGACCACTGCTTGACCCCCAACACGGAGCCTTGTCTCGTCTTTGGGGGGATTTACTGAATGCTGATAGAGACTGATTGCTAGGAGTGTAAGCCGCTTGGATGCTTTTCCTATTCGTCTGCTAGCAGCGATTCGTATGGTTCCAGTTCGTGTGTTTGGAGTGCTATATTGGATGCCGTTCAGGAGTTGGGAGCATTCACTTATTGGCGGTTCGTGAGTTTGGTGTTCTACAGTAGCTGTGCCTGCATCTCTGGAAGGGCAGATCTACTAAATGGCGGTTTAAACCTTTTATGCTGAGGGTGCCGTTACAGGACCCAAATCTCACAGCCCCTCTTTTCACTCCTAATGTCCCTTATTTCTAGGAGCTCTGTATTGTTGGTGTGTCTGAGTGTATAACAGAGTTCCACAGCAATAATACTCCCAGTAATGTGTCTGTGTGTATGAGAGAGCTGTACGGCAATCTGTCTTTAAACTACAATAAATGTGTTTTATTAGAAAATAAGATACATTGTTCTTCTGAAATTAGATTTTAGTTGCATCATTTATTAAGACATCTAAAATATCTCAGGACAGCACAGCCCCCGGCCACACTCTCACGCTTATCCCTAAAATGAAAGTGTCCCTCTTGTCAATTTGAAGTGTTGGGAGGTGTGGGTTAACTAATACACAGTGAGTCATTGCATACAAGAAATATATTCTATGGTCAGCATATTTAGAGAGCGACCAGGGATGAAAATTTCCAATCTGTTTTAGAAATGCGATCTGTTAAAAGGCAGCGTATGTAACATTTTTGGGATGTGTCCAGGACGGGAGACGCCTCTGCTGGTCCCTTGGTGTAGATCACAGATGTGATTATTACGACTATGTTTGGGGTTTATTATGGCAGAGGTTGTTTCTTAGAAATGGTTGAGAAGGAATACGAACAGGGAGTGGGCTGTTCGAAGTAGGATTGGAAAAGAGACATCTTGTCAGTAGGAGACGCAAAGCGTTTGATCACGATAAAAAGGAAAAATAAATCTTCTTCTGCTAAGATCATCACAGTGAGGCTTCTAAATGAATGTTTGTATTCATAGACTGTTAGCTACTTTCATCAAACCCTTTTTCCCTGTGTCTATTAATATTTAATATTTTGTATATCAATTACTTCTCAAATATCCCCTTTCTATAATTGTAAAGTGCTGCAGAATATGTTGATGCTATATAAATGATGATAATAATATTCGGGGTGCATTTGTGTGTGCGTCAGTGCATTCGTGTGCATGTTTTGTCTACGCACATCCGCTGTAGAAGTTACGTTGCTTAAAGTGTTCTGACAACTTAACTACTGCAGTAATCTTTAGAATGCTATAGTAGTTACGTGGTTGTGTCCTTTTAAATCATTGTTTCTTTTTTCTTTAATAATGTATTTAAAGTAAAGTGTTCTGCTGTATAGCAACCTGTATCTATTTATCAAAGTGTATTACAGAGAGGGCTGGCAGATCCACCAAGTTTGTCTGGTCATATTTCACAACAACATTCTATTGGGGTGGTACATGAAAATTGCTGCCCTTCAGAATGTGATAAGCATATTTCAGAAAATCAATTTATTGCTCAAAGCTTAATCGTAAATGTTTTGATTTGATAAGTATATTAATGTCCTTCCTGCAGTAAATGAATTCTACGTAATATTGGGCAGAACTGTTCATGTAATTCCCACCAGCAGGAAGAAGATATATGTGTCCAGGAAAGTTCGGTGGAGTTGGGCTAATCTGTGTTGTGCTATAAATGAACAGACTTTGAGCTTTTAAGGATTATTTGCAAGATAATGAGTTGTAAAGAAATGACAACTCACAGCGCAACATTCAGGCAAAACTAGACTAAACACTGCAGACTGAATGTTGCACATTGGTTAAAAACGAATATTGCCTCATTATTTATTGGATAAAACCCCCTATTGAAATTTATATATTCTTTACTTTGGTTTTCTGCCCAAATAATTATTTGTCCAGATTCTCCAGTAAACAACATTTGTTTTATAACCCCATTATTACTGCTTCTAACTTTCAAAATTATTATTTAAATTTTATTTATTTTTTAGGGCAGTCCCCGCGATGTGCGAGTCTGCGCTGCTTTGCTCCGAGCCCTCCAGTCCCAGCCCATACTATGGAGAATCTTCAGACACTTATTACCAAGTAGATCGGTGGCAGAAGTTACGCACTGCAGTCAGAAAGCTGGAATTCTGGGAAAGTTTCAGTGCAGAGTTAATTGGTAGTGGATTCTTTTCCAAGGTGTACAAGGTAGGTCATTCTGGTGAGTTTGTTGTTTTTGTTTAAAAAAAGAAAGAAAAATCTCTTTCTTTTGCTTAAAAATATCACTCATTCAGTGCATAGCATCCCTCTAAAAAAAATTTAAAACCACATTCAGAATGTAAAAAAAAAAATGGCTACAAATTGCATTTAATATTTTCATTCTTTTATTTATTTTATTTGTTTATTGACTTAATTCCTTTGCCTTTTATACATTTGATTGTATGTGGTGTCTAAAGAATCTAGAATATTTCCCAGCATGCTGCTGCTCCCATCCTGATTGGCGGCTAATTGTCTGTGTTTTGGATTATTACAATTGTTTGTATCAGGACACAAAATACCCCAAATGCCATTCTACCGGACAGAGCCAGTGTTTCTCTCTCCAAGACCCCGAGGCCAGAGAAAGCTTTCCTTTTATTACCCTGCAATGTGTCTGTCTGTAATTCTCAAGTTGTCATAAAAAGACTGTCTAACCCAGTCACACTAGTGTGTGCATGGCCTTCACATGCTGTAAGGTGCCCCGTCCAGTGATTCCCAGGTAACCAGAACAGTCTAAAACAGTCAGTCATTTTCTCCCAGGGCGCCGGGTCATGATGCCTCAGGTAGTAAAACTTCTGCTTTCATTTCTAAAGTATAACCTTTTCTGAGTCAGAGAGAAACACATGCACTTTGACAGGTGTTGTTCAAACATTACAAAGGTTACAAAACTCTAAAATAAACATGGTAATAGCAGGTCTTTATAGAGTAAACTGTGCAGATTTTCACAGACTGAACATTCATCTTCCAGAGTCCATATTCTGAACCCTGTAGCTCTAAATAGACTGAATACTGATCTCTGCAGCTCTCCGTAGACTTAATTCCAGGGATATGCATCCTTCGACACAGATGCATAACACAAAAGAACAAAGGTTGCCTACCACTGCCATAGAGTGAACCTTGCAGCTTTCCATAGACTGAACATTAAACCCCGCGGCTCTCCGCAGAGGGAACCCCCGCGGCTCTCCGCAGACGGAACCCCCGCGGCTCTCCGCACCCCCGCGGCTCTCCGCGGACGGAACCCCCGCGGCTCTCCGCGGACGGAACCCCCGCGGCTCTCCGCGGACGGAACCCCCGCGGCTCTCCGCGGACGGAACCCCCGCGGCTCTCCGCGGACGGAACCCCCGCGGCTCTCCGCAGACGATTTTGAGCAAATCATTGATACTCTAAGCAAACTTGCCATTTTCTGGAGAGATAACCCAGGTTCAATTCATTAACCTGGTTAGTTAATTTATGGATTAATGCTAGGCTTGTGAATACAGCTCTAGATCACTGGCGTTAATAAACCCAGCCTTTGCAACTCTGCTTAAATGTAACAAATCTCAGTTTCTTGAGATGCTTAACTCGGCCATTGTGGATTGAATCCTATCCAGTTTTTCAGACAAATGTCGACCTAGTGCCTAGTTCCCTCTTTGCAGAGACCAAAATAAGTCACTGCTCGTTTTCTAAAAGTGTAAATAAACTTTGGTGAAAATAATCGCACCTGTTCTAAATTAGTTTACTTTATTTGACAGAAATCAAGAAAGCAATAAACAATCCATGTATTGTTCAACCAGGACAATTAACAATATATCACCTGGTTTTCTTACCAGCAAGGATTCCCACAAACATTTCTCCTACAATGTAATTTATTTACCAAAGGTGTGACCTGCTACTGAATATAACATATAAAAACAAATATTACAGTTTGGAGATTTCTCCTGCTCATCGTTTGCGCACTTTTTGAAAGAAGCGACTGGTGCTTTTTAATATTCCTTTACGGATATTTTTGGTGAAATCGTAATATCTGCCAAATTCGTCCAAATCATTAGGGGGAAAATCTTGTTTGACCTGTCAGCACAAATGGTGTTTCAAATGGACAATTAAACGTTATTTGAAGATGATGTGATGTTTACTATCAGATCCGAGATCTTCATTAGGGGGTCAGGATTAGGATATATTAAATTATAGAAATAGTCGGAGAGCGGGAGCAGGCGTGCAGTGGAAGCAGCAAATGCAAAGGCTAACCGTTATAGAGAAATGTGTGTACGGAAAGCAGAGGAGTATAGCTGATTATGTACAGACAAAAAAAACCCAGTACAATAGTGTGAGAGTTAGTGATGCAATAAAACTGCGCCAATATGAAATGCACTCACAAGATGAAGATGGTAAAATCGCCTTAAGGTGCCTCCCCTTAGTTGGTTGGGGGGTAAGTCACGAGCTCCCTCTCAGCTGATTGATGGAATCACCACAATATGAAAGTCCGGTAAAAAAACAATCTGCTTTATTACATCTTAATATATGGATAAAATACAAATCCAGTCCTACACGTTTCGTCTTGTATAGGACTTCCTCAGGGACCCAGCAGTAAAAATAAATTCATACAGATAATAAATCCTAACAAAGGACAAATAGTGTATAACCCTTCCATCCAAAGTCCTTCCTTATATATGGCTTTCCTCCGATCCCATTGGTGGTACAATGGGTGTCTTCAATGATGTCCAGCTGTTCCAGGGTTAAACATACCCGTATGTTGTCTCTTCCGGGTGACTTATGCGTTCCAACTAGCGGCCATTATGCGTTTCACCTTTGGTAGTTCCTATTGCCCATCATGCATTGACATGAGCATAACAATGCATAGATCTCAGGGGATCCTGCAAGGCTCAATTTTTTTTACCATTTCCCGAGTCCAGGCTTCCATATTCCATATTGTGGCGATTCCATCAATCAGGTGAGAGGGAGCTCGGGACTTACCCCCAACCATCTAACAGGAGGCACCTTAAGGCGACTTTACCATCTTCATCTTGGCGCAGTTTTATTGCATCACGTACTGCTTTCTGTACACATATTTCTGTTATACGGGATACGGTCTTGAATATCCAGAGAGGAAGCTGTTATATTACATTGAGATAAGTAATTTCTTTTTAAGACACTTTTAGGACATTATTTTCTAGAGGTGTGGGTTTAGACAACCTCTGTCTTTTTGCTATATATAGTTATAGAGAAATGGCAGTAGATACGTGGAAAAGCCTTCCAGTGGCAGCAGTAACAGTGATAAAGAAAGGGTAGAAGATACCAGGAATAGCCTTACAGTGGGAGCAGGAACAGTGATATAGAAAGGGTAGTAGATACCTGGAATAGCCTTCCAGTGGGAGCAGTAACAGTGATATAGAAAGGGTAGTAGATACCAGGAATAGCCTTCCAGTGGGAGCAGAAACAGTGATATAGAAAGGGTAGTAGATACCAGGAATAGCCTTCCAGTGGGAGCAGTAACAGTAATATAGAAAGGGTAGTATATACCTGGAATAGCCTTCCAGTGAGAGCAGTAACAGTGATATAGAAAGGGTAGTAGATACCTGGAATAGCCTTACGGTGGGAGCAGGAACAGTGATATAGAAAGGGTAGTAGATACCAGGAATAGCCTTCCAGTGGGAGCAGAAACAGTGATATAGAAAGGGTAGTAGATACCTGGAATAGCCTTCCAGTGAGAGCAGTAACAGTGATATAGAAAGGGTAGTAGATACCTGGAATAGCCTTCCAGTAGGAGCAGTAACAGTGATATAGAAAGGGTAGTAGATACCTGGAATAGCCTTCCAGTGGGAGCAGTAACAGTGATATAGAAAGGGTAGTAGATACCTGGAATAGCCTTCCAGTGGGAGCAGTAACAGTGATATAGAAAGGGTAGTAGATACCTGGAATAGCCTTCCAGTGGGAGCAGTAACAGTGATATAGAAAGGGTAGTAGATACCTGGAATAGCCTTCCAGTGGGAGTAGTAACAGTGATAAATAAATGGTAGGAGATACCTGGAATAGCAGTAACAGTGATATAGAAAGGGTAGTAGATACCTGGAGCAATAACAGTGATATAGAAAGGGTAGTAGATACCTGGAATAGCCTTCCAGTGGGAGCAGTAACAGTGATATAGAAAGGGTAGGATAGTAGTCCAGTGGGAGCAATAACAGTGATATAGAAAGGGTAGTAGATACCTGGAATAGCCTTCCAGTGGGAGCAGTAACAGTGATATAGAAAGGGAAGTAGATACCTGGAATAGCCTTCCAGTGGGAGCAGTAACAGTGATATAGAAAGGGTAGTAGATATTTGGAATAGCCTTCCAGTGGAAGCAGTAGAGTCTGACCTTACTAATGGAATTGAAAAATGTTTTTACTATGTATAATGCTGACTTAATGACAAGCAAGATCACCTTGATGTCTAATCATGTGCTGACCCAGGGCCCAGTTGTTTTTCCATTTACGGCTGTTCATTTTAGATTCCTCACTCCCCCACCCCCCCTTTTTCTATCAATGCAGCTTGGGTTGTTCACCCACTTTATCACAATGATCTGATATTTTGAGATTTTTCCATTTGGCATCAATGCAGCTGGAGCTGTTCTTCCAGGTTGTCAAATGTTTGCCTGTCAGAGAACAATGCGCCTGTTTGTGTGGATGTGTGTGTGTGTGTGTGTGTGCGTGCACGTTGTACAATTAATTTAAAGGAGCACTGTAGTGCCAGGAATGCGCGTGCATTCAGCCAGTCTCATAGGAAAGCATTCACAATGGACGCTTGTGTCTTCTCACTGTGATTTTCACAGTGAGAAGCACGCAAACGCCTCTAGCGGCCGTCAATGAGACAGCCACTAGAGGCTTTAGAGGCTGGATTAACCGTATTATAAACATAGAAATTTCTCTGAAACTGCTATGTTTATTGAAGAAATGGTTAATCCTAGCTGGACCAGGCACCCAGACCACCTCATTAAGCTGAAGTGGTCTGGGTGCCTAGAGAGGTCCTTTAATTCACAAACCTTCATCTGATGCGTCGCTGCCCTGGGTGTTCTGCACGTGCTGTGTGATAATGGAAATAGATAAAGAGAAAAATAAAATTAGAAATGTATTCTTCCCAGAATGCCTCACTGGTCCTTACATTAGTGATAGCATTTTGAAGGAGTGCCATGCTTATTACATTGTGAGGAACCCCGGTTGGCGCCTGTACATTTTGCTTTAGTACATTTGCTACATGCAGTAAATCTGGATCAGGTAGCTCGACCTATTTGAGCTATATATGTAAGAGTTGTCTAACACAGCCCATGGGAGGAAAAGTATATATACAGTTTTTTTTTTCATATTTTGATTGACTGCAGACACCATATGCCCTCAGGTGTTCTAACGATCTACCACAGTGAGTTTGAATACTCTGATGAAACAAGTATAACCATGTCAAGGGCCGCTAGGCACAAACATTTCTCATCCTTCCTGTCTTAACCTCCTATTGGGATGCTTGGGATGGGGCATAGGAGAAGCAAAAAGTACTCTGCTTAAAAATAAATAAATAAATAAAACCCCAAAATAGTAATCCTGTAAATTTGTAGTGTATTAATTTGTAGTGGATCTCGTTTGCAAAACAAAATGGAGCCTGTGGACAGCCACCATTCTATCCCTGAGTTTGATGCAATTCCAAAATGGCCGCCCGCACACTGAAATCCTTACGGATCACATGTGGCGATTGCAATAAAACATACTGTAGGTTGGCTCGATAGAATCAATATCCATCTGTTATGGAAAGAAAACGACCAAACTACCAATAAATTGCTGTGCTGGGTTACCGTGGGAGCTTTGGATTGCATTCTGGGATTTGTTCTTCCATATGTGGTCCATATTATAATGATGGCACACTCTTGTAGTCAACAACCGCTATTCAAGTGTCTGGAAATTTTAACTCCCATCACTCTCAGCAATTCTTGCTTGTTGTTTTAGGTATACTAAGTCGAGAATATCGGCGATAACAGCCATATCTTGGCAGTTGCATCTACAGCTATTGACGAGACAATTCCTATGACCCTTGGCTGGCTGGCTGACCGTGATGGGTTTTGTTGTATACATAGAACACCTTATATGTGGGTCCTTGGCAGCCATGGCAGTCCTGTGAGGTTTGCTCAATACATCTCACACTATCCTTAGCCAGATGGTGCATTGTACAATCATAGTAATTTTTTTATTTTTTTTTATTTTCTCTAGACTGCATTGTTAAAGAACTGTATTTTCCTCTTGTTAAAGTAGTTGTGTATTAATCCTATTTTAAACTAAGACATCTCACTCACTCCACATTTAACGCACGGGATCACTGTAGTACGAGCCTGGGATCCTCATAGTTGCTGGGTTTAGGCTGGGCCAGCTAGCTAATCATTGTTTCGGCTTCCTTATGGCCACAGCTTCATATGCACTTCTGTCCGGCATGCCAGGTTGCACCTGCTGTCCTGAGATCTAGAACCCTGCACCTGTAACAGAGGCTTCACACAGTGGTGATGGTACTATACTCTACCTATTTAAAAAAAATACATAAAAGAATTCAGAATAGTTTTTCTGATGTGCATGGTTTGTGTTTTTTAGGTTGGTTGTTTGAGTGGTGTATATGGGGATATATAGATTCTTCCCTCTTATGACAGGATTCAAAGCAGAGTATTTTGTGTGTTCCCTATTGCAGAACGTCTGATCGATTTGTGGGTCTGGCAGGAAATGGGCCTTACGCTGCGGTGATTTTTAGTGCAAAGGTTTTGTCCTAAACCAGCCATATCCTTCCTGCTGACATTGGATACATGGGACGCTGTGTGCTAAGTGTACAGGAAGGACCCAAGGTCGGCGTGTTCGCCTCTGCCTCTTGGGAACCAGGAATATTTTTTATAGATCGGACTATAAAAGATTCTTCAAATTTAGCAGCAATTTTTTAAAAGCAATTCTAGAGATATTCCAACTATAGAATGTAATTGTTTGATTCTATTCCACTAGATTCTAAAAGTATGTCTCAGAAAATAATTCAACTCTTTCTTGCATCCTGCAGGACTAATTTGGTTTAAACACAATCCTGAAATATGTATTATTTTATTTAAATTTCCACAATCCAACTGCATTACATTGTGTGCTGGGACACACCTGGTACTCCCCTGGAGCACCTCATTTACTAGTACAGGTTACACATTTCACATTGAGAACATATTGGAGTGCAAGCTCTTTAACCCAGAATGTGATACTGTTTTCCAACTGGTGAACCCTTGGCTGGATTGCAATTAATTATGAGAAGATCACGATTCTGTTATTTATTCTTCCCTATCTTCCTAGTCTTCTGATGAGTTGGTCGAACATTTTGCACACTTCCCCCGTGATGGTCCCACCCTGCACAGATGGGAAGTCTTGAGACTTTTATTACTTTATCTTAATTCTTAAGCAAAATGGAAACTTGTTTTGATTCTTCCAATAGACGTTTGATTTATGTTAACCCTCCCTGTATTGTGTTCGATACAATACTCCTACACAGCGCAGCCTAAACGAGTATTTCTGTTTAAACAAAGGTCCCTGCCAAATCATTTGATTTTCCATTAACTTCAAAGGGCATCCTATCTCCATAGTGTATGAATAGATATGCTGTGTAATACGATCTTCAAAAAAGGGAATATTACAACAATTCAATGGCTCATGTTTAAATGTTGATGAATCCTTTGTGGGTGCTTTAAAGGTAAATGCTTCTAAGTCGTATTTATTTTAATCTTTGAATGAATGTTCTTGTTATCTTGCTTAGTAACGGTCTATAACAGTGCTTAGATTTTTTTTTTGTATTGTTATTGCTGGGGCAGTGTATTGGTTTATTTACTAAACACTGAATCGGAGGGAATTTCTTGCAAATGTTAGGGGGAAAATCTGGAAAAATTCTCTTAGTGCTGTATTCATAGTTGGACTATTTTTTTGCAGTTTGGTATTCAATGCAGTGAATACACCCATAGAGAAACATGTTCTGCACCATCATACAGTGTATCTTAATTGTTCCTCTTTAAGATGTGTTTTATCAAATATTAGACTGAGATACCCGTGATGTCATGACCTTATACTAATATCGACTTGACTTGGGGTGATAACAGTAGTAGTCGCTACAGCAAGTAACAATGAATTCTGCGTTAAATTCAGCAGATTATATCCCAGGTTGTTACCAGGGGTAGAGTAGAAACAGCAGAGAGGAGTTGTCTATATTGACGACACAGACACCCCATTCCTCAAACAGATCAAATCTCTATTATTACGATTTCCTGCTGCTCTATCATTCGTTTCTGCTGCTGATTCCATAACAGTCACTTCTGGATACACTGTAGCATTAGTAGGGAACACAATATACCCATCTCAAAGTATGGTCTTTTGCTCTGCAGGTTAACACCGGGGCAGGATCGAAGCCCATGGTGGTGAAGATTTATAAAAATGAAGTGGATGAGGAAGTGGTTGTCCGAGAGATAAGTCTTTTGCAGAAGTTATCTCATCCAAACATTGTAAGGTGGGCACCTTTTACCAGTTACTGTATTCCTGTATGTGTCTGTATCTTCTAATGTTCTACCTGGGCTTGCCTCTGGTGGAAGTCAACATTTTGTGAGTTTTCGAAACACGTCACTATATTTTCTGTGACTCCTAAATAAATTAGACTACTGTAGATTACAGACGATGCATGAATAGAATATCAGTCATTTTCAAATACGAAGGCACAGAGCTGATAAAAATCCTGACCCCTGATTGTACACGATTTCGTTTTGGGGTTTGCTGTTGGACATTTAAGTCGCAAATTGGACATGATTTTGGAACAAGCATGATTTCACAAAATTTTATATTTGAATTTGAATGACAAACTATAAAAGTCAATTTAAGATGTCCCAATCTGTTTATTTTTAGGTACCTTGGTATATGTGTGAAAGATGAAAAGCTGTATCCAATATTGGAGGTAACCAGAAGAAATGCTTTCATATTTCATATAAAGATATGTGATCGAAATGAGTAGTATTTGCTATTGTTTTTTCCTCTCTAGATATTTATGCAATGTTTTAATACTTGCTTTCTCTGTCGAATCATAAACACTTGAAATCACTAAATTGACCCTCTGGTCATAAACCTCTTTAATTTGTCAAATTACCCTGGACTTACTGAGTTTAGTATGGAACTGCTGTTCTAGTTGGTATATTCAGTATTGAAAGTATAGTTATACGGTACAGATACTGAGAGAAGCAATAGTGTAATGTGTAAATGATACATTTGGAATTCAGAATTAAATAGTGTACAATAAAAACATGGTCAGTGCAAAGTGTTGCCCTTGAGATTATGTCTGTTGAGAAAAGTTCTGTCACTCTTAAGGCAAATAAAAGTTGTGTAAATCTATGAAGGAAATACAATCTAAAAAAAAAAAATGTAGAGGACTTTTACTAACTGTTTCTTCTCTTCTTTTAGTATGTGAATGGTGGGTGTGTAGAAGAATTACTAGCATGTAAAGATGTTGCCCTTAGCTGGAAAGAGAAGGTGGACCTGTCTTGTGACATTAGCCGGGGCATGGTCTATTTACACTCTAAAAATATCTACCATCGAGACCTCAACTCCAAGGTATATGGTAGGCTATTGTCTAACTTTTTTGAATCTGAAAATGCATTCTTCAAATTTGTATCTAGATTCTCAGGTCCAGAAAGAAGCTGCAGGCAGCTTTAAGTAGAACCTTCAGTGTTACTTGTGGTCCAAAATGACATTAGTTCTTCTTTGTGCTGGCAGAGATTGTTTACATTCTAATTTACAAATTTGGCTCAATCAATACTAGGCATAGACCTCTGTGCAGTAAAATAGAGGTCTGTGCTGATGTTTTAGTGACAGGGGAAAGAAGGAGAACCCTTCTCCAGGCAATTCTCACCATCATAGATTTTCCATCAGTAAGTGCCTACTTGGAAAATATAGGAGCGGAGTAACTAATTAGACTCTGTTCTGATGCTAGTGGGCTGCTTGCAATTAAGGATGATTGGCCTGCTTTCGGGAAGTGTCCCTAAGCAAGGCCATTTGCTGTTCAGAATGAGGGCGGAGGTTAACATAGTGTAATAACCAAGGACCTCCACAAATGGCAGTGCTTAAAGTGACTTGATGGGTTGACTTCCAAATCTTTCAAGATTCCTAGAGCCAATTCTCTTTTCTGGATTGTTTTGTCATTTACTTTCTAGAACTGTCTAATCCGGGTGACACATCGAGGCAGGGAAGCTTTGGTAACAGATTTTGGCCTTGCCCGGGAAGTGGTGGAGCCAGCCCTGAAAAATGGTGAAAGGAAACTTTCTCTGGTGGGATCTGCTTTCTGGATGGCTCCCGAAATGTTGCGTGGAGAACCCTATGATCGAAAGGTTGGTTCCTCTTTTTTTTTCAAATCACAATTTAATCAGCTGTTTATTGATCTTTTACAGCAGCAATTGCCAAGGGAATGGTTTTTAGGACTGTGATTCTCTAAATAGTCTCCAAAAACGATAGAGGATTCAAGAATTGGGTATTTCCCATTCCTGTTCATATTCAGACTGATTTACTGTAATAAACAATCCAGGAAAAGATAATAAAACCCGACTAGTAATAAAAAGTAAAGGAGAATAAAAATCAGTTTCTTCATATATCCTTCTGAGTTCTTATCTCAAGGTCTCAACAAACGTATCTCTTGGCAAATATGTACATAATGGGGACAGAGCTACAGCGCTGCTAGTCCTTCGATTGTTCAAATAATGAGTTTAGAACATGCGCACGTCCCGTCCTATAACCCTTCCACCTCATTAACCCAGACCATAAGGGGAAAATATTTGGAATATTTTTAATTTCCTTCCCTAGGTTGACGTTTTCTCTTTTGGGATCGTATTATGTGAAATCCTTGGCCGAATTCCCGCTGATCCGGAGATTCTGCCACGAACACGGGTACGTATGATCCTGTATACAATGTACTGCTCCTTGTCATCCATGGTTGACCCACTGTGTGTCTAACATCCTTTTGGCACACAATGGGTTACATGCAGGAAACTTAATATTTCTCTTCTCGAAATCACTTTCCCCATGGGTAGTGGTGTGTGTCTGCTTTTAATTCTCTCTGCAGAAACCTCCAGGAATGCAACGCAGGGTGGATATTGTAATAACAACGTGTGTGTGTTAAAAAGCATCCTCTGGGAGATATTAAATGGAATATTTTATAGTGATCCATACATCTATTGGTCACTGCTGCAATTTGGCACATGAAGTACTTTACCAACTCAAAATACTCTCCAACTGCAAAAAAACTTATTTTGCAGATTTATATTTAAAAAAAAAAAAAAACTAAAATTTTTTTAAAGGCTGTAAATCTGTCCCAAAAAAACCCAAAAGAAAACAAAACAAAAAAAATGCAAACGATGTTTAAGTGGAAAGGGGGCTGCTGAATAGATTTAAGATTGTAGTTTTGTTTTACTCTGTTTATTTTTCAGGTTCCGAATGCCCTTTGCTTTGTATCATTATTGTTTTACATTGGTTAGATCACAATTAACTTCTCCGGCACATTGCAGCGAGATGTGTTAACCTCTGTCCTTTCTGTTACAGGATTATGGTCTAGATGTGGTTGCATTCCAAGAGCTGATTAAGGGTTGTCCTAAAAGAGTCCTGGATTTAGCCGTCAGCTGTTGTCGGGTAATAGACTTGAGTGGATTTCTGTTTTTTTAATTCTTTAATCTGGGTTTTCTTTGGGAACTGAGCACTAATTTGTGGTGACTGAAGAACTGACTTGAAATATTAAAGAAACACTCTAAGCGCCATAACCACTGTAGCACACTGTGGTGGCTATGGTGCCCCCCCATTCTATGCAGTCATACCATTTTACCTCTGGCCTGCCAGGCGTTTCTCCCCACCTCCAGCTGACATAGAGCGAGATGTGTGTGTCTGAGCTAAGCCTAGAGGTCCAGGGCTTTACATCTTTGACTGAGAGTGATTGGCTTACGTTCTCAACCAGTGAGTTAGGCGTGCACTCCAGTGCTTAGCACAAGAGCGCTAAATTAAGTTTTTAAGCAGGAGGTTCCAGCTCTTTACTGGTTACAGTGGAGTCGGGGAGCGGCGCAAGGTGGAGCGCAGAGAAGAGGGAAGACCCGTTCTAAAATGATGCACAAATAAAAAGGAACTGTCTCATCCCATGGCTTGTATCACTTTGCTTACCTATACCCTATATTTAAAGGGACACTCCACTGCCTAGATACAAACAAATATTTATTTAGTAAATATCATCAATCACTGTTATCAGCTCTGCCCTTTGCAGAGTGGAGACACAGCAACAATGTTTCAATGTCTCTTCCCCTAGCGCAATGAATCCTCTGCCTGAACTGGATTGTGATGCCACTTTCGGAATTCTTAATATATACTAAAAACACTACATGGAAAGAAACGTGTTTTTGCATTACTTAATAAAGCATGAAATATGGTTTTAATATTTTTGGATAAGTGTTAAATAACTAAATTTTTTATAATAATAAAATATCTATAATAATATATATATATATATATATATATATATATAAGAAAAAAAATCAATATATAAAAAAAATGATTCAAATGTTTAAAATAAAAATTCCCAAAGTCGTTATGTTTTCATATATGTCACTATCTCCCTCTTTTTATCTAGTACCTTACACTAATGATTTTATATTTTGAGTTTATATTCAGTTGGGTTACCACCATTTAGGGAGTTTATTTTTTTTTATTTTTCTCTGAGACCCTGCTTCACTCACCCACTCGCCATACTCTTCCTTGGCCAGTGGGTTACTGTCACTTTGTATTTCTTTTTAAAACTTATTATAAAATTATTTTAAAAACTTATTTGAAAAGCTTATCCTACATATTAAACCGAGGTCAAGGTGTGTTTCATTGCTTTGAAATGGTTCACTGATGATTCAAAAGGTAATTCATAGTCTCTGCTAGCCTGTGACTATCGCAGAGGATTCTGGGGATAGTAGTCCTAAACAACTAGGGGGTGTGCTTTGTCACTTAGCCTGGGTTTGACATTCGTGAATGTTATTTCTCTTTAATTAAAGGAACAATCAAGAACCCTAAAGCACTTTAACTGATTGAACAGCTTTATTTGTGAAGAGTGCACCCGATTTTGTTTTTTTAAGTTGCAAAAAGTACAGATTTCAATAGAAATTGACACTTTTCTAAATTAACTCGTTTACACCCAGCCCTCCCCCTCGTGCATTATGTAGTTTGGCGACAGCACATCTTACGCACCTGATGCTAACCCTCTTTTTATTTTGACAGCTTGAGGCCTTTAAGAGACCGTCATTCAGTGAAGTCCTTGATGAACTTGAAGACATTGCAGAAACTTTAGAATCACAGACAATACTTCAAGATTCTGGCTGAGGTTTAATCACTGGACTTTCTCTCACTTGTAAATAAATGTACAAACCCCTCCAGGTTAAAGGACAGATTTTTCGGGGGGGAAATGTGTATAAATAAGAATACAGAACCTGGTATTTATTGAATTTGACTGGGCTATATTTTTGTGAATTTTTGTTTTCTTTTATATATGTGGTATTGTCACAAACCTCAACAAATGATCTTCTTGCCGCACTGGGCGTGGCTTGCACTGATTGGCCAGCGTTCAGAACTTGACACCCCTGGCAACTCATGAAAAGTTCATGTTAACTACACGTTCTCATTGAGTGGCATTATGTTTTTTTTAATGTACAATTTTGTTGCTACATTTTTTTAGCAGTTTGACGTCAGAGATCCTACCTCTACTGTAAAAGCATCGCACTCATTTCGACTTAAGAGACTCTGTCACCAATATTCTGTATATCAAATGAAACTCCAGCTCGTGCAGAATGCTATAATATTCAGTTTGTTAATAATGCGTTTTATATACCTCCAGATTCATACAGTGCTTTATAAACTGTGCTCACTTTGGATGCTTTGAAAATCGGATGTTCATTTAGAAGCTCCAATGTTCCCTGTGTTGGCCCAAATTAAAGGTCAGTAATGTGAGCTAATAGACATAGAACTCTGAGGAGAGTCCAGAAGTGTATTTAAAGTTGTAGCATTCGTCCTTTCTGCATTTTACTGCTGTGATTAGACCTCCATTATAAAGAGAGACTTCATGGGTAGAAATCCAAAGGAAAAACCAAACCGTGGTATTTAACCTGCATTCTGAGTGGCTGCTTCACGCTGTCCCCCAATGAAAATACAGCTGGTATTAAAAATCCACTAACGAGAATAAAATAATGGTAACTCGACATTGGCTGTGAAATGCATACTTCCTGGGCCAATATTCAAAGAGTTGTTTCTGTGACTTTTACAGCTATTTCTGAACATAAAAATTCTATTTTATATCATCTGAATGTAATTAGAAACACAGTGTTGGTCTCTAAGTCCCCATGGCAGGGTCATCTATCACATCCACTTGACAAAAGTTGTCTTTTCTTAAAATTTAGCAACTATTTAATAGTGTTTTGCATCGATTTTCCATACTGCCTGAGGTGCCTGAGTCCTAGAGTTAGGCAAGAATAACATTTTCACTCAAAAATAATTGCATTTCTAATCCTCTGGAGACAATTCCGAGTTTTGTGAATAAAACCCATAGTGACATTTCACATTTGGATCTCCTAATCTTTAGGCGGTATCAGGATTAACTTTACAGTTTAGTGCAAAAATTAGGAAACTGTGATTGAAGAAAATAGCTGGTTTTAGAATTCATTTGTTGTCCCTTTCAGACTTCATTTAGCAAGGAATATGTCCCTCTGTCATTTGGAGCCTACACTCACCATGCTCTTATTTACTGATCAATATTTCTGGTGCCTTAACTATCGGTTGATTCCACGCTTCCACAAACTTATATCCTGTTTATGTGATAAGAAGATAATTACCATTTTTGAACTAAAAAAAAATACAGCCAAGTAGGTCCATCTGCAATCGGTGATAAGATAAATTGATAAACTGATGGGATCTGAAAAAGGACACGGGACTGGACTGTTTAAGTGATACGTTATGGAAACTGGTATCTTCCTACCATTCATTATTGGACCGGCACCAGGAATGTTCCATCTGAAAAAATGGCAAGAAGGGAATCGCTGGCAAACACCTGGTCAAGTCATGCCAGAAAAAAACAAAAAAAAACAAAGTTGTTTCAGTTTTGGACATCAGTGTTGCTCTCATGTACACCATGTCTTACTGTCTGCTTTTATATGTTTTTGTGTATTAAAAAAACAAACCAATAATAGAAGTATTATCTTTTATATATATTTGGGCATGTTAACTTTTCATGTGCTTTTATGTTGACCTCCCAGTGCCAAAGGCATCTTTTCTCCCAGTTCCATTGATTTTACAGTTTATAGTAAAAAAAATGAATACAAATATATAATACATTTAAAAACCAAAACAAAACATTTTTCTTAAACAACTAAAGCAAAATTTGCATCCCCTCCCCCCCCCAAAGGATCCCTTCTCCCCCATACCTGCAGCATGGTGGCACTGGGCTGTCTTTGGAGTCTGTTATTAGATCGACTTCTAAAGAGAGGGTCTGAGGGTAATTTATTGCAGCAGTGAGATAAGCATGTTTTTCACCAGACACTAATCTAGATATGGTCGGAATCACCATTTTATAGTGCGTTACAGATTAAGTAAAGCTGCTTAAAATTTACTTTTTGCTAAATACTTTTCGAATACTTGGGTGTCTATTTTGAGCCAGTTGTCTGTTCTAACAGAACAAAATATTAAATAAATACATTTAAAAACATTTATTTATTTTTTTCCCATTGCTGCTATCTGCCATTATTCTTGAAGTCCTTTGCCAATTCACTATCCAAGGGATCATTTTAGATACGTCACTGCACGCTGCCCGGATATGTACAAACCGATGCGTCTTTGCAACAAGGTCAACCCTCTTTTGATAAATAGAATTCAGCATTCAGCAAACTGGCTTCTTTAGCCTCGGTTTTACTTGACTTTGCCAACTTTTATTAACCATTTTGATGCTGAAGTGGGAACTCTGTAGATTTTACTCTTACATCACTGATCACTGAAATAGTTAATGGGTTCGGATTGTTGGGATTAACAGACCTGAACCGTGTGCTCTTGTGATGTGATCCCAAGAATTGCTTGTGTCAGGGATATATTTGCTGACTTGCAGAAATATTATGCCGGCATGTACCGGTATGTTGGTATAATTGACAAAGCATCACACAAACAGCCAGTCAGCACACATTAGGACTGCACAGGAGACCTGTAGACCGTGATTGAAGAAAATAGCTGGTTTTAGAATTCATTTTTAAAGAAATCTATATATTAGGATCAGTAAAGAAATCTATATATTAGGATCAGTAAAGAAATCTATATATTTAATAAATATCTAATACTGTAAATATAGATCATTTACTGTTTAGGTTACTTTTTCTCTTCTTGTGAACCAAATGTCGTGAAAATATGCCTATTGGTGTACTGTAAAATATATCCTCTGTATATTGCGTATAAATATTTCACAGTACATTACTTGGCTTTTTGTTTTTATTAATCTTTCTCGGATTTATTTTTCCAAATCTCTCTTTGTTAATGAAATTTAAACAAGCTAATTTTTACATTTTATTCATTTTTATTTTTTATATTTTCGGCACAGGTGATTCGACCAGAATGAATTTTTCTGCCATGCACAAGTCTAGTGTCACATACAAATATGAACACTCCAACAGTCCAGTTCCGGACCATTTATAAACAAATGAGAAAGCCCTGTACCCAGAACTCAACCTTGAGTAACAAAAGGTTTAATTAATTGTTACAATGGAACAGATGGTGCCCTGTAGTAAACTGAGATCATTCATTACTAATTAAAGACTTGGCCAGCCAGTGAGCCAAGAGAACGACCATCGAAAAGGAAAATACTAGTTTGTCGTTTGTGTTTGAAAATGAGGGCCGTAGCTAGGCAGAAGTACATTAAAGGAAGAATGCACACTCACTATGTGAGATTTACCAGCATCTTGGCAAATTAAAAACTACATATATTCTTTAAAAAGAAAACCAACTGACACAAATTTATTTTCAATGTTATATAATGCTTATCCCAGTAATTGGTAATAATGCATTTTATTGTGTTTTGGTTTGTAAAAATGCAAGAATAAGGTTAAAAAGGTAACAAGCAATATTTTTGTTTTGAATGCGTTTAAAAGGGACACTATGAGACTGCACGATCTATACATCGAAAATGCTTCACTAAGCAAAAGTTGTTTTGGTGCCAATAGTGTCCCTTTCAAACTAAAAGTATATTTTGAATTGAAGAGTATAATACAGAACTGTGAATCTGTCACACAAGATAGAACTGCCTTAACATTTTGGATGGCATTAATAATACACTTTCAAACTTTTTTTTAACTCTTTGACATTCACATTTTTTTTTTATTCACTACTTATATCTACATTTTCTGAGTTAAAGTGCAAATTAGGCAGAGAAACCATTATTGTTCTTTCTTTCACATTCTAATAATACTGACGGTAATACAGAAAGGCTGATTGCGATGTACCAACGTTTATTAGTTTTTGTAACTTAGCAATTTATTTTTACTGTATGATTTTTAGTTTGTTGATTAGTAATATTAAAAATTCATAAAATTTAAAATTTCAATTTTCCACTCTTAATGCAAATCTATTTAAATTTTCCTTAATTAAGCTTCCCCCCCCCCCCTTTCTTCATCTAAAATTACATTACAAATTTTGCAATAGAGTTCCCATGAGGACTATTTTTGAAATGCGAAAAATCAAGAAAAAAATAAATAAAAGTCAACTTACATTCTACAGAATTTCTGTATGTTTTCAGCAGTAGCCGTAATGTTAGAGCGCAATTGATTCTAGTTCGTAAGTGTTTTGACACTTAAACAGGGCTATTAATTAAACTATGACTTGTCAGGAATTCAAAGAGAATTTCACGTTTTAAGGTGAGTTTTCAATTAAAATTAGAAATTCAGTGTGAAATTCTATTGAATTCACACTTTAGGGGAATTAAAGAGAAATCACTTGAGAAGTCAAAGATCTGTGGCATTAAAGGAACACTCTCTGCACCATAACCACTTTATCTCTTTGAAGTGGTAATGGTGGCCGGAGTGACTTGACGTTGTCCCTCAGTTTACTTATGGTTTAATGGTTAACCTGTGGTGGCTCGCTGTCTTTTCTGCTCTGGTTCTGCTATGGCTTGTACACCTATACCAACCTGTATGAGTAATAGGTGGCAGTGATAAGCTGAGAGCGCTCATGTTTCGTCTCAGCCAATCACTGCCCTTATCACAAGGAAGAAATATTGTTATTATTGTTACACAGGGCTTTATTAAGTAGATCACAAATAGAAGGAAGAAGTAGTGAGCGGCTGGGATTCTAGTTATTTATGGAAAAATAAATGGCTTCACAGTGTACCATGGGAGAGGGCCAGAGCGCTCCAATCATGATAACCATAACCACTTCAAAGAGTTAATGTGGGTATGTTACCTAGAGTGCTCCTTTTAATGTAAGGATGTTTATTTCTAGTACTCCTTAGGAACGACAGACGTTTTGTGAAATTGGGCAATTGTATGCTCGGTTGTTTCTTGAATAATTGACTGTTATTAAATTTTAGACCATTTTAAGGGCGTTAACAAAAGATTTGGAGCAACAGTTCCTGATATAACAGGGTTTTGGGCTTTCTCGCTTTTGTTCAAATCCAGATGTTACCCCTTTTTCTCGAGGGATGGATTGAAAACAATCAGAATCTATATGAACTGTGTGTTTTAAGTTATGTTGCTGTTTTCTCGCAAAGAATAAAAATATTAGAAAAGCTAGACATCATGTAGCCAACTCCTTGCCCCAAAAACATCAAAACAAGTTATTATGAACAGGAAAGTTACATTATTTATTACCTGCGACATTGTACATACAAGGTCACCTTTCTAGGACATGACAGTATAGGCCTCCCACCCCGACCCCAGTGGGGTCAGTTTAGACCAGTGGTAGTCAACCTTTTTCTTCCTACCGCCCACTAATGCATCTTTCTTGATGGAAACATTTCCTTACCGCTCACCAGTTTTCGCGCAAGCGCGGAATAGTTTTTAGAAAGGAGGGCGTTTAAAAAAATAAAATAAATGTACGTACATTTATTTCTACTTAATGCATGTTTATAATGTTTTTAACTTTATAAAGTTTAATGAGAAAATAATAAAGTCAATTGAAATTACCTTTACTAGTGATTGAGATCCTTGAGGTTGATGCTGCGAGACTAAATATTTGATATCTGGTTCAATTTTCGTTAGGAACAAACGAAGGTCTCCTCTTTTGGTGATATTCAGACGACTTCTTTGTTTGTGCATAATATGATTTCTCATCTGTGCGTCAGCTCCCCTCCTCTCCCTCCTCAATTCCCCATCCCACCTTTTTTTTCCCCTTTTTTTTAACCTTACTTATAGCAATGCCCAGTAGGAAGGCTGAGCTAGGTAGCCCACTTACTATAGCCCCCTAAAACATACAGACACACACACACACACACACACACACACACAGACATGCACACATACATACAGACACACACAGACATACATACAAAGACACATACACACACAACACATACATACAAAGACAAGACACATACACACAAGACATACAAAGACACATACACACACACACACACACATACAAAGACACACACACACGGCATACATACAAACACACACACACACACACACACACACACACAAACAAACACATTATATTTAAGTCACCCTCCCGTTTCTTACCTTTAAGGTACAGCAGGGTGACATTCCCTGGAGTCCAGTGGTGGCTCAGGTGGATGAGAGTCAGAGTTCCCACTCTGACTCCCTGGCCTTCCGCCCGCGCGGCTCTTGGTGTTAGCTGGGAGTCACTTCCTCCCAGCTCTGTGATGTAATCACAGGGGGTCTGGTTGCGCTGTTAAAGCACCCATTGATGACCGGGCCCCCTCACAATCCACATCCATCAGGTGGCCCTGACAGCATTGACCACCTGATTGACCCCTTGGACGACGGGCCTAGCGGTTTGCCACCGGGGCCACAGATGGTGATGGCGGTACCAAGTCGCAGGGGTAATGCCGGCTCACACCCGCCCACCCAATCTCTCCAAATAAGGAAATCCCTACCGCCCACCTGGAATCCTGAAACACCCACTATTGGGAGGTAGGGACCAGGTTGAGGACCCATGGTTTAGACAGTTACCTGGATTTAATGTAGAAAGAGCCCAAATACAAAATGTTCAGTTAAAACTGCAATTTATTTGTTTTACCAATTGATATTTGCTGAAGAAATTCTATATTTCATCTTTCTGTTGGTCCTCTTGTCCCAAACAGTTTTCCCTCAAAAAAAAAAAAAAAAAAAAGTAATCTAGGCACAGTTAGGTTATATCTGTTGGGACACGGTTGACCCTTTTATACTCTATGTTCATTGAAGGGGCCTTAAATAATTTAGAAATTGTACCTTTTCAAGGTGGAGTGCTATACATTCTATTTGTCATGGCGTGCCAATAACAGAATTCCATGGCATTTAGTACCACATCCTATTAGTACACCCCCTCCCCCAATGCATTTACCGTTGAAGCTCAGACAAGCCGGACCATTGCATTGGCCATGCCCGTTTCCTTTACTTATTCTTCCAGTGAAGTTCTGAGCATGCTGCCAGCACTAGGAAAGTGGAGGATTTAACATGATGTCGTGTTTTTATATCCACTAACCCTGCACTGGCACTGAAACTACATTGAAGGAACGAGGGGAAGGGGAATGTCTGCTTCTGGAACAGCAATGATCATCATGGCTACAGGAGTATGGGTAAGAGAGGGTATGTGGAGACACACAGGGAAGGTACATACGAGGAGGAGGATGTCGAGACATAATGGGTCAGTAAGGGAAGTGGAAGAGTAACCCATAAAGTGATGGGATACTGAAGCACAATCAAGGATGAATGGTGGAAAGAGGCACAGTAGAAGAAAAGTAAGAGAAAATGAAGTGGGCAGAGGAGTAAGTGGAGATTAAATACTTACTTGCCAACAAACATTTATTCTACCGTGGTACAGTTCTGATTTTGGGTCCTTCACCTGCTGTTCCTGGTGTTTTCTTTGGTGGCCGGCTTCTGGGGATACCAGAGAAAAATGCAACAAATGTATAAACAGTGCGACTCTGCTTGGCAAGCCTTACACGGCATTATAACCTTATAACCAATACACAAATTGTTCAATAGTGCTCTGCAAATGCACAGTCCTGCTTGTCTTTCTTCCAGGGAAACCTGTCTTACCAATCTACAAACTGGAATTGGCAGCAACCAAATTGACAAAAAATTATTTATTGGAGACATTCATGAGTGATGATGGCTAGTAGGGAACCAACACTGAGATATCACCAGCAAACCTTGATGACAGGGACAAGGAGAGGTCCGAAGACCTACGGAAAATGACACGAAGGCAGCAGTAACCAATTCATATATTATTTTTCTTGTTTTATTCAGATGGATTGACATCATTGATTGATTAATCAGTGTCACATTATCGCATGTGATTTTATTCACAATTGTAATGTCTATATTGTTTATAATTTTCAAAGCAATGAAAGGATTTAAAAAAAACAAAACATCAGAATGGGGAGGAACATTGTATTACTAAACATTTACTTGATTGATCTTCAATTTAGTTTACAGACCATCTGCCTGAGTACAGTCAACATTCGATATGGAGCAGAATTTGACATTCTAATACATTGTTTTCCTCCATGTATACAGTGACTACCAGTTAGCAGTTAGTTAGACTGAGGTCGGATCTTCATCTCTGATATCTTATATGAGTAATTTTGACCACGGCCCGACCTCCAGTTTACCCCAGTGCCGTAGCTGTTATGATTTCCTCGCAGGTACAATCCGTTCAGGTTTGATATATGGCACTCCGTATACCACCAGGCACCTTTGTAATTATTTGCACAGCTTTTCGTTGTATGGCGGTCGTTATCTCTATCTTTGGTAGAAAACGGTGTGTTTCTGTGACCATAGAAGGAGTCACCTGTAAATGGAAGAGAAGATGATGTGTAAACAACTAGTGCAGTCCATTAAATAAACCGGATTATATTTACCTGACCACGATTTTACTGGAAAATTGGATGTGATTCTTAATTATATCTTTATTTAGGATCTGCCTGTATTTGAAATATCGATACAAAAAAAGAGACTTTCACAGCAAACTGTGTAGAAAACACAAAGTCGTCATAACTTTACAAATTGGTATTAACTTCCCTGGTGGCATGAAACGCGTAGGACTGCTTTTTTTGCATTTTATATTGCTCCTATTTTATCTGGTTGCATTTTCTTTTTTTTATATAGCCCAAAATTGCATCTGAATTGAATACATGGGAACATATCTGAAACCAGCATTACTCGGAGGGCTCTCTTTGGTCTTACAAATTGTGAGCGTAAACCACATTTATATTTTTAAAAATACATTACAGTTTTGCCATTCTTATCTTCCCTAGCAGGACCACCCCTATGTATTGTACATGTGTATTTGAAATATATTTAAAAGATTGGTATAAACGTATTAGTTTGTTGACCTATAAGAGAGACAGAAAACATTTAATGGATTTATTGGATAAATCTGGAATTTTTTAGAACTGTCAAGGGAAGTAAACATTTTAGCAAAAAACTAAGTGAACATATAGTCTAGCTTCAGAATTCTTCTACTTTTTGCTATATTGTGCTAAAATCCATGATCAATGCTCTACAACTCACCATTTAGTGACTAAACCCTCAGTGAAATTAAATGAGTCACATCATGAGTATAAAAGGTTTTAAGGTGTTCTTCTGACACCTAGAGGTCATTTTGGGAACGGCAGGAATAATATCTAATAGATCATGTAAATATATGGATAACAGAGGGTCACAATACACAGATGGCCTAAGTCTGTCATACCTGCAGTCCCTCCAATGAATGACCCCAAACTCAGAGTGTAATTCAGATTCTCCCCTGCGATTTTGAAGTTGCTGTATGTGGCGTAAGTTCTGTTGTTTTCAAAATCCATGAAATCGAAGCGGAGGTCGTATGTTCCTATCAGAAAAGTGAATTATTATTTATTACGTGCAGCGCTGGCAAAACAACATGGTTTATAAACAATCCATAGAAGGTAAACATGGAATAACACACTGAGTGCAATCACATACTGACGGACACGGTCGAGGTTTGTTTATGTATCTGTTCGGGTGTCTGCCAGCCAGGAGTTATATTCTGTTTGATTTTACAGGAAGGTAAGTGACACAAAGTCTGAAATTAGATTTATGGATATTTCCTTAGCAGTGACGTTGGGTATCAAAGGCTGATTTGGAATATTTAGGTTTTAAAAAAAAAAAACACCTTGGAACAATTCTACAAATCAGCTGGTATTTTAAATTGTCACAACTCTCTCATTAAATTATAAGGAATAATTTGTAGCAACAAAAATAAAACCACTCAATGTCAAAGTTGACATTGAGTTATGTTTTATTTTTGTTGCTACAAATTGTATTTTATTGGATTTTATTTTATCTTCTCCTGAGGAAGTCTCTATTAGGAGACGAAACGCGTAGAGCTTTGTACCACTGCTTATTCTGGTCTCCTATCCAACTGACACAAAGGGACACAGAGACTAACTTATCTTTCACTTTTTGTAAGTGCATTCAATTAAAGTGTCTATTTATATTTCAAGCATTACTGTAGTATGTCCAGTTTTTTCCTTTTGACATGTACCCTGGGACACTGAGGACGCCTGTAGCGGAGCATTTAAAGGAACCTTGATGGGCTCTTAATATTCTGACATCTTGTGAGTGCATTATTAACACAAAGGGGCCACATTCTGGTTATACAGTGTTGCCCTATGAATTTTCTCTCTGCCTTTATTCTTTAGGTGTATCTTATATTTTACATTTGCATTTTGAGGCCATTTGAGGAATCCTCTCATTCAGTGTCTCCTTTTCCAAGCACACCTCCTCCCCTCGTCCTGTCTCGGTTGGAGTTCCCCAAGGCTCTGTCCTTGGTCCCCTTCTATTTTCTCTTTATACGGCCTCTCTTGGCAAACTTATTGCCTCTTTTGGATTCCACTAACACCTGTACGCTGATGACACTCAGATATACCTCTCCTCCCCGGACCTCTCCCCTGCCATCCTGCAACATGTCACTGCTTGCGTTTCTTCCATCTCTGACTGGATGTCCTCACACTTTCTGAAACTCAATCTCTCTAAAACTGAACTCCTTGTCTTTCCTCCTCCTAATACTGATCCTCCTCTCTCGCTCTCCCTTCAAGTCAGTGATATCCACATAAGTCCATCCTTGGAAGCACGCTGTCTTGGCGTCATGTTTGACTCTGGCCTCACCTTTGAGCCTCACATCCAGTTTGTTGCCAAATCCTGTAGGTTCCAACTCAAAAACATAGCCCGCATCCGCCCCTTTCTTACGCAAGATGCGACTAAAGAGCTTGTCCATGCTCTAGTAATTTCCCGCATGGATTACTGTAACCCTCTCCTGATTGGTCTCCCCAAAAGCCGCATTGCCCCGCTACAGTCTGTAATGAATGCTGCAGCTAGACTGATCTTCCTCTCTAGTCGGTCCTCTCACAGATCACCCCTCTGCCAGTCCTTACACTGGCTCCCTGTATCCTATAAGAGTCAATTCAAAGTGCTAACCCATACATTTAAAGCACTGAACAATTCTAGCCCCTCTTATATCTCTCTTCACCTTCCCCTAGTCTTCAATCATTTAAGAACAGCCTTAAAACCCATCTCTTCAGGAAAGCTTATGGCCTCCCAGAGTAACCTCTATCTTACATACCTGTCTCTTGCTCTCTCCTTCAAAAAATCGTTAAAAACCCACTTCTTCATAAAAGCTTATCAATTAAACTGTTAATAGCTCCTGACTGATTCCTCTTCTGCAACTGTCACTAGTCTAATACTATCCTTACCTTTTTGTGTCATTTTACCCCACTTCCTCTAGCATGTAAGCTCATTGAGCAGGGCCCTCAACCCCTATGTTCCTGTGTGTCCAACTTGTCTGGTTACAACTACATGTCTGTTCGTCCACCCATTGTAAAGTGCTGTGGAATTTGACAGCGTTCTATAAATATCATAATAATAATAATAGGGCAGTGCTTTACTCTCTCCTCCAGCTCTGCTTCACTCCCACCCTATTTGATTGATATTTCCTGTCCTAACGTGTTTATACCCCACCTCCTATAGACTGTAAGCTCGTTTGAGCAGGGTCCTCTTCAACCTATCGTTCCTGTAAGTTTTCCTGTAATTGTCCTATTTATAGTTAAATCCCCCCTCTCATAATATTGTAAAACTCTAAGGAATCTGTTAGCGCTATATAAATGGCAATAATAATAATAATAATAAAGTATAATGGCGGGGCCTTGCTTGCAGTAGGAAACATGAACATTACCTGTGGACGTAAGTTGGTGAATATGATCGTTCCCCAGCCAGAACTCGCTGGCCTGATGGCCAAACCCTCGCTTGTAGGAATTCCAATCTCGGAAAAAATCCACCGACCCATCCATCCTTCTCTGGAAAACCTAATTACATGTGAAGGGTTAGTAGTTAGCCCAATAGGTTCCAAGCAATGGTAAATGTTCTGCTCTCTATTTGAGTGACCTTGTTCTAATAGATGGTTAGTATTTGGGTTAAACTGAGATCAGGGCGGGGCACGGATTTTTGGCTACACAGGCGAAGATGAATTTTGCCGCCCCCTTACCAACCGAAAAAAATGCATCTTCACCTGTGCATCTCGTAAGCCATTTTTCAATTTCTTACCCCCTTTAGTATTTCATATTCTCTCTTGAATGTCTTCCCCCTTTTGCCCCTTTGATGTACCTCCTTTAATGTAATATATCCCCCCTTTATTGTGTCTTACTTCCCCCTTGTGTATCTTTAACTTTCCCACCAGCCCCTTTCTGTGTCACTGTGCATTAGTGTGGGGGTATGGGGGAAGAAATGTGAGGGACAGGATCCAGGACTTTATTATTATTTGTATAGCACCATCAAGTTCTGTTGCACTGTACAATAGTGTTTTAGTGTGGTGTTATAGGGGTGCTATTTTTTTTATATCCACCCAGTCTCCCTACCTTCAAGAGAAGTAGAGTGAATCCACAGCCTGGGGTCCAGTGGGCTGCCACTGCGTTCCTCTGGGGTAGCTCTGATCCATATAAGCATTGCCTGTATAGCTCCCTGGTATGCCCTGCAGTGGTGCCTGGGCTGGAATGGCATCCCATTCCTGCTCCTGGGACCTCTACAGGGCATGTCCAGGAGCTATACAGGCAATGCTTATATGGATCAGAGCTCCCTCACCCTTAAATAAATTGGCGCTGGTGAGCCGGGCGCTCGGTCACGCTACAGGAGAGGGGGGAAGTGCACAGCGTAAACTACCACTGTGCTCTTCCCTCCTCCTGCCAGTAACCCAGAGGTTTGCACACCCTCCGCCGGGCCGGTGTGACCTAAGGAAGCCGCTTGTGCCAGTTTATGGTAGCGCAAGCCCTGACCATTCTATATTATCGATGAATTAACGCCTCCCTGCTCTGCTGCAAGGCTGTCCCATGTATTCACAACCATTTATGAAAACATCCCTAATCTTGTTGTTACTTATCAAAAAAACATCCCTAATCTTGTTGTTACTTATCAGCCCTGTTTCTTATATATAAAAAAAATCATTACTCTAGAGTTATGGTTGCAATGTTACATAGCACAATAGTGCAGAGACCCCTTGTGGACCTAAGTGGAAATGCAAGTTAAAATAATCTTGCTGGTAGAACTTATTTATTCTATTTAAGAACAGCCCTGGAAACACTCCCTCCTATTGCCTGTTTTACCAACCTGTCTAATGTCTGCCTTAGCTGTAGTCTGCTAGGAAAGTAAACCTTAGTGGCCATACTTACTAGCCATCCTCCTCCGTCAGTCTCCATGTCACAGTACACAGTGAGAGGAAGCCCATTGCTTGTGTATACTGTGTACCAACCGCTCAGAGAAGCTCCATAGTCCAAGAGCTCCTTACAGTTCTGGGCAGCTGGAGGAGAGAGAAAGAGAGAGGATCATGCTGATTGGATGGTTAGCTGTTTGGCTGCATTAAACTGAATCAGGAAGTCAATCAAAAAGGGAGATTAAATATTGCTGCTTATTAAAACACTCGGAATTCCAGACTTTTAATTATCAGAAATTACTTTTTAATAGGCGGCAGCTAAGAAGCTTATTCCCTAAAATGAGAATTTAACGTGACTTCAAGGTAAATTTCAAATTTAAGGGCATAATAGCCGTAACTGGAAAAAGTCTCTGTCGGCTATACTTTCATTGTCTAGCTACTCTAATCTTAAATTTCAAATTCACCTTAAAAGCACCAATTTCTCACTTCTGTGATTAACCATTTAAACCTTACATGCGTTAAATATTTATATAATATACACTGTATCTGATTATTATTAATGCTACAAATAATTACATTAAACCTAAAGAGGCCATTTCCTAGTCAGTTTTACTATATAATAAAATAGATTTATATTTATTTACTTACTTCCAGGGGCAGGTACCCCGGGATCTCCCTTGTCACCTGAACAAAGAAATATTAAAAAATATTGCAAATCAGAAAATATATGCATTTTGGACAGTTACATTGTAACTCTAAGAATATTTAAGTATGTTTAAATAGAGACATCACATATTGTGTCTCTATAAACGGCTCTGTAATAGATAAGTGTGAAGTTAATAAATGCAGTTGATAAAATTACATTCCGCATTTAAAATGTTTTGCTTTAAAACTCTTATGGCTAATGGATCCCTCTAGATTCAGCAATAATTGTTTCAGTTCCTAATTTCTACCAAACAGTTGAAAGAGCAAAAATAAATGTCCTTTTTTTTAACGTTGCTGTTTCCATTGTTTTGGAGATAAATGTCTAATCTGGTACCTTTAAATATGGCAATCCCACATAAGGATAGCAAATTAGAGCGTTATCTACTACACAGTTGAAAGATCAAAATGAAGAAAAAAGCCCATTTATTAAGTTTGATCTTTCAGGCAGCCTTAGTAAATAGCTCCCTAAAGTGGTACCCTTATGTGAGATTACTGTTTTTGAAGATATAAAATTACAGAGCTATCTGCCAAACAGCACCCTAACTTGGTATCCTTTGGAATGCATCTAAAATGTGTTTTTCATTCAGAAATTGTTCTCAATTGTGGTTAATTTTGAATCAATAATTTCCAAATTTTAAGCAATTCAAAATTTGTTTGTTCTTTACTTTATTCTTTATAATTTGTATCTGCTAATTCTACCCACCATAAAGGTTTATCCTGAATTAACCTATTTATTACCTTTTTGTCCTTGTGCGCCTGTGGCCCCTTTATCACCTGGAAGAGAATTAGATCTATATAATTATAAGCCCCTCAGTAAGTCCTTTGCACCGCTTTCGATGTGGAATGAGGAGATTCCCTGGCCATGGATTGGGGGCACGTGATGACAATGTATGGTCCACGTATCTTGCTCATTCAGTGACTGGCACATCCACGGTTGGCTTTAGAAGCTTTGTGGCCTCTTAAAAACAACTGACTGGGCTCTTCCAAACTATCACATACACGCATACACAAACATTCCTAGACACACAGTCTCAGCCACACTCACAGTAATGCACTTACACACAGTCACAGGAACACATTGCTAGATACCCACTCACACAGGTACACACATCAACACATGGCCAGAGATTTATTTTACACACGATCCATCTTGGTTCTACCCATTTTCCTGTCTGTCTATCCACTGCTGCCGGGCGATGACTTTAATGGTGTCTATTGGGGAATGGGCTGAACCAGTGCAGTCTATTCCTTTCACTCCCACATGGTTTCCTTCTGCGGGTGTTGGGGTGGAGCAGTTGCAGTCGATGCCCCATGTGGGTGAAAGGAAAGCATGAAGTAAGGGACCTGCTATGTTAGAACCCAACCAGTTCACATAGATGGCCCCCAGCGTATTGCCAGAGCTCTTACCTGGGTACCAGCTTTATCCCCTGATGATGACTCTGCTCTTTGATGAAGCAATTCTGGGATAAAGTTCTACATTCAAATTCTAGATTCTATGGTGATTGTATCAGATTTAGCACATTGCATTTCTATTTCTCTCTCTCAACATCTTTGTACAGTTGACATGACAGTATAAGACTGCATTAGTTTAGCGATTTATGAGCATTTAAATATGTAGAAAGTATCGTACAGTGATAATGAAATGTGATTCCATATTCTGTATTCTCATTTAGTATTCTCCTAATATATTGCTATTTAGAGTTAGTTTACCTTTAAGCCCTATTGGTCCTATCTTCCCGGGAGTTCCAGGCGAGCCTTTTTCTCCTACAAATAAGTCACCAGAGGGGTTAGTAGAATACTTTTTATCTAAAACCATTTTACATTGTGATTTCTCAGATTCTCAGGATTACTGGGCTGGATACATTATAACTGAAAAATGCAATGTGACATCATTATGATAATTAACCTCTGGGTTGATACATCTGAGATCACCTTTAGGTCCTGCTGGTCCTTGCACTCCCTGTATTCCTTGTGTTCCAGGAATTCCCGGACATCCTCGCAAAATGGCCAGCTTGTCCGACTCGCCAACACCAATAAGCTTCACATCTGCCCAGAAAGAAACACATTATATATATAATGTTTCACCAGTTAAAAGCCATATTCCACATTTTAGGTTATAATAGACTAGCTGGGACGATAGTGAAGTTGGAGAATATTTCCAAATCAGATGTTTTTCCTTTAAATCTGTGATCTGATTTTTAAAAATCAATACAAATAGCTGTTGAGTGAATGAACCTCATAGATTGATCATTTTTTCCTAATTAATCAGATTCAGATTGTCAGCTCTTTTGAGTAAGGCTTTCTTCACCTCTTACATCTACTAGTCTACGTCTCACAGTGTGAAAGTAAAACTATGTGGAAATTTCCGACACTATAAAAATGATAATATTACTGATAATAGGAATAATAATTACAGGGTAGTAAGGACTCAATTTCCAAGACTCTTACTGACGCCATAGGTTTCAATGTCTTTGTCTGCAAACTTAAACTCATTTTTTGTGCATTTTTTTCTTTCAGGTGGCACAAACATATTTTACAGACGATATTGAGTTCTACTAAGTGTAATGATTTGTGGTAACTTAAAAATAAGTTTAAAAATGACAATCCTAAATAGTAAATGAAAATCAACATATCTACTAAACTGGAGATAAATACTGTAGCGGAGAGCTGATATTCCACAGGTTATCTCGACTTAAGAACCCAGTGAGGCTCAGGAACAAGTATTAGAAATCCATAAGGCAATAATTCCAGCAGGCAAAACAATCCAACAATATCCCCGTACAGATCCCAATGACTGGACGACACACAGTAACAGGAGAAGAACTGAACTTTTAATCCACACAACCTTCTTTTAAAGCATTCTCCCATGCAAGGGAGGGATTTACAATAATTAGTACAGTATCCAATCATACCTGAGTAGCCGCCCACACATCTCCTCCGCGTAGCTTGACTCATAATCCCATTATACAGGACACAAATTCCCTGGGTTTCTGGATGTACCCTTAAACATATGGGTACCCCTTTAAATATTACATCCCCTGGTAGCCCTGATCTGGGTGAGTGACCTATCCAAAAATCACCCAGATTGGACCAGGGGTTCGGGAAATTTATGGATGTAATAAAAAGACCGACCGCGAATAAACTTTACGAAAGACTTATGCTATGGAGACTAGGGGGAGTTCGCATAAATCCCCTTGTTCGTGGGTTTCTTTCTACCGAACGGGTGGCAGTTCAGTAGTTTCTATACGAATTTAAGGGCAGTGTGGAGGTCTCAGCGGTGTTTGCCTAGCCGAGTGTCCGATTTGAGTTCCAGACACTCGACGGCAAAACACCGCTGTTCTGGAGTTTAAAATGGCCACTGCCACGTGGCGGCCACCCAGAGAACAAAGAACTCACTGCACGGATTGCCAATTACCCGTTCGCAACATTGTTGCAAACGGTAATTGGAGGCACACTTACTATGGAGTGGTCTGACTGTTCGGTAGTTTCACTCTCCTACTAACTGGAGTGATTCTACCGAACAATCAGACGAATGCTGCATAAATTTCACATACATAGGTTATAATTCAACCGAACACATAGGAATAACTGTAATTTTTAGGACAGCCCAATGCTATCCGCTACAAATACAATCACGATTATTTTATCCAACATCTTCCAAACTGGTTCTCGAGTCACCACAAATAGCTGTTTATTGTCTACATAACTAGAAACCTTATACTATAAAGATCAGTAACATTACATTACATTATAACATTTGTTTGGCTGTATAGAAGGGCTGTATATTCCATTTATTTATAACTTTCCTTCATTCCAGATTTGGATTTGAAATTTTAGCCGTATTAGTCCAGTGATGCAGATGTAAAATAACTGATGAAATTGGTATCTAGTAATACCTTTTTTTTTAAGTGTATCAGAATTTTGGCAAAGTTTGGATAGATCGTATGTTTCTCACATTTAAAGCATTTCTCACTTTCTCAACTTTAGAATGGATAAAGGGAGGATCTCCCGAAAGCAAAATTCTGTTAGTCCAATAAAAGTGGTATTAGAAGAACCTAATTTTATCTATTATTCTTACATATTTATTCACAAGAAATAATGACTTGTTTTTACTGATTTTCACAATATCCATCCGTCATTCATAAGTGAGACCTGATAGACTCTCTCACACTGAAACAACCAATTAGATCTTTTCATTAGTAATAAATAATATAGATTTATGTCTATATACATTGCTTGGCAAGTCAAGTGACAAGCAAGACTTGCATATCAGAGCACTTTGATTGGCTCGCTTTCAAGTCAACCAATCAATATGCTTTGACATTCAAAGTGTGGGACCTTTATAAAGAACAAGTGTGTATATAACTATGTGTTTATATTCACTTTGTTTTTTGTTTTTAATTTATTTTTCACTTCTGTTGACCTTATATTATAATTGTAAGTAGCAAAAGGGAAGTTGTATGCCTATGTTTACTGGAAATGTGTTTAAATCATTTGTCTGTTCACAACAGCTCATATTTAAAGAATAAATTCTAAGTGAGCTTCTCCAATCAGTAAAAATATAAACTCAATGATCAGAGTGAGGGATCATTCATAGCTCACCTGGACAGGTGTCTTCAGCATAACACAGAATGGTGGCCAGCGATACGAGAATGCTCAATGATGAATATGCGCAGTCCCTCATCTTACTCCCTGTAGCTGCTGGAGTCGAAGAGTTTTATGGGATCTCTGGAACAGATGGAGAGTATCGTCTAAAGTACAACAAGCCCCTCATCCTTAAATAGGCAGCAACGACTGTATGCCAGGAACGGAATTTCTGGTGTTTAGCAACGAGAATTTCATCATACGGAGATGTTTGATTGCAGACATACCTCTTTTAACCACTGATAGTCACACCTTCTTTTTAGTCATCTGATTTGGCTTTATAGATTCATCATTTCTGAATGTTTCCCTTTCCTGGCATTATTTTTTACTTCTACTGATATCTTGTAAGATTAGGTTTGCATTATCGCATGAAGAATAAAGTTTTAAGCAATGTTCTGCATTACCGTAAAAGAGGGGTGCCATATATTTCAAAAAAATTTTTGGGAGTATTGGTTCGGTAAATAAAAGGGAGCTGTGGGGAGCTAAGTAATGACTTGATATAGATAGGTAGAGGCAAAATGATTAGTTTAACCAAACTGGAGGTTTTTCTACTCACAATTTGTTGCTTGAATGAACCACTTCCAGGGCAATTCATTATTATGGTCTGAATTATTAAATTCACTTTATTTCCCACAACTCACATTTATAGCAGTTATATCCCTTGTTTTCCTTATATTGTTGAATTGTAAATACCTGGTAGTGATGTCCCGAACGGCTCGCGAACGGTTCGCCACGGACTCATCATTGAGTAAACTTTGACCCTGTACCTCACAGTCAGCAGACACATTCCAGCCAATCAGCAGCAGACCCTCCCTCCCAGACCCTCCCACCTCCTGGACAGCTCACTAAGAATGCAGCTTCACAATGAATGCAAAATGGATGCTGTCCAGGAGGTGGGAGGGTCTGCTGCTGGTTGGCTGGAATGTGTCTGCTGACTGTGAGGTACAGGGTCAAAGTTTACTCAATGATGAGTCTGCGGCGAACCGTTCGTGGCGAACCGTTCGGCGAACAGTTCGGGACATCACTAATACCTGGACATCTCAACTAATTTTATTTTCTTAAAAAAAAAAAAACTAAAAAAAAAACTTGCCTTATATATTGATAAATAGATAAAGTAGTTCATATTTTTCCTCTTGTATGAAATGCAGGTCGACAAATTTCGAGAAGGGGTGGAGCTTTTTAAAGGATTTTCGAGTTTTTTACTCTCCTTCTTCCAACGTTGAGTCACTTCCTGACCTCCTTACATTGATGGGCAGCGTTCCGAGTTCCCACCGGACCATGTAACCACCAATGACATTATCAGTGAACAGGAATGTTTGAGATCTGATGGACATGCCCTAGGAATGGCAGAGAGGGAGCATGCTATAGGGTAGATGGCAGTGTCTCCTAGAAGGTTCCCCCATCGTCTCCAGCTGGTATAAAATGCTACATCAAGACTGCTAACTGGCAAGTCCACAATCTGCCGTGTGACCTCCATCCACCACCGCCTTCACTGGCTGCCAATAAAATGGCTTATATTATTTATATTACTCAAAATGATCTTACTAAGCAGTAAAGAACCAGGGAATAAAGGCGCTATACACTCTTCTAGATTGTAAGTTCGTTTCAGCAGGGTATTCAACTACCTATTATTCCTGTTACATTTTGCTATTGTCTTATTTGGTAAATTCCACTCTTATTGTAAAGCGCTGCAGAACAAGCTGGCGCTATATAAATACCAATAATAATAATAATAATAATAATAATAAATGTTCTAATAATAAGATAAGATCTGCCTTTTACACCTAGCAGCCAGTAGAGGGCGAGCATAGAGATAGGAGGCGAATCAGAAACAATACTATATCTGGCTGTGCCAAGACTCAACTGGATTGTGATGTCAATTGTTTAATCTTTAATACACGTCTAAAAGAACACAGCACATCTCATGGAAAAAAATGTAACACAAGCTTGCTGCAATGCTTTCCTATGGGGAATTTACAGACGCTGGATTTCCTCATGCATAGCGTGAGGATATCCAGCCTCAGGCGATTAAAATCCGTTTAGCCACCAGGAAGTGCCTCTACTGGCTGTCTGATTGACAGTGACTAAAGGCAGTCTTAGTCTTGCAATGTAATTATTTCTGTTTCTCAAAAACTGTAATGATTTACATTGCAGGACCAAGTGGGACAGTGACATTGCTCCCAGAGTACATCAATGAGCTGAAGTGGTTTGGGTGATTATAGTGTCCCTTTAACCCCTTAAGCACCAAACGTCTGGAATAAAAGGGAATCATGACATGTCACACATGTCGTGTGTCTTTAAGGGGTTAATGAGCAGTTACAGCAGATTTGTGTCAGTGTCTGGATACTAGAGACCTGGTGCTACCCAGCAAGCTACTAGTCTGAGCCCCAACCTGCTAATACACAGATCTGTTTACTGAAGGACTGTGTTACTAAATGTTACTGCAGCATTGTTACTCAAACTGTTACTCAATGAGTCCAGTACTGTTTGTATTCCATTCTCTCCACGTAACAGGTAACTGTGCAGGAAGTGCTTGTGGATGGAATATTGGGTAACAACATTGCAAACTTCTTATTTTGTATTAAGGAGATCCTATAGTGCCAGGAAAACAAACCCTTTTTCCTGGCACTATAGGATTTTGGAGTGCCCTTGTTGGGGCCTCCCTCCCTTAGGGCCCCCTCTCTCTGCGCTGAAGAGGTTAAAACCCCTTCAGCCAATTACCCTAATCCAGCGTCGGGCTCCCTTGGCGCTGGTGACCTCTCCTCCCCTGCCGAAGTCAGCTCCCGAGTGGAGCCGAATGCGCATGTGCGTCCAGACGCGTGCGCATTCAAACCCACCCTAGGAAAGCATTACTCAATGCTTTCCTATGGGGATCTTATTTGACGCTGGAGGTCCATGAGGATATCCAGCGTCAGATAAATGCGATTTACTCATATTCACTTCATGTATTATTAAAAACAAAGTCTTTAACAAGATAATCCAGGCAGGACCAGCACACAGATTGTATTTAGCAAGTTTATCCAGTACAGGATTAGGCAGGCATAGCTTAACCAGGCAATCCGGGCAATGATCAGGCAGAGGTTAACCAGGCAATGATCAGGCAGAGGTTAACCAGGGGTTCAGGATCAGATGAGCAGAGGTTAACTAGGGATCTGGGACAAGATCAGGTAGGCAGAGGTTAACCAGGGGTCCAGAATCAGGCAGAAGTTAACCAGGCAATCCAGGACAGGATCTGGCAGGCAGAGGTTAACTAGGAATCCAGGGCAGGATCGGGCATTCAGAGGTTAACTAGGAATCCAGGACAGGATCAGGCATTCAGTGGTTAATTAGGAATCCAGGACAGGACAGGCATTCCGAGGTTAACTAGGGATCCAGGACAGGATCAGGCATTCAGAGGTTAACTAGGGATCCAGGACAGGATCAGGCATTCAGAGGTTAACTAGGGATCCAGGACAGGATCAGGCATTCAGAGGTTAACCAAGAATTCAGGACAGAATCAGGCATTCAGAGGTTAACTAGGGATCCAGGACAGGATTAGGCAGACAAAGGTTAACTAGGGATCCAGGACAGGATTAGGCAGGCCGAGGTTAACTAGGGATCCAGGACAGGATTGGGCAGGCCGAGGTTAACTAGGGATCCAGGACAGGATTAGGCAGGCCAAGGTTAACTAGGGATCCAGGACAGGATTAGGCAGGCAGAGGTTAACTAGGGATCCAGGACAGGATTAGGCAGGCCAAGGTTAACTAGGGATCCAGTACAGGGTCAGGCAATCAGGTGTTAACTAGGGATCAAGGACAGGATTAGGCAGACAGAGGTTAACTAGGGATCCAGTACAGCATCAGGCAGATTGAGGTTAACTAGCGATCCAGAACAGGATTAGGCAGATAGAGGTTAACTAGGGATCCAGGACAGGATTGGGCATACAGAGGTTAACTAGGGATCCAGTACAGCATCAGGCAGGCAGAGGTTAACTAGGGATCCAGGACAGGATCAGGCAGGCAAGGGTTAACAAAGGCAGGATCAGGCAGTCAATGGTTAACCAAGGCTAGATCAGGCAGGAGAGTGAGGGGAAATTCAGATATTCAACAGATATTCAAGCAAAGGAGGCTTGTAACCTCTGGGAGTTCACAAGACAACTGAGCAAAGAACCCAGGGTGGTCTAGGTTTAAATAAGGGGATGGGGGAGCGGGGGAATGGAAGCCCACCCATGATGAGGGGTCTATGAGCCTATTTAAGTAGATGGCACCCTTCAGTTGAGTAGGCGGGACTCTATGCCGGTTTGGCATTGTTGGCATATGGGGAGAGGGCTCTGCATGTCCCTGACTCCAAGGATGGGGAAACGCACATGGTGCCCTTTGATTGACCTGCCTCTCGCAGCACACCATGCCAACATCGTGAAGACAGCAGTAAGCAATTAGTATAGTATTTTCCTTATTTTATTCAGATTGATGAACTTTTAATGTCACATTTCTACATGCCATTTATTCATAATTGTAATATTTATGTGTATATAATTCTCAAACCATTGCCAAACATTAACCTGACTGATCTTCAGTTTAATTATTCTGCCAGATTACAGTCAACATTTGATATGGGGCAGAATTTGACATTCTAATACATTGTTTCCTCCATGTATACCGTGACTACCAGTTAGTTAGACTGAGGTCGGATCTTCATCTCTGATATCTTATATGAGTAATTGTAACCACGGCCAGAATGCCAGTTTACCCCGTTGGCGTAGCTGTTGTGAGTTCCCCGCAGATACAGCCCATTCAGGTTTGAATAATGGCAGTCAAAATACCACCAGCCACCACTGTAAAGATTGGCACAGCCATCAGGGGTACGGAGGTCATTATCTCTATCTTTGGTAGAAAATTGTGTGTTTCTGTGATCATGGAAGGAGTCACCTGTAAATGGAAGAGAAGACGATGTGTAAACACCTAGCGCAGTCCCTTAAATGTGCAAACTATCCAGTGATATGTGTTTAAACGCTTAACATAAACAGAGATCCTATAAATCAATCATCCTGCCTGCGTACTGTGACCATATTTAAATAGTCTATCAAATTTATTCCTAGAATTCCTAAAATGAGCTCAGTGCATCATAAAACCACCTGGAAGTGACACTATAGGCAGCAAGACCACTTCATCTCATTGTAGTGGTCTTAGTGTACTGTCCCCGACTTTTAGCAATGCAATTGAAAACAATGTAGTTTCAGAGAAATTGCAATGTTTTAATTGCAGGGCTAAGACTGCCTCTAGTGGCTGTATACCAGACAGCCACTAATGGCAGCTTCCTGCTATGCCACGACGTTTAACTTGGTAAAACAACGCTGGACATTCCCAAGCTTTGCATGAGGACACTCAGCGCTTTCAAATCCCCCATAGGAAAGCATTGATTCAATTCCTTCCAATGGTGAAGGCATAATGCATGCGCGGAACTCTCCACACATTTGCATTAGGTTCTCACTGAGGATGAGGTCGGTGAAGGTGGAGATGGAGTCATCTTTATATTTTTAACACTAAAGTGTTCCTTTGCAAAGCATCTTTTCTACTTCTGACTCACACATTTTTATTATTTTTTATTATTATTATTTAAGTACACCTAGCCTCACTAACTTTGGGAGAGCTGGAGTGGGTCCTGGGGTCCAGTGTAGGCTTGTGTAATCTTTGTGCTGTTCCAGCACTACTCCCTTAGTGATGTCTGGGCCGGAGTGACGTCATATCCCGACTCCCGGCATCACTGCAGGGCGCACTAGGGAACAGTGCTGGACGATCATGAAGATTACAGCTTCCTTAACGCCTTCATTATCACCCTGTCTTAAGGCAGGGTAGGCACCTGCCATCCCGGTAAGAAGGTGCCTAATCTGCTTTATAGCACAGTCTGCCATCTCATGGGGGCGCTAAGGTGGCCAGCCGGCCAACTCTTGATGCGTTTACACCTAGGAGCATATTTACCAGTGGTTATGAAAAAAGGTAATACACAATTTAAATATATGGAGAAGGAAAGGTCTCAATACAAAGTCAGCCTGCACCTGTCATACCTGCAGTCCCTCCAGTAAATGACCCCAAACTCAGAGTGTAATTCAGATTCTCCCCTGTGATTTTGAAGTTGCTGTATGTGGCGTAAGTTCTGCTGTTTTCAAAATCCATGAAATCGAAGCGGAGGTTGTATGTTCCTATCAGAAAAGTGAATTATTATTTATGACGTGCAGCGCTGGGCAAAACAACATGGTTTATAAAGAATCCATAGAAGGTAAACATGGAATAACGCACTGAGTACAATCAGATACTGATGGACACGGTCGAGGTTTGTTTATTTATCTGTTCGGGTGTCTGTCGGGTATTCTGTTTGATTTTACAGGAAGGAAAGTGACACGAAGTCTGAAATTAGATTTATGGATATTTTCTTATTGATTCAATTGATGTTGGGTATCAAAGGCTGATTTTGAATATTTAGACCAAAATTATCACCTTCGAAACAATTCTACAAATCAGTAGCTTTCTGGAATTATCACATCTCCCTAATTAAATTCTGAGGATATCCCGTTCCAGCTGAGCCCTGTGTATACATGGGTTAATCTTTAATATTAAACAAAAAGTCACTCATAAAACAATAATTAAAGGAACAGCCCCTATAGCAAAATAACTTATTTAAGTTATTATTGGTGCAGAAGTTTCTAAGATCTATCTTACCTTCGGGATTAAACTGTTTTCCAATGGTTTAAACCTGTAATTGTGGCTCCGGCACCTCGTACCTCTTCCTCGTGACTTCTTTCCATGCTGCACTACGAGAAGGTTTTGCTGAATGGCCATTTATAAGATGATTAAGTAAGTTGACGCTCACAGTCTATCACTGATTGTTCATTGAGAGAAATAATACATAGTATTTCTCTAACTATTCTAACTACGCCAGTGTGCTAACTATTCATCTCAGGTTTCTAAAAATGTTATGCTAGTAGTACTTGGTAGTGAACATGTTAAGTATAATGGCGGGGGCTTGCTTGCAGTAGGAAACATGAATATTACCTGTGGACGTAAGTTGGTGAATATGATCGTTCCCCAGCCCAGGAATTCCAGTCTCGGAAAAAATCCACCGACCCATCCATCCTTCTCTGGAAAACCTAATTACATGTGAAGGGTTAGCAGTTAGTGTAATGGTATTTATTAATTAATGACTTTACATCATAAAGAAAGCATATTTAGTGTAATGCTTTGGGGGCACCACTAGGGGGAGTGTGTAGGAAGACATGTGCTTCTGGCAGTGACATCACAGGCCAGCCTACTTACACTGAATAAAAACCAGATGGAGGAGAAAACTCTGTCCCTTTGCCTGTAACTGACTGAACCTAAGATGTAGCACCAGCTCTGACTTAACCCCAGCCAAAGGGCTGGGGCCTTGTAAGTAAAGTGTTGTGTAACATGTAGCAACCTTTTGTAAGTAATATGTTGTAGTTTTGTATTGTATCTTAATTGTAGTAAATTGACATTCTGCTAGCATCTGTTTATTTGTTATAGTTATATTAAATATACATTTAATATTACAACGTTTTGTGTATTTTCTATCCACATATTCGACCATAATACCATGAATTATAAAAATATTAATGTTGTTCCGTATTGCTTAATTATTATGTATTAAGAGATTAATATTCATATTTAGGTCACGACCACAACAGTTAGCCCAATAGGTTCCAAGCAATGGTAGATATTCTGCTCTCTATTTGTGTGACCTTGTTCTAATAGATGGTTAGTGATCTGGTTAAACTGAGCTTTACCATGATATCCGGGGAAATTAACGTTATCATTGGTCGCAGGGAGCAGGTTTTTTATAGTGAGCTTATAATACATATAATTATTTTACCAGTAAAAAAAAAAGCCAGTTAGCCAATCTAATCTGCCCCTAATATATCAAAAAAGATAAACTTTGATTCTTATATGTTATCTCTGAATTAACGTCTCCCTGCTCTGTAGGAAGGCTTCCCATGTATTCGCAAACAATTTAAGAAAACAATCCTAGCTTGTATACTATTTGCTACAGTTAGAAGGCAAGTATGTAAAAGAGACCAAAGGTCTAGCTGACTGCCTCAATGAATATTTTTGTTCAGTATTTACAGATGAAAATGAAGGAAAGGGGCCTCAGTTAGGAAAAAGACTAACGAGTCATTTGCTACATGTGAGTTTACAGAGGAAGAGGTTCTATTTCAACTTTCTAAAGTAAAGACATCTTGATTTTTTTGATTGTGTAATTAAAATAATAGTTCAGGTTGGTGCAGTAGACATTGCTCACCTAGATTTCAGTAAGGCTTTTGACACTGTTGCACATAGAAAGCTTATCAATAAACTGCAATCTTTAAGTTTGGATTCCAATATTGTTGAATGGGTAAGGCAGTGGCTGAGTGACAGGCAACAGAGGATTGTAGTCAATGGAATATATTCGAAGCTTGGACATGTCACCAGTGGGGTACCTCAGGGATCTGTACTTGGACCCATTCTATATAATATTTTTATTAGTGATATTGCAGAAGGTCTTGATGGTAAGGTATGTCTTTTTGCTGATGATTCAATGATTTGCAACAGGAGGGATAAGCCAAATGGCAAATGATTTAGGTAAACTAGAAAAATGGTCAGAGCTGTGGCAACTGACATTCAGTGTGGATAAGTGCAAGATAGGGCAGAGTATGGAATATTTGATAGAGTCCTAACCTCAACATCTGAGGAAAGGGATTTAGGGGTGATTATTTCTGATGACTTAAAGGTCGGCAGACAATGTAATAGAGCAGCAGGAAATGCTAGCAGAATGCTTGGTTGTATAGGGAGAGGTATTAGCAGTAGAAAGAGGGAAGTGATCATGCCATTGTACAGAACACTGGTGAGACCTCACTTGGAGTAGAGTAGAGTTCAGAGAAGGGCTACTAAACATGTATAACTTGGAGGAAAGACAAGGTGGGGGGAGGGGGGAAGTGTATCCAATAGAAACATTTAAATACATAAAGAGAATTAAACCTTAGTGGCCATACTTACTAGCCATCCTCCTCCGTCAGTCTCCATGTCACAGTACACAGTGAGAGGAAGCCCATTGCTTGTGTATACTGTGTACCAACCGCTCAGAGAAGCTCCATAGTCCAACAGCTCCTTACAGTTCTGGGCAGCTGGAGGACAGAGAAAGAGAGAGGATCATGCTGATTGGACGGTTAGCTGTTTAACTTCCTGATTCAATTTAATGCAGCCAATCAAAAAGGGAGATTAAATATTGCTGCTTATTAAAACACACAAAATGCCAGACGTTTAAGCATCAGAAATTACTTTTTAATAGGCGGCAACTGAATCTTACATGTGTTGAATCATAAATGTATAAAATATAAACTACCTCTGATTATAAATTCCCTCCAGTGGCCATTGGAGTAACTAAATGTCCTCCATTTGTTTAAATATACATAGGGATTAAGGAGAGAGCGCAGGTAACTTTTTTCTTTGGTTTTTACATCTGATTATAGTTAATGGAACAAATAATTACTTTAAACATCATGAGGTTATTTCCTAGGTGATTGTACTATATAATAGAATTGGTTTCTTTTTACTTACCAAATGTGATACTTACGGCCAGGTGCAGGTACCCCGGGATCTCCCTTTTCACCTAAACAAAGAAATATTTAGAAAATATTACATAAAATATTGCAAAACATAAAATATATGCATTTTGGACACTTACATTGTAAATCAAGGATTTTTTTTCCGTTTGTTTAAATAGCGACATTATATATTGTATCACTAGAAACGGCTCTGTAATAGTGTGGGAAGTTAAAAATGGAGCGTTGATAAAATTACATTCAACGTTTCAAATGCTTTGCGTTAAAACTGCCAAGTTTAACCCCTTAAGGACAAAGCCAATTGTACAAGTGCTGATCAAAACAAAGACTGGCATTTTACCTTTTTCATATTAAGAGCACCTTTACTTATTAAATATAATTTTGTTTACAAGAAACAGGGCTTTCATTTCACATTATATATATGAAACATAATTTAATATGAATAAAATGTAAAAAATTGTGAGAAATTGGGAAATTTTGTTATTTTCTTAATTCTGCATGGAAGTTAATTGCTCTTAAACACTCATATTTGTATTCTGTAATGCCTCACAAATACAATAATACCTCTCTATGTACAGGTTTTATGGTGTTTTGGAAAATTACAAGGTCAAATATAAGACTTGCCCAGTTCCATTTTTGCAAATTGAAATTTGCCATATTTGGGTATATTCTTTTACAGACTGTATGGAAAATCAGGATTAAGAATTCCCCCCACCATGACATACCATTTGAAAAAGTAGTCCACTCAGAGTATTCAACATGGGGTATGTCCAGTCTTTTTAGTAGTTACAGAGTCACAAATCCTGACTAAAGCTAGCATTTATTTTAGTATTTTTGCATTTAAAAAAACCAAACCAAAACCAACAATTTTACTGGTGATATCATTGTCGTGATAAGGTTTACTATTTAAAAACACCCATATTTTAATTCAGTGGAGTCTCAATAGTACAACAGTACCTACAATGTACAGGTTTGATAGTGTTTTGGAAAGTTACAGGGTTAAATGTAGAGCTTGCAAACTAAATTTTCTGGACTGTCTGCCTGGGTTGTCAGGCAGGTCCTTCAAATTATAATTAATAAAATCACCTAATTATGTAAACATTTTACATAAATATACATTGTGACGAACTGAACCTCGTCACGGGCTCTTGTAGGGGCCTGCTGGCCAGCCTTTTGCCAAAAGACTATGGGCCATGTCAACGACTGTAAAGACCCATATTTTATTTCCCCTTGTTCCCCTGGTTCGGCACTTTCCATAGAACCGAACGCTAGCTCCCTGGCGGCCGTTCGCATGGACCAAAACCGCGAATAGACTTCAGGGGGACTTAGCCGCGAATGCCCTGGAACTATTTTCGGCATGAAGACTTCGTGGTTCCCGGTCGGTCCCCCAGCGGCACTTAGCAGCGATTCTATGGTATTATTTTCGGCATGATGACTTTGCGGTTCCTGGTTGATCGCCAGCGACACTTAGCCGCGATCCTATGGAACCGTTTTCGGCATGTGTGGGACCATGCGTGCAGTCGGTAAAAACTATGACTTCAAGGAAATTCCATGGGGGCCTAATTTGCCGGAGGGGGGCTGCCTGGGTTGTCAGGCAGTCCCCCCAAAGCGGATCTCTAGGTAGGTAAGTATTTCCTGGGCTCTTGGGCTCAAAGCCATTACGGCGTTCTATGCCGCCACAACATTTTAAAGCCCATTAAAATGCGGATGGCAAAGAACTTTCAGTTCCTCTTAAATCAAACCTATTTTTAAATTAAAGAAACAGACATTGAGCTTTTTTCGTAGATGGAATTGGGTATGTGTAATTTGTTTCATTGCAAATCAAATTTTGTCCAAATTCTAATGAATCTGTCAATTAGGAAGTGTCCGAATTCTTTCCCAAAAAACTGAAGGAGCAAATTTAAGAAAACTGGCTTTTTTAAAAATAAATTTACATTTTTTTTTTTTATTCTTTATTTTATTTGTGCATAAGGTAACAACAAGCGTGCAGAGCCACGACAGCAGCTGCAAGCATTTTCATAGCACTTCAAAGTGTGGCAGTTTAAACATGAAAATAATAGGCTATGTGAAATCAGTAGTTCGCGCTAAACATGCTAGGCTAGATATGCATATAACAGAGTCAGTTATGCTGAAGATTGTTGGAGGGGTCTGTAGCGTTGCATTTTTGAGGAGGGAAGCGTTTGAACTTAAGTCAGTATTACCACAATTTAGGTTCTCGCTTAGTTAGTTATCAGGATGGACATGTCAGAGAGTAGAAATCAGAGGAGTGACAAAGAGGGAAAGCATTACATATACATTGATCTTAGCAATAGATTTTGGACGTTGTGGGTTATGTTGCTGTGTAGTTGTGTTATGCTAGGTAGTATGTTGTTTGTAGATTAGTAACATATCTGTAAGTGCGTGCGATGTGGTCTGCCCATGCGGTATGAAAGATTTAGTTTACTAAATATTATGGCAAACAAGATACTAGTGCTGTTGAAAAGTCAAGTCATAAAATAAAACTGTATCTGTAGAGATCACGGGTTGCGGACTCTGGGTTCCCAGATTGGGGTGTCATCCAACTCCAGTGCTTGTCAGGCACCTCTTGTGTTCAGGTGGTGTAGTGGCGTCCCCCTGCGCTGTCTTGTTGGTTTGTGGCAGCAATTGTGGTGTCTCAGGTCCGGGCTGTTGAGTTGGGCTGTTTCTGGCTGGGTGCAGGGTGAGTGGCTTGATATTTCGGCCCCTGTATTATCGGAGCTTGCAGTGCCAGGGTCTGGTGGTCCCTGTGGGTCAGCATTATAGAGATTGTCCAGTGGGGTCGCGCTTTTTTTATGCCCCATTTTTCTCTGCTTGTTGACGGTAGCCTGTACCTTGATCCGCACAGTGAAGTCAGCCGCCATAGCACTCGGGCAGGCTGTTATGGTGGTCAGATGGTGCTGGATGGTCTACTCTGCGTTCAGCTCGATCTTGCTGGTAGGTTGCGCACATGGATGACGTGCGGTGGCCATCTTGAGGAATACTGGCCGGTGAGTGTTCTACTACAGGTCGGTTGTTTGGACCCAGATTGGTGCAATAATAGCTGCCCGTGGAGACTGGGATAACCCCCCGGTCCAGAGGGGGGGGAAAGCGAGACGCCTGTCGGAGACCCGGGAGAGCGGCCATCTCGTCCTAGGTCAAGCTCCGACGGGCTTCGGGCCCTTGTCGGGTTACTTGTGATGCCAGGCAAGGTCTTGAAAGGTATCCCCGCGTACCCCAGCAGCTGGAGATCGATGTGGTCACCAGTGTGGGTCAGTGGTTGCGTTTGGCTTCCAGTTAGCTCCGATTTTCAGGCCCTGAAGTGGGAGCTCAGACAGAGCACATCTGATCCTGTTGGCGGTCAGGCCCCGCCCCCTTAAAATACATTTTTGTCTTTCATCTCTTTAGTAGATATCTCCCTAAATAGCAAGAATAGGAAAAGCCCTATTTCTTTAATTTGCTCTTTCAATTGCTTAGTAGATAAGTTCCTAATGTAATTCCCTTAAAGGAACACTATAGTGTCAGGAATACAAATGTGTATTCCTGACACTATAGGTCTAAATAGCTGTTTAGACCCTGTTACAAAGTCCCCTCTGTCTGCTACACGTTTATTACCTGGTTATTAAAAACTCACAAAACATTGTTTCAAGTCATTCATCTGTACGAATGACCGACCACCGGGCCCCTGGCGTGTGCCGCCAATTAACCCCGTTCACCCTCTCTATGCCAAACGGAGTACCAAAAGAACTGTCGAACGACCGACCACCCTACCAGAGGAGTGTGCCCCTCATTAACCACCCTGGAGTTACGGTTTGTGGTTAACCGCAGTCTAATTTACAGTCGACAGGGTGGTCGGCGTTCGTTTGTCCGAACACGTGGCGGCAGCCATCCTTATTTGCCAAACGCCCAGCGGGACTTGGTCATCGACCGCCAGGTACCATTTTCGGCTACTGTTTCATATGAACCCCGCTGGGATCCTCCATGCCCCGTCCGTTCGTGCATAAAGTACCGAACGCCGTGCCATTCGGTATGTTAAGACTGAGAAGGATATACTGACCTCATGCAGGACACTATGGTGAAGGATTTCTGGGTTGTTAATGGCCGAACAGCCCTTGAGACACTTTTTATCACCATGGCATTCCCATACCATTTGTGAGATCTAAGTGCTTTTCGTATAACTTGTGGGCTCAGGTCCAAGCTGTCTGGGGATATGTTGAATGTGTACATTAACGGACATGATGTCTGAGTTATGTATTTTTATGCAGTTTTCGTGGATCTGTAACAGTTAGAATATTGCCTGTACCTGGAGATAATTAAGTTATTGTAAGCGTTGGAACTGATTGTCTCCAGGCTAGAGGGGAGGATTCGAAAAGATGTACTTTGTCCTCATTGGTTATTGTCATTTGTCACCCTGTGTACCATCAGGTCCAGAGGGGTGTGCCTCTGGCCTGAAAATGTGTATTTAAGCAGTGCATTGCCAATCAATAAACCAGTCTTCCTACCCTCAACTCGCAGCCGCGACTCGTGTTGTAGGGATGCTTATATATAGCTAGCTGGATATTCTACACTTGCAGGATTATCGCTGGATGCTGTTTGGAACCTCTCTACTGCTCTCCAGGATTGGGAACAAGGATATCTAATCCAACCCTCAGCCAGCCTGCGGCAACCGTAACAGACCCTCTGACCCCCTTATCTCTGGTTAAAAAGGTCGTTTACTCACCTTTTTCAGTGCCGTGCCGGTCTGGTCGCAACTGGCCCGCCCATGCTCCGCCACCTAAGCTGTGATCATCAAATTTAATGATCTGAACCAATCCAATCATTGGGAGGCTATTGTACATGCAGAGAAAAACGCTGCTGTGCACCAATCAGTAACTGTTTACATTAAAATGCATTCAGGGACAGGTGACTATAGTGTGCATTTTAATTATGCCAATCACACCAAATTAGGGAGCTATGTACTAAACAGCTGAAAGACCACAATTGAGGAAAAAAAAGCCCTTTTATTTATTTTGATATTTTAGACAGGTGTGTTTACTAGATAGCCTCCAATTTTGGTACCGTTATGTGGGATTACTATTTTAAGAATACCAAACTAGAGAGCTATATGCTAAACAGCACCCTAAATTGGTATCCTTTGTAATAATAATAATAATAATAATAACAATAATAATAATAATAATAGTGTCCAAAATTTGCCCAAATTTTGGTTCCTTCTGAAGCACTAATCTCCAACTTTCGGATGATCCAAAATTCACAATGTGAGCAAATTGAAACAAAGCAAATTTGTATCTACTATTTGTACCCACGAGTCTGAGTTTATCCTGAATTGACCTATTTATTACCTTTTTGTCCTTGTGCACCTGTGTCCCCTTTATCACCTGTGGAAGAGAATAAAATCGATATAATTATTAGCCCCTCGGTAAGTCCTTTCCACCCCTTTCAATGTGGGATGCGGAGATTCCTTAACCATAGTTTGGGGCCACGCAATGACAATGTATGGTCCACGTATCTTGCTCATTCTGTGACTAGCACATCCACAGCTGGCTTCAGAAGCTTTGGAGCCCAATACTACTCTCCCAGGCTCTCAGATATGCGCATAAACACATATTCCCAGAAACACATATACAGGCACAGACACACTCACAATGCACAATAATACACTCACACACAGGAACACACTGCTAGAGACCCACTAAATCCATCTTGGTTCTAGCCATCTTCCTGCCTGTCTATCAATTTCTGCAGGGCGATGACTTTCATGGTGTCTGGTGGGGAATAGGCTGAACCAGTGCTGCAGTCTATTCCTTTCACTCTGATGTGGTTTCCTTTTGCGGTGGTTGGGGTGGAGCAGTTGCAGTCCATACCCCATGTGGGTGAAAGTAAAGCATGAAGTAAGGGCCCGCTGTGTTAGAACCCAACCAGTCCGCATAGATGGCCCCCAGCGTATTGCCAGAGTCCTATATACCTGGGTACCAGCTTTACCCCCTGATGACGACTCAGCTCTTCGATTCTGGGATAAGGTTCTACGTTCAAAATCTAATTTCTATGGTGATTGTATCAGGTTTAGAACTCTACATTCCTATTGCTATCTCTCTCTCTTTCTCTCTCTCTAAAAAACAGCTTTGTACAGTTGACATGACAGTATAAAGACTGTATTAATTTAGTGATATATTAACATTTCAATACGTAGAAAGTATTGTACAATGATAATGAAATGTGATCCCATATTCTGTATTTAATTTAGTATTCATATTTTGCTATTTAGAGTTAGTTTACCTTTAACGCCTGTTGGTCCCATCTTCCCAGGAGTTCCAGGTGGGTTTATTAAAGAGGATTGTGTATATAAATATGTTTTTTTTTCACACCCAGCACAAGTGTTCACATTAACTTTGATTTTAGTTTACTTTTTCCTTTTGTTACTTATTTTATAATTGTAAGTAGTTTATAAGCAAGTTTACCAAAATGTGTCAAATTCAGTTGTCTGTTCACAGTAGCTTACTGTTTGAAAGATAAACTCTACGTAAACTTCTCCAATCAGTAACAATATAAAATCAATGATTAGAGTGAGGGATCATTCACAGCTCACCTGGACAGGTGTCTTCAGCATAACACAGAATGGCGGCCAGCGACAGGAGAATGCTCAATGACGAATATGCGCAGTTCCTCATCTTACTCCCTGTAGCTGCTGGAGTCGGAGAGTTTTATGGTATCTCTGGAACAGATAGAGAGTATCGTCTAAAGTACAACAAGGCCCTCATCCTTAAATAGGCAGCAACGACTGTATGCCAGTAATGTAATTTCCACAGGAACCGGTTTGATTGTAAGCATATTTCTTCTAACCACTGACAGTCACGCCATTATTTAAACTGATCTGGCTTTGTATAATATTTTCCAATATTTTATGAATGTTTCCCTTTCCTGGCATTTTTAGCTTCTTCCCATATCCTGTAAGATTAGATTTGCATAATTTCATTGAGAATAAAGTTTTAAGCAATGTTCGGAATCACCTTAAAGAAGGGGTGCTATATATTTCAAAAACATTTTGGCAATACCTGTTCAGTAAATAAAAAGGAGCAGTGGGGAGCTAAGTAATGACTTCCTATATTTAGTAAGAGGTGGTTGTGTTGGAAATATAATTTGCTTGACCAAACTGGAGGTTTCTCTATTGTGGTAATTGTAACGGAGCTCCCTGTACCCCAGTCTGTGAGATGCATTAGAGTGAGGAACTTAAAATGGCTGACCTATATATATCTATGGGGGAAGCAACTCCTCCCAACTAACCCAAGGTCCACTGTGCTTTGAGCTAATTGTTTGCCAGCCTCCGAGCTAAGTCAGGGGCCCTATTCCACTAAGCTGCATTGTTCTGTGGGCTACATTTGAGAAATTGAAATGATCAAGGGTTTCACTTGCCACAAATTAAGCACAGTGGGAGTGCTATGGATGGGATCTTATCGCTGGCTGACCAGTGCTGACGGATGCAGAGAATACTTTTAAAGGGGAACGTCTGTCACTTCCCAAGATTTTTAATATTCAGTTTACTTATTCCATATAGTTAAAGGATCACTATAGGGTCAGGAACACAAACATGTATTCCTGACCCTATAGGGTTAAAATAACCATCTAGCCCCCCTGGGCCCCTCATGCCTCCATAAATATAGCAAAATCTTACTGTATTCAAGACTGAAGCTGCAGATCTGCATGCTGTTTGCCTAAAAAAACAACAACAGTCTGCTGACATCATCAGAAGTGGTAGCTGATCCAATCACAGTGCTTCCCCTTAGGATTGGCTGAGACTGCCAAAGAGGCAGATCAGGGGCAGAGCCAGCATGATTCAAACACAGCCCTGGCCAATCAGCATCTCCTCATAGAGATGAATTGAATCAATGAATCTCTATGAGGAAAGTTCAGTGTCTGTATGCAGAGGGAGGAGACACTGAATGTTTGGATGCTTCTAGTAGGCAATATAAGCTGATGACAGGCAGATATGCATCTCCTTCAAACCAATCACGATCAAGAAATGTATTGCTCATTGCTTGGGAAAGTCAAGGGCCAATTGGTTGAATTTAAAGCCTTACAACACAGCTATTCGGGATGGATGAAAATCAAGTGATGGTAACAAAGTTGAATTAATATCATCAAATAGATCTGGAATAGGGAGGCTCAAAGCTGCAAACGTCACTATCAGTATAAATTCTTGGAGCGATGCTTGACAGCTAACTTTCAGTAAACATCAAATATCAGGCACTGTCCAAACCTCATTCCTCCATTTGAAGAATGTAGGCAAATACAAAAATTCCCACCAAGGATCTTCCAGCAGTATTACATGGATTGGTGACATCCTGTCTGATGTTATTAAGGTCTCCTAGAAAGGTTCCCTCACCGTCTCCAGCTGGTATAAAATGCTGCATTAAGACTGCTAAGAGTCAAAAATCTGCCGTGTCTTCCAATGCCTTCACTGGCTGCCAATAAAATGGCTCAAAGTGATCTTACAGAGCAGTATAGAACATTGAATCTGCTGTGTCAAATAACTTGTGAATGATAAAGGCGCTATACGAGTTCTAATTGTTGTTAAAAGTTCTACCTTTTACACCTAGCAGCCAGTAGAGGGCGAGCATAGAGATAGGAGGCGAATCAGAAACAATGATTCTATTTCTCCTCCTTCAACACGAGGTGTGCCTGGCTGTGCCAAGACTCAACTGGATTGTGATGTCGATTGTTTAATCTTTAATACACGTCTAAAAGAACACAGCGCATCTCATGAAAATAAATTAACACAAGTTATAAGTGACTTTAAATATTTTATTAATTGGTGTAATTCCCAGAGAAGCGACTGTTACTATTTAGTGTGTGAGTATAAATCTGACAAACATGGATACAATAGTGTGAAATAATAGTGTTACAGAGTTACTGGTATACCAGGTGTTAAATCACGGATATAACTTGTCCTGATCGTGCATTAGCTGTATCTGATTATTAGACGGTATAAAAGGTTATTGATCACACAGAGGTTAACCCTTTATATAGCCTGTTGGTTTAAGGAGATTTAATAGTGTAAGCATTAAAAAGCAAAGTTGTCTTCTTTACACTTTAGAGCCCTGTCCACCCCCCCCTCCTCGCACCTCACACCCCGGCAGATGTCCTCCAACTGGTGGGGGCTAATGCTCATGTGTGGTGAGCGCCGCAAGTGCATTAGACCCTTCCCATAGGAAAGCATTGCTTTATTGCCTCCTATGGGGATTTTACTGACGTTGGATTTCCTCATGCATAGCATCAGTTAGGCAACCAAAATCCGGTTAGCCACCAGGAAGTGTCTCTAGTGGCTGGCTGTCTGATTAGAAATTATTTTTTTAATGATTTACATTGCAGGAATAAGTGGGACAGTGACACTGCTACCAGAGCACTTCATTTAGCTAAAGTGGTTTTGGTGATTATAGTGTTCCTTTAATGAGCAGTTACAGCAGATTTGTGTCAGTGTCTGGATACTGGAGACCTGGTGCTACCCAGCAAGCTACTAGTCTGAGCCCCAACCTGCTAATACACAGATCTGTTTACTGAAGGACTGTGTTACTAAATGTTACTGCAGCATTGTTACTCAAACTGTTACTCAATGCAGCATTGTTACTCAAACTGTTACTCAATGAGCCCAGGACTATTTGCAATCCATTCTCTCCACATAACAGGGAACTGTGCAGGAAGTGCTCGTGGATGGAATATTGGTAACTTCTTATTTTGTATTAAGTGCTGCAGAGATAATCCGATTCTGTTTCTGTACCACTTATATAACCACAGACACCCTGCCCCACACACACACACGTACCACTTATATAACCACAGACACCCACCCCCACACACACACACGTACCACTTATATAACCACAGACACACACACACACGTACCACTTATATAACCACAGGCACACACACACACGTACCACTTATATAACCACAGACACACACACACACGTACCACTTATATAACCACAGACACACACACACACGTACCACTTATATAACCACAGAGACACACACACGTACCACTTATATAACCACAGAGACACACACACACGTACCACTTATATAACCACAGAGACACACACACGTACCACTTATATAACCACAGACACACACACACGTACCACTTATATAACCACAGAGACACACACCACTTATATAACCACAGAGACACACACACGTACCACTTATATAACCACAGACACACACACACGTACCACTTATATAACCACAGAGACACACACCACTTATATAACCACAGAGACACACACACGTACCACTTATATAACCACAGACACACACACACGTACCACTTATATAACCACAGAGACACACACCACTTATATAACCACAGAGACACACACACGTACCACTTATATAACCACAGACACACACACACGTACCACTTATATAACCACAGACACACACACGTACCACTTATATAACCACAGACACACACACACACGTACCACTTATATAACCAAAGACACACACACGTACCACTTGTATAACCACAAAGAGATACACACATTAATAGATTGACACATAATATAATAAACAATGTGTGTATCTTTATTTGCCCACGGCATGCCAGTGAAATATATAGTGATACGTACAGAGTATAAAGAGGAACAGGTGAAGCTATGATCCATAGACAATGACCGGGATATGGGGAGAAGTTATGCCAATTGGAACGTAAAAACAAATAATACAAGTAATATTAGCCCGGACAGCCTGTCATGCCCATCTGCAAACTCGTGTTGACAACTACCGAATTAATGAATTATGTCCAAATCATGAGTGTTGGTGGGAGACTAAAATAGAGCCATTACTGAGATACCACCAGTAAACCTCGATGACCAGAGCAAGGTGAGAGCAGAAGACATCAGGTTTGGGGTGAATGAGCTCAGTGTGCAGAGAAAGGACAAAGCAAAGTCATTTAACAGAAAGTTTGTGAAAAATAAGTAAGTATGAGTTGGGACGTCCAGACACAGGGCCATGCAGTGCCTGGTCAGGAAAACAAAAGAAAGTCTTCAATCTGATAATCCAGGCAGGACCAGGGTACAGATAGCCTTTAGTCGGTTTATCCAAGACAGGATAAGGCAGGCAGAGGATAACCAGGCAGGATCAGGTAGGCAGAGGTTAACTAGGGCTATGTCGGTTTGCACATACATACAGTTAATCCACACACTGCTCCCAGTTATGCTGGGTTGGATCCTCCATGGTTCTGACACCCTGAGGGGATCCTGGAGCAGTATGGAGGACACATCAAGAAGAACCACATAGAAGGCCTGCTGGAGGTGGGGTGGGTTGAAGGGCAGACAAGGCACACCTCCGTTCCCCTGCATGCTGCAACCTACGGGGAGTGGGTAACAAACGAGTGAGGCACGCCTTGTACTCGCAGCGCGCCATGGAAGAACAGTGGACATTGTTGGCAGACGGGGAGAGGTCTCTGTGCGTCTCTCACTCCAAGGATGGTGAGACCCACGTGGTGCCCAGTGAGTGAGTGCAACGCACCATGACAACATAAAGACAGCAGTAAGCAATTAGTATATTATTTTTATTGTTTTATTCAGATTGATGAACTTTTAATGTCACACTTCATGTGATTTATTCATAATTGTACTATTTATGTGTTTATAATTCTCACACTAGTAAAAAAAATAAAAAATAACACATCAGGATAGGGAGAACCATTGTATTACCAAACTTTTACATGGCTGACCTTTAGTTAAATTCACAGACCTTCTGCCTGATTACAGTCAAGATTTGATATGGAGCAGAATCTAATACATTGTTTCCTCCATGGATGCAGTGACTTCCAGTAAGCAGTTAGTTAGACTGAGGTCGGATCTTCATCTCTGATATCTTATATGAGTATTTGTGACCACGATCTGACTTCCAGTTTACCCCATTGGCATTGCTAGTGTGATTTCCCCGCAGATACAGTGCGTTCAGGTTTGATGAATGACATGCAGTATACCACCAGGCACCTTTGTAAATATTTGCACAGTTACCCGTGTTATGACGGTCATTATCTCTATCTTTGGTAGAAAACTGTGTGTTTCTATGAACATAGAAGGAGTCACCTGTAAATGGAGGAGAAGACGATGTGTAAACAACTAGCGCAGCCCCTTAAATATATAAACTTTCCAGTGACATGTACTCAAACGTTTAACATACACAGATATCCTATATAACGAGCAGGATGCCTGCGTTCTGTGACCCCCACCCGTCTCCATATATTTAAATAGTCTGTTAGGTATTTCTGCAGTTCCCAAAATGATCTCAGTGAGTCACCCACACTCATTGAAGTGGTCTGAGCGCAGTGTCCCATAAGTGAAAACACTACAGTTTTCAGAGAGGGTTAAAACTGCTTCTAGTGGCTGTCTCTCAGGGTAATAGAGGAAATAGTGAGGCATCCAGCAACACCTTAGACTTCAGGGAGTGCCATGTACCCCAAAAAGTGCTGTAGTTTTCGGTGACCACCCAGCGGCCTGGAACTCTGCAATGAATCAGGGGGAGAGCAGCGGGCCTCTGAAATCTTAACTTCCACCTAAGTCAGGCAAGCCATCTCCGATCCAAGAGCTTTTTGGATAGAGTGGGCACTCGGAAGAAATCTTTCATGGGGCACTGTTTGTTTGGGCAAAGGACATTGTATTCTTACTGTTTTGGTTAAATGGTGCCAAGGTGTCTCGTCGCTAATTAAATTATCCATATAGCTACAGATACCAAGGTGACGGGTATGTCACTGTTCTTTCGTTCTCCCTGGGAACCTCCTGTTGAGTGATAGTGTGAAAATAAAAGCTATTCTTATTCACCCTTGACTAGTATTTTGGTGAGACAGCTATACAAGCTATAACACTGGGCTATACTCATGACACCCCCCCACAAAGATGCGGTGGCGGATCCGGGGGGGGGCAACGGGGCAATTGCCCCCCCCCGAGATTCTCCCCTGCCTGCTAATGCAGGGCTGGCATTGTCCAAGCGCCAGCCCTGAAATGTGCCTTTACAGACCACAGGAAATATCAGAGATCAGAGGGAGAGAGGACCCGGGAGCTCGGCCTACAGCTCCTCCGGGTCCTCCTCTCGCGAGCATGGAGCGTTGCCGCGATTATCACGGCAACGCTCCAAATCTCGCAAGAGTGAACTCTAGCCCTGGAGCGTGGGCTAGAGTTCACTCCTACCACTGGGACCACCAGGGATTACCCACCGGACCACCAGGGACTTAGAAATGTCCCCCTCCTCCCAGTAAAGGTAATAAGGGAGGGGGGACATCAATATATTTATTTTAATTAAATACACACACTGCCCCACAAACACTGTCCCCCATACACACACTGCCCCACAAACACTGCCCCCATACACACACTTCACACACTGCCCCATACACACACTTCACACACTGCCCCACAAACACTGCCCCCACACACACCGCCCCACAATCACTGCCCCCATACACACACTACACACACTGCCCCACAAACACTGCCCCATAGACACACTACACACACTGCCCCACAATCACTGCCCCCATACACACACTACACACACTGCCCCACAAACACTGCCCCCATAGACACACTACACACACTGCCCCACACACCCCCATACACACACTGCCCCACACAATCACTGCCCCATACACACACTTCACACACTGCCCCACAATCACTGCCCCCATACACACACTGCCCACAAACACTGCCCCCATACACACACTCACACACTGCCCCAAAACACGCCCCATACACACACTACACACACTGCCCCCCATAGGCACACTACACACACTGCCCCACAATCACTGCCCCCATACACACACTGCCCCACAAACACTGCCCCCATACACACACTACACACACACACACACAAATATTGCCTTAAGTGTGTAAATGTAACAATTTATATATTTTATTACAATCAAATAACAATAAAATACAAAATAAAAAACACACACATTGAAGTCCAATAATCAAGAGTCCTATGCTCACAAATTTACACACTTAAGGCAATAATATTTTTTTCCTGCTATTGAAAAGAAGGAATGTGGTCGTTAACCACATACGCTATCTGATTTGAGCCTAATCGGAAGGCTCAGGGTTTGTGAGTACGATTTACCCTTATACCTCACCATTTAAAGGAATATTGCAATATTGCACCATATCTGTTCTCTTTCACAATTTAGGATAAAGACATCAAGCTTCTCTCCTAAAAGAAGGGAATGGATCGCCTCAACGGACCCCAAAAGTGTATTAATTGAGCTATACCTTTTAGCTCATTAAATTGTGAGTGGTGACTTGTCTTTATCTTTGTAATTTCATTTTTCATACAGTCTATACTATGATGTGTTTTCATTTTATGTTTTAAAGGAACGATACACTTTAATAAGACTCTACTATAGACACCTATAAAAGGTATACATGCATGTTTATTGTTGAATTCACTGCACAAGTCTTATAGATAGAACTTGCACTGTATTGACACTAAGCGCTTCACTGCTAGATTTTCATTGATATTTCTTTAAATAATCTACAAGTGCCCCTCCCTAGATCATGCTCTGGATCCGCCACTGGACAGACAGACAGCTGCTAGGGAGCAGTGTTACCCATGACACCCCCAGACAGACAGCTACATAGTATTACCCTGTCTGATTCTCAGTCACTGTATGATGGCATGTTATTACGAGAAACTGCTTCCTTCCTGCTTTCTTAATCTGTTTTTTCACTGCTCAGGGCCATAGCAGTCGCGCACATGTGCAGTACGTCCGTTAGATTTCTATATCTGACAGATGTACTGGGACAGCTGATGCCACATCACTTCCAAGAGATATGAGAATGAGACACATGGAGGGGCTTGGGCGAGAATGAGACACATGAAGGGACTGGGGTGAGAATGATATACATGGATGGGTTGGGGGGTGGTAAAGACACACGGAAGGGCTGTGGGGGGAATGAGACACATGGAGGGGATGGGGCAGCAGGGCCGGACTGGTAAGAAAATTTGGCGCAGGCATTTTTTTATTACAGCGGCTTACTGAAGGGGGGTCAGTGCTAGATAGGTTGTGTTTTGTCATCACAAATGACAAGCACTCCCCATCACAAAGTGAGCATGTTGGTTCAATGCTGACCATGCGCAGAGCTCTTCTGAAAAGCTCTAGCATTAGAAAAAGGTCCTGTATTTGTTCTGCACAGCGCAAGCAAACTTAATAACACGCTTGCACTGTGTTTGCTAGAAATTTGTCTCTGGTGTCTCCATATATGGGATACCAGGAGAAAGAAATGCCAGGAAAGAGTATGTGCAGTGTGTGTGTGAGGCGTGTAGTGTGTGTGCAAGAGGGGTGCAGTGTGTGTGTGAGGGTGCTGTGTGGGTAAGGTGTGCAGTGTGTGTGTGCTGTGTATAAGTGATGGGTGCAGTGTGTGTGAGGGTGCTGTGTTTGAGTGAGGGTGCTATTTGCGTGTGAGGAAGCTGTGTGTCTGAGGGTGCAGTGGGTGTGTGTGAGTGAGGGTGCTCTGAGTGTCAACACTCCGGATCTCACGAGAGGAACCCGGCGGAGCTGCAAGCCAGAGCTCCTCCGGGTTCCTCTCCTGACTGTCTTCCTCCCCAGCCGGTGGCTGCATCACACTGCATGTGGGCTGGTCAGGGAGATCTTTGATCTCCCCACCGGCCTGTCATGGAAAACAGCGGATTCGGCTCTCAGATAGTGCTGGCCCTTCATGGACCGGCCGGGGAAATCCTGTGACCTCCGCTGCCGGCCTTGGCCCATGGACATCGCAGCCCACCGGGCATTTGCACCAGGGCCTGGTGGTTTCTAGTTATGCCTTTGGTCACAATACACAGTCAACCTGTGTCTGTCATACCTGCGGTCCCTCCAATGAATGACCCCAAACTCAGAGTGTAATTCAGATTCTCCCCTGCGATTTTGAAGTTGCTGTATGTGGCGTAAGTTCTGTTGTTTTCAAAATCCATGAAATCGAAGCGGAGGTCGTATGTTCCTATCAGAAAAGTGAATTATTATTTATTACGTGCAGCGCTGGGCAAAACAACATGTTTTATAAAGAATCCATAGAAGGTGAACATGGAATAAAGCACTAAGTGCAATCACATACTGACGGACACGGTCGAGGTTTGTTTATGTATCTGTTTGGGTGTCTGCCAGGAGGAGTTATATTCTGTTTAATTTTAGAGGAAGGAAAGTGACACGAAGTCTGAAATTAGATTTATGGATATTTTCATAGCAGTGACGTTGGGTATCAAAGACTGATTTGGAATACTTAGACCAAAATTACCATCTTCAAACAATTCTACAAATCAACTGCTATTTTAAATTGTCACAACTCTCTCATTAAATTATAAGGAATATCCCATTCCCTCCCAGCCCCGTTTATACATAGGGTTAATGTTAAATGTAAAACAAAAACGAACCCATGAAACCATAATTAAAGGAACATTCCTTCCTCCATAACAAATTAACGTTTTTAAGTTGCTATGGGTGCAGGAGTTACAAGAATCCTTCTTACCTTCAGGATTAAACTGTTTTACAATGGTTTAACCCTGAAATTGGGGCTCCGGCACCTCGTACCTCTATCTCATGGCTTCCTTCCTTCCTTGCTGCACTGCAGTTCGAGAAGGATTAGGTGGCCAGCAGATTATAAGATGATGGAGTTTGCCCATTGAATGAAATAACACATACTATTTAATTAATTATTCTAACTACGCCAGTGTGCTAACTATTCATCTGAGGTGTCTGATAAATGTTCTGCTCTATTTCTTATATGTAAAAAGCTGGTTTGGAACCACAGTGGGTTCTTGCAGTAGGAAACATGAATATTACCTGTGGACGTAAGTTGGTGAATATGATCGTTCCCCAGCCAGAACTCGCTAGTCTGATGGCCAAACCCTCGCTTGTAGGAATTCCAGTCTCGGAAAAAATCCACCGACCCATCCATCCTTCTCTGGAAAACCTAATTTCATGTAAAAGGTTAGTAGTTAGCCTAATAGATTCCAAGCAATGGTAAATGTTCTGCTCTCTATTTGAGTGACCTTGTTCTCATAGATGGTCCGTGATCGGGGAATTAAGTTTATCATTGGTCGCAGGGAGCAGGTTACATGGCAAATATGGCCAATTAGCCAATCTAACCTGCTCCTTCCATATTCTTATATATTATCTCTGAATTAATGTCTCCCTGTTGTCCTGGAAGGCTGTCCCATGTATATGCGACCATTTATGAAAACAATCCTAATCTTGTATGTTCCTTATTACATTTCCTCTTAAAGGATAAGCTCTGGTGAGTTAAGCCCTGGTTCTTATAAATTAAAAAAATCATAAATCCAGAGTTATGGTGACAATGTTACATAGAACAATAGTGCAGCGACCCCTTGTGGACCTAAGTGGAAATGCAAGTTAAAATAATCTTGCTGGTAGAACATATTTTTTCTTGGAAACTCTCCCTCATATTGCCTGTTTTACCAACCTGTCTAATGTATGCCTTAGCTGTAGTCTGCTAGGAAAGTAAAACTTAGTGGCCATACTTACTAGCCATCCTCCTCCGTCAGTCTCCATGTCACAGTACACAGTGAGAGGAAGCCCATTGCTTGTGTATACTGTGTACCAACCGCTCAGAGAAGCTCCATAGTCCAAGAGCTCCTTACAGTTCTGGGCAGCTGGAGGAGAAAGAAAGAGAGAGGATCATACTGATTGGACGGTTAGCTGTTTGACTTCCTGATTCAATTTAACGCAGCCAATCAAAAAGGGAGAGTAAATATTGCTGCTTATTAAAACATTCAAAATGCCAGACTTTAACAGAAATTACTTTTTAATAGGCGGCAACTGAATCTTACATGTGTTAAATCATATTAGTATAAAATATAAACTACCTCTGATTATAATTAATGGAACAAATAATTACTTTAGACCTAAAGAGGCCATTTCATGTCAGTTTTACTGTATAATAAAATGGATTTCTATGTATTTACAAGATGTGATACTTACTTCCAGGGGCAGGTACCCCGGGATCTCCTTTGTCACCTGAACAAAGAAATATTTAGAAACATAAATAAAGCATTTTATAAAATATTGTAAAACATGTAATATTTTCATTCTGGAAAGTTACTCTGTAAATCAAGGATTTATTTATTATGTTTAAATAGAGACATTATATATTGTATCACTAGAAACAGCTCTGTAATAGCATTGGGAGTTAATAAATGCAGCGTTGATAAAATTACATTACACATTGTAAATGTTTTATGTTAAAACTAAAACGTTTAGTGGATTCCCCTAGATTCCCCAATAATTGTTTCAGTTCCTCTTCAATTAAACATGTATTTAAATTAAAGAAACAGACGCTAAGCTTTCTTCTTTTACAATTAGACACGTGCAATTTGTTTCATTCCGAATCAAATTTCATCCGAATTCAGCATTTCGCAAGTGTCTGAATTTCCAAATTCTTTACAAAAAACAGAAGGTTTTTTTTTTAAATTTTTTTACATTTTGTTTTTAAGTTGCACCCTAGAGAACAAAATAAGAAAATACCTATTTCTTCAATTTTCTCCAGCAGTTGCTTAGTAGATACGTTTCTAATTTGGTACCCTTAACTATGGCAATCACACGTAATGATAGGACACCAAATTAGGGAGCTATCTACTAAACAGCTAAAAGGGCAAAGTTAGCACAAAAAACACCCCCTTTTTTTTGTAATTTTACTGTTTCATTATCTTAGTAGATGAAGTCTGTAATCAGTCAGAATAGCAAATTAGGGAGTTATCGTCTAAGTAGTTGAAAGAAAAAAGACATTTGATTAATTGAGATCTTTTTAGACAGGTGTGTTTACTAGAGAGCTCCTTACAGGGCCGATTCTATTGTCACTGATGCCTGGGTGCAAGAATATTTTTGGTGCCCCTTCACAAACATAATACTTCTAACCACACCTATTTTCTATGGCAACCGCTCCACCTCTTCGGGCCCCCCAATTTCACCAGGTAACATGTCACCCACTTTCTTCAGTGCCAGATTTGCAAACAAAAAGCGTATCTGTATTAGGAAGTAAGGTGCCTTAGTAGGGGATTAGGGGCTGTAAAGGGATTAGGGGGATGTAGTAGCAGAGACAGGCTGTAGTGGGTAGTTAGGTGCTGTAGGGAGTAGTAGGGGAGTTAGGGGCTCTAGTAGGGGGTGAGTGCTGTTATAGGAAGTAAGGGGCTTTAGTAGGAGTTTGCAGCTGTAGTAGGGATTAAGGGGCTGTAGTAGTAGTAGGGCGTACCTTGGGCCAGGTAGGGGGGAATCTGTTACCAGGTGTTCTGGTGTGAGATTTGGTGCTTTGTGCTCCCCTAAACAGAGCTAACTGTGTCCCAGGAGCCTAGAGCCGAGTGCAAGAGGAGAGCCTAACGTGACGGACGGAGCCTATCAGTGCGCCTGGGTACTGTGCACCTCTTCACCCACCCAGGATTGGCTTAACAGAGCCCTAATTTGGTATCCTTTGGAAAATAATAATTGCATTGTTTTGGATCCAAAATTTTTCCGAATTTAGATTTGTTCTTAAACGCTAATTTCCAAAATTTAGACGTTCCGAAACTTAAAAATGAAAAAATTGAAATAGAATGAACTAAAATAAATTTTTTCACACATACACAACTCTAGAAGCAATATTGTTTGATCTTTACTTGGTTCTTTATAAATTTGTATCTACTATTTGCATCCACAAGTCTGAGTTTATCCTGAATTTACCTATTTATTACCTTTTTGTCCTTGTGCGCCTGTGGCCCCTTTATCACCTGTGGAAGAGAATTAAATCTATATAATTATTAGCCCCTCAGTAGGTCCTTTCCACCCCTTTCAATGTGGGATGTGGATATTTACTGACCATGGATTGGGGCCATGCAGTGACAATGTATGGACCACGTATCTTGCTCATTCAGTGACTTGCACATCCATGGCTGGCTTCAGAAGCTTTGGGGCCCCTTAAAATCCACTGACTGGGCTCTTCCAAGCTCTCACATACGTGCATACACAAACATTCCCCAACACAGAGAGAGTTTCACAGACACACAATGTACAGTAATATACTCAGACACAGGAACACACTGCTTGATACCCGCTCACACAGGTACACACATCAACACATGGCCAGAGATTTATTTTACACACGATCCATCTTGGTTCTACCCATATTCCTTTTATGTCTATCCATTGCTGCAGGGCAATGACTTTCATGGTGTCTAGTGGGGAATGGGCTGAACCAGTGCTGCAGTCTATTCCTTTCACACCCACGTGGTTCCTTCTGCGGTGGTTGGGGTGGAGAAGTTGCAGTCGATGCCCCATGTGGGTGAAATGAAAGCATGAGGTAAGGGGCCCGCTGTGTTAGAACCCAACCAACCTGCATAGATGGCACCCAGCGTATTGCCAAAGCCCTTACCTGGGTACCAGCTTTACCCCCTGATGACGACTCTGCTCTTTAATTCTGGGATAAGGTTCTACATTCAAAATCTAAATTCTATGGTGATTGTATCAGATTTAGCACATTACATTTCTTTTTTTTTTTTAATAAAAACATCTTTATTATATTTCAATATAAAGAAGACATAACAGTCAGAAACATTGTCATTGAACGATTAAGTTTTGTAAATTTTCCGAAATTAACTTTCTGACAAGACATGACATAATTAGATACATACAATGATGTGAAAAGACATAACAGTCAGAAATATAAGTGTTTCTGACATAGACATAATATATTTATGTACAAACTTGTCATGGCAGTGCAGAGGCCAATATTAAAAACTTATTTTTGAAATAGAGATAAATTATAGATAGTAAATTTCCTCGATCTATCATAATATTGAAGATTCACTATAATTATTGGTATTATAAACTTCGCAATGCCATATAATGTACAGATAATCCACATGCATGTAAAACACATCCTAAATTAGTGCTACTTTACTTACAATTTAGTGTGAGGGGGTGATCGGGTTATGCACTGGGGAGGTATGGGGGGAGAAGTATCAAAGAGCAGTCATCTAATGGATTAGGTTGATATAAGGTTCCAGATGTGTCTATACAGTTCCAAGCAATCTATGCCCAGTTAGTTCGTTATGGGTAGAGTTTCCTTTTTATAATATTCAAATCATCTACACCAAATTTTATTATACTTCGGGATATTACTGTTGTTAAAATAAAACCCGCTTTTTCTATAATTCCTTGATGATTAATTTGAGTTAAAATTTCCGTAACTGAGGAATAATTGGACTCTTCCAACATCTTGAAATGCAGATTACATTTCTATTGCTCTCTCTCTTTTTCTCTCTCTCACTCTCGCTCTCTCTCTCTCTCTCACTCTCTCTCTCTCTCTCACTCTCGCTCTCTCTCTCTCTCTATATATATATATAAACAGCTGTATACAGTTGACATGACAGTAGAAAAAGTGTATTAATTTAGTGATTTATTAACATTTCAATATGTACCTTACAATGATAATGAAATGTGATCCCATATTCTGTATTCTAATGTAGTATTCTGCCCATATATTACTATAGCGTTATTTTACCTTTAACGCCTGTTGGTCCTATCTTCCCGGGAGTTCCAGGCGAGCCATTTTCTCCTACAAATAAGTCACCATAGGGGTTAGTAGAATACTTTTTATCCAAAACCATTTTACATTGTGACTTTTTGGATTCTCAGGATTCCTGGACTGGATACATTATAACTGGAAAATGCAATGTGACATCATTATGATAATTAACCTCTGGGTCGATACATCTGATATCACCTTTAGGTCCTGCTGGTCCTTGCACTCCCTGTATTCCTTGTGTTCCAGGAATTCCTGGACATCCTCGCAAAATGGCCAGCTTGTCCGACTCGCCAACGCCAATAAGCTTCACATCTGACAAGAGAGTAATACATCATTATATATATATATCTTTAAACAGTTAGGGGTTAATTCACTGAATATCAAATTGTAGTAATTTACAAACTGTTTTAGATTAAAATAGACAAGCTGTGATTATAGTGCAGTTAAATAATATTTTTAAATCAGCTGTTTTTCCTTTAAATTTGCGATTTGATTTTTAAATTATTACAATATGCTGTTTAGTAAATAAGCCTCATAGATAACAACTGTAAGGATCATTCTGTTCTTATTAATCACATTCAGATTGTCAGCTCTTTTGAGCAAGGCTTTCTTGACGTCATAGATCTACTCGTCTACGTCTCATAGAATAATTGTAAAACTCTGTGGAAATTTCACTATAAAAATGATAATAATATTACTTAGAACATGAATAATAATTACATTTCCAAGGCACTTTCCGACATCATAGGTTTCAATAGTTTTGTCTGCAAACTTACACTCGTTAATTAATTTGTGCATTTTTTCTTTCCGGTGTCAAAATCATATTTTACAAAAGATATTGAGTTCTATTAACCTAAAAAGGATTTGCGGTAACTTAAGAATAGGCTTAAAAATCTAGTCCAAATTAGTAAACTGAAAATAAAAAATAAACGTGCCTGGTGAACTGGAGATAAATACAAACACGATAATTTTATCCAACATCTTCCAAACTGGTTCTCGAGTCACTACAATTAGTTATTTATTGACTACATGATAAGAAACATTATAATGTAAAGATCAGTGACCGTAACGTTACGTTACATTATAATGTTTGTTTGGCTGTATAGAAGGGCTGTATATTCCATTTATTTATAACTTTCCTTCATTCAAGATTTGGATTTGAAATTTTAGCCGTATTAGTCCAGTGATGCAGATGTAAAATAACTGATGAAATTGGTATCTAGTAATACCTTTTTTTAAGGTATTTTTGGAATTTTGGCAGGGTTTCGGTAGATCTTTTGTTTCTCAAATCTTAAGCATTTCTCACTCTCTCAGTTTTAGAAATGACAACGGGAGGATCTCCTGAAAGCTTGTCTTTTCAAAATGTTGTTAGTCCAATAAAAGGTATTAGAAGATCTTAGTTTCATCTCTTATTTTATATCTTCATTCTATAGAAATAATTGCCTGTGCTTGCTGATTTTAACCTTACCCATCCATCTACCCATTCATTTGTCCATGCATGCACGCATTCGTCTGTCGAGAGATCCGACAACCAATTGGATTTTCCCAGTAAATAAAACATAAATACTGTAAATGTAGGTTTATAGACATTATTGGACGAGGCCCATGAAAAATGAGACTTGCCTGATTAGTTTTCAAGCCAATCAATCACTTTGCTCTGACTGACATTCAAGGCGAGGAAATGCTGTTATGTAGGACGATTGTTTTTATAACTATAGTTTTATTCACACCGAACACGAGAGTTCACATTAACTTTGGTTTTATTTATTTATTTTTTTCACTTTTTAAAACTTATATCATAATTGTAAGTAGTAAATATGACATTTTTAAAGTAAGTTTTCCAAAAATGTGTCTAAATAATTTGTTCACAATACTTTACTGTTTAATGAATTAACTCTACGTGAACGTCTCCAATCAGTAATAATATAAAATCAATGATTAGGGTGAGGGATCATTCATAGCTCACCTGGACAGGTGTCTTCAGCATAACACAGAATGGCGGCCAGCGATACGAGAATGCTCAATGACGAATATGCGCAATTCCTCATCTTACTCCCTGTAGCTGCTGGAGTCGAAGTGTTTTATGGTATCTCTGGAACAGATGGAGAGTATCGTCTAAAGTACAACAAGCCCCTCATCCTTAAATAGGCAGCAACGACTGTATGCCAGGAACGGAATTTCTGGTGTTTAGCAACGAGAATTTCATCATACGGAGCGGTTTGATTGCAGACATACCTCTTTTAACCACTGATAGTCACACCTTCTTTTTATTAATCTGATCTGGCATTGCAGAGCAGGAATTTAAATCATAAATTAACCATTATTTTCTGAATGCTTCCATTTCTTGGCATTAATTTGCTTCTGAATATATCTTGTAAGATTAGATTTGCATTATTACATGGAGAAGACAGTTTTAAGCAATGTTCAGTATCACCTTAAAACTGTGTGCTATATATTTAAAAAACCTTTTTGGGAGTATCTATTCAGTAAAGAAAGGGGAGGTGAGGGAGCTAAGTAAAGACTTGCCATATGTAGGTAGAGGCGACTATGTTGGAGTTTCTCTGTTGGGGCTATATTCAGTGAAATGTCAACTCTTCACAGTTTGTTGTTTATTGAATAGACCACTTGCAGATATATTCATTATTTTTGTCTGAATTTTTTAATTCACATTAATTCTCTTTGAATTCTCCCAACTCACATTTTTGTTGTGTGCATTGGGGCTGATGTATACTATGGTCGTTGCTGCCACCCAGGAGTAGTGGGAGTTTGAGCGCAGGACTTATTTTTGTGTATTTGCATAAACTAACTTGTAAAGGATAAATGCACTATACAAGTTTTAATTGTTGTCATAAGATCGGCCTCTTACACCTAGCAGCCAGTAGAGGGCGAACATACACATAGCAGGAGAAACAATCTATTCTATTCTATTCCTATTCTATTCTATTTCTCCTCCCATAACACAAAGTGTGCCCTGGCTGTGCCAAGACTCAACTGGATTGTGATGTAAATAGTTTAATCTTTAATACACGTCTAAAAGAACACAGAGCATCTCATGAAAAACATTAAAACAAGTTATAGGTGATTATCAATATATTATTAATCGGTGTAATTCCCAGAGAATTTACTGTTACGGTTTTAGTGTGTTAGTAGATATCTGACATACATGGATACAATAGTGTGAAATGATAGTGAGACAGAATTACTGGTATACCAGGTGTTAAATCACGGATATAACTTGTCCTGATTGTGCGTTAGCTGTATCTGATCATCAGACGGTATAAAAGGTTATTGATCACACAGAGGTTAACCCTTTCTATAGTCTGTTGGTTTAATGAGCAGTTACAGCGGATTTGTGTGGGAACAGTGCAGGAAGTGCTCATGGATGCAATATTTGGTGACAACGCTGCAAACCTTTTTTTTTGTAATAACCGCCACAGATACTTACAGTAATCAGATATTTTTTCTGGAGTTTGTTAAAAAAATATTTGACAAAATCTGATTTCATGTTTATGTGGATTTGGAAAAGCAAACATTATTGTTAAAAATATTACCAAATATTTAGAAAAGGGTTATGACATAAATGAACTCACACATTTATACATATTAATCTAAAAAAACAGACAGACAGACAGACACACACACACACTGACACACTGACACACATATATATTAATAGGTTAACACAATATAATAAACAATGTGTGTATCTTTCTGCACCCACTGTATGCCAGTAAAATACATAGTGTTACCCAGCTATGATTCACAGACAATGACTGGTATATGGTCAGATGTTGTCATGCTAAAGAGAATATAAAAACAAATGATATAAGTTACATAGTTAGATAGTTACATAGCTGAAAAGAGACTTGCGTCCATCAAGTTCAGCCTTCCTCACATTTGTTTTTTGCTGTTGATCCAAAAGAAGGCAAAAAACCCCAGTTTAAAGCACTTCCAATTTTGCAACAAGCTAGGAAAAAAATTCCTTCTTGACCCCAGAATGGCAGTCAGATTTATCCTTGGATCCAGCAGTTATTACCCTACATTGAAAGATTATATCTTTGAATATCCTGTTTTTGCAAAAAAGTTATATTTTCTAAGTCCTGAGATGGGTCAGTGTTCCTATGAGCTTTCCTTATATAATTAAATCAAGTTTTATTATAAAAAGTTTAAACAGTGCAGCCACACTAGGCATGATTTCCTCTGTGTTTCAGCCTGTACACATAAGCTTGAGTAGCGTTCTTCGTATGGGCAATCTTGCTTATCCTTCTTCCCGGGTAGCCAGTGACAACCATCTTCAACCTGATGTTGGCAGCTATTAAATAGACAAAAGAGAACTCTAATCTTTTGGAGTGAATCATAAGCATTGAGGTGATCCTAACAGGGAACCAACTGTGGAATATCCGTGAACATATTGATGCCAGGAACAAGGTGAGTTTTTAGATCCTGGCTAGAGTTGTGGTGAAATCTCTACCTTAAAACTGGGACACCTAGGTTCAATTTTCGTTCGGACAACCTCACTGGGAAGGTCAGTGGAGGAACTAATGTAGAGTGGGCCCAGGTGCAAGAAATAGTTTTGGGCCCCCCTCTAGTGCAAGTGTGGCCAAAATATAGATCCCCATCAATTGTACAATGCTTTGCCAGCTGGCGATCTACCATTTGCCCATCCTTGCAGGGTTGTATTTGTGAGCAGTGTTTGTGTGTTAGAATTTAAGGGTGTTTTTGTATAGCGTGTGTTAGTCTGCATGCAGGGGTGTATTTGCACATACTCTTGTCATTGAAATGCAATGGTATCCTTGTGTGTAATATTTCAGTGTTACGGTGTGTTTGGATGTAGTGTTGTCTTTTAAATGTGGATGTACATTTCCGTGTAGTAGTGGTGTTTGAATGAAGGGGTGTGTTTGGATATAATTTTGGAGTTTGAATGCAGGAGTGTATTTTTATGTAATGTTTGTGTATGATTGCAGATGTGTGTTTGCATGTTGGTATTTGATTGCACATATACTACCATATACATTCATACATACATTCTCATTAACACACAGACACACACATATAAACACACTGACAAATACATACATTGATATACACACTGACACATACATACACATAGAAAGACACATATGCACACACCTTGACACACAGGCATACACAGTAGGAGATACACACACATACACACACACACACACACACACACACACACAGACAGACACTGACACCAAGACACACATACACACAAACACAGATACCCACTGAGACCCAGATACATACAGACACACAGATACATACAGACACACAGATACATAGTTACACCCAGATACATACACAGACAGATACACACTGACACAGAGATACACATACATATGCAGATACATACTGACACACACATACACATCCACAAAGATATACATACACTGACACACAGAAACACATACACACACACACACACAGATACACATGCACACACAGATACACATTGGCACACATATACACATACACACTGACACAGATACATATACACATACACATACACAATGACACAGAGATACACACACACACACACATACACATACACACATAGATACATACACTGGCACACAGATACACACACACACACACACACACACACACACACACAGATACACACTGACACATAGATACACATTACACAGTAAACCCAAAAGTTGGTGTGCAACCAAATATATTAAAAAACTTTGAAATATTTATTTTAAGTCCTTGAACTGCACCATGCGCAATAACAGCATCCTTTAAATGGTGTATTTCACATATGGGTCTCCGATCCTCACTCCTGATCCACCAGCGGCACAATAGAGTTGGCGATAGTGGGGTCAATGCCTCGTCCCAGGCCCTGGGGCCGCCTCTCAGCCCTGGCGGGAATCCAAGGTCGATGCATGGCTATTGTATAGTAAGGGTGTAATTGGTGGGGGGGGGGAGTTTTGATAAGTTTAAAATAATAATAATAATAATAGGAATAATTCCCAAGGCTGCAGCAGTCCTAGGCCGCCATCTGGTGGTATCTCGATCACCACCTGTCTCTCCCGCGTAGTTCTGCCATTGCACCTAACTATCTGTTTACCTCAAATACTCAAAGATAATGAGATTGTTTGAGCAGGGCCTTCTTCACCTCTAGATATCCACTTTCTATAATTGTAAAGCTCTACGGAATGTGTTAATAATAACCTGAGAGCAGGTAGACAATAATACCCAATTAATATATTATTTTTCTTGTTTTATTCTGATTGATGTACAATCTGTCACATTTCCACATGTGATTTTATTCACAATTGTAACGTTTATAATGTCTATAATTTTCAAACCAATGAAAGGATTTAAAAAAATAACACATCAGGATACGGAGAAAGACTGTATTACCAAACTTTTACATGACTGATCTTCAGTTGAATTCACAAATCTTTTGCCTGGTTACAATCAATATTTGATATGGGGCATTTTTATTTGCCCATTCTAATACATTGTTTCCTCCACGTATACAGTGACAACCAGAGAGCAGTTAGTTAGACTGAGGTCGGATCTTCATTTCTGATATCTTATATGAGTAATTGTGACCACGGCCGGTCTTCCAGTTTACCCCGTTGGCAGCACTTTTGTGAGTTCCCCGCAGATACAGTCCGTTCAGGTTTGAATGATGACAGTCAGTATACCACCAGGCACCACTGTAACTATTGGCACAGCTAATCGTTTTATGACGGTCATTATCTCTATCTTTGGTAGAAAATGGTGTGTTTTTATGAATATTCAATGAGTCACCTGTAAATGGAAGAGAAGACGATGTGTAAAAAACTAGTGCAGTCCCTTAAATACACAAACTATCCAGTGATATGTGTATAAACGCTTAACATAAACAGAGATCCTCTATATCAAATGTAAATATTGTGGATTCTATATTACTTTGTGTAAATATTTCTAAATGTTCTAGTTATTTTGTAGATACTAAACCATCTGCACTATATTTTGTCTAATTAAACATACATAAATTTTGTTAAGATACACCCCGTTGTCATCGCTTCACTATTTATAGGGGTTTTCACTTATACACATACTGTTGATTGTCCTGGCGAGGGGCGTAAGGTTAACCCCACGCGAGTGTTTTGAGCTTCTATTGTCTAATTATTATTAATGCGATTTCTACACAATACACTTTTTTTTTTTTTTTTTTACAAAGATCAAAAATGTTTATTGGAGACACACAATACACTTTTATATATCAGTTTTGCTCTATTTCTAAATGTTTTCACAGGCCAAGAAACAAGTAATACAGCTCTTTACTCTCTGGGAAACTCGTTAGACCGAGGATATTCATCATCTATCAGTTTTAGTGCTCAGTTATCTGATTATATTTACCTGGCCATGAGGTAACTGGACAATTACATGTGACTATTAATTATATCTTTATTTATAATCTGTATTTGAGATATATATATATATATATATAAATATCTGGTATAAAGATGCCAGTTTCTTATTCTATGAGAGAAACTAATAATATTTTGAGGATTAGACATGGGGGGTTTATTGGATAAATCTGGTAATTTATAACAATCAAGGTGAACGTATACTTGAGCTACAAAATTCTTAAAAATCTTTCAATTTCACACTTTTGTGAAAGAAATTGCAAATCCATTATCAATTCTGTATAACTCATTATTTAGTGCATTACTCCCCAATGAAATCAGAGACATAGCAAGAGTAGAAAAGAAACGTATAATATGTTTTCTGATACCCAGAGGATATTTTGGGAACTACAGGAATAATATCCAATAGACCATTTAAAGTGGCACTGTCACCGCCTATGACAAAAAAATTGTATTTCATAAAGATATAATCTTTATGAAAAACTCATTTTGATTGTTTTAGAATTTCACTGAAATTCCAATCCAGTCAAGAGATATACAGAGACAAAATAAGGACTACTTCGTCTCTGTATTTCCTACATCTGACTTTTTTTTTTTAGACTCAACGCAGAGTCTAAAAGTCAATACCGACAGCCGTCTCCAGTGATGGCTGCAGGGAATTGACTGTGTCAATGGAGGATCCCGAGGTCTTGCAGGATCCTCCTTAGTTGCAATGCTGTGAGAGGAGTGACGTCGGCACCTGATACTACAGAGCCAGGAAATGAAGAAGAGCAGTATAAGAAAGATGGCAGCACCCGCAAGAGATAGTTTCAGGTGCGTAAGCTCACACTTACCTGCCTCCAGAGCCACTGAACCCCCAGCGGAGATGGCACCATCGGGGGACTTTGCCAACTTGGCAAAATCCCCTTATTGCGACAGTGTCCCTTAAAATATTTGGACAACGGAGGGTCACAATACACAGTCAGCCTGCACCTGTCATACCTGCAGTCCCTCCAATGAATGACCCCAAACTCAGAGTGTAATTCAGATTCTCCCCTGCGATTTTGAAGTTGCTGTATGTGGCGTAAGTTCTGCTGTTTTCAAAGTCCATGAAATCGAAGCGGAGGTCGTATGTTCCTATCAGAAAAGTGAATTATTATTTATTACGTGCAGCGCTGGGCAGAAGCCCAGAATCCATAGAAGGTAAACATGGAATAACGCACTGAGTACAATCACATACTGACGGACACGGTCGAGGTTTGTTTATGTATCTGTTTGGGTGTCTGCCAGGAGGAGTTATATTCTGTTTTAATTTAAAGGAAGGTAAGTGACACAAAGTCTGAAATTAGATTTATGGATATTTTCTTAGCAGTGAAGCTGGGTATCAAAGACTGATTTTAAATATTTAGGTTTAAAAAAAACACGTTGGAACAATTCTGCAAATGAGCTGCTATTTTAAATTGTAACAACTCCCTAATTATATTTTTGGGATATCAATATCCTATTCCCTCTGAGTTCCCATTTATACATGGGTTAATTTAAAAAGTAAAACAAATGCTAATTCATTAAATCATATTTAAAGGAACACACACACACACACACACACACACAATTCATCTCAGGTTTCTGATAAATGTTATCGTATGTTTTTTGTAAGGAAAAAAAAAGTACTTGGTAGTGAACAAGTGGGGACTGTGCACAGAACCACAGTGGTGTCTTGCAGTAGGAAACATGAATATTACCTGTGGACGTAAGTTGGTGAATATGATCGTTTCCCAACCAGAACTCGCTAGTCTGATGGCCAAACCCTCGCTTGTAGGAATTCCAGTCTCGGAAAAAATCCACCGACCCATCCATCCTTCTCTGGAAAACCTAATTACATGTGAGGGGTTAGCAGTTAGCCGAATAGGTTCCAAGCGATGGTAAATGTTCTGCTCTCTATTTGAGTGACCTTGTTCTCATAGATGGTCCGTGATCGGGGAATTAAGTTTATCATTGGTCGCAGGGAGCAGGTTATATGGCAAATATGGCCAATTAGCCAATCTAACCTGCTCCTTCCATATTCTTATATATTATCTCTTCCCTGCTCTGCTGGAGGGCTGTCCCATGTATATGCGACCATTTATGAAAACAATCCTAATCTTGTATGTTCCTTATTACATTTCCTCTTAAAGGATAAACTCTGGTGAGTTCAGCCCTGTTTCTTATAAATTAAAAAAAGTAATGAATCCAGAGTTATGGTGGCAACGTTACATAGCACAATAGTGCAGAGACCCCTTGTGGACCTAAGTGGAAATGCAAGTTAAAATAATCTTGCTGGTAGAACATATTTTTTCTATTTAAGAGCATCCCAGGAAACACTCCCTCCTATTGCCTGTTTTACCAACCTGTCTAATGTCTGCCTTAGCTGTAGTCTGCTAGGAAAGTAAACCTTAGTGGCCATACTTACTAGCCATCCTCCTCCGTCAGTCTCCATGTCACAGTACACAGTGAGAGGAAGCCCATTGCTTGTGTATACTGTGTACCAACCGCTCAGAGAAGCTCCATAGTCCAAGAGCTCCTTACAGTTCTGGGCAGCTGGAGGAGAGAGAAAGAGAGAGGATCATGCTGATTGGACGGTTAGCTGTTTGACTTCCTGATTCAATTTAATGCAGCCAATCAAAAAGGGAGATTAAATATTGCTGCTTATTAAAAAACTCAGAATGACAGACTTTAACAGAAATTACTTTTTAATAGGCGGCAACTGAATCTTACATGTGTTAAATCATAAATGTATAAAATATAAACTACCTCTGATTATAATTAATGGAACAAATAATTACTTTAGACCTAAAGAGGCCATTTCATGTCAGTTTTACTGTATAATAAAATGGATTTCTATGTATTTACAAGATGTGATACTTACTTCCAGGGGCAGGTACCCCGGGATCTCCTTTGTCACCTGAACAAAGAAATATTTAGAAACATATAAATAAAGCATTTTATAAAATATTGTAAAACATGTAATATTTTCATTCTGGAAAGTTACTCTGTAAATCAAGGATTTATTTATTATGTTTAAATAGAGACATTATATATTGTATCACTAGAAACAGCTCTGTAATAGCATTGGGAGTTAATAAATGCAGCGTTGATAAAATTACGTTACACATTGTAAATGTTTTGTGTTAAAACTAAAACGTTTATTGGATTCCCCTAGATTCCCCAATAATTGTTTCAGTTCCTCTTCAATTAAACATGTATTTAAATTAAAGAAACAGACGCTAAGCTTTCTTCTTTTACAATTAGACACGTGCAATTTGTTTCATTCCGAATCAAATTTCATCCGAATTCAGCATTTCGCAAGTGTCCGAATTTCCAAATTCTTTACAAAAAACAGAAGGTTTTAAAAAAATTTTTACATTTTGTTTTTAAATTACACCCTAGAGAACAAAATAAGAAAATACCTATTTCTTCAATTTTCTCCAGCAGTTGCTTAGTAGATACGTTCCTTATTTGGTACCCTTAACTATGGCAATCACACGTAATGATAGGACACCAAATTAGGGAGCTATCTACTAAACAGCTTAAAGGGCAAAGTTAGCACAAAACCCCCCCTTTTTTTTTAATTTTACTGTTTCCTTATTTTAGTAGATGAAGTCTGTAATCTGTAAGAATAGCAAATTAGGGAGTTATCTTCTAAGTAGTTGAAAGAAAAAAGACATTTGATTAATTGAGATCTTTTTAGACAGGTGTGTTTACTAGTGAGCTCCATACAGGGCCGATTCTATTGTCACTGATGCCTGGGTGCAAGAATATTTTTGGTGCCCCTTCACAAACATAATACTTCTAACCACACCTATTTTCTATGGCAACCACTCCACCTCTTCGGGCCCCCCAACTTCACCAGGTAACATGTCACCCACTTTCTTCAGTGCCAGATTTGCAAACAAAAAGCGTAGGTGCCTTAGTAGGGGATTAGGGGCTGTAAAAGGGATTAGGGGGATGTAGTCGCAGAGACAGGCTGTAGTGGGTAGTTAGGTGCTGTAGGGAGCAGTAGGGGAGTTAGGGGCTCTAGTAGGGGGTGAGGGCTGTAATAGGAAGTGAGGGGCTTTAGTAGGAGTTTGCAGCTGTAGTAGGGATTAAGGGGCTGTAGTAGTAGGGCGTACCTTGGGCCAGGTAGGGGGGAACCTGTTACCAGGTGTTCTGGTGTGAGATTTGGTGCTTTGTGCTCCCCTAAACAGAGCTAACTGTGTCCCAGGAGCCTAGAGCCGAGTGCAAGAGGAGAGCCTAACGTGACGGACGGAGCCTAACAGTGCGCCTGGGTACTGTGCACCTCTTCACCCACCCAGGATTGGCTTAACAGAGCCCTAATTTGGTATCCTTTGGAAAATAATAATTGCATTGTTTTGGATCCAAAATTTTTCCGAATTTAGATTTGTTCTTAAACGCTAATTTCCAAAATTTAGACGTTCCGAAACTTAAAAATGAAAAAATTGAAATAGAATGAACTAAAATACATTTTTCACACATACACAACTCTAGAAGCAATATTGTTTGATCTTTACTTGGTTCTTTATAATTTTTTATCTACTATTTGCATCCACAAGTCTGAGTTTATCCTGAATTTACCTACTTATTACCTTTTTGTCCTTGTGCGCCTGTGGCCCCTTTATCACCTGTGGAAGAGAATTAAATCTATATAATTATAAGACCCTCAGTAAGTCCTTTCCACCCCTTTCAATGTGGGATGTGGATATTTACTGACAGCTCATTCAGTGACTGACACATCCATGGCTAGCTTCAGAAGCTTTGGGGCCCCTTAAAATCCACTGACTGGGCTCGGTAATATTTGGTGTTTTTTTTTATTGATTTACCTGGGGGACCAAGGCACCCCATTTATAAATTGTCTTGGTGGTGGCAGCGTTAAAATAGTAATAGTTATATTATTATGTTTAAGTGTGGGTGGTTTTAAAAGGGGGATTTTGTCATTATTTCCGGTCTAGTGCAGACAAATAGTGAACTTTAACCCTTTCACCACCACAACTATGTCACGCGCACTCTTGGAGTAGGGTGCGTTCGTGACAGGGCTTTTCCAAGCTCTCACATAAGCGCATACACAAACATTCCCCAACACAGAGAGAGGCTCACAGACACACTCACAATGTACAGTAATATACTCAGACACAGGAACACACTGCTTGATACCCGCTCACACAGGTACACACATCAACACATGGCCAGAGATTTATTTTACACACGATCCATCTTGGTTCTACCCATTTTCCTGCCTGTCTATCCATTGCTGCAGGGCGATGACTTTCATGGTGTCTAGTGGGGAATGGGCTGAACCAGTGCTGCAGTCTATTCCTTTCACTCCCACGTGGTTCCTTCTGCGGTGGTTGGGGTGGAGCAGTTGCAGTCGATGCCCCATGTGGGTGAAATGAAAGCATGAGGTAAGGGGCCCGCTGTGTTAGAACCCAACCAGTCCGCATAGATGGCCCCCAGCGTATTGCCAAAGCCCTTACCTGGGTACCAGCTTTACCCCCTAATGATGACTCTGCTCTTTAATTCTGGGATAAGGTTCTACATTCAAAATCGAAATTCTATGGTGATTGTATCAGATTTAGCACATTACATTTCTTTTTTTTTTTTATAAAAACATCTTTATTATATTTCAATATAAAAAAGACATAACAGTCAGAAACATTGTCATTGAATGATAAAGTCTTGTAAATTTTCAGAAATTAACTTTCTGACAAGACATGACATAATTAGATACATACAATGATGTGAAAAGACATAACAGTCAGAAATATAAGTGTTTCTGACATAGACATAATATATTTATGTACAAACTTGTCATGGCAGTGCAGAGGCCAATATTAAAAACTTATTTTTGAAATAGAGATAAATTATAGATAGTAAATTTCCTCGATCTATCATAATATTGAAGATTCACTATAATTATTGGTATTATAAACTTCGCAATGCCATATAATGTACAGATAATCCACATGCATGTAAAACACATCCTAAATTAGTGCTACTTTACTTACAATTTAGTGTGAGGGGGTGATCGGGTTATGCACTGGGGAGGTATGGGGGGAGAAGTATCAAAGAGCAGTCATCTAATGGATTAGGTTGATATAAGGTTCCAGATGTGTCTATACAGTTCCAAGCAATCTATGCCCAGTTAGTTCGTTATGGGTAGAGTTTCCTTTTTATAATATTCAAATCATCTACACCAAATTTTATTATACTTCGGGATATTACTGTTGTTAAAATAAAACCCGCTTTTTCTATAATTCCTTGATGATTAATTTGAGTTAAAATTTCCGTAACTGAGGAATAATTGGACTCTTCCAACATCTTGAAATGCAGATTACATTTCTATTGCTCTCTCTCTTTTTCTCTCTCTCACTCTCGCTCTCTCTCTCTCTCTCACTCTCTCTCTCTCTCTCACTCTCGCTCTCTCTCTCTCTCTATATATATATATAAACAGCTGTATACAGTTGACATGACAGTAGAAAAAGTGTATTAATTTAGTGATTTATTAACATTTCAATATGTACCTTACAATGATAATGAAATGTGATCCCATATTCTGTATTCTAATGTAGTATTCTGCCCATATATTACTATAGCGTTATTTTACCTTTAACGCCTGTTGGTCCTATCTTCCCGGGAGTTCCAGGCGAGCCATTTTCTCCTACAAATAAGTCACCATAGGGGTTAGTAGAATACTTTTTATCCAAAACCATTTTACATTGTGACTTTTTGGATTCTCAGGATTCCTGGACTGGATACATTATAACTGGAAAATGCAATGTGACATCATTATGATAATTAACCTCTGGGTCGATACATCTGATATCACCTTTAGGTCCTGCTGGTCCTTGCACTCCCTGTATTCCTTGTGTTCCAGGAATTCCTGGACATCCTCGCAAAATGGCCAGCTTGTCCGACTCGCCAACGCCAATAAGCTTCACATCTGACAAGAGAGTAATACATCATTATATATATATATCTTTAAACAGTTAGGGGTTAATTCACTGAATATCAAATTGTAGTAATTTACAAACTGTTTTAGATTAAAATAGACAAGCTGTGATTATAGTGCAGTTAAATAATATTTTTAAATCAGCTGTTTTTCCTTTAAATTTGCGATTTGATTTTTAAATTATTACAATATGCTGTTTAGTAAATAAGCCTCATAGATAACAACTGTAAGGATCATTCTGTTCTTATTAATCACATTCAGATTGTCAGCTCTTTTGAGCAAGGCTTTCTTGACGTCATAGATCTACTCGTCTACGTCTCATAGAATAATTGTAAAACTCTGTGGAAATTTCACTATAAAAATGATAATAATATTACTTAGAACATGAATAATAATTACATTTCCAAGGCACTTTCCGACATCATAGGTTTCAATAGTTTTGTCTGCAAACTTACACTCGTTAATTAATTTGTGCATTTTTTCTTTCCGGTGTCAAAATCATATTTTACAAAAGATATTGAGTTCTATTAACCTAAAAAGGATTTGCGGTAACTTAAGAATAGGCTTAAAAATCTAGTCCAAATTAGTAAACTGAAAATAAAAAATAAACGTGCCTGGTGAACTGGAGATAAATACAAACACGATAATTTTATCCAACATCTTCCAAACTGGTTCTCGAGTCACTACAATTAGTTATTTATTGACTACATGATAAGAAACATTATAATGTAAAGATCAGTGACCGTAACGTTACGTTACATTATAATGTTTGTTTGGCTGTATAGAAGGGCTGTATATTCCATTTATTTATAACTTTCCTTCATTCAAGATTTGGATTTGAAATTTTAGCCGTATTAGTCCAGTGATGCAGATGTAAAATAACTGATGAAATTGGTATCTAGTAATACCTTTTTTTAAGGTATTTTTGGAATTTTGGCAGGGTTTCGGTAGATCTTTTGTTTTTCAAATCTTAAGCATTTCTCACTCTCTCAGTTTTAGAAATGACAACGGGAGGATCTCCTGAAAGCTTGTCTTTTCAAAATGTTGTTAGTCCAATAAAAGGTATTAGAAGATCTTAGTTTCATCTCTTATTTTATATCTTCATTCTATAGAAATAATTGCCCGTGCTTGCTGATTTTAACCTTACCCATCCATCTACCCATTCATTTGTCCATGCATGCAAGCATTCGTCTGTCGAGAGATCCGACAACCAATTGGATTTTCCCAGTAAATAAAACATAAATACTGTAAATGTAGGTTTATAGACATTATTGGACGAGGCCCATGAAAAATGAGACTTGCCTGATTAGTTTTCAAGCCAATCAATCACTTTGCTCTGACTGACATTCAAGGCGAGGAAATGCTGTTATGTAGGACGATTGTTTTTATAACTATAGTTTTATTCACACCGAACACGAGAGTTCACATTAACTTTGGTTTTATTTATTTATTTTTTTCACTTTTTAAAACTTATATCATAATTGTAAGTAGTAAATATGACATTTTTAAAGTAAGTTTTCCAAAAATGTGTCTAAATAATTTGTTCACAATACTTTACTGTTTAATGAATTAACTCTACGTGAACGTCTCCAATCAGTAATAATATAAAATCAATGATTAGGGTGAGGGATCATTCATAGCTCACCTGGACAGGTGTCTTCAGCATAACACAGAATGGCGGCCAGCGATACGAGAATGCTCAATGACGAATATGCGCAATTCCTCATCTTACTCCCTGTAGCTGCTGGAGTCGAAGTGTTTTATGGTATCTCTGGAACAGATGGAGAGTATCGTCTAAAGTACAACAAGCCCCTCATCCTTAAATAGGCAGCAACGACTGTATGCCAGGAACGGAATTTCTGGTGTTTAGCAACGAGAATTTCATCATACGGAGCGGTTTGATTGCAGACATACCTCTTTTAACCACTGATAGTCACACCTTCTTTTTATTAATCTGATCTGGCATTGCAGAGCAGGAATTTAAATCATAAATTAACCATTATTTTCTGAATGCTTCCATTTCTTGGCATTAATTTGCTTCTGAATATATCTTGTAAGATTAGATTTGCATTATTACATGGAGAAGACAGTTTTAAGCAATGTTCAGTATCACCTTAAAACTGTGTGCTATATATTTAAAAAACCTTTTTGGGAGTATCTATTCAGTAAAGAAAGGGGAGGTGAGGGAGCTAAGTAAAGACTTGCCATATGTAGGTAGAGGCGACTATGTTGGAGTTTCTCTGTTGGGGCTATATTCAGTGAAATGTCAACTCTTCACAGTTTGTTGTTTATTGAATAGACCACTTGCAGATATATTCATTATTTTTGTCTGAATTTTTTAATTCACATTAATTCTCTTTGAATTCTCCCAACTCACATTTTTGTTGTGTGCATTGGGGCTGATGTATACTATGGTCGTTGCTGCCACCCAGGAGTAGTGGGAGTTTGAGCGCAGGACTTATTTTTGTGTATTTGCATAAACTAACTTGTAAAGGATAAATGCACTATACAAGTTTTAATTGTTGTCATAAGATCGGCCTCTTACACCTAGCAGCCAGTAGAGGGCGAACATACACATAGCAGGAGAAACAATCTATTCTATTCTATTCCTATTCTATTCTATTTCTCCTCCCATAACACAAAGTGTGCCCTGGCTGTGCCAAGACTCAACTGGATTGTGATGTAAATAGTTTAATCTTTAATACACGTCTAAAAGAACACAGAGCATCTCATGAAAAACGTTAAAACAAGTTATAGGTGATTATCAATATTTTATTAATCGGTGTAATTCCCAGAGAATTTACTGTTACGGTTTTAGTGTGTTAGTAGATATCTGACAAACATGAAATGATAGTGAGACAGAATTTCTGGTATACCATGTGTTAAATCACGGATATAACTTGTCCTGATTGTGCGTTAGCTGTATCGGATCATCAGACGGTATAAAAGGTTATTGATCACACAGAGGTTAACCCTTTATATAGTCTGTTGGTTTAATGAGCAGTTACAGCGGATTTGTGTGGGAACATTGCAGGAAGTGCTCATGGATGCAATATTTGGTAGCAACGTTGCAAACCTTTTTTTTTGTAATAACCGCCACAGATACTTACAGTAATCAGATACTTTTTCTGGAGTTTGTTAAAAAAATATTTGACAAAATCTGATTTCATGTTTATGTGGATTTGGAAAAGCAAACATTATTGTTAAAAATATTACCAAATATTTAGAAAAGGGTTATGACATAAATGAACTCACACATTTATACATATTAATCTAAAAAAACAGACAGACAGACACACACACACACACACACACACACACACACACTGACACACTGACACACATATATATTAATAGGTTAACACAATATAATAAACAATGTGTGTATCTTTCTGCACCCACTGTATGCCAGTAAAATACATAGTGGTACCCAGCTATGATCCACAGACAATGACTGGTATATGGTCAGATGTTGTCATGCTAAAGAGAATATAAAAACAAATGATATAAGTTACATAGTTACATAGTTACATAGCTGAAAAGAGACTTGCGTCCATCAAGTTCAGCCTACCTCACATTTGTTTTTTGCTGTTCATCCAAAAGAAGGCAAAAAACCCCAGTTTAAAGCACTTCCAATTTTGCAACAAACTAGGAAAAAAATTCCTTCTTGACCCCAGAATGGCAGTCAGATTTATCCTTGGATCAAGCAGTTATTACCCTACATTGAAAGATTATATCTTTGAATATCCTGTTTTTGCAAAAAAGTAATATTTTCTAAGTCCTGAGATGGGTCAGTGTTCCTATGAGCTTTCTTTATATAATTAAATCAAGTTTTATTATAAAAAGTTTAAACAGTGCAGCCACACTAGGCATGACTTCCTCGGTGTTTCAGCCTGTACACATAAGCTTGAGTAGCGTTCTTCGTTTGGGCAGTCTTGCTTATCCTTCTTCCCGGGTAGCCAGTGACAACCATCTTCAACCTGATGTTGGCAGCTATTAAGTAGACAAAAGAGAACTCTAATCTTTTGGAGTGAATCATAAGCATTGAGGTGATCCTAACAGGGAACCAACTGTGGAATATCCGTGAACATATTGATGCCAGGAACAAGGTGAGTTTTTAGATCCTGGCTAGAGTTGTGGTGAAATCTCTACCTTAAAACTGGGACACCTAGGTTCAATTTTCGTTCGGACAACCTCACTGGGAAGGTCAGTGGAGGAACTAATGTAGAGTGGGCCCAGGTGCAAGAAATAGTTTTGGGCCCCCCTCTAGCGCAAGTGTGGCCAAAATATAGATCCCCATCAATTGTACAATGCTTTGCCAGCTGGGGATCTACCATTTGCCCATCCTTGCGGGGTTGTATTTGTGAGCAGTGTTTGTGTGTTAGAATTTAAGGGTGTTTTTGTATAGCGTGTGTTAGTCTGCATGTAGGGGTGTATTTGCACATACTCTTGTCATTGAAATGCAATGGTATCCTTGTGTGTAATATTTCAGTGTTACGGTGTGTTTGGATGTAGTGTTGTCTTTTAAATGTGGATGTACATTTCCCTGTAGTAGTGGTGTTTGAATGAAGGGGTGTGTTTGGATATAATTTTGGAGTTTGAATGCAGGAGTGTATTTTTATGTAATGTTTGTGTATGATTGCAGATGTGTGTTTGCATGTAGGTATTTGATTGCACATACACTACCACATACATTCATACATACATTCTCATTAACACACAGATACACACATATAAACACACTGACAAATACATACCTTGATATACACACTGACACATACATACACATAGAAAGACACATATGCACACACCTTGACACACAGACATACACAGTAGGAGATACACACACATACACACACACACACACACAGACAGACACTGACACCAAGACACACATACACACAAACACAGATACCCACTGAGACCCAGATACATACAGACACACAGATACATACAGACACACAGATACATAGTTACACCCTGATACATACACAGACAGATACACACTGACACAGAGATACACATACATATGCAGATACATACTGACACACACATACACATCCACAAAGATATACATACACTGACACACAGAAACACATACACACACACACACACACACACACACACAGATACACATGCACACACAGATACACATTGGCACACATATACCCATACACACTGACACAGATACATATACACATACACATACACAATGACACAGAGATACACACACACACACACATACACATACACACATAGATACATACACTGGCACACAGATACACACACACACACACACACAGAGATACACACTGACACATAGATACACATTACACAGTAAACCCAAAAGTTGGTGTGCAACCAAATATATTAAAAAACTTTGAAATATTTATTTTAAGTCCTTGAACTGCACCATGCGCAATAACAGCATCCTTTAAATGGTGTATTTCACATATGGGTCTCCGATCCTCACTCCTGATCCACCAGCGGCACAATAGAGTTGGCGATAGTGGGGTCAATGCCTCGTCCCAGGCCCTGGGGCCGCCTCTCAGCCCTGGCGGGAATCCAAGGTCGATGCATGGCTATTGTATAGTAAGGGTGTAATTGGTGGGGGGGGGGAGTTTTGATAAGTGTAAAATAATAATAATAATAATAGGAATAATTCCCAGGGCTGCAGCAGTCCTAGGCCGCCATCTGGTGGTATCTCGATCACCACCTGTCTCTCCCGCGTAGTTCTGCCATTGCACCTAACTGTCTGTTTACCTCAAATACTCAAAGATAATGAGATTGTTTGAGCAGGGCCTTCTTCACCTCTAGATATCCACTTTCTATAATTGTAAAGCTCTACGGAATGTGTTAATAATAACCTGAGAGCAGGTAGACAATAATACCCAATTAATATATTATTTTTCTTGTTTTATTCTGATTGATGTACAATCTGTCACATTTCCACATGTGATTTTATTCACAATTGTAATGTTTATAATGTCTATAATTTTCAAACCAATGAAAGGATTTAAAAAAATAACACATCAGGATACGGAGAAAGACTGTATTACCAAACTTTTACATGACTGATCTTCAGTTGAATTCACAAATCTTTTGCCTGGTTACAATCAATATTTGATATGGGGCATTTTTATTTGCCCATTCTAATACATTGTTTCCTCCACGTATACAGTGACAACCAGAGAGCAGTTAGTTAGACTGAGGTCGGATCTTCATTTCTGATATCTTATATGAGTAATTGTGACCACGGCCGGTCTTCCAGTTTACCCCGTTGGCAGCACTTTTGTGAGTTCCCCGCAGATACAGTCCGTTCAGGTTTGAATGATGACAGTCAGTATACCACCAGGCACCACTGTAACTATTGGCACAGCTAATCGTTTTATGACGGTCATTATCTCTATCTTTGGTAGAAAATGGTGTGTTTTTATGAATATTCAATGAGTCACCTGTAAATGGAAGAGAAGACGATGTTTAAAAAACTAGTGCAGTCCCTTAAATACACAAACTATCCAGTGATATGTGTATAAACGCTTAACATAAACAGAGATCCTCTATATCAAATGTAAATATTGTGGATTCTATATTACTTTGTGTAAATATTTCTAAATGTTCTAGTTATTTTGTAGATACTAAACCATCTGCACTATATTTTGTCTAATTAAACATACATAAATTTTGTTAAGATACACCCCGTTGTCATCGCTTCACTATTTATAGGGGTTTTCACTTATACACATACTGTTGATTGTCCTGGCGAGGGGCGTAAGGTTAACCCCACGCGAGTGTTTTGAGCTTCTATTGTCTAATTATTATTAATGCGATTTCTACACAATACACTTTTTTTTTTTTTTTTTTACAAAGATCAAAAATGTTTATTGGAGACACACAATACACTTTTATATATCAGTTTTGCTCTATTTCTAAATGTTTTCACAGGCCAAGAAACAAGTAATACAGCTCTTTACTCTCTGGGAAACTCGTTAGACCGAGGATATTCATCATCTATCAGTTTTAGTGCTCAGTTATCTGATTATATTTACCTGGCCATGAGGTAACTGGACAATTAGATGTGACCATTAATTATATCTTTATTTATAATCTGTATTTGAGATATATATATATAAATATCTGGTATAAAGATGCCAGTTTCTTATTCTATGAGAGAAACTAATAATATTTTGAGGATTAGACATGGGGGGTTTATTGGATAAATCTGGTAATTTATAACAATCAAGGTGAACGTATACTTGAGCTACAAAATTCTTAAAAATCTTTCAATTTCACACTTTTGTGAAAGAAATTGCAAATCCATTATCAATTCTGTATAACTCATTATTTAGTGCATTACTCCCCAATGAAATCAGAGACATAGCAAGAGTAGAAAAGAAACGTATAATATGTTTTCTGATACCCAGAGGATATTTTGGGAACTACAGGAATAATATCCAATAGACCATTTAAAGTGGCACTGTCACCGCCTATGACAAAAAAATTGTATTTCATAAAGATATAATCTTTATGAAAAACTCATTTTGATTGTTTTAGAATTTCACTGAAATTCCAATCCAGTCAAGAGATATACAGAGACAAAATAAGGACTACTTCGTCTCTGTGTATTTCCTACATCTGACTTTTTTTTTTAGACTCAACGCGGAGTCTAAAAGTCAATACCGACAGCCGTCTCCAGTGATGGCTGCAGAGAATTGACTGTGTCAATGGAGGAATCCGAGGTCTTGCAGGATCCTCCTTAGCTGCAATGCTGTGAGAGCAGTGACGTCGGCACCTGATACTACAGAGCCAGGAAATGAAGAAGAGCAGTATAAGAAAGATGGCAGCACCCGCGAGAGATAGTTTCAGGTACGTAAGCTCACACTTACCTGCCTCCAGAGCCACTGAACCCCCAGCGGAGATGTTACAATCGGGGTAATTGCAAAATCCCCTAATGGTGACAGTGTCTCTTTAAATATATGGATAACAGAGGGTCACAATATACAGTCAACCAGCACCTGTCATACCTGCAGTCCCTCCAGTGAATGACCCCAAACTCAGAGTGTAATTCAGATTCTCCCCTGCGATTTTGAAGTTGCTGTATGTGGCGTAAGTTCTGTTGTTTTCAAAGTCCATGAAATCGAAGCGGAGGTCGTATGTTCCTATCAGAAAAGTAAATAATTATTTACTACGTGCAGCGGTGGAAAAACAGCATGGTTTATAAAGAATCCATAGAAGGTAAACATGGAATAACGCACTGAGTACAATCACATACTGACGGACACGGTCGAGGTTTGTTTATGTATCTGTTCGGGTGTCTGCCAGGAGGAGTTATATTCTGTTTGATTTTAGAGGAAGGTAAGTGACACAAAGTCTGAAATTAGATTTATGGATATTTTCTTAGCAGTGAAGTTGGGTATCAAAGACTGATTTTGAATATTTAGGTTTAAAAAAAACACCTTGGAACAATTCTGCAAATGAGCTGGTATTTTAAATTGTAACAACTCCCTAATTATATTTTTGGATATCAATATCCCATTCCCTCTGAGTTCCCGTTTATACATGGGTTAATTTAAAAAGTAAAACAAATGCTAACTCATGAAATCATATTTAAAGGAACACACACACACACACACACACACACACACTCTCTCTCACTCTCACTCCACTCATCTTAACTCCACATACATACCCTGCATCTTTGTGGGTGGACTCACTCATGGGTGGGCCCTGTGGATAGTCTAACCCCAAGTTTGGGGAACTTACATCAAGTACCTCAGTCTCCCAACTTCCTAACTATGACACTGGAGTACAAGGGAGCTGAGAAGCTGACGGAGTAAGTTGACGCTCACAGCCTATAACTGTTTGTCCATAGAGAGAAATAATACGTACTAGTTCTCTAACTATTCTAATTACGCCAGTGTGCTAACTATTCATCTCAGGTTTCTGATACATGTTATGCTATATTTTTTGTAAGGAAAAAAAAGTACTTGGTAGTGAAAAGGTGGGGATTGTGCACAGAACCACAGTGGTGTCTTGCAGTAGGAAACATGAATATTACCTGTGGACGTAAGTTGGTGAATATGATCGTTCCCCAACCAGAACTCGCTGGCTTGGTGGCCAAACCCTCGCTTGTAGGAATTCCAATCTCAGAAAAAATCCACCGACCCATCCATCCTTCTCTGGAAAACCTAATTACATGTGAATGGTTAGTAGTTAACTCAATACGTTCCAAGCAATGGTAAATGTTCTGCTCTCTGTTTGAGTGACCTTGTTCTCATAGATGGTCCGTGATCGGGGAATTCAGTTTATCGTTGGTCGCAGGGAGCAGGTTATATGGCAAATATGGACAATTAGCCAATCTAACCTGCCCCTTCCATATTATTATATATTATCTCTGAATTATTGGCAACTGAGTCTTACACGCATCAAATCATATATTTATATAATATACACTGTCTCTGATTATAATTAATGCAACAAATAATTACTTTAAACTTAAAGAGGCCATTTCCTAGTCAGTTTTACTGTATAATTAAATGGATTTCTAATTATTTACATGATATGCGCATCGTCATCCTCCTGGCATATTCTAGATGTTACCCATTAAACCTCCATTAAAGAAACACAGACACAATAATTTTTTGGCAAAATTATTCCACGGCTTTATTATATATATATATAATTATTTAATAATTTAATAAGATCATTGTCACCAAACATTTAATATTACATCACATCATCCACCATTTTTAACATGACTATACCATGACAATGACCTAAACAAGATATAACAGAATACACCCATACAATCGTATAACAATCGTATAACATATAAATAACATAAACCATTATCACAGCCACCAAGGGCTTCCATTACCAATTGTAGGGGCAAACCAAGACACCCCTACACCATTGTACCAGCCACCAAGGGCATCGATTTTCCACTGTAGGGGCATACTGAGACACCCCTATACCCCCAGATTCTGTGCTACTGACAAGCTCGAACCTACCACCAAATCCAAACGAAATATTCTGACCTATTCCACCTACCAAAGCTGACCTACCCCCCAATTATCCTATCCATCCCCAGCCGCTGTGACCAAACAGGAGAGAAAATAACCAACCATTACCAATTCCAAAACTAGGGAGGGTGGGTGGGACAGCTACCAGAAGGTAAGAATTATTTCAATTTAAAATGAATCCCAAACTTTAAATGTTCCTTATTTATATGAGTCCTAAGCCACACCCCTTACTTGCAATCCTCCCAGGGCCGGACTGGCCCACCGGGATACCGGGAAATTTCCCGGTGGGCCGCGGCACCTGGGGCCGGTCTGACAGCCCTAATCATTAGGCTGACAGCTCTGGCCGCACAGAGCCCCATGGGAGCAGGGGGAGCTGGCCGGCACAGCTCTCACACACGGCCTTTCATAAAAATAAAAATAAAATGTGTGTCGGGGGCGGAGCTTAGTGTGACAGGGCGGGGCTTAGCGTGCGGCAGGGGCGGGGCTTACCTACGGCAGGGCCCGGCTGACTGCAGCATGGGAAGCAGGAAGGAGTCCCTGCTTCCCCAACAACCGGCCTCCAGGAGCTCCAAGCAGGAGGTAAGAAGGAGGTCAGTGTGTGAGTGTGAGTGTGTGACTGTCTCTGTGTGACTGCCTGTGAGTGTGTGACTGTCTGTGTGTGACTGTGTGAGTGTGTGACTGTCTGTGAGTGTGTGACTGTCTGTGCGACTGCCTGTGAGTGTCTGTGTGTGACTCTCGTGTGAGTGTGAGTGACTGTCTGTGATGTGACCGTGTGAGTGTGTGACTGTCTGTGTGAGTGTGTGACTGCCTGTGAGTGTGTGACTGTCTCTGTGTGAGTGTGTGACTGTCTCTGTGTGACTGCCTGTGAGTGTGTGACTGTCTCTGTGTGACTGCCTGTGAGTGTGTGAGTGTGTGACTGTCTGTGTGAGTGTGTGACTGTCTCTGTGTGAGTGTGTGCCTGCTTGTGAGTGTGTGACTGTCTCTGTGTGACTGCCTGTGAGTGTGTGACTGTGTGTGAGTGTGTGACTGTCTCTGTGTGAGTGTGTGACTGTCTGTGTGTGACTGCCTGTGAGTGTGTGAGTGTGTGACTGTGTGTGAGTGTGTGACTGTCTCTGTGTGAGTGTGTGACTGCCTGTGAGTGTGTGACTGTCTCTGTGTGACTGAATGTGAGTGTGTAAGTGTGTGACTGTCTGTGTGAGTGTGTGACTGTCTGTGTGTGACTGCCTGTGTGAATGTGTGACTGTCTGTGTGAGTGTGTGACTGTCTGGTCTGCGTGTGACTGTCTGTGTGTGACTGTCTGCATGTGTGTGTGTGACTGTCTGCCTGTGTGTGAGTGTGTGGCTGTCTGTCTGTGTATGTGTGTGGCTGTCTGCCTGTCTTTATATGTGTGGGTGTTTGCATCGGTGTCAATGACTGTCTGCCAGTGTGTGTGTGTGTGGCTGTCTGCCTGGGTGTCAGTGACTGTCTGCCTCTGTGTGTGTGTGCCTGCTAGTGAGTTTGTGTGTGTGTGTGTGCCTGCTAGTGAGTGAGCTTGTATGTGTGTCAGTGAGCTTGTCTGTAGGGATCATATGTGTGTGTGTGTTAGTGAGCTTGTCTGTAAGGAGCATGGGTGTGTCGGAGCCTGTCTGTGGTGAGCATGTGTGTACAGTGAGCTTGTCTGTAGTAAGCATGAGTGTGCAGCCAACTATTTAAATTGCCTATATTTATATATATAGGCAATTGAAATAGTTGGCTGCACTCTCGGATTTCCTGAAAATGTAACTTTTATTGAAATATTTAAGAGAAGATCAACGTTTCAGTCCCTCTTGTGGACTTTCGTCATGATCCTGACGAAAGTCCACAAGAGGGACTGAAACATTGATCTTCTCTTAAATATTTCAATAAAAGTTACATTTTCAGGAAATCCGAGAGTGCAGCCAACTATTTCAATTGTGTATATATATGTGTGTGTGTGTATATATATATACACCCTACATAGCACAATGACTTATGGGGCTGGCATAGATTTTTTTCCAGGGCTGCTTCGTATCCCCAGTCCGGCCCTGAATCCTCCAATCAAATCACCCCTTCTTCCATATGCCTGCCTCCTAGCTCTGTCAAGGCCCATTTCACCTAGCTCTGCTGCTCCATGGGCTTCAAGATGTGATACTTACTTCCAGGGGCAGGTACCCCGGGATCTCCCTTGTCACCTGAACAAATAAATATTTAGAAACATATAAATAAACATTTTATAAAATATTGTAAAACTTGTAATATTTTCATTCTGGAAAGTTACTCTGTAAATCAAGGATTTTTTTGTCTCAATGAAATGCCTGTACAAAAAATTTCAACAACATAGAATATTCTACAATGTAAACCAAAATTAAATCTCAGAAATAAATGAGAGTTATTTTATTTTTAACACAGTAAAGGAGTTTAACCCCTTAAGGACACATGACATGTGTGACATGTCATGAACCCCTTTTATTCCAGAAGTTTGGACCTTAAGGGGTTAAGCATGCGTGTGATAGGCATAAGGCTATCCTAACTATAAGATAAGGCCAGGGACTAATGAAAGTATTTAGAAAATTGGGCAGACTAGATGGGCCGAATGGTTCTTATCTGCCGTCACATTCTATGTTTCTATGTTTCTATGTTTAGTATGTTTAAATAGAGACATTATATATTGTATCACTAGAAACAGCTCTGTAATAGCATTGGGAGTTAATACAATTACATTCCACATTCCAAATGTTTTGCTAAAAAATTGGCATATTTAATGGATCCCTCTAGATTCACCAATAACTGTTTCAGTTCCTCTTTAATCATAGGAAAAGCCCTCTTTCTTCAATCTTAGCATTTTATATCCTGTAATATTAGATTTGTATAATTACAGGGAGGAAAGTGTTAAGCAATGGCTAGCATTAGTTTAACAACGGGGTGCCATATATTTCAAAAACATTTTGGGAGTATCTGTTCAGTAAAGAAAAGGAGAGCTGCGGGAGCTAAGTAATGACTTGCTATATGTAGGTAGCAACGACGATGTTGGAAATATGTTCAGCTTGACGAAGGTGGAATATGATTTATTGTGATTAAATTCAGTGAAACGTCAGCTTGCAGGAAAATTTATTATTTTGGTCTGAATTTTAAAATTCACTTTAATTCTCTTTGAATTCCCACAACTCAAATGTCGCTTGTTTTCTCTTTTTTGTTGAATGTAAATCCCCTGGGCAGCTCATTTTCTTTCTTTAAAAAACCCCAAACTTTTCCTTACATAGTTATACATAGATAAAGTAGTTCATACTTTTCCTTTTGTATGAGATGCAGGATGACAAAAGTCGAGAAAGGGCAGAGCTTTAGTTAAGCTCCATTTAATTTGTCAAACCTTTCATTGACTGTCAAGCTCTTCACTCACCTCCTTCCATCGTTGATTCACTTCGTCGTTGAGGGCGAACATAGAGATTGGAGGAGAATCGGAAACACTGGTTCTATTTCTCCTCCCATAACACAAAGTGTGCCCTGGCTGTGCCAAGACTCAACTGGATTGTGATGTCAATTGTTTAATCTTAAATACACGTCTAAAAGTACACAGCGCATCTCATGAAAAACGTTAATAAAAGTTATAGGTGATTATCAATATTTTATTAATCGGTGTAATTCCCAGAGAATTTACTGTTACGGTTTTAGTTTGTGAGTGTATATATCCGCAAAACATGGATAAAATAGTGTGAAATGATAGAGTTACAATGTTACTGTTACAATCTTTGTTACAATTTTCATTTTGTTTATATTGAATGAGGATTTTAGGTATATCTTTGTTTTGTTTATATTGATTGAGGAAAAAGAGGGATCCTTTTATCATGCCTAAATGTGGAAGGGTAAATACCTCTTCACTTTGATTGTCATTATACTGCACCTTGGGTGGTTTTAATTTTATTTAATGTTACTGGTACAACAGGTGTTAAATCACGGATATAACCTGGCCGGATTGTTCATAAGTCAGTACAAAAGGTTATTGATCACCCAAGGGTTAACCCTCTACATAGTCTGTTGGTTTAATGAGCAGTTACAGCAGATTTGTGTTTGTCAGGGCTGGCCCAAAGACATTGTGGTGCCTGGGTCCAAGAAGGAAATGCTGCTCCCACGCCTCATCAAAACCACACACATCTATTACATGATGTAGTTTGTGTAGTGAATGCATTGTGTGTGTGTGTACTGGATGCAGATTGTGTGTGTAGATGCAGTGTCTGTGTGTAGTGAATGCAATGTCTGTGTGTTTATTGGATGCAGTGTGTGTGTTTAGTGCATGGTATATATATGCATATTAAATTGTACTGGGGTTGCAAAATGCCGCCCCTGTCAAAGTTCCACCTGGAACCATGGCCACACCGGGACCAATGTACAGGCTGGCCCTGGTGTTAGTGTCTGGATACAAGAGATTCGGTGGTAGTAGGGTGCTACTAGTCTGAGCCCCAACCTGCTAATACACAGATTTGTTTACTGAAGGACTGTGTTACTAAATGTTACTGCAGCATTGTTACTCATACTGTTACTCAATGAGCCCAGGACTGTTTGCAATCCATTCTCTCCACGTAACAAGGAACTGTGCAGGAAGTGCTCGTGGATGGAATATTGGGTAACAACGTTGCAAACTTCTTATTTTGTATTAACTGCTGCAGAGATAATCCGATTCTGTTTCTGGAGTTTGTAAAATAATTTTACAAAATTTGATTTAATTTCTTTGTAGGTTTAGAAAAACAAACGCTATTAAAAACATTACAAAATCTTTACAAACACGTTTTTACAGAAATGAACACATACATTTACACATATTAATACACAAACACACGGATGTACCACACTTATATAACCAATATAGTAAATACCGATGAAGGGATGAGATGCCACTTTGTTAGAGTTGAGCGAACCCGAACTGTAAAGTTCGGGATCGTACCGAACATTACGACTTTTTGACCCCGAACCCAAGCCCGGACATTTCAGTAACAGTTCGGGTTCGAGTTCGGTGTTCGGCAATTTAATGGTGCATTTTGAAAAGCTGCAGGGCTGCGAATCAACAAGTGTTTGACTCGCGTGCCCTTAGAAGCCATCACAGCCATGCCTACTAATGGCATGGCTGTGATTGGCCAGTGCAGCATGTAACCCAGCCTGAAAGACCTGAATTGGTCTTTCAGCCAAATTTACTAATGCTAAGTAAAAATTACTTAGTATTAGCAAATTATGCTCCTACTCACTATACCGCGAGAAGGGGCATGTCTGTTAAACAGTGAGCAGCCTGTGGCTGCTCACTGTTAATTGTTTTTTTAAACCGGGGCGGCCACTTAATCCACCAATCAGAGTGTTATGAGTCAAATTACACAGCGTGGGAAAATTCCAAAGAACTTTTCCACGCTGTGTAAAATGACACAGAGCACTCTGATTGGTGGATTTCAAGCTGTGATAGGTAAATGCTGTGCTGTGACTTACCTGTCAGTCTCTTCATTTACCTGTCAGAGCACTCTGATTGGATGATTTAAACCCACCAATCAGAGTGCTCTGAGTCTAATTGCAGGGCGGGGCAAGGCTTTATAAGTCTTACCCCGCCCTGCAGAGCTCAGTCTGCGCAGAAGCTGCGCGGTATAACGAGTAGGGGCATAATTTACTAATACTAAGTATTCTTTACTTAGTATTAGTAAATTTGGCTGAAAGACCAATTCAGGTCTTTCTGCCTTTTATGGTGGGAATTAGGGAGTTATCTACTTATTCATTCCTGTCATTCCTGTCATAGCTGAATGTGTTACTTGATTGTTGTAAGTGTTGCAAATGCTTACAGCTGAATCCTGGCTATGTGTGTATACTTTTTATTTAAAATAGTATACAGTGTAACATTCTTTTTCTTCCACTGGGTAAGTATATTTGTACTTAGGCAATACAATTTACTTCCTTTTGCAGCCCTCTAGCCCTTTCCAGGACTTTTTAGAGCCACTTTAGTGCCCAAAAGTTTGGGTCCCCATTGTCTTCAATGGGGTTCTGGTTCGGGGTCAAGTTCGGGTCAAGTTCGAGTCACGAACATCCAGGTGTCCGCTCAACTCTACACTTTGTGTATCTTTCTGTACCCACCATATGACAATAAATGTATAGTGATACATACAAAGCGTAGAGAGGAACAGGTGCAACTATGATCCACAGACAAAGAACGGGGTACGGCTTGTGAAAGGCTGTTGTGTGAGCCGAAATGTTGCCTTTCCACTCCAGGAGAGTCTTCCTTTTGGACACCCTATGTGTGCCCAGACATCTATTCTCTACCATGACTGAAATATGAGCAGAAGGTCTTATGCCAAGTGGAAAATGAAAACTATATAAGTAATATTTAATATAACCCACGTCCTTTGGATCAGTGTTCCTATAAGCATTTCATTATATATTTATATTTAGTTTTAATATAAAAAGTTTAAACAGTGCAAATTCGCTAGGCATGACATACATAAATGCTTAAGTAGTATTCTTTTTTTTAATTTTTTTAAAATGTATTTATTTATAATTTTTGTTGTGCAAAGGGCATTACATATATGCTTGAGGTACCCCAAAGGCATTCCTTAGGCTCAGCATCATGGATTACATTTGGGTAAGAGATAAAACGTGCACTTCTTATAATATGGAATAACTGTACTAGGCTAGTAAACTATAAGTGTAAGCCAGAGCCTAGTCATTGAGGTTACGTTTATCTAAATAAATTGCTACGATAATTACGCATTTAGTTAGTATATAGCAGGTAGTAGAAGGTGACCGCTGAGCTCAAACAAACTAGCAAAGCTCTTTAAATAACATTTGTAACGGACTGTTTCAGCACACAAGGGGTTAAAACCGTTTAGGCGATCGTCCCCTTTCCGAGATGCAGGCACAGCTACTGTAGAACACCAAACTCACGAACTGCATGTCAGGGAATGCTCCAAACTCCCGAACGGCATACAATATAGCACTCCAAACTCACGAACTGGAACCATACGAATAGCTGCTAGCAGATGAACAGGAAAAGCACCCAAGCGGCTTACACTCCTAGCAATCAGTCTCTATCAGCATACAGTAAATCCCCCCAAAGACGAGACAAGGCTCCGTGTTGACGGTCAAGCAGTGGTCTGTTTAATGAGGGCTACCTGCCCAGTATTTATGCAGGTCTCCCACCTGGTGGACACTCCCCTAGGGGACCAAATGGGAGACTGTGACCAAAGACAGACAATCAGCAAAATAGGACACACAGTCACATTATATTCCCACAATCCTCCCCTCTGCCCTGGAGATAATTGAGAAGTAATTCAATTATCTCCCAGGACAAAGGCAAATCGCCATTAGGCACGTGGGGATACTAAAATAAGAATTACTGTTAAAATACACTATGTGCTACCAGTTACAATAAATATACACATTTAACATATCCCCAGATAGCTCAGGTCTGAGCGCACATTATTAAGCGAATGGCGCTCAGACCACACGAATACAGTTTAATCATCATGGAGCCAAAGTCTTTAATTCCACGAACAGGCTCCATGGCAGGCTATCTGGGTACTTTCACACCGAATACATTATAACACTAAAAAGTCCCGAATGCTCCGGTGTTCGGTTCCCGAACGGGTTTGCAGACTTCCAGCCTCAGCGGGGCTTGGAAGACAAAAGTGTCCGCTTTTGGTGTCCTGCCGCTGGGTAGAACAAGCGCTGGCTACCCGGGGAGCTTCCATAACACTGCCATCGCGTGGCGGCTAGGTGTAACCGCGACCACCCAGTATTCGTCAATTAGGCTGCGGTTAACCGCAGCTTCTGGGAGGCTAATTGTCGGCACACTCCAGCTCCCAGGTGGTCTAGTCATTCGTGCGGTTGTTCGGTAGATTGAATCTACCGAACATCGGGCAGGAAAGCACGAATAAGTCTTTTCTGCAGGGGAAACAAAGTCTTTTAACATGGGGCCATAATCCAAAGGCAGCAGGCGAGCAACCAGGCTTCTCCAATGCAATGTGGCGAGATTGCTCTCGTCACAACATTTCTATGCTAGACAACGATTTTGTGCTAAGCAACATTCATGGTTATGTTCTGCTGGTTGCTTCAGTGGAGATGCCGAAGCAGGCAAGGAGTAAGGTAACTCTGTGATGCCCATCAGCGTGAAACCCTGTGGAGGCTATCAGCCCACAACGCATGGAGGCTTTGGTGGGGAGTCTGTCACTTCAGGACATACAGCCGGCGAGAGGACGGCATGGTAGTACTCAGCGTCCCTCCAGCCCCGGATCTTTGTGGGGGCCAACACCATTGTGCCACGGATTTGGGTGCTCAGCGAGTCCGAGTCCTTCCCGGGATTGGGATTGCGATTGCGAGAGGTCCTGATGGTGTGGCACCGGTTCTGTCCGGCAGGCCTTTGCTTACGTGGATGGTGTTTCCTGGGCAAGCCCTTGGTGGCCCTCAGTCCAGGGGGTTATTCTTTTGGGGGTGACAGGGGCATGCATGGTATGGTTGCCCAGGGGGAGCCTTCTCTGCCCCTTCTTCCGGTTCTGCTTTGCCGGCTTTGCAGGTGAGGAGGTGGGGGTAGCCATGTGTGCCCTCAGCTTTTCCTAGAATTTGGCGAAAATAGCCTCCAGTGAGGACATTGTGCCGCTTAAATGGCCGGGTTGCTTGGTAGGGATATGCAGTGTACCTTGCAGTGAGAGCTTGGTTGCTTCCGCCATCTTGGGATCTGCAGGGTCACTGTATCTTTCAGCTTTTCCCACCATGCTTCAAAATCCGCCTAGCAGCAGGTCAGCGGGGACCGGGATTACCCCCGCCGGTCCAAAGGGGGCGGGGGGGTGGGAGTGCAGTGAGTGACTGCAGCTTGTGGAGCAGGGAGAGTGGCCGTCTTCCACTAGCTCCGTTATAGTAGGCCACAGTCCGCGGTTTCAGGCTCCCGGTCGTGAGTGGTCCGATAGAGGTATATGCCGGGGCGGGTTGTCCCCCGGGTTCTAGAGGCACATGGAACAGTGTAGCTTGTTATGGCCATTGGCATCCTGGCATTGGGAGCTATTAAATTAACAAAAAGATCTCTAAATTATATTATTATGAGCGTTAATGCAAGACCTGTAGGGAACCCACTGATGGATACCACCAGCAGACCTCGATGACAGGAGCAAGGTGAGTCTTTAGAGTCTGTTTGGAGCCATGGTACTGTCTCTGCATTAAAACTGTGAAACCCAGCTTAGAGTCCTGTTTATCCAACCCCACCAGTAAGTTACCCTGGGAAAGTCACCTAATGATATAGATTGTGAGATTGTTTGAGCAGGGCCTTCTTAACCTCTAGGTATCACCCTTTCTATAATTGTAGCATTTTGCGAAATATGATCTGGGATCTGTACTTGGACCCATTCTCTTTAATATTTTTATTAGTGAGATTGCAGAAGGTCTTGATGGTAAGGTATGTCTTTTTGCTGATGATACTAAGATATGTAACAGGGTTGATGTTCCAGGAGGGATAAGCCAAATGGCAAATGATTTAGGTAAACTAGAAAAATAGTCAGAATTGTGGCAACTGACATTTAATGTGGATAAGTGCAAGATAATGCATCTTGGACGTAAAAACCCAAGGGCAGAGTACAGAATATTTGATAGAGTCCTAACCTCAACATATGAGGAAAGGGATTTAGGGGTGATTATTTCTGATGACTTAAAGGTAGGCAGACAATGTAATAGAGCAGCAGGAAATGCTAGCAGAATGCTTGGTTGTATAGGGAGAGGTATTAGCAGTAGAAAGAGGGAAGTGCTCATGCCATTGTACAGAACACTGGTGAGACCTCACTTGGAGTATTGTACACAGTACTGGAGACCGTATCTTCAGAAGGATATTGATACCTTAGAGAGGGTTCAAAGAAGGGCTACTAAACTGGTTCATGGATTGCGGGATAAAACTTACCAGGAAAGGTTAAAGGATCTTAACATGTATAGCTTGGAGGAAAGATGAGACGGGGGGATATGATAGAAACATTTAAATACATAAAGGGAATCAACACAGTAAAGGAGGAGACTATATTTAAAAGAAGAACAACTACCACAACAAGAGGACATAGTCTTAAATTAGAGGGACAAAGGTTTAAAAATAATATCAGGAAGTATTACTTTACGAGAGGGTAGTGGATGCATGGAATAGCCTTCCAGCTGAAGTGGTAGAGGTTAACACAGTAAAGGAGTTTAAGCATGCGTGGGATAGGCATAAGGCTATCCTAACTATAAGATAAGGCTAGGGACTAATGAACGTATTTAGAAAATTGGGCAGACTAGATGGGCCGAATGGTTCTTATCTGCTGTCACATTCTATGTTTCTATGTTTCTATGTTAATAATGAGCTGAGAGCAGGAAGACAATAGTAGCTAATTAATATATTATCTTTCTTGTTTTACTCAGATTGATTAATGTTCTGTCTGTTCATTGTCACATTTCCACCTGTCATTTATTCACAATTGTAATGTTTATGTGTTTAACATTTGAAAAGCCAATAAAAGGATTTAAAAAAAAAATAAAACACATGGGAGAACCATTGCATTACTAAACTTTTACATGATTGATCTTCAGTTGAATTCACAGACCTTCTGCCTGATGACAGTCAACATTTGATATGGAGCAGAATTTGACATTCTAATACATTGTTTCCTCCATGTATACCGTGACTACCAGTTAGTTAGACTGAGGTCGGATCTTCATCTCTGATATCTTATATGAGTAATTGTGACCACGGCCAGATCTCCAGTTTACCCCATTGGCGTAGCTGTTGTGAGTTCCCCGCAAGTACAGTCCATTCAGATTGGATGAATGGCACACAGTATACCACCAGGCACCTTTGTAACTATTTGCACAGCTACCAGAGGCATTGAGGTCATTATCTCTATCTTTGGTAGAAAATGGTGTGTCTCTGTGACCATAGAAGGAGTCACCTGTAAATGGAAGAGAAGACGATGTGTAAACAACTAGTGCAGTCCCTTAAATACACAAACTATCCAGTGATATGTGTTAACATAAACAGAGATCCTCTATATCCACCATGTAAATATGGTGCATTCTATATTACTTTGTGTAAATATATATCTAAATATTTGCCCAGAACAGCAAACAAGTAATTACAGAAAGTTACTCTCTGGGAAACATGAGCAAGCTTAATTCGTTAGACTGGAGATCTTGTACATCATCTATCAATTTTTGTGCTCAGTTACTGACAATTCCTTGTAAGTAAACCTGGTAATATTTTATGATCCTGAGTTTACTGGAAAATCAGATGTGACTATTAATTATATCTTTATTTAAAATCTATCTGTAAACGATTGGCATAAAGCTGTCAGTTTCTTGTCCCATGAGAGAGACAGTGAATATTTCATGGATTAGACATTGGGGTTTATTGAAATAATCTGGTATTTTATAGAAATGTTAGGGGAATTGTACATTTGAGCCAAAAGAACAGTAAAGACAGACATACAGTTGATTTAGAGAAACCTTCAAATTCTTTAAATGCCACTATTTTGTTAAAATAAAAATATCAAATACAAATAGCAAATATCTTTTCAATTTTATGCAACTCATCAATTCACAATCCCCCCCCCCCCAAAAGAAGACATAAGCCCCATCTTATTTTCAGGGTCTGTTCGTAATATAATCCCTACCCCGAAAAAAAGCCCTAGTTGCTAGTAGCAAGTTTGCTAATCTATGTTTGGGGAAGTTTCCTCGAACATAGATTCGCCGGATTCCATGTGCTAGTGAACTGGTCTATGTTCGAGGGAATTCCCATGAATGTAGACCTGTTTTCTAACACATGCTTGCTACCATTTTACCCTGAAAAAACAGACCTCCCCTAAAAATAAGCCCTAGTGCATTTTTCAGGAGAAAAATTAATATAAGACCCAGGGATACACGGTAATAGACCATTTCTATATATGAAGGAAGAGAGTATCCCATACACAGACAACCTGCACCTGTCATACCTGCAGTCCCTCCAGTGAATGACCCCAAACTCAGAGAGTAATTCAGATTCTCCCCTGCGATTTTGAAGTTGCTGTATGTGGCGTAAGTTCTGTTGTTTTCAAAATCCATGAAATCGAAGCGGAGGTCGTATGTTCCTATCAGAAAAGTAAATTATTATTTATTACGTGCAGCGCTGGGCAAAACAACTTGGTTTATAAAGAATCCATAGAAGGTAAACATGGAATAACGCATGGAGTACAATCACATACTGACGGACACGGTCGAGGTTTGTTTATGTATCTGTTCGGGTGTCTGCCAGGAGGAGGAAGGAGAGTGACACGGAATCTGAAATTAGATTTATGGATATTTTCTTAAAAGTGGAATGGGGTATTGATGACTGCTTTGGAATACTTAGGCCAAAATTATCACCTTGAAATAATTCTACAAATCAGCTGCTATTTTAAATTGTCACAACTCCCTAATTAAATTCTAAGGAATATCGCCATTTCCACAAGCCCTGTGTATACATAGTTTAATGTTAAACATAAAACAAAAAGTAACCCATGGAATCATATTTAAAGGAAAACTTACACATACACAACAAAGCCACTAAAGTACTTTAAGTAGCTGAAAAGCTTTATGTGTGATGTATGTGTTCTCTTTCATTTTACAAAAAAAGCAGATTTTAGTAAAAAATTACACTTTTATAAATTAACCTTGTTAATCCCCCCCCAAGCCCACCAGCTGGTCCTGTTGCTTCCTGGTTTATTTAGCTCAGTGGATCTAAGCTTAAGAGGCAGTAATTGTCCAGAGCACCTGCCTTGCAAAGACTTCTCATTGAGCTGCATCGGGAAGTCTGTGATTGGACAGCCACAGAAAGTCTGGGCGGGGTTAGAAGGGGAGGGCTTGCAAAGACTTCAGACGAGAGATCTACAGCTTATACAAACTGTTTTTAGATATACATGCAATTAATAAAATTCATAAATAAATGGATGAAATGAATTACTGGTTGAAATACTGTAGGTTATAAACCACCTAATTTTGATATTGACAAGGAAGGTTAGCTGTTACAGCAAATTGGGTTAAGCTGTACATGTGGGTCCCATAGGAAAGCATTGGATTGGCTGAGATCATCAATTCTGATGATCTCAGCCAAGAATGTAGGACGGGGGGTTGGAGCCAAACAAAGCTCTGGCCAATCAACATCTACTCATAGAGATGCATTGAATCGGTGCATCGTTATGGGGAAAGTTCAGCGTCTCCATGCAGAGTATGGAGACGCTGACCATAAGTGGTGCACACTGTGCAGCACTGACCCAGGAAGCACCTTTAGTGGACATCTGAGGTGTGCCTTACAGCAAAAAGCCTGCAGGGACTGACTATACTTGCAATAACAACTAAATGAAGTAGCAGTTGTTCTGGTGACTATAGTGTCCCTTTAACACAATATGACCATATGGTGTAGCCGAATCCCCGTATTTGTTTGCTAAGATAGGTTATTTTAAGTAGCCTTGTAAAATTTTAAACTGTATTTTTGGTTTTTGTGTGAGCGCTCTTCCTATAAGATATAAGGAAGGAAATAATGCATGCAAACTGGCGATTAGATTGACTAAATTAGAAAATGAGAAAAATATAGGCAAACCATCCACAAAAATGTTTATGTAGATAAAAAAAAAAGTGGAAGTGTAGGTATTCTGAAAACAGAGTGTGTTATTTATGAAAAACAAGAAAGGGCAGACATTTAAAAACAAAACTATTTTCCCTCAGTATGAATTAAGTAGAGGCAAGAGATATGCAAATGATTGCTGCAAAAAAACTTGCAGAAAAATTGTGATTGGATGACTCAAGACAAGATAAAGATAGTTACTGTGAAGAAAGCTCTGTGGCCTAATGATATTCACCCACAAGTATGTAAGGAGCTAAGTATGGAAATAAGTAAACCTCTGTTTCTAATCTTTCAAAATTATTTTCTTTTAGGAATTGTACTGGAGGATTGGAGGAAGGCAGAAGTGGTTCCTATATTCAAAAAGGCTTCAAAATCATTGCCTGGAGATTATAGACCTGTGAGCTTAACTTCTATGACTGGGAAATTATTTGAAGGGTTATTAAGGGATAATTTCCAGGAAATCATTGGGGAGAACATTTTTATTAGTAAAAATCAGCATGGTTTTATTAAACATAGGTAGCCCAAGAGTGGATTAAAGATAGAGTACAACGAGTTGTCATTAATGGTAAATTTTCAGGCTGGACAAAAGTGGTAAGTGGTGTCCCACAAAGTTCTGTTTTGGCACCGATTCTATTTAACATATTTATAAATGATCTTGAAATAAGCATTGAAAGCCATATTTGAGTATTTGCAGAGGAGACAAATCTCTGTAAAGTAATAAAATGTGAGCAGGATATTACTTCACCGCAGAGGTACTTAGGTAGATTGGATGACTGGGCATTCAAATGGCAGATGAAATTTAACGTAGCAAAATGCAAAGTAATGCATTTGGGTAAAGAATGCACAAGTAACTTACACCCTAAATGGTAGTGAATTAGGGATAACAATACATAACAAAGATTTGGGAATTCTTATAGAGAACAAACTATGCTATAATGTGCAATGTTAATCAGAATTTGCTGTGTCCAGTAAGATATTATCATGTATAAAAAGGGGCATTAATTCTCTGAATGAAAATATAATTTTGCCTCTTTATGAATCAATGTTGAGACCACACTATTAATATGCTGTGCAATTTTGGGCACCTGTTCTAAAGATGAATATAATGGCACTAAAAAAAAGTGCAGAGACGAGCTACAAAATTAATAAAAGGAATGGAACTTTTCTTTTCTGAAGAAAAGTTAACAAATTTAAATCTACACAAACTGTTTTTTTAACGGTTTAAGCCTAAATTGGGGCTTAGGCACCTAGTACCTCTGTCTCCCTGCTTCCTTCTTCTCTGCACTACAGTACGAGGAAGGTTTAACTGAGTGACAGTTGATATACTTATAAAGTAAGTTGAAGCTCACAATCACAGGCTGACCATTGTGAGAGATAATACGTACTATTTCTCTAACTATTCTAACTGCACAAGCGTGCTAGCTATTCATCCCGGCTTTCTGATAAGTGTTATGCTATACTTTTTGGAAGTAAAAAGCAATATGTTGCAGTGAACAGGAACCACGTTTTGCAGTAGGAAACATAAATATTACCTGTGGACGTAAGTTGGTGAATATGATCGTTCCCCAGCCAGAACTCACTGGCCTGGTGTCCAAACCCTCGCTTGTAGGAATTCCAGTCTCGGAAAAAATCCACCGACCCATCCATCCTTCTCTGGAAAACCTAATTACATGTGAAGGGTTAGTAGTTAGCCCAATACGTTCCAAGCAATGGTTGCTCTCTATTTGCGTGACCTTGTTCTAATAGATGGTCAGTGATCGGGGAATTAAGTTTATCATTGGTCACAGGGAGCAGGCTATTTATAGTGATCTAATATATATAATTATTTTACCAGTAATTATGGCCAGTTAGCCAATGTAACCTGCCCCTTCGATATGAAAAATGCAAAACTTTTACTCTAAAATATTATTGCTGAATTAATGTCTCCTTGCTCTATTGAAGAACTGCCCCATGTATATGCAACCATTTATGAAAACAATCCTAATCTTATTGTTACACATTTCTTCTTAAAGGACCACTCTAGGCACCCAGACCACTTCAGCTTAATGAAGTTGTCTGGGTGCCAGGTCCTTCTAGGGTTAACCCATTTTTTCATAATTATAGCAGTTTCAGGGAAACTGCTATAATTATGAATGGGTTAAGCCTTCCCCCTAATCCTCTAGTGGCTGTCTCATTGACAGCCACTAGAGGCGCTTGCGTGCTTCTCACTGTGATTTTCACAGTGAGAGCACGCCAGCATCCATAGGAAAGCATTATGAATGCTTTCCTATGTGACCGGCTCAATGCGCGCGCAGCTCTTGCCGCGCGTGCGCATTCAGCCGACGGGGAGGAGAGCTCTCCGCCCAGCGCTGGAAAAAGGTAAGTTTTTACCCCTTTCCCCTTCCAGAGCCGGGCGGGAGGGGGTCCCTGAGGGTGGGGGCACCCTCAGGGCACTATAGTGCCAGGAAAACGAGTATGTTTTCCTGGCACTATAGTGGTCCTTTAAAGGATAAGCTCTGGTGATCTGGGCCCTGGAATTTTTCTTATATATAAAAGTAATGAATCTAGAGTTGTGGTGGCAATGTTACATAGAGCAATATTGCAGACACCCCTGGTGGGCATAAGTGGAAATGCAAGTTAAGATAATCTTGCTGGTAGAACACACTTTTTTTTATTTAAGAGCAGCCCTGGAAACACTTTTACCAACCTGTCTAATGTCTGCCTTAGCTGTAGTCTGCTAGGAAAGTAAACCTTAGTGGCCATACTTACTAGCCATCCTCCTCCGTCAGTCTCCATGTCACAGTACACAGTCAGAGGAAGCCCATTGTTTGTGTATACTGTGTACCAACCGCTCAGAGAAGCTCCATAGTCCAAGAGCTCCTTACAGTTCTGGGCAGCTGGAGGAAAGAGAGAGGATCATGCTGATTGGACGGTTAGCTGTTTGACTTCCTGATTCAGTTGAATGCAGCCAATCAAAAAGGGAGATTAAATATCGCTGCTTATTAAAACACACAAAATGCCAGAATTTACTTGTTGATAGACAGCAACTGAATCTAGCATGCATTTAGTATCTCTGATTACAATTAATGGAACAAATAATTACCTAATATATTATATAACAAAATGGATTTCTATGTATTTACAAGGTGTGATACTTACTTCCAGGGGCAGGTACACCGTGATCTCCCTTGTCACCTGAACAAAGAAATGTTTAAAAATATAAATAAAACATTAAAAACATTTTTTTGCAAAAAAATAATATATACATTTTCAACACTGATGTTGTAAATTAAGGTTTTTTATTTAGTATGTAGAAATAGAGACATTACATATTGTATCACTATAAACGGCTCTGTAATAGCATTGGGAGTTAATAAATGCAGCGTTGATAAAATTACGTTACACATTTCAAATGTTTTGTGTTAAAAGTGTCACGTTTAGTGGATTCCCCCAGATTCCCCAGTAATTGTTTCAGTTCCTTTTAAATGAAACATATATTTAAATTAAAGAAACAGACAATGAACTTTAGTTCTTGGATGTGTCCACATTTCTGATTTCTTTACAAAACAATTAAAGTAGCAACATTAAAAGAAAGGGCTCTTCCTATGTTATACTCTTTCAGCTGATTAGTAGGTAGCTCCCTAAATAGCAAAAATAAGAAAAATCATTTTCTTCACTTTTCTCCGTCAGTTGCTTAGTACATACATTCCTTATTTGGTACCCTTAATAATGGCAATCCCACGTAAGTATAGGACACCAAATTAGGGAGCTATCTAATAAACAGCTGAAAGATCAAAAATAATAAATACCCTTTCTCTTAAATTTGGTCTTTCACTTGTTTTCTAGATAAAGTCCTTAAATCAGATTTGGCATCCTTTGAAAATATAATTGTGTCTGAACTTGGTTCCGAAATTTTTCTGAATTTCAATTTGTCCGAAATGGATAATTCCTGAATTTCAGACAATTCGAAAGTCAACGAACTGAAACAAAACGTGCATGAAACTATTTTTTTCACACATTCACATCTCAAGAAACAATGTTGGTTGTTCATTACTTTATTCTTTATAATTTTTATCTGCTATTTATTTACTCACAAGTCTGAGTTTATCCTGAATTTACCTATTTATTACCTTTTTGTCCTAGTGCTCCTGTGTCCCCTTTATCACCTGTGGAGGAGAATAAAATCTATATAATTATAAGACCCTCAGTAGGTCCTTTCCACCCATTTTAATGTAAGATGCAGAGATAACCTGGCCACGGATTGGGACCATGTGATGACAATGTATGGTCCACGTATATTGCTCATTCAATGACTAGCACACTCACACAGGTACACACATCAATACACATGGCCAAAGATATATTTTTACACTAAATCCTTCTTGGTTCTAGACATCTTTCTCTCTGTCTATCCGTTGCTGCCGGTCGGTGACTTTCATGGTTTCTAGTGGGGAATGGGCTGAACCAGTGCTGCAGTCTATTCCTTTCCCTCCCACGTGGTTTCCTTCTGCGGTGGTTGGGGTGGAGCAGTTGCAGCGATGCCCCATGTGGGTGAAAGGAAAGCATGAAGTAAGGGGCCGCTGTGATAGAACCCAACCAGTCCACATAGATGGCCCGCAGCATATTGGCAGAGCCCCTTACCAGCATATTGGCAGAGCCCCTTACCCCATGATGACAGTTCTGATCTTTGATTCTGGGATAAGGTTCTACATTCAAAATCTAATTTCTATGGTGATTGTATCAGGTTTAGAACTCGACATTCCTATTGATCTCTCTCTTTCTACATATAAAGTGAAAGGGAGAAAAGGCTTTGTACAGTTGTCATGACAATAAAAATGTGATCCCATATTCTGTATTCTAATTTCGTATTCTGCCAAAATATTGCTATAGAGTTAGTTTACCTTTAACGCCTGTTGGTCCCATCTTCCCGGGAGTTCCAGGTGAGCCATTTTCTCCTAAATATAAGACACCACAGGGGTTAGGAGAATATATTTTGTCCAAAAACCATTTTACATTGTAATTTAGGACTCTCAAACAGGATACATTAACTGAAAAATACACAATGACATCATTTTGATAATTAACCTCTGGGTCGATACATCTGAGATCACCTTTAGGTCCTGCTGGTCCTTGCACTCCTTGTATTCCTTGTGTTCCAGGAATTCCCGGACATCCTCGCAAAATTGCCAGCTTGTCCGACTCGCCAATGCCAATAAGCTTCACATCTGCCCAGAAAGTAACACGTCATATATATATATATATATATATATATATATATATATATATATATATATCTTTCCCCAGTTAGGGGTTTATTCACAGAATATCAAATTGTAGTGAATTAAAAACCAAATTACATATTTTAGGTTAAAAAAGCCAAGCTGGGACGATAGTGCTGTTAAGTGAATAAAAAAGAAAAAAAGAAAAAAAATGCCCTTTTGCTATTAATCACGTTTAGATTGTGAGCTCATTTGAGCAAGGCTTTTTTCTTGTCTCACGTCTGCCAATTACTTATTGTAAAATAACTGCATAGTAGAACACTGTGTAAATTTACAATACTATTGAAATAATAATAATTATACCGACAATATGGATAATAATTACAGGTTCGTCAATTACGTAACTTTCAAAACAGTTGCTGACATTATAAGGTTCAATGGTTTTGTCTGGAAACTTACACTCCTTTTGTAGTGTGTGTGGAACTGCACTCACTCCCATCAGTCTGAGCCAGGGTGCTTGCTGTACCGGAACCAAACACCAGATTCCCAATTTGGTAGAGTAAAATGAAAGAGGTCCAGGCACTCCTTGGTTCAAGACTGGCACTTTATTGGAACCTTTGTTAAGACCCTTGGGTCGAAACGTTGCTGTTGTGGTTCCAATAAAGTGCCAGTCTTGAACCAAGGAGTGCCTGGACCTCTTTCATTTTACTCTGCAAACTCACACTCGTCATATTTTACAGAAGATATTGAGTTCTATTAACTAAAATTATTTGGGATAATTTAGGAATGGGATTAAAACTTTTAGCCCAAAATAGAAAACTGAAAATAAAAATCAACATATCTTCTGAACTGGAGATAAATACAAAAATCGAAGAGAGGAAATTTAGAGACCCAAGAGATGGTGAGGCGACCCAATCTGCGGGGTAGCCTCCCTCCTAGGGAATCCAAATTAGCACCTTAATGGACACTCCAGTGGGTGTCCTGGGGCTTAACCCCTAATTAATAAACAAAAATTGATAAAAATTGATAATTACTGGACTATTCTCACCATAGGATATATAAATAATTCCTAAGGAACTTCCAACTTTTCCCCTGATGAAGGTGCATGTCTTAAGCACCGAAACGCGTGTCGGGTCCTCCTGTCACTCTTTCACTATTTTTCCGCACTGGGCACTTTACACTCAGGGCAGGTAACCAACATTCTAAGTATGGTTCTGCCCTTTTACACTACTTAGTGCATTCTTCACTTTTTTTCTATTTCCTCTCTTACAAACTTTGATTGTGTTTCTAGATACTTTGGAATGGGTGATACATTAGTAGCTCACATTGCTTTACGATCGGCTGTAGTAACAGCTTTTCAAATAGATACGCTATATTGAATGTCAAATTTTGTAACATTTGATTTGATACATACAGGCAACTTATTTAAGCATTATTGAGTCTACACTGATAGGGAGACCCAATGGTTCTGATGCTTTCTCCCTGTGTACACTTTAGGCTGCCAATGTTTTAGCTACCTTATTATTTTCTAATCTTTATGGTCACCTTTTAAGTATCTGGGATATCTTTTGTAATTGTTTCCACTGAGCATTACATTATTATGCAGACTGTGACATAGTTAATTATGAATAAAGTCAGAGAGTCTTGCTAGTTAAATCAATTTTAGTGGATCTAAGAGAGGTTTCGCCGAAAGGCTTAGTTAGTGTTTTGTTCACGCCACTTTTTGCAAGTTCCTAGGGTTTGGATCTCATTGACCTTTCTTTATTTAATTTTTTTCAAGCTATATGCCATTTATTTATTTATTTATTTATTCCAGTGAAAAGCTTTTTTCACTGAGGTTGTCTTCAGTGAATAGAGGCTTTTTTTGTTGTTTTTTCAATTTTTGGAGATAAATACAAACACGATTATTTTATCCAACAGCTTCCAAACTGGTTCTAAAGTCCCTACAATTAGTTGTTTATTGACTACATGACTAGAGACATTATAAAGTAAAGATCAGTGACAGTGACATTACATTATACAGTTTGTTTTATAAAGACTTTCCTTGATTCAAGATTTAGTTTGAAATTTTAACTGTATGAGTTCAGTGATGTAGAAGTAAAATAAGAGATGAAATAAGTATCTAGTAAGTCCTTATTTATCGGACTATTGGGATTTTGGCAACAGATCCTCTGTTTGTCAAGTCTAAAGCATTTCTCACTTTCTTAGCTTCAGACTTGATAAAGGGAAGATCTAAATTCTGTTAGTCCAATAAAAGCAGTATTAGAAGATTTTAATTTCATCTGTTATTTTACATCTTCATTCTATAGAAATAATTACTGATTTTAACAATATCAACCCCTCCCTCCATCCAAAACTTAACCATCTATCCATCCAGCTATCCATTCATCCACAGAGAGATCTGACATCCAACTGAGTCTTCCCAGTAATAAAACATAAATAGTATAGATGTACGTCTGTATACATTACTGGACAAGACCGTTGAGAATTGAGACTTGCCTGTCAGTGATCTGATTCTTTAGCTATCAAACCATCCAATCACTGACTGACATTCAAAGTATGGGAATCCCTTTATAAAGGAGGATTGTGTATATAAATATGTTTTTTTTTCACACCCACCACAAGTGTTCACATTAACTTTGATTTTAGTTTACTTTTTCCTTTTGTTACTTATTTTATAATTGTAAGTAGTTTATAAGCAAGTTTACCAAAATGTGTCAAATTCAGTTGTCTGTTCACAGTAGCTTACTGTTTGAAAGATAAACTCTACGTAAACTTCTCCAATCAGTAAAAATATAAAATCAATGATCAGAGTGAGGGATCAATCATAGCTCACCTGGACAGGTGTCTTCAGCATAACACAGAATGGTAGCCAGCGACAGGAGAATGCTCAATGATGAATATGCGCAGTCCCTCATCTTACTCCCTGTAGCTGCTGGAGTCGAAGTGTTTTATGGTATCTCTGGAACAGATAGAGAGTATCGTCTAAAGTACAACAAGCCCCTCATCCTTAAATAGGCAGCAACGACTGTATGCCAGGAACGGAATTTCAACATAGGGGGTGGTTTAATTGTAGACATACCTCTTTTAACCACTCATAGTCATGCCATAATTTTATCTGATCTGGCTTAGTAGAGCAGGAATTTAAATTGAGATGTATTAAGGCAAACAGACCAATATTTTCGGAATGTTTCTATTTCTTGGTATTACTCGACTCTAATGCATCGTCAAATCTAATGTGCATCTCAATTTTGTAAACCTGGTGTAACATACTCATCCTCACCTTGCGGCCAGCGGACGTCCATCTGCGTGAATGACACTTGCGGCATGATAATGGACACCGGCCACTGCAGATCCAAGGCTAATTATACCCCCACACTCGCTCACGTGACTGACAACGTTGGCGCGCACATGACGTCGTTCACACAAACCGCGCGCACGTTTTGGGATCAAAGACCGATCCCGGACAATTGGAAAGGCAGAGCAGGTATAAAAGCCTAGAATTGCCTTCCTCATTGCCCTGTCATGGTTTTCCCAGTGGTTCTCCGAGAGCGCGTTACGTATTCTGGTTATTCTTGTTATTGACTTTGGCTTTGATTTTGACTTCCCTATATTCTGGTATCCCTGACCCCTGGCTTTTTCTTTATCATTGTGTCCCTTTCTGTGTCCCCTGACCTTGGCTATTTCTATGACCATTCTTTGGTAAGTTAGTCCGGCCATTCTAAGGTCCGATAATACGTTACCTATTAGTATCCTGTGTTACACAATTCTACGTGCTGGATCATACTGTAATCCTGACATTACGACAGGGCCATCGATCCTGTAGAATTTTGAAAGCACATTGCCATATACGCAAATCATCCTCGCCTGCTGGTGCAGGATTCTTTTTTGTATCTAAAAAGGATGGTGAGTTGCGCCCATGTATCGATTACAGGGCATTGAACAAAATCACCATTAAGAACGCCTACCCCATTCCCCTTGAATTATTTGACAGGATCCAGGGAGCTAAAGTGTTTACTAAGCTTGACCTTAGAAGCGCTTCCAATTTAGTGAGAATCAAGGAAAGCCATGAATGGAAGACTGCATTTAATACCAGAAGTGGACACTATGAGTATCTGGTGATGCCATTCGGATTGTGCAACGCTCCAGCAGTTTTCCAAGATTTTATTAATGACCTACTTAAGGATTACATTTACTCGTTTGTATTAGTCTATCTGGATGACATCCTGATTTATTTCCCTGACCTTCAAACTCACCACGGTCATGTTAGACAAGTCTTGAAAACCTTATCGAAAAATCACCTTTATTGCAAATTGGAGAAACTTATCTTTGATCATTCAGAAGTACAGTTTTTGTGATATAATATTTCTGCCTCGGGATTTCAGATGGATCCTAAAAAACTGGAATCGGTTCTACAGTCGCCTTTACCCACTGGGTTAAAAGTCATTCAAAGGTTCATTGGGTTTGCCAATTATTACAGAAGGTTTATAAAGGGTTTTTCATCTTTAATAGCTCCCATTTCCAATATGACATGCAAGGGGACTAACAGTACAATATGGTCTAAGGAGGCTATAGAAGCTTTTGAAATTCTCAGACAAAAGTTTGCCTCTGCAGATATATTAATACATCCAGACACCAGTAAACCTCTCACACTGGGGGTTGATGCCTCAGAGACGGGAGTAGGAGCTGTTCTCTCCCAGAGGGAGAACCAGGATACTCCTTTGCATCCTTGTTGCTACTTCTGTAGAAGTTGTCCCCTGCTGAGCGCAATTATGATATTGACAATAGAGAATTGTTGGCCATTATTATAGCCCTCAAGGAGTGGCGACATCTTTTGGAGGGTTCCAAGGACTCCCTTTTGATCATTACTGACTGCAAAAACCTGACATCAGTGATGCTGAGTGATTGTCTTCTAGACAGGCTAGGTGGTCACTATTCCTTTCTCACTTTAATTTTTTTTATAACTTATAGACCTGGGTCTAATTTGTCAAGGCCGACGCCTTATCCAGACAGTTTGATACCGAGTCTATACAAGAACAAGAGACATCCCCTATCATCCCCCTGAATGTATCATTGCTTCCACTATCCTTTCATTGTCCTCTCCGCTGCTTTGCTCGGTAATGGAGGCCCAGTCTCAGGTGCCCTGTGGTAAACCTCCGGACAGATTGTTCGTCCCATTGGGTGAAAGGGTTAATCTCATGAAGGTGTTCCATGACAACTTGACTGCTGGTCATCCGGGTATTAATAAATCCACATCCGAGATCATGAGATCATTTTGGTGGGATTCCCTCAGGAAGGATGTTAAGGAGTATGTTCAGGCTTGTTCTGTGTGTGCAGTTTCTAAAGTACCTCATAAACTTCCTTGTGGCTTGTTGCAACCTTTTCCGGTTCCTGAGGTTTCATGGTCTCACTTATCCATGGATTTCATTGTTGAACTTCCTAGTTCTAATGATTATACCACTATTCTCATGGTTGTTGATCGTTTCTCTAAAATGGCTCATTTTATCCCACTCAAGAAATTGCCCTCATCTCAAGACCTGGTACTGATCTTTATACGTGAGATTGTCCATCTGCATGGCATTCCTCACAATATTGTCTCTGATAGAGGTTCTCAGTTTGTTTCTCGGTTCTGGGCTTTCAATAAGCAGTTGCGGATTGAATTATCATTTTCGTCCTCTAATCACCCCCAGACTAATGGTATGGCTGAAAGGGCTAACCAGTCTTTGGAATTATATTTGCGTTGTTTTGTTAATAGCACCCAAGACAATTGGTCTGAATTACTACCATAGGCCTAGTTTGCGAGAAACAATGCTGACCATGACTCCTCTGGACATAGCCCATTTTTTGTTAATACTGGCTGACACCCTATTGTCCTCCCGGCTCTCTTTTCTGACATGGCTTTTCCTGCTTCAGATGACCGTCTTGCCTCTATTCGGGATACCTGGGTCAAAGTTCACTCCGCCCTGGGGACTGCTACCGTTTCAAGCATTCAGGGCCGTCTTTAACGCGGGGCAAACGGGGCAGCTGCCCCGGGCCCAGTTTCTCTTGGGGGGCCCGAGGCACCTGCCCCGTGGGCCCCGCGGACCCCAGCGGGCGGGTGGCCGGTCGGGCAGGAAGGTGGGCGCGCGAGGGAGCACTCACTGCTTCCTCTAAAGCTCCCTCGCGCACCGCACTGATGCCGGAGCCGGAAGATGACGTCATCTTCCGGCGCCGGCATCCCTACGAGGCGCGCGAGGGAGCTGAAGAGGAAGCAGTGAGTGCTCCCTCGCGCGCCCGCCTTCCTGCCCGACCGGCCACCCGCCCAGGAGCCCAGCAGCACCACTGGACCCCAGGGAATCCCCCCAGCACTCCAAAAGGTAAGGAGGCTGGGGGATTACATTTTTTTAAAAAAAATGTGTGTATGTGTGTTGTGAGTGTTAGTGTGTGTATGTGTTTGTGTGTTAGTGTTTGTGTGTGTG